GCTACTCAAGATCCTGAGTTGCGCAAGAAGTTCACAGGTACCCCTGAGCACGTGATCAACTTCTTCTACTATGTGGCCAACGAGCTGCGAGCCATCATGGCCCAGCTTGGTTTCCGCACTATTAACGAGATGGTTGGTCATGTAGAGGTCCTCAAGATGCGTGATGATCTGCGAACCAACAAGACAGCCAACATCGATCTGTCTCTTCTCCTCACCCCAGCCCACAAGCTTCGACCTGGCGTTGCCACCTTCAACGTTCGAAAGCAGGACCACAAGCTCCACGTTCGACTTGACAACAAGCTGATCTCCGAGTCTGAGTTGACTCTTGACAAGGGTCTCCCCTCCAGAATTGAGTGTGACATTGTCAACACTGACCGAGCGATGGGTACTTCCCTCTCCTACCATATCTCCAAGCGATATGGTGAGGCCGGACTACCCATGGACACCGTCCACGTTAATATCAAGGGCTCCGCTGGTCAATCTTTCGGTGCTTTCCTTGCTCCTGGTGTCACTCTTGAGCTTGAGGGTGATTCCAACGATTACGTCGGCAAGGGCTTGTCTGGTGGTCGTTTGATCATCTACCCTCCCCGTTCTGCTGTTTTCAAATCCGAAGAGAACATCCTGATCGGTAACACTTGCTTGTACGGTGCTACTACTGGTACTTGCTTCTTCCGCGGTGTTGCTGCTGAGCGATTCGCTGTCCGAAACTCGGGTGCTACTGCAGTTGTCGAGGGTGTTGGTGACCACGGTTGTGAGTACATGACTGGTGGTCGCGTTGTTGTTCTTGGATCTACTGGTCGCAACTTTGCTGCTGGTATGTCTGGTGGTATTGCCTACATCCTGGATGTTCACGGTGATTTCCACTCCAAGCTCAACGGCGAGATGGTTGAGGCCAGCGGCCTTGAGGACCCTGCTGAGATTGCTTTCGTTCGCGGTCTCATTGAGGATCACCACCACTACACCGGATCCGAGCGCGCGGCTCGCATCCTCGTTGACTTCAACCGAGCCCTTCCCCGCTTCGTCAAGGTCCTCCCTGTCGACTACAAGCGCGTTCTTAAGGAAGAGGCTGCTAAGGCTGCTGAGGCCAAACGTGCTGAGTACAACCTCCCTGCCGTCTCCGGCACCCAGCACAAGAAGTCGGAGAAGGCTGCTAAGCTTCAGGATCTTGAAGAGGCGGTCGGTGACAACGCTGCTGAGAAGAAGCGTGCTCTCGTGCTCGATAAGACTAGAGGTTTCAAGATGTACAAGCGCCGCCAGGAGAAGTACCGCCCTGTCAACTCTCGTCTTAAGGATTGGGCTGAGCTGAGCTCTCGTCTTGATGAAGATGAGCTCAAGTACCAGGCTGCTCGTTGCATGGACTGTGGTGTTCCCTTCTGTCAGTCCGAAACCGGTTGTCCCATCTCCAACATCATCCCCAAATGGAACGAATTGGTCTTTCAAAGTCAATGGAAGGATGCTCTCAACCGTCTGCTCATGACCAATAACTTTCCCGAGTTCACTGGTCGTGTTTGCCCCGCTCCTTGTGAGGGTGCTTGCGTCTTGGGTATCAACGAGGACCCTGTTGGTATTAAGTCCATTGAGTGTGCCATCATCGACCGGGGTTTCGAGCAGGGTTGGATGGTTCCTGAACCTCCCAAGGTCCGCACTGGCAAGACTGTTGCGATCATCGGATCTGGCCCTGCTGGTCTCGCTGCTGCTGACCAGCTCAACAAGGCCGGCCACCTCGTCACTGTTTACGAGCGCGCCGATCGTCTTGGAGGTCTCCTCATGTACGGTATCCCCAACATGAAGCTCGACAAGCGCATCGTAAAGCGACGTACCGACTTCATGGCAGCTGAGGGTATCGTCTTCAAGACCGGTGTTGCTGTTGGTGAAGAGGGCCACCCCTCTCTCAACGACCTTCGGGCCAGCCATAATGTTGTTGTCATTGCCACCGGTGCTACTGTCGCTCGTGACCTTCCTATCAAGGGCCGTCAACTCGAGGGTATCCACTATGCTATGGAGTTCCTTCACAAGAACACCAAGTCTCTGCTTGACTCTGAGCTCGGCGATGAAGCCTACATCACTGCTAAGGACAAGCACGTTGTTGTCATTGGTGGTGGTGACACTGGTAACGATTGTATCGGAACCTCTCTTCGCCACGGTGCCAAGTCCGTCACCAACTTCGAGCTTCTGCCTCAGCCACCACCTGAGCGTGCCAACGACAACCCCTGGCCTCAGTGGCCTCGTATCTACCGCGTTGACTACGGTCACACTGAGGTCCGTCAGCACACCGGCAAGGACCCTCGTGAGTACTGCATTATGTCTGAGGAGTTCATGGACGACGGTTCTGGCAAGGTCAAGGGCATCAACACCATCCGCGTGGAGTGGACCAAGTCTCCTAGCGGTGGTTGGGACATGAAGAAGGTCGAGGGTTCTCAGCAGTTCTTCCCTGCCGACATTGTCCTCCTCGCTATGGGTTTCCTCGGTCCCGAGGCTCGTGTTCTTGGCGATGATATCGAGAAGGATGCTCGCAAGAACGTCAAGACTGCCCCTGGCAAGTACAGCACCAACCTTGAGGGTGTTTTCGCTGCTGGCGACGCCCGCCGTGGTCAATCTCTGATTGTCTGGTAAGTTATACTATACACCAATTCCATGAAGAAAAACAATACTAACAAATTATCTCAGGGGTATCAACGAAGGTCGCCAGGCTGCTCGCGAGATTGATCTTTACCTCGAGAAGTACACCAACCTGCCCGTCACTGGTGGTATCGTGAAGCGTACCGCCCAGGAGATCTTCAGCCAGATCAAGGTCGAGGCATAAATAAAGAATAGGATACTTTCTAATTGTGTTTTTTGACGTTTCAGGAGCAAAAGGTTACGGGATGATACCATGATGATGGGTCGGTTGTTATAAAGGTGTATGTGAAGGGTTGTATTATTGTATATACCAATCTTAAAGCTTTTGATTACGAAAGAGCATTGGTGTATCTGCCTGCAATTGCTGTAAGGCTCCTCCTTCATTGAGATCTTTGCGAAATGGCTATTCATAGGGAGCGTAATGTTACATTTGTCTTAGTTGTTATGGAATTATTATAAACTGATAAACCTTAGTCTAAGATCATCTAAATTGTTATAAACTGGCAAATCTTATTCTTAGGTTATCTAAATTATATAAAATTATTTAAATTATTAAACATTACATAGGATACTCTAAAGTCATAGAATTCTAGTTGAGAATGGTCTAACATAACGTAGATTTTAGAATCGTGGGTCAAGCCAGTCTAAAGTTATAATGAAGAGCCTGCATAGACTTCTTGCTGTTCGACCCAGCTGTAACGATATTTACTATTGTCTGAAACCTGCCATTGCTTGATATTGTGTTGTTGTGACCAGGTCTTCATCCATGGCGAAGGGGCAAAACAAATATTCAACTGCTGAGGAAACATTCCAAGACAACATCTCCTGAGACACAAAGTGTATGAGTTGTTGATCTTGATACTTAAAGGGTCGGATCCACGAAACGAGGTTGAATGGTCTGAATGGCTGGATAATCCGTTTGTGCTTCTCATTCTGTCACATACAACCATAGCTCGCAGAATATACGGGATCCCGTCCGCTCTCCCATAGTCAAGTTGCGAAGCGCTGGATTAGTAGTTGGGTCGGTGACGACCAGCGAATCCCCGGTGTTGTATGTTTTTTTTTGGTGTTTTGATCATTTTTGGGCGAGCAAATCAATTGAGTCATTCTATTGGTCAGATTCCATCACTGGCATGGTACAAGTTGGCATCGATCGCCAAGACAAGTCGCGTGCCCTCTGGTCAAGTCGAGACTGACCTGCAAGCTGACTAAATGTCTTTCTTTGGTGAGTGAGACAAGGATGTAGCCATTAATGCAGCAGGCATCTCGCCTGTCAATGATATTGAAGTTGGAGGTTTGAGTAAGGTAATTCACGTGTTGTTGATGAGGTTGCTGAGGAGACGATCTATGATCCTAATAGGTCTAGTCGCAAACTCTAGCTAAAAGCCAAGTTTCGTCACAAAGAATGCATGAACGAACGCCATGACAGCTGAACACGAGCTATCTCGAGAGGTATTTCTAACAAAAAGACTCACCACTTTTTACCAACAGAAAAGTCTTGATACTGTAGTAGTAGAACTTGCCTTCACGTGCGTTGATGGAGACACATGAATGCACACAACTGCAGGGGTCAGAGTTCAGAGAGACGGGAATGCCATGCACCTACAGATTTTAGCTGCATCACGGCAACACGTGTGTAAGTCGCTGGTGCTGATAGGGCAATTAAGTCAAATAAACATGGATTAACAAACCTGATGCGCAACGGGTATCAAGCTGCCAGTCGACATAAACGGGGCTGTTATGGGCTGCACTTCCCACTGAGGGCTAGTTCCAGCGTGCTTTGGGACACCGAAGAGCCGCTGAAGAGCTTGCAGTGGACACTGGAGGTGGAGAGTCAGCTATGGAAGGTACCTAGGCCGAGATGTGAGGGCCCCGGGGGCTGCCAGGAACCTTGTCGTGCCTTGCTTGGTTCACGTTAGTGGGGTTTTCGCGTCCAGTTCCAGTTGAACGTTGCCCAGCCTTTTCCCCATTCAACTTCTTGAAACTGTAAACTTGGGTTTTGAGCTCTTTTGTATCATCGTACAACCTCATCCTCGGCCTTTGCACAACGCATCACGCAATTGCCATCCGTCGTGTCCTGCCTCGCTTCGCTCTCGAGTCCATCGTCCCTCCGCATCCTCATCCTCATCCTTATCCGAATATTCAGCTCGCTCTGCCGCGTCCCGAAGCTTGCCCAATTCGCTTTCGACGGATCTGCATGGTCATTGTGTCATGCGCTACCAGTGAATTCATCCAGAATAACTCGTCGCCTTGCCACTAATTGCAACCTTTTCAATCCTCCGGGTCCTCTATTTGCACCACGTAGCGTCCGTTTGGTCGCCCGATAAAAAAGCAATTGGTCCCTCGTCTGGTTGTGAAACTTCAGCTGTCTTATACCCAACATGCGTTTCGGTCGGACACTCCGCGAGTCCGTATACCCTCCGTGGAAGGATAAGTACATCGAGTACGCCAAGCTCAAGAGCTTGTTGAGGGAGGATGCCGATGACGATAGCCAGCCATGGACCGAGGAGGACGAGACTCGCTTCTGCGAGGAGATCTTTAACAACCAGCTTGAGAAGGTTGCACACTTCCAAGAACAGCGCTTCAATGCTCTCAAGGAGAGAGTCGACTCTGCCTTTGACAAGCTGAAGGAATTGGCGCCCGTGGAGACCTCGGAGGAGGACGGAGCTCCCCAAAAGGGAGAGATCTCGGCTTCCCGCCTGCGCACTTTGGAGTCGGAGCTCGACGAGATTACCAATGAGGTCCGTGAGCTCAAGAAGTACAGCAACATCAACTACACTGGCTTCCTCAAGATCATTAAGAAGCACGATCGCAAGCGAGGAGACCGCTACAAGGTCCGGCCCATGATGCAGTTGAGCCTTTCTCAGCGTCCTTTCAACTCCGAGTCTGGCTACTCGCCTCTCCTCAACAAGCTTTCCATCATGTACTTTGCCATCCGGCAACAACTTGAGGAAGGCGGAGATCAGCTCCCACCTTTGGATTTCGAGTCTCAAGGCGAGACCCGCAATGGCGAGCACTACACAGCTCATAAGTGTAAGTGGACTTCCAATACAACACACCTTTTAGCACACAGAGTACTAATTCCAACACAGTCTGGGTTCATCCTGATAACTTGCTCGAGGTCAAGACAGTCATCCTCCGGCATCTGCCAGCTCTCGTTTACAGCGAGCAGTCGGCCAAGGAGCTTGATGGCAGTGATTCGCCATCCATTACCTCCCTGTACTTCGATAACAAGCAGTTTGAGCTTTATGGCGAAAAGGTTAACCGCCAATCAGAAGCAACATCCCTGCGACTTCGCTGGTACGGACAGCTGGCCACTCGACCAGAGATTTTTGTTGAAGAGAAGACGGTGGACAACAAGGGTGGTAGCCAAGATCTTAAGTTCTCTATCAAGGACAAGTATGTCAAGTCATTTGTGGATGGTGACTACAAGACGGAGAAGGCGGTTCAAAAGATGAAAAGGCAGAACCTTGCTGCTGAAAAGATTGAAGAATTCGAGCAGACTGTCAGCACGATTCAGAAATACGTCAAGGAAAAGAAACTCGGCCCTGTCCTGAGAGCCAACTACGTCCGAACTGCTTTCCAAAAGCCTGCCGACGACCGAATCCGTATCGCCATCGATACCGACGTGGCGTTCATCCGGGAGGATACTCTCGACAGTAGCCGTCCCTGCCGCGACCCGAATGAGTGGCATCGTCTGGATGTTGATGACAGCGAAATGACCTACCCTTTCAAGAAAATGAACCAGAGCGAGGTCAACCGTTTCCCCTATGCTCTCCTTGAGATCAAGGTCAAGGAGGATGGTCTACGAAAGCGCCCTACTTGGATCGAGGACTTGATGGTTTCTCACTTGGTTCATCCCACACCACGATTCTCCAAGTTTGTGCACGGTATTGCGGTTCTCTTTGAGGACTACGTCAACAACTTGCCCTTCTGGCTTAGTGATCTTGAGAATGATATCCGAAAGGACCCCCAGAAGACTTTTGAGGAAGAGGAGCAGCGACGTGCCCAACGACATGAGGACGTTATGGCCGTAGGAAGTCTAATCGGCGCAGGAGCAAAGTCTGGTTCATATAAACCCACACAAAGTTCGCCAATGAGCAAATCCTATTTGGCCGACCGCATGTCTAAGGATTCAATCGCCCAAACTCTCAACAAGCGAACTTCGCTTCCTGCAAACGGAGAGGAGAGTGGCGGGAGCAGTGGCCAACGCCAGGAAGAGCAGGAGAGGTCTTACGGAACACTCTCTTCTGTCATTCCTGGTTTCTCGTTGTCCAAGTACTCCAGGGCCAAGCGAGCATCTCAACAACCATTGCCCGAAGGCGTGGTAGCGCCAAAGGAGTGGATCAAGAACATGGGTGAGCTCAAGGTTGAACCCAAGGTTTGGCTTGCCAACGAGCGAACATTCCTTAAGTGGCAGCACATTTGTATCCTCCAGGGCGGCCTAGCTGTTGGTCTTTACACCGCTGCTGGCGAGAACACGATTGCTTCCATTATTGGACTTTTGTTTGTTCTTATTGCCTTGTTTGCTGGAGTCTGGGGATACTCAATGCTGAGAATCCGACGAACCATGATTCTTGAGCGAAGCGGTAAGGACTTTGACAACATGATTGGACCCATGATTATCAGCGTTTCTTTGATGATTGTCCTCATTCTTAACTTTTTCTTTGCGGTAAGTCTTGCTATCTCTATATAATTATATAATTGATAGAAACTAACGTTGATCGGTAGTGGCGGGAAGCTTATGGACGATTCAATGATGGTAAGAACGGCGCAGGAGAGCTTCTCTCAGAAGATCTCAAGTAGACTTAGCATGGAGTGATGAGTGAAAGAGTTGGAGATTATGTGATATAGTCTACACGAGTTTCGATGGGATGGGCGTTGGAAGCTGCATACCTTTGGTGTTTTGCAAAATTAGGTTGAGAAGGGATTGGCTACCTCTAGCTAGTAATAGATAAATGAGCTTAAGCAGTTTGGCCACCCGTGTAGAGCTGAAGATGTATATGTTCAGTGCTGCATGCTGCATGCTGCATACAGATGCACATGAATCTTGCGACGCAAGCTTATACGAGAAGTGTGTGACCTCGGCATGGATAGTGGCATAAATTCGATATTTTTGCCAAGTAACAGCCATATGATTATCTTAGTTGTTTTGTACTTGATTTATATCAAGTTTGTAGTAATTCATAGAAAGGGAGAATCAAAAGTTACCTAATAAGGTCAAACCAAGTACCGTGTTATGCACGTCCTCCCGCGCGTCCCTTCGGGCTGTGCATCTCTAACACTCCAACCCAACACCCGACCTCCCATTTTAAGTAACGTAAACTTTATAGAGTATAACGACTTTGTTAAAGCTTCCCCCTTCCAACCATTGACTTTTAATTCTGTCACTTACTACCCTCTAGCAATCATATCTTTCAGCTGCTATCATTTCAATATTACTTCACATCCCTGCTAATTATATTCGTCTCAACCACTTCAAATCTGTTGCTGCACGTCGCGCCACTAAAAAAAGGGAATAGGCGTAGGCGTGGGGTCCAGTCCCCCTGTGATTGCGCATTGCCTCAAACGCAGGGCGTTCTTTTTTCCACAAGGGGAACGAACTTCCATTCTTTCTCTCTTCCTTCTTCCCTTCTTCTCTTTGTATCGTGTTCCAAACCGCCGGAGGAAATAAGATCGTCAATCATGTGCAACATAAGTTTTGCTTGCTAACAGGAAACTATTGTCTATTCCTCTTCTATCCTCAGTCGGACAACTCTCATTGTCTCTTCCTCGGAGCTCTCTCGCACACACTCTCTCTCATTGCCTGCCTACCTAGGTTGTCCTGGCTTGTCTTATCTTTAAAGCTTAGCCCGCGCGCGCCAGCAGGCGTCGCGAAACACGACTTTGCGACACCAAGCGAATCTACTTCCTATTCTGCGCTCTCCTCTTTATGCGCCATTTTTTAGACAACCCATCTTCTTCGCCAATATCGATAGTCGCGTCGAACTCGCGCTGCGCCTAATGACATCATGACAGACCAGGGCGAAAAGAAGGGTCTTTGGAGCATACTCCGAAGGGCAAGCACTAGGAGACACTCCGCCAAACCTCCAGTACGTAACAGCCACGGCAGTGACATATCGAGCTCGAGTTGGGCATTATGAACCCGGAAACCTCGGTTGCCAAGCTATAGCTATAGCTATAGCTTCAGTTCCGATCTCGCCGAGCTTTGTCATTCCAACGTGTTGCTAACCGTGCTGTACGACTCTAGCCCAAGGATCTCGAACCTAGAGAATACCATCGCCCCCGCCGAGCTAGTAACGGCGACGCTGGCAATGCGCCCTTTCGCCGAAGCATTGGCTCTGCTCCCGATCTTACCTACGACAGTAACCGCCCCACGAGCGCAGAAGATGACTCTCCCAGCATGCGCCGCAGGGCGAAAAGAGGACAGCCTGATCCCGAACCTGAGCCCCGGTCTTCTCCAATAAGATCGAAATCCTCTGGCTTCTTGAACAAAGGTCGCTTATCAAACGGAAGGCGCCCAGTTCGCGCTCGAGAACCTACGTTATGGCCGCCTTTGGGTGTTTCTGTCGACGATGAGCTACCCCCTCAGCAAGCCCTTGAGCTTGTCGCCCGTGGTGCTCCCGCGCATAAAGGACACAAACGTCCCATACCGCACCAACCTGAAGAATTCTACTCCCTCCATACGACTTCCAGCGGCAACCGAGCTGATGGCAAGACTTCTGATCTTACTGATGTTGCCAATCTTCACGACTCCATGACCCAGCTCATGACCTTGCGCTTAATAGGGCCCGGGTACGCAGACCGTTCATGGGAGACTCTCGAGAGACCCAGCTACGCTTTCTACTTTGGCCATCTTCCGGGGACAATCACGCTCAACGAATGGGCATCCCAGTCCAGTGTCCTTCCGCCCACAATTGCCACCCGTGATGCTGGTGTTATGCCTCGGACAATGAGTCTCGAGAGCATATTCGACCGCTTGCAAGAGCTGCGACATGGTATTGAGGACGATGATGAGTCTCTGCTGTATCGTGTTCTTTATAAACGTATTCTAAGGGACCCCGACAAGTTCCTCAATCCTCACCGAACCTTGGACAAGCAAATTACCGATCTTATTCTTGTCCTCTCGCGCCCCGATTGGATCGACTTTAGCAACCCGCGCAACCAGGTTGCTACCCGATTTATTTTTGACAAAAGTCCTGCGAACCAGGAACAATTCCACAAGTTCTTCCACCAGCTTCTCCTCAGTCTTGAGCTTGAGTTGCGCATACAGTCCGACCAGCACAGTGACTGGGCGAAGGAAAAGTTGACCTCGCAAATACCCCCATCAATACAGTGGAATTTGGCCCTGGCCCGTCGCTGGCAGGACTTTGTTCGCGTTGATGATGTTGGCAAGACGCCCGAGGAAAGTAGGTAGCCTCCAGATCCGATGGTGCATAAGGATGTCCTAACATTCAGTCTAGTTCTCCTTCGGTATAAGTTGAAGAAGCGTCAAATCAGGATGCTGAGGCGTTTTGCTCAGATGATGAGATGGCCCAACCTGACCGATACCCTTGATAATATGAAACAGAAGGATTCGGAATTGGCCTTGGACGAGGTCAGCTCTGATGCATTTGCCTTCTTTAGCGGCCTCGTGCTGCCTGGTGTAAGTTGGAGATGATCAGATGTGACGATGATGTATCTTTGAGCAAAAGCTGACTATGTGTAGCAAACGTTTCCCTTTTTGATAATGAACACCCTTTTGGATCTCGACCCCGATGGTGCAACTGACAACCTTGCGCTTCTGTCTCATATGCATCCTCACTGTGGTTTCCAGTACAAGAACAGCTACACATATTGGTCGGCCTGTTCGATCGTTGGAAAAGTCTTAGCACCTACATGCCACGCAGTTGCTGGCTGGATTGGCCCGGCGCGTCCTACCACGGATCTTGATCCAACTCAGATCGCACGAATTCGAACCCGGAAACCCAAACAGCGAATGAGTCCCCAGGATGTCGAATCTATGGGAGAGCGATCTGACCCGCTTGGTCCTGCGGCTGAAAGCTACCCAGTAGACGATTATCAGCCGGTGCGCCCGAAAGGTCCAGAAGATGCTACTGATACGGTACGGATAGAACTGTTAAGTCTCAAGACAGCGGATCGACCTGAGGACGCATCTATCAGCTCGGGGCTATCAAAGTTGTTTGATGCAACAATACAGTTCGCCATCGACGGAGTGTCATGGCCACTGCGACTCATGTATGATGTATCGTTCTTGGCCGCATGGCCGTGTTCTGATGGTCCGCACCCGCTCTTTTTTGACTACATCTACACGTCAATTCGCGTAGACTCCATCGTTGGAGTACGAGACTGGGGAGGTCTTTACGGGGGTCCGCAATTGCATAGTGTGCGATCAAGTCCTGGGCCAGATACGATGCGAGGACCATACCAGGACATGTTCAGCAAGAGCTTCAACCACAGCCGCGCTCCATTGAATGGTTTCCTTCACACTGGGGCACCCGAAGAAGACGAAAATGACGACGAGAAGGTTCTCGTGGTAGAGGCATTCGGCGTACGCGACAACGAAGTTCTGGCACGAGCTTGGTGCTCACACTGGGGTCTCAATGCCGTGGTGGCGGATATTCGCAGAACTTGGTAAGTCTATTCGCATGCTACGGAGTTAGGGGCTGGGACTCTTGCTAACAGGGAATGCAGTATGGCATGTGCCATTCGCGAAGCGTATGCGGCAACGCTGACAGTGGTGATCCTGGTAGAAGGCCAGGAGTATCCCAATAATGAATGATGATGTTATGAATTATGTATATTTGGTCCCACGCCCAGCAATGGGGTTGTGAGATGGACTGGCGGAAACTGATTTGGGCATAGTCAGGGGAGTTTGTGTTTCAGAGGCCAGGGAGAGCGGTGAACTGCAAATAATAGAGGTTGAGGGTCGATCTGGCATGATGGCAGTTGTTGATAAAATTTCCTAAGCTTGACGATAGGGTCGAGTATCCGACTGAGGAGGAATACTGTCTCATGTGATGGCCGATTCACTGCATATGCACGTTAGTTAATGGGGCATCAGCCCATGGGCTGTAAGATAATAGCATCGTGATAACAAAGAAGTATAGCATAGCATGATCACATTTGGATTACTGCGTGTTCCGTCTTTTGCCTGTCAAGGTGACCAAGCATTCAAAAAGGTGATGGTCACCGCACAAGACATGAGCCAAGAAAGTCACAAGATCTCGGTGAATGTTGATCAAGCTCACCATTGGCCAATTGAACCGGTGCATGCATATGTATGCAGAGTGTATTAGTGTATTAGGCGGACATCACGGATGAGCCGGATCTGGAATTCCGGATGTCTGGGACAGTTTCAGCATCCCGCGTGTTCTAGCCTCTGTTACCAATTGGAAATATGCAGTGGCTTTGTAGCTTTATGGAGTATTTGCTAAATAGACCCCCTTCGGGATGATGGGAATAGGTGCTGATCCTGGTTTCGATGTCATGTTTCCGAGGTCATCGGACACTATCACCTTTTTTCTTCCTTTTTTTCTTTTTGGGCCTTTCTCGTGTTTTTTTAGTTCTCTCCGCTTCGACTGGAGGGGGAAAGTTGACGACGCCACATCATATCATATCTCACTTACGATCAAGAGATGAATTGAGAGAAGCCGGCGGTGTGTCGTTTGTTTTGAAGGGATGAGGTGGACGTCGATCGTGATTCGATAGGTAGCTTGGGATAACCCTACTGAAAGGAATAGAGCAGAGTAGAGTTTGGTGCCAATGGCTAGGCAGACGTTTTAAGGGATGAGAAGGAGTATTGTAACCATTATTGAGCTAGATAGTATAGCAATGCACCATCAATGAGACGGGAATAGGAACTCCGATGACAGGAGACTTGAACTTCCCAAGTCCTCTTCGATCAGCTTAGACGCCGTGGTCCTCGTCTAGTCTCATGATTGGTGACTAGATATAGAAAGATCACCTCTTACAAGCCAAGAAACGAGACGATTCTTTTTCTGTTCTTCCTTTTTAATTTGTTTCCTCTGCCAAGTCATGTCTAAACACACCCCGTTTTCCTTTTGGGTCTTGTTCATCATGAGTTCTCAAAATGGTAGATCATGAAATCTCCTGCTAGCTTCATTTTTAGTTCAAGGTGGGATGAGATAGGATGGATGGTTCTAGGTGGGCTTGGAAATAGAGTCCCCACATCCCTAGGCAACAACATTCTTTTTCCATAGCCAGAAGGAGACGGGGGAGAAAGTGTCTCTGGGTTTCTATCTGAAAGATGGATGAGTATAGAATTATGAGGAAAATAGGGACAATTCATCAAGGTATCAAGGTAGTAGGTACCTAGTTAAATAGCCCTGCACATGTTGCCATGACCATACTGTAGCATTGATCTACCGAGTCGTGACTTTCATGTCCTATTTTTTTAAGTACCTATGTGACTGGCCTATTCAGCTTCTAGAAATTAAAGTAGATGTTACTGGATGGTCTCTGCTATTCCAACACTCACCTCCAAGAGCTACAGTAGCGTTAGGCCCAATTCGCCTCCCTCGGGTCTCTTCCCCCATGTCCCCCATGTCCCCCATGTCCCCGCCCTGAAAATAGTGGGCTTTAGTGGGGGTCCTCCCCCAGGATCAGCGTTCAGCAATTGTCAAAGCTCCAGTGTTTCTGCTTCCCATGATGGAGCTTCCCTCATGACTGGGCCTATGGATCGTGACTGTGAGATGCCGACAGGTAAAGAGTCCATAATAATAAAAGTGTCCACGAGCTTATTATTCCTGGGGCCTGAGAGGTTCCATATCATGTCATGGGTTCAATTGCTGTGTAAGTGCAGATATATAGGTAGGTAGATATATGACCTCAGCTCGTCGCCGTACAAGTTAAAACGTCATCTTCCCGCTCGTTATTCATCTATAAGAATTGAGTTACCAAGCGATTACAACTCCCACACACAAAAACTAAGACATTCACACACCCTCACACCTCCCTTCCAGACTTTTAGCATTACTTTTTCTTCGCGGGGTGACACCCTCAGGAGTCAAGACACCTCCGCCCAGCGCCTCGTTTCCCACATCTCACATCTCACCTCCCACACCTCACACCTCTCAACACTCTCCACGCCTCTTACCTCTTCCCCTCATCGTCTTTCCCATTTGGATTTTTGCTTGACGCAAGCCCAATATCCTTTCTGTTTCACCCACCTCGATCCTGCTCCTAAGCATATGTATAGCAATCACAAACCCATCAAAGTCATGGAGTGAGTCCTCTTCCTCTCAACCTCCAAGCATATCGAGAATCTTCACTAACCGACTCTTCTCTTTCTTCGCAATGGACAGACCTCCTCAAGTTTTGGTATGCGCCTCTGAAGCTTCAAACAGCCCTGAAACCGTTATTGGTGGCGCACTGCGAACCTTGACTGACTCTCTTTGCGCAGGACCATTACATCGGTGTCGATGTCGGTACAGGCTCTGCTCGTGCCTGTATTATTGACGACACTGGCGACATCAAGGCTCTGGCCTCCGAGAACATCAAGTTGTGGCAGCCCGAGACTGGCTACTACGTATGTTGCACTCGCAACCCTCCATTCTCCATGCCTCAACATATCCTAACCCTTCTCCAGGAGCAATCCACCACAGATATCTGGCAATGCATCTGCGAATGTGTCCGGCGTGTCGTTAGCGAGTCTACTGTTAATCCTTCCAGCATTAAGGGCATTGGCTTCGATGCCACCTGCTCTCTGGCCGTATTCACTCACGACACTGACGAGCCTCTCCCCGTTACCGGACCTGACTTCACAAACGATGGTAACGACCGCAACGTCATTTTGTGGCTCGACCACCGGCCCGTTGAAGAGACCGAGAAGATCAACAACACCAAGCACAAGCTCCTCAAGTACGTCGGCGGAAAGATGAGCATCGAGATGGAGATGCCCAAGGTCCTCTGGCTCAAGAACCACATGCCGCCCGAGTTGTTCGAGCGTGCCAAGTTCTACGATCTTGCAGATGCTCTCACACACTTGGCCACTGGCAATGAAACTCGTAGCTACTGCAGTGTTGTTTGCAAGCAGGGCTTTGTCCCTGTAGGCGTTGATGGCAGTGTCAAGGGCTGGCAAGAAGATTTCTACCATGATATTGGCCTCGGCGAACTTACCAAGGACGATTTCAAGCAGATGGGTGGTGTCAATGGGGTGGTGAGCCTTTTCATACTTTTCCCCTTTGCTTTCCAATGCTCCGTTACTGTCCTGCACTAGAAGCTAACCATGAAACTTGTAGAACGGGACCTATGTCAGCGCTGGTGAGCCAGTAGGCACTCTGAGCCGATTGGCCGCCAACCAACTTGGCCTCCCTATGGGCACCCCCGTAGGAAGCGGCGTCATCGATGCATACGCAGGCTGGATCGGAACCGTAGGCGCTAAGGTCGATCTTGGTAGCGACGAGCTGAACGATGCTGTACCCCATAATGATCTCGCCCAGGCCTTCACTCGTCTGGCTGCCGTCGCCGGAACTTCCACATGCCACTTGGCTCTGTCCAAAGAACCTGTTTTTGTACCTGGTGTTTGGGGCCCTTACCGCGATGTTCTTCTCCCTGAGTTTTGGATGGCCGAAGGAGGCCAGTCCGCGACCGGAGAGCTTCTTCGACACATGCTCGATATCCATCCTGCTTACAATGAGACATGCGCCCTTGCCAAGGCTGAGGACAAGCACATCTACGATTTCCTCAACACTCACCTTGAGCTGATGGCTGAGAAGCACAGTGCTCCCTCAATCTCGTACTTGGGACGTCACCATTTCTTCTATGGTGACTTATGGGGTAACCGCTCACCCATCGCCGACCCCAACATGAAGGGCAGCATGATCGGATTGGATAGCGACAAGAGCACTGACAATATGGCTTTGTGGTACTATGCCACAATGGAATTCATCGCTATGCAGACTCGCCAGATCGTCGAGCAGATGAACAATGCCGGCCACGAGATTTCTTCCATCTTCATGTCTGGATCTCAGTGCCAGAACCCTATTCTCATGAACCTTCTGGCAACCGCCTGCGGCATGCCTGTCCTGATTCCACGATACGTCAATGCTGCTGTCGTTCACGGTGCTGCAATGCTTGGCGCAAAGGCGGCAAGCCACACTAAAGAGGACGGCAGTGAGCCTGAGTCTCTCTGGAGCATCATGGACCGCATGAGTAAGCGAGGTCGCCTGGTCGATCCCAGCACCAACGAGGACGAAAAGGCACTTCTTGATGCTAAGTACGAGATCTTCTTGGACATGTGCAAGACGCAGCAAGATTACAGGAGCAAGATTGATAAGGTTGTTTCCAAGAAGGCTCGTTTGAATGGCGTTCCCAATGGCGCTTAGAAGCTGAGCTTGTGTGTATTGGATGTTGATGTATATGGAGTTGATGAGCGCTTGATTTGGGCAATTTGTCTGAAATTCGGTATCAAGACCAGTAATGAATGACTGCATGTATGTAGATAGTACGACACAGCCCTTGAAAGGGTTAATGAACTAGAATAATTGACGGTTTGCTTTATCGATACCCTTGAATTATTGCTGTAGTGCGGACATCTTAGAGCGTGAAAGCGAAAGGTCCTGGCTGAGCTGGAGCTCCCTTAAAGATTGACGCTGTGGCTCGCCTGGCCTAAGCGTTGCCTGGGAACAATAACGCAATATGATTGGTCAAAGCTTCACCTTCAAAGCGTTCTATCCCAGCCTGGCCCACTCCTAAATTTCTAGACAAACGCGCCGTCTTTCTCTGTTGTTGACCAAACTTTTTGATACTTTCTCATCCTCGCATTCAGACAGCTCGTCTGTCATTAAGAATCCCCAATCAATTTCGTCCATCGACTCGGGCAAACCCTCCATCGCGTACTTTCCGAAGGATACTCCCGACATCTGAGGCGCCATGTCTCTCTTTGGACAGTCCGCCAACACCAACACGGGCGGCACGACAGGCGGAGGACTCTTCGGACAATCTACGACACAGAATCAGCAGGGCGGAGCGACAAGCGGTGGTCTGTTTGGCCAACCCGCGCAGAATCAACAGCAACAACAGAGCGGAACAACGGGAGGTGGCTTGTTTGGAGGACTAGGCGCAAACAAGCCCGCGACCGGTGGTGGTGGTTTGTTCGGGCAGCCGCAACAACAGCAGCAGCAGCAACCGCAGCAGCAGGCTCCTAGCACGGGTGGTGGCCTCTTTGGACAGTCGACTACACAGCAGCCAAGCACAACTACGGGCGGTGGATTGTTTGGGCAGCCAGCACAGAATCAGCAGAGCGGAACAACAGGCGGTCTGTTTGGCAATCAGCAGCAGCAACAACCGCAGCAGCAGAAACCATCACTGTTTGGCTCTTCCCTGGCACAACCTGCTGCAGCCGCGAAACCTTCGCTCTTCGGCCAACCGCAGCAGCAACCGCAGCAACAACAGCAACCGCAGCAGAACGCACCCTCAATGTTTGGTGCAAGCACGCTCGGGGGAAGCACCTTGGGCGGAAGTCTTTTCGCCAGCCAGGTCCCCAATGGCCAATCCCAAGCACAATCACAGCCAGCGGGCGCCTACTTCGACAGTCTCTTTGCCAAAAGCCAGAAAGCTGATGGCAAAGCGAACATGGAGGACCTCCCTAGCCTCGAACTCGGTCTTGGTGATCTGCGACACCGATTGAGGAAGCTTCAATCCAAGCCCAGCGACAAACCTCTGGGTGGTAAGGCCCATTACCTTCTTGCGGCCTCTGGTGTTGATCCCGGAGTGGCTGCTAAGGATCTCGGTCTCCTTGATATCCAGGCCGGCCGTACTGAGCGAGCTACCCATGGATATGCCCCCAGCGAACTCGATGTCGAAACCTACCTCTCGAACCTCCAGACCAAGACGACTCTCAGCATGATCGCCGATGGAATTGACCGGTCAGTCCGCGACTTTGATAACTTTCTCGAAGATAATGTTACAATGGAGTGGGAGGCGCAACGAAAGCGCATTTACCAGCACTTTGGAATCACACCCCGCGAGGATGTTTCTACTTCTGGACGTGAATCTCAGAGTGCTTTCGGTCGCTCTAGGCGCAAGAGCCAGGCGCCAGCCTCCAAGACTGGCAGAGCCAGCGTTCTCGGTAGATCAACACTCCAGAAATCTGTCATTGGAACACCCAGCCGAATCGGAACACACCAGACGGACTTTTCCGATGTTGACCGTTCTGAGTCGGGAGGTCTGGACGGTCGTGCTTCGTCCGACGACAGGGTGCTCCGAGAGAGGCAAGGACGTCTATCAGAGAAGATTCGTAACCTCAACACTGCCCGTCTTCTCAGGCGACCTTACCCCATTCTATCTGAGCTCGCAGCTGTCGAGCAAAAGTCTCACGAGCCACATGCACCTCATCTCGTGGAGGCTTATTTGGCCGTCATGGAGATCGTTGGCGAGAACCCTGATGCCGAGACGACACTCAACAACGCCACGGCCAAGGAACGTGAGTTTGCGGATATGTACCTTAACGAAAACCCCAACTCGTCCAAGGCAGTTGAGATGCGGAAACGCATCCTCAGCGGCGCAAATGTCTTTTTGGAGAAGCAATTCCTACGAGAAGTCGAATCGCTCATTGCTAAGCATCCTCACGAAGCTAAACTTGGTGGTCTCCCCGACATTGTTAGCAAGGTTAAGGCGTACATTCGGCTAAGGTCGGCACGTAAGGACCTTGTGCCCGATAACACTGAGCTTCAACAAGTTCAGGGTGAGTACGTCTGGGCCATTGTCTTTTACCTGCTCCGCTCAGGACATGTGAGCGAGGCGGCCAAGTATGTCAACGACAACACCAGCCAGTTTCGAGGCATTGATAGAACCTTTGCTACATACTTAAACAACTACGCCGCCAGCGAGGATCGACGCATCACCAACAGGAAGCTATTGGATCGCTGCACAAACGAATACATTCAGCGATCCCGTAACGCGCCAGACAACTCGATCGATCCTTTCCGCATGGCTTGTTACAAGGTCATCGGGCGTATCGAGCTCGGTAACCGCAACCTCGATGGACTCAACACAGATATCAATGACTGGATTTGGCTTCAGTTCAACCTGGCGAGGGAGGGTGACAAGACGATCGAGATGGCTGGCGAGTCTTACGGCTTGGCCGAGTTGCAGTCCAGCATTCGAGAGATTGGTCTGAAGCACTTTCCCAAGGCCAACTCAGAAGACAGCAACGGCAGCTTTGGCATGTTCTTCTACCTGCAAATTCTGTCGGGTATGTTCGAGGATGCCATCGCCTACCTCTACCCCTTTTCATATGTCGATGCTGTGCACTTTGGCCTAGCGCTTGAGTTTTACGGTCTGCTCCGACCAAGCGATGCCATGTCGCCGTCCAACGACCTGCGAAGCTACAGCACCAAGAATCTTCCACAGATCAACTTTGGCCGTATGATTGGATACTACACTCGTGATTTCAGAGCTGCGGATGTTGTGTCTGCTGTGGATTACCTGACTCTCATCTGCCTGAACCAAGATCTTGGTAGCGAGGCTGGTCAGCGACATGGCAGCCTCTGTCATGAGGCCCTTCGTGAGCTGGTTCTCGAGACACGCGAGTTTAGTAAGCTGATCGGTGACATCCGACCAGACGGTCGACGAATCCGCGGTATTATTGAGGAGCGTGGTCCTCTCATCGGTCTTGATGCCGAGGATGACTTTGTCAACACCGTCACTCTCCAAGCTGCCAGCTTTGCAGATGAGAACGGCCGTACCACAGACTCGGTGCTGCTATACCATCTGGCTGGCGAGTACGACACTGTCGTTGCCATCGTTAGCCGCGCGCTGAGCGAAGCTGTCTCTCTTGAGATCGGCGAGGACCCCATGCGTCTTATGCCCGTCAAGCCCCGAGCTGGCGGACAGGAGGCCGATACTGGTAGCAGCCTCAGCTTGGCGGCGATCGATGACCCCGTCGAGCTGGCCAAGACAATGATGAGCATGTATGAGCGAGACGCCATGTTTTACAGGAGAATCCAAGACCAGAATAAGGTGGCCTGCCGAGTGCTGCTGGAGATGAGCGGCATCAAGGGTTTGGTGGAAGCTGGACAGTGGGCTCAGTGCCTAGACGTGAGTTATCATACCCTACCGGAACATCGAACATTGCTAATATGAATGAACAGAGAATCCGAAGCCTCGAGATCCTGCCTCTAGACGCAGCCGGCGATGGCAGCACCATTCGAGCATACGCCTCCAAGTTCTCTGGCCTCTCGCAGCCCGTGTCTATTAACGTGCCCAACCTGCTGATGTGGACTATCATCTGCTGCGTCCGCCAACGGGAGCAGCTGACAAGCGGCCAATTCAGCGGCAACGAGGGAACACGACGACTGATGGTGGATCAACTGAAGCAGATGACATTGGATCTGACGACGTACACCAGCCAGCTTCGTTACCGATTCCCTCCTCACCTACACGAGGCTCTCGCAAGGGCATCGGCAGAGTAAGGGGTATTGGCGCGCATATGTCACATGGTGGGTTTGTTGAATATAGGAAATTATGTCTATGGTTAGGAAAGGAGATCACTTATGCTTAAGGATGGGAGAGCAATAGCAGGGATGAGGCAAAGAATGGGATATATTTTGTGGTAGACGACATGCATTGATGTAACAGAACTTTTGGAAGAAGAGATAAGGTAATCTCTTTTTGCTTGCCGTTTTATAGTAATTCTACCATCACGTTGTACTAATGGACATTTATGTTCTTGTTCCTCTTCGCTGAAATGATTTTATTAAAGTAAAGTTCAATCAAAGCTGTCGCTGAACATGATGAACATGTGTCATAATGACCGTACAATCTGTAGCCTGGTTCTTGTTGCTCTCCCTCTTACCGCATCTACCTATTGGCCATCCAGTGCCTCAACCCCGCGTCGGCAATGAGAAAGGTAACAAAGACAACACCAACCGTTTTATTATCCCAAGTCCGGTCCTAAGATTCCTCCAAGTGTTCCAGGTGTGACCGACATTGGGTCTCTCATAGTCGGGATCCAACGCATTCTTCAATACTCCTATGCCATCTAGAACAGTACTGTACGTAAAGGGGTTCGGGCCACCTTCGTACACGTAACTATAGGCCTCACGACTGACATCGATCTCTTCCGGGGGTTGCTTGGCGTCGACACGTATGGTTATCTTGCATCTTTCTTCAAGTGGAAGTAGGCCCTGCCTTTTCTTCATGAAAGAGAGAACGTCACTGTAACCAGTCGAGAGGAGCAGTTGATCAAAACCACGTGTGCTCGTGGTAAACATTAAGAAACTCAGCTCAATCGACCTGACTGTTTTTGGTAGGCTGGACAGAGTCACAGTCAGGTCTATTACATTGACGAGAAAACGGGACAGGCCAAAATGCCGTAGATTCGACCATTCTGTGTATGGCAAGAACTTGAAGAGTGGAGCAAAGTGCTCGTCTGAAGTGCCAAATTCACCAAGGTGCTCAAGATGTTGAAGGCTGGTCGGATTAAGGTTGGTTGAGAGGCTAAAATGTTCCAAATCTTTAGCCGCTGAGGGCAACTCAAAAAGATTGCCCTCTCCCTTTCCAGCATCTATCCCTGCCCGGCCGAGAAAGGATACCCATCGGGCTTCATTCTGCTCAGTGGCGTAAAGAGCAAGCTCGAGGCGTTTGAAACCAGGCTGTTGAACGATTGTTCTAAGGTTGCGATAGTCTTGGTTGTGCCCTATGATATCGGTGTCAAATACACGACAGTTGATCCCAGTCCGAAGTTGTTTGCAGTCTATGATGAATTCTTGAATGCATGCATTCTCGCTTTTTGCGCACCAGTCGGCAATCTCTTGAGTCACAACACAAAAGCCTCGCCATTTGGTCCTTGAACTATTGTCCCAAGCATGGAACACCGGCTGATCGGTGTGGATATCTGCAATAGGCCAGCCGCGTGGGATCGGCTAGATCAGTTCACGAGGCAGGCGGTTAATCATGGGCGTATAGAATAAAGGTTTAACGGGCGTTCCGTGAGCTGCAGGTGTCAATATCACCCTACGCAAATTCGGGAATTTGTCGAGTCCTTCTCTTAGAGTAACAATGTCTAAGCCTGTGGCAATGACGTGGTCTTGCTGGGCGCCCAAATTTTGGTATATCTCGTATGACTCTCTCGGGCTCAAAGGATTCAGAAATCTCTGGGCTACTTCGAAACGCTGTTGTTGGCTATGGCCATACGCCTTTATAAACCTCAAGCTTATACGATAGCCTTTGCGGTACCAGGATGGAACCCCAGTCTCGTCGCCAATATCGAGATCGTGGGTATCCTCAGGAGGCACGGCGGGGACACCGTGATAATGGTCGTCTGTCGAAGGCCTGTATAAGCGTGCATCGTCGTAGACAATTGTTGTGACTTCCTTCCGGCGAATCGAGTCGTTTGCAAGGTTTCTGAAGGCAGCGATGTTATGGATATCAGGTGACAGAACTGCACAGGTCTGGTGTGGGATTAGCAAGCTTAAATATCGACATGTTCGGCCCAGATTATGTCTGTCGGCATCTGGCAAGATGCTTGTAATGTATTCAATGAGGTCTGGGTAAAGGGTGAGTATGCCTCTTGTAATTGATGGTGATGATGATTGATCCATGCTGATGGGTACCTATCCGATGAGAAAGAAGATGACTGCAGTTACTGGCATGGATATGAGATGGAACTGGAGATTTCTAGTGAGTTGGGCATTTGTTCTGTGGACAAGATACAGCTGCTAGGCGTGCCTGCCTGTCTACGTTTCACGTTGATCTTTGTGTGTGCCTGCTATTCATATTCCATAACATTGCAACGTAGGTAGGTGCCGCCCAATATCCCGGAGGCTTGTCCACAAAGACTTAGAGACTGAACAGGCCGAGGGAGGTAGATTATTGATATAGGGTAAATAGCTTCTACGTACCTCTATATAAACGGTATCATCCGGTGTTACTATTGCCGTCACATGACCGGGAGTGGATCAATTGCCGACAGACCTTGTGCGTCCAGAGCCTCCTCTACCTAGGTAGAGCCCACACGTACGTACGTACCTAGTAGGACATGCTAGACACGGTATTACAGGCCACAAGCCACAGGCCACAGGGGCCAAAGGCTGTCTAGACAGGCCACCTACAGACAGAGACTTCCCATCCAAACTCAAAGGTCCATGACTCGGTCACAACCTGGTGCTGGCGGGATTTATGAGTCAACGCTCCCCCTTCTACTTGTCCCGTCTCTTTTCCAGTCCCAATTGTTTGCTGTTCCCACAGACCCGGTAAATCGAACCCGAATCGAATCGAACCGAATCACAGCACAGCACGCATTGCCTTGTCATTCATTGCCTTGCCCTGGCAGATCTGGCTTCGTATCCCTCCCTCTCTTGGCTTGGCTTCGGACCTTCGCTCGTGCATTACGGTGCGGTGCGGTGCAACGCGACGCGACGATATCATCTTTAGCCTTGTCCTGTTCTGGTCTGGCCTGGTCTCGACCTTTCTTTTTTCTCTGTCGTCGATTCGACTCTCCTCTGCCGAAAGGTCCACAGACAACTCCACTAGGAGAGAAAGGAAGAAAAAAAGGAAACTTCCATATCCGGGTTATTCCCCTTAATTTCCTCTTCTTACTCCGTACGAATACCTACCTACCTTACTTTGTCTTGCCTTGCTTGTGTTGCATTGTCCTGACTCGCTCAAGTCAGGTCCCAGGTGACGCAGGAACAATAGGGAAACGAGACAAGTGGTCGGAGTGTCTTATTCCTTTTTCCTTTTCTCTAGATGCATTCATATCTCAGTTAAGCTTGCTTTAAGCTGATCGAGTGTGGATACGCACGACATCCCATCCCCTTACCCCCACACTCTCAGACACGAACATCCATTCGTCTCATTCACCCTCTTCTCACCCCAATTGCCGAGAGAGCAGCCCACTCCGAGACGGGGGCTTGTTTTACTCCGACCTCCGATGGCCTCCGGTCCCAATACCCCGGGGACGGTGCAGAGTCCCGCCGGCCCAGGTCTCGGACTCGGCCCCGATGATGATTTGGTGTCGCTTAAGCGCGACTCCGACGCGGTCGACCCAAGTTCTCCAGCTGCTGGCGATGATAGTGCCAAGAGGAGAAAGAAGGTCGGGCCTGGAAGTCGAGGTGTTGCCAATTTGACGCCTGAGCAGTTGGCTAAGAAGAGAGCCAATGGTAAGTCCAATATTTACTATTTCGACTCTGGTGACATACAGCCTAGTCACCTAAGCTGCTGACGCAACAATGCGTTTGTCTGTGTGTTCGTGACTACGGCCATGATCATCTCTTGACTATCCCTTCCCGTCTTGGAATTTACCCATGCATGCCATCTGATCGCATCTGATCGCATCGCATTTGATAAGGCAAAATGCAACCAAGGCCACAGTCACTAACATCACATAGACCGTGAAGCCCAGCGAGCCATTCGCGAGCGTACTAAGAACCAGATTGAGACTCTTGAGCGACGTATCCAGGATCTCACCAACCAGCAGCCATATCAGGAGCTACAGAGTGTCCTTCGTGCCAAGGAAGCTGTTGAGCAAGAGAATGCCGACATAAAACGTCGTTTAGCTGGCATAGTTGCTATGCTTCAGCCAATTATCGGCCAGGGCAAGTGTATCATTCTCTCCTCACCCTGGACCAGGACTAACACAACGCAATAGCTGGTATTGAACAGGCATATGTATCACCTGCGCAGACATATGCACCTCCAGTCCAGCACCCTGCTACTTTGGTCATTCACAACCACCACCACAACAACAACGCAAATGCCGCGTCAACGCCTGGCAGTGCGGCGTCACCTCCAAGCCATGAGCCTCCACCCAGCCAAGCTCCGTGGCATCATCACCAACAACAACAGCCGCCGCCTCACCACCATTCCACCCATCCATCTGCTGACCCCTCTACCAATCCCGAAGCTCAAGCTGTGACTCAATTAACCCAACAGCGTCGTAATCTCCAGCATGGGCTTGATATGGGCCCCGAGCGTCTCGGGCTGGATTTCCTTCTCGAGCCATCTCAGCGGGTGAACCGTATACAGAATGGAGTCAATGGTGCTCAAGATACACCCCAGTTCCACCATATGCCTATGAAGCATGATTGGACAGGGGTGAATCAAGAGCGCGCGTTGCATAGTCGCTCGGCAAGTTGGGGATCACAGGGAAAGCCAAGCCAGTCTGGACAGGATCAACAACATCAAAGCCAACATCCTCGCCACTCACTATCGGCTGGCCACACGCCTGAGAGCGCGCACAGTCCCAGTTATAGTCCCGCCTTGAGCACAGCTGGCGGGCCTGTTCCCCGTAGTGATCCTAACGCTATCGATCCTACACCTCCCATCAAGAACTGTCAGCCCACTTGCCCTCTCGACTCTTTGCTGCTCGACTTTCTGAGTGAGCGTCGTCAACGTGCCGCCGATGGCCTTCCTGCCCAGGACGTAGTTGGTCCTCGCTATCCTTCTGTGTCGTCACTCCTCAACCCTGCCAACAGTGCATACAGCCACCCCCTTTCCAAAGTCTTCACCGATATTCTAGCCACCTTTCCCGACATCTCAACCCTCCCTGAACGTGTGGCCGTCCTCTACATCATGTTTCTCGTCATGCGTTGGGAAATTGAGCCCACTAAGGAAAACTATGATCGCCTCCCCGAATGGATGACGCCGTGTCCCTCGCAGACCAGTATTCCGCACGCTGCTTGGATTGACCATGTCCCCTTCCCCAAAATGCGTGATCGCCTTATCCGCGATCACAACCCTAGTATCTTACCTTTTGATAACTTCTTTGTACCCTTTACCACAACACTTTCACTGTCCTGGCCGTACGAAGAGACAGATACGCTGCTCCAGAATCCGGACAGCGACGAGCTCATGATTAATCCCGTATTTGAACGCCATTTACGGAAGTTGGATAACTGGAAGCTGGGGGATGCTTTTGCCAAGGCGTTTCCTACTCTGGAGGGCACATTCAACCTTGGCCAATCTCCTTCTCCGCGGCCATCCTCGTCTAGCAGTCGATGACATGTGTGCTAGCAGTGTTAGGGCAGTGGAAAAGGGTCTGTACATCATTTTGCCATTGGGCGTTTCTTGTATAACATATATTCATACATTGGGGAGTGGCATCTATGTTTCTTTTTTGTTCTTGGGAAAAGTGAGGGGCTTTGCATTGCACTTTTGTTATTGAGTTATTGGGTATGGCAACAACTGAGGATACGTCTTGTGTACAGAGGCAGTGTCTGTGGAGTTGTTGGACTGGGCGGTTATGGAAGTATGTCTGCATGTATGTATGCACGCGGGTATCGGAAAAGTTGGCACACGAGTTTCCATGGCTATGGGTAGTGGCTGAGGTTTAATAGAAATTACCACGTATTACACTCAACCCCTTTCTCTTGAAGACATGTCTGACCTTTAAAATGGCTGTTATTGTAGCAGATAAGAAACTTATCCTAAGATATGATGAGAATTAGGGGAAAGTTAGTCTAAGTTTAGCCTGGTCCTCTAAGTTTATGATAACTTGTCCAGGGCTATGAGAGTCATCGTCTAGGCAGGCTATCGAGGCCGAACCAAATCACAGCCAAGCGAATGCAGGTCTTTCGCTCTCAAGAAGAATTAGTCGTGTCTTCGTATTCGTTCTCTAAACAGCGGTCGAGATCGCCCATGGCTTGTTCTATGGCTGCGAGCTTCCGTTATCGATGTGGGTAGGAGTTTCTTGCATCAGACGTCGTTTGTCTGCTCCGTGCGTAGACTTTTTGTTTGTGAAAATAGGGGATTCGATCAACTGTTGTTCTTACAGTGCGTCTGCTTTGGAAGTCATTTCTGGTCTTGTGTTTATCTTTTTGCGAGATTAGTGTGTTGAGAAGAGTATCGCCAGAAACACGGTTGATTCGTATAATTCCCAAGTAGTCGGAGAGAACTCTACATCCATAATCAGGACCCGCGGACCCAATTGCCTGTTGATTCGGGACTCCTTGACGGCCATTTGAACATTCTTCTTGTATTCTTCACTACAGGTCCATGCTTTGGTGATGGACCTGGCGAATGTTGTTCTCAACGTCCCGGGGCTCATCTCCTTTTTCAGGTCTAGAGAATCAAATCTTTTTATGAGGTCTCGAACTCTCATTTCAGAGTGACAATCGACACATCTGCTGTCTAGTGATAGCGTTGGGAGTCTTCTGTCTCTACTCCGCCGTAGCAAAGCGGTATCGAAATCGACGACTGTCTTTGTTGGGCATTCTTCAAATATGAAATGAATGAAGCCGATCCCCGGCCCTGTACACAAGTAGCCTCTCGCGTTTGCGTTAACGAGATGGTTCTGTTTTAGGCCTGTTTCGTTGATGGTTAGCTTTCCGAGTCCAACATAACAAATAGGGGAGTGTATCACATACGCCATAACTGCTCGTTCTGGGTGAAGATGTTGAACTCCTCGTCGTCTCGAAAGAGGATATGAACAGCGGTATTTTTGTTGGCGACATGGTTGTTTAAGCCCTGTTTTCGTTTATACGAGTTTTCGCAATGGGAGCATTTGTATCTAGGTAGGTTTCTATATATATGTCTGGTATAAGTCCCTAAAGTAGGTTTGTCTGGTAGTAGGTTTGTCTGGTAGTAGGTTTGTCTGGTAGTAGGTTTGTCTGGTAGTAAGTTTATCTAGTAGTAGGTTTATTTAGTAATAGGTTTATTTAATAGTAGGTTTATTTAGTAATAAGTTTATTTAGTAATAGGTTTATTTAGTAATAAGTTTATTTAGTAATAAGTTTATTTAGTAATAGGTTTATTTAGTAATAGGTTTATTTAATAATAGGTTTATTTAATAATAGGTTTATTTAGTAATAGGTTTATTTAGTAATAGGTTTTTTTTAATAATAAGTTTATTTAGTAATAAGTTTATCTAGTAGTAGGTTTATCTAGTAGTAGGTTTATCTAGTAGTAGGTTTATCTGGTAGTAGGTCTGTTAGTAGGCATCTAGAATATTAACCTTGACTTCCTTGCCTTTATGCTAAGGTCTGAGGGCTGAGAGTCTCCGCATACTTATCATGCTCGTATGGGTTGGATGACTTGCAAATCTTGGCTTCATGACTAAAACCACCGTCTTTTGGTTCAGCATCTGTGTGAGTGCTGGTGTTCGGAATGAGCCTCTGACTCTTGCGTGGCGGACCGTTCTCAGCCTCTTGATCGGTACCGGCTTGATACCCAAAAGGATATGGGTAGTATATATAGAAGGGAAGATTGGTAGGGTCCGGATAGGACATGTCCCCATGGCTATCAACCATGACTTGATGGTTTTCTTTCGCGACTATAAATAAGATGAAGGAGGATAAGAAGAATAAAACGGATGAGTCTGGGTCTGAGGAAAAGAAATTCGTTTAGTTTTCTCTTTCCCTACTCAGAGATATTTCACTGTACACTGTCGTGGCAGTGGTTCAACTGGAACATGCCAGTAATTCACTGCCCACCTAACTAACCCACCGGCAGTGACTTTACACTGGCTTATAGCAGTGGTAGTGACAGTGGCAGTATATAAAGTAGATAGAGCTCTCTATCTGGTGATAAGGGTCACCGACTCCACTGATGGCCATAGTGCAGCCAGCCTGGCAGACAAAGTACTGCGAATCTAAAGGGTAAGCAATGAAGACGAATTTCTAATCATGCAGGAATGGTGCTAGTATGATATGATATAATGAAAGGAAAGGAAAAGATTGCGGCAAGAAGAAAAACGATTGGTATAGATAGATATATGTAGAATTTGTGAGTGGAAAGTCAAACATGCTGTTGGCCGTGGATTGCCATGGTCATGGAAGCCAATCTGTTTTGGCTCTACATACATCTGGACCTGATTGTTACACAAACTACCTTACATTGGCTTTGAGCTCGATGGCGATATTTGCCTGTTTTTAACTTGAGTTTTCTATCATTTGTTCATATCAGAATAGTCTCACACCACTCTGAAGCACCCTTCACGCTGAAACAGGAGGTATTTATTGCATCACCTTTTGGTGGAACCATCGAATTACTTGTCAGATGCAATATCTACGACCATAGTCCCGACATCACCACCTTTGTTTCGTCCGAATCAGAAAACCCGATACCGGACTGAATGACCTAACTCATCCATGGAGTCGTTGCCGCTATACGTGTACATACCCCAGACTTCCGGTTACTATTATGATGATAGCGACAAGGTAAATGACCCTACTCCTTCTAGGAACGATAATAACACCGATATCACTGATGACGCTTTTAGTATTGATGAGGTGTTGATTCGAATGGCTGCCATTGGCATCGAGAAAGACGACTCTGAGATAAGAGTACACCGCGTGGTTTCCAGCAATTATATAAGGACAATCATGGCACCCAATCTAATCAGCAAGTGCTAAACAAGCCAAACTGGGAGCTTTTACGACCTTTTGCTGCTCGCCAGCCATTTAGATGCAAACACTCCCAGCAAAGGACGAGAATACATCACCGTATTGAGACAGCTCATACATAGGCTCAAATCCAAGGACTTCCCTGGTGGAACTTGTTGTTGAGTAACTCATGCTTGATAGGACTCTGGCGAGTGATAGAAATGTCAGGGATGGAGCATGGGAAAGCGCGAAGACCATATTAAACTCCAAGGACAGTGTTCCACTCGAAGACAAGAGTGACCAACAAGCCGCCAATGTTGTTCCGGGAGAGCTTTCCTTTGCCCCGGTATAAGAGCCTACGTCCCAGAGCCAGTAGGCCAGTGATACCTGATGTGAAACTTCTAAAGAGTTGTCGTGTTGAACTGCCAACAACACCCCAAGCAGACGACACTGCGCATAACGCCCGGGGTCGGGTCAACACAACACAAGATGACAAGGAGATTCCTTTTAAAATTTTATGAGAGCAACGGACGCCCCATTAGTGGGACATTGTTCACAAGGTCATCCTCCGGGCCACAGATAGTATTGGCTGTGTCCTTCTGATGTTTGCTAGTACAATCTACATGCATGTCATGGCTGGTAAAGTCAATCTACGTATGAGAGCCTATCTAAACTAAGATGTTGGAACATGTTTTGTCTATATGAGGCTATCATGAACCTGGCGAAGGTGTAGTGTAGTAGGAGGAGCCACCAAGAAGCCACTCCTTATATCACATACCATCAATGTTAGTGCGGTTGGCAGCACTCTCTCATTCAACTTCACGTCCTTTCTCTATATCTAACCCGGTCTGAGGGTCTGCAGATTGTCAGGTTGTGTAAGAAATCAAGCCCAAGCTACCTCGCAATGTTCGGTTAGCCAAACCGGTTGGCACTTAACAAATGTAGCCAAGTACCTTTATGTTGTATTTAATAGGCCTTGTGAGGAGTCGGTAGGATGATAACAGTAAAGTCTAAGAGTAAAACACCTGGTCTATCAAAAGCACATCCTTGGCAGTTTCCATCCATGCCTCCAAACCTCCGTCGATGCAATCACCCTTATTTCTTCCAAAAACCATCACAGCTATACCCGACACCATCCTTCTCACATTGTTTACAAGGCTTTATTTTTTCTCTGCCCTGGCGTTCGCAGGGCGTGCCCAGGCCCTGGTAATGGGAGCATTTGCCTTGGCAATTCTTCGTGTGCGCCTTGAGCAGCGAGGACAAGAACTCCTTGCCACAACTTTCACACGTCCCCTTTGCCAAGTTGTCTTCGTTATCGTATTCACCGCATTCGGCCTGGGTTTTGCAGCCTTTGCATTTACTGCCGTCGCCCTTTGCTCGAACGCAGGGCCTGTTTGCAAGTACACAGCCTTTGCATCGACCTTTGCATGTGGCTACATGGTTGGGGAAAACATCGTCTCGTAAACAATGTTTGCAGAATACCTTTTTTCTGACTCTCTTGTCGAACAAATGCGAGAAATCACTACAATCCAGCTCTTGGGCTTCGCAATAGTCACACCTTGCAGGATATTGACGTGAGCGAATACACGGCTGTTGCGCCTGCCGACAAGAACTGCACTGCCCGATACATCCTTGTTTGTGGCCTCTGTACGTGACAGGTCCAAGGCACCTGTCACAGGTAGCCTGTTCCTTCTCTGGGAACAGATAGTCATGTGAGAACGACAGGCACTCGTGGCCTGTATTCTCGCAATGTTCACACTGCCGAGTACCGTTCTCTACGACGATGCAAGGCACCTTTCCCTCAACACAGCCTGTGCACCTGCCATGACAATCTGCTACATGGTCTGCCATATCAGAAACAAGGTGCATGCACCAGCATCTCGGACAGCTGGTCTCAGTCTGGCTCACTTGAGGTGAGTTCGAACACTTTGTACCCTTAGACTTGCAATGCAGACATTTGAGGGGATCTTCTGGATGCCTCACACATGGTCGCTGGTCCTTCTCGCATGATTCACACCTCCGTAAACAGTAAGGCATATGAGTCGGCAAATCTTTCCAAACCGTGCCGCAATGATCACAAACTCCCGAAGCTGCCGGTACCGCTGCCGGTGCTGGTTTTGATTCTTGCGTTTTGACAGTTTTTCTTTTGCGCTCTCGCTGGATCGTGAACACCTTCATGCTCAAAGGCGTTCCATTATCATCGCACAAGTCGAAGGGCTCGTCGCCCGACCTCGAGCCCAGACCCGAACCCTTTGGTCCAACTCGATTACGTGCACCTGAGAGTCGATCTGGCTCGACTTGCTTCTCTTGCAATGACTGCATGCGTCGCATAAAATCTTGCCTTGCCACAGGCACTATGTCTGTTGGCTGGGGTTCCTGCAGCCTGGGATCCAAGTAGTGCTCGACTTCAATCTCAGACATAAGCATGTTCCCAGTTACGTTAGCACTGGGTAAAGAATGTGCCCATCCGGGCAGAAGATCACACAGGTGGCTCCATCTGTCAGCCTCGGCAAGAGACATGCCCTGCTGGACTTCCTTTCGAGCCACTTTGAGCTCGCGGACGATGTACCGAATGAACGAAACGTCTTCCCAGGCCCCGTCACGGGTCTGTACAGAGTTTGACAGACTTACATCTTCCTTCAGCTGACATAAAACTTGCGTTTGCAAGTGGTCGACTTTGGTGTGATCGGCCGCTGTTAACGTCACCAAGGAAGGGCTACGATGTATGCATTTTTGCTGAGTCATATACACAAAAAGAACATGCCTACACACGTCTTGAATTCTGATCCTGACGGGCTTGGGAAACTGGAGCTTTGCTCTCGAATAAGCAAATTTGTCAGGGATGCCCTCTGCAATCACCCTATTAGTACAGTAAAACCTCTCTGCAATAAGCTTTGGTTCTCGATACGACTTACCTCGCAGTTTCTCCCAGGCAGCTAGGAACAGAACGTGCTGATTGAAGCGGACACTTTCAATGTCATGGTATAGCTCCATGCATTTAACCCTGGTAAATTTCTCTGCCAGAGCAACAGGTGCAATGTTCTGGGCAACTTCAGAAACCTTGACCCAGTCCAGGCTGCCAATCTCCTAGTGGTATTTGCCATCCAAGAGCCACACGAGCCCCTTTTCGGCAACTGCAATGATCGAACACCAAAGGACGCAGCGCGTGTACAAGAATGCCTGATAATCGGTCTTGTATGCCAAACCAAGCTCGTTCAACACGGTTGCATACAATCTCCGCAAGGTGCAGATATCATGCCTCGCAAAGGACCGGTTGTCTGCTTTGAGGAAGTCCTTGCACTCTTGTTCAGAGAGTGCCAAGTCCTGTGTTTTTTTGAAATGCTCCCTTAGACGTTGGAACAGTTCGTGTCTTGGTGCCAGGCGGTGACCCTCACGAAGAAGATTCCAGATGGACCTCGGCATTTGCAATAATGGCAGGACCTTGTTCGTTCCACTCCAAGGAGGAGCGGGACAGTTCTGAGGCCTAAATTTCTTCATAAGCTTGTCCGCATGCAGCATGAACTGCACCGCACGACCTCGACGGGGAACAGAGTCCATGGAATGTGTGCCCAGAAGCACCATGTTTATAGTTTCCGAGAGGAGAGCCAATGTAGCGGACATCGCTTGGCCTGGTTGACTGATATCAACCGGAAGCCTCATCTGGGGGATGAAAAAATACCCCCCCTCCCCTGTATCTGCGAGGCACTCATGCACTCTGAAGATATTGGGTTTCCCCATGCTTCGTTGGCGTTGAATTTCTTGCTTGCCCAACGCCAAGATGCGTGCATGCTGAATCATTCTTAGCTCTTCGCCGATTTCCTTGTGCATGGCGTTAATGTTTGTTGCACTTCCAGAGTAAAGGTAATGTACTATCGCGGACTTGTGTCCTACAGCGAGATAGGCGGTCACTGCGTCACCAACCGCTCCAGGGTCTTCGAGGTTGATTCTTGGGACGGCATCGAACATATCAGGCCCCCAAGTAAGTTGTCCGCATGCATATTGTATGCATGCAGATACAACGGAGATATTGGTTAGAACTTTGATAATGCGCTCTCTACTGTCACGTTGAGCGTTGGCCCGGAGAAATAAGAGCCAACCTCTCATATCAACAGGGAGGTTCAGATGAGCGCCAGAAGCAAGCGCGAGCAGAACCATTGAGTCGAGGATCTCCGCCACCCAATCTCGATACCTGCGAATGGCCTCTCTAGTGTCTTCGTCTTTCTCGATGGCTTGCACTATTTCGACCAACCTCAATCAGCATCCGTGACCCAACAAGCGCGATTGTACTGAGACTTACAAACTTCTTCGTTTACTGGTAGAGAGCTCAGAGTGTTCTCTACCCAGTCTTTCGTTATTTCTAACGAACTTTTTTCGATGTCCGATAACTCATCTCCAATGAGGCTTCTAATCTCCTTATCGTGATCAACTTGGAGCATGCCGTCGATTCTGTTCAAATCGATCTGGTCCATTCGTGTGAATATTGCCTCGAGGTTAAATATCTCGGAAGATGAATCTTCGCCTTGCTCATCATCCCCATCCTCACCTTCGTTCGGGGCTAGGTAAAGGAAAAGATCCTCGGACTCGTCCTCTTCGATGTCATCCACATGACTACAGTACATCGGGAAAGCATAGGGCTTCATAGCCTCGTCCTCTTCGGTGTCATCCACATGACTACAATACATCGGGAAAGCATAGGGCTTCATAGCCTCGTCCTCTTCGGTGTCATCCACATGACTACAATACATCGGAAAAGCATAGGGCTTCATAGCCTCGTCCGGTGTTGGGTACATATGTGATGGCCCATATTCGCCCTCGTTGTCAGAAGACATCTACACTTGTTTATTAGCGAATCAATGTTGGTGGTAGTGTACACATATGTGATAACTTACCTTATCAAGTCGGTCTGACAACTATCTACAGAAATCGTGAAGCGCTGTCTCGTCGATTCAGACAGTCAGATTTGTTTCGAGTATTGAGTATGGATGGAGATGTCTGCAGAAGTGACGATAGAATGATAAACTGCTAAATAGAAAATCGGGTTTGCCTGTCAGAAGTCCCTTAAGAAGAGAACCATATGAGGGATGTAAGGTAGTTAGTGCGTGTAGGTTGAAGAGATGGCGTATATAAAACTACCTACCTACCTACCTAGGTACCTACTTACCTACTAGGTTAGTAGGTAGGTACGCAATCACGACACTGCCACGGGTAGGTACGCAGTCACGGCACTGCCACGTCACTGTCAAGCCAGAAGGGTTTTTATAGAGAATGTTTATAAGTTTAGGTAGTAGTAGTGCTATAGGTACTTAGGTAGCTAGTGTTAAAGAGTAAGGTCGTGGAGTTAATAGGGATAGTAGATATGGAGATAATACTATTAATAGGGATAGTTAATAAAGAGTATTATATAGTGTATATATTCCCTATTAGAATTGTACTGCAGTGCTCGCTTTATAGATAGGGTTAGTTAGTAAATAAGATCACTACTATAACTGTATTGAAAGTTATTTTATAGGTCCTAATAAGTAAAAAAGAGTAAAGAGTAAGTAATTATTAATTATATATAGTATGGTTTAACGTAAGCTAGGGAATAATTACAGTAATAGTTATAGAGTTTATTACTAGTAATAGTAATACTTTACTTATAGGAATATTATTTATTATTTAATAGAAATCAATTGTATTATAAGCTAAGTAACTATATTTAATACTGTTAGACTGAGAATTATCTAAAACTAATTGCTATATACACGTTAGGTGAGCTTTAAGAACAAGCGTGCCTAGGTGGTCAAAACATGAAGTAACAAATCTCAATAGTCAAACAAAAATTGAAACATAGATAACTCACATTTGCTAAGTCTGATATCTTTGTCAGAACCAAATCGATGGTAACATAGTGTAAACCCATTTTGGCAACCCACCGAACCAAGAGCCAATATAAATACCTAAGTAACTTGAATTCGGGTAGAGATTGATACGTCTAGTCTGAATACGGCCTCAGCGAGGTCCTCTACAGCAAAGAATAATACTGGCAATAATGCTTGGCATAACAACATACCGTGAAGCCCATTCATATTTGCTCGTTGAAACTCAATAACGGTATTATTCTAACAGAACTATTTATGCCAAACAATCAAACTTCGTCTCCCCACTCAATTGCCCCAAAAGAAAACTTCCTTAATAAAGGGCCTTTACCAATAAACAAACTCGCCATTCTCTCCCTTGGCATTTTTTGAAACATGAGCGCTTTGATAGGCGCATCCACTTGAACAGACTCAACCGCTGGACATCGTAATCGGCGTCCTGATTTTAGTGAGAAGAGCTTGACAGTCCCGTTATCTTGCGCCGCAGCTACAACATTCAGCTCGGGGCTTGCATCCCAACCTATGTGAAAGTGTGCCTCATTGTGATGCTCATGGAACTTCAACAATACCCTCGTTCCGCGGGGATTGTGTTGAATAAATCGCACATCATAGAGGGCCATCGAGCTCTGCAATCCAGACACAAGTACCTGGTGTGGGTTGACACTCTTGATATGCGAGATGGAGCTCGTGTGCTTGGCAAAAGACCATTGGGGCTCAGGAGCGCGAAGGTCTGTTAGCCAAAGCCTGGATTGCCTTCCACCCGCAAGCAAAACATTATGATTGCCCTTTTGAAAATCCTGCGCAAATATCTCTTGTGGGACTTGCATACCCTTGGGAGTGGCGCCAGGCGTGATAGCTGAGAGGGTTTCATTGGAGCGCACCTGGAGAAGGCCGCTATTTGAGCCAACAACACAAATCAGATCCGATGAAGGAGGAGCGGGTGTACTGCTATGAACGACCCACTCGTCTTGTGGACCGTGGCGTACAGATAGCCTTTGGTAGTGGTTTGCTGTATCCAAGTCAGTAGAGTTTATAGGATAGTCAGGCAGAATAACTTTGTACTTTCACCAAGAAGCCAATGTGGGCGAGTTTTATCCTCAGGATCTGATAGTAGTGGTGAGAAAAAGTAGATACCACAGCTATGATCTGGTTCGCGGGAGGTGAGGAGCAGCTTATGTGAGGGGCGATGGTACTTGATGGATGACAGCTGGGGACATCGGACCCTCTCGGTGTGAAAAGACAGAGCCCTGCTAGAGTTGGACGCTTCCCGTGAGTAGTGAATTCTATAGCTTATTAGCGAACTATACAGATCTATCGCCGTCGTAGACTTACTTGTCATTCTTGTCTGTAGGGATATAGCTCCCTACCAAAGTCTCCTCATCCAAAGCTAGACATCAAATCAGCCATCTCGCCAAAACTCATGGTGTGTCCGCTTGGAAACTTACTGGCATAAGCAACTCCCAACCCGGTCTTCTCGTCTTCCCCAGCGACATAAAAGCAAGGCATATTTGCATATCTCTGTCGCGCAAAGCTCGGCGCAAGGGGAATATCACCCTTGGACACCAAGCCACTTGCCCACGCCGCAGCACCAAGATCTCCTTCCTCTAACCTACCACGCCCACGCTCTGAAGCGTACGGGAGATTGATTTCTCGAGTAAGCAAAGCAGAAGTAACTGCATCGTTGGCAACGAAGTGGCGCTTGATGTGATTTCGTATCAGGTGAGCTCGACGCTGGGCAACTTTCTGAGCCTTTTCCTCGATCTTCCGCCGTTTAACAGTATCTGTCGACCATGCAACAGATGCGGGCGCTGTTTGTGTTTTCTCAATCTTGAAGTACTTCTTTTTCACAGAATCTGTGTATTGAATGTTAACGCAAAAATAATTTGGCTGGGGTCATTCCGATCTTACCATAGTAGTAGCCAGGGATTTCGCGACTCATAATATCAACAGAGGTGATTGCAATGTGACAGAGATATATCACGGACAATAGCCAATAGTGGTGGGATAGATGCGGTCAAAATAGAAGGCGAAAGGTACTAAGAACAGTCGGGATCTGTTCAAATTTAATACTGATGTCACTTACAGAAAGTGGAAGATGGCATACATTGTGGGTCTGGTTGTTGACAAAGTTCGGGTTTATGTATATCACGTGTCGGATAGGAAGCGGAGGGAGCGAGTTGATCACATGTTTTTAGCATGACAAGGACAAAATTATTTATTTTACTTGTATTATTAAGTGTCTAGTAGACGTTCTAGGGGTATGAAAGGTTCCTCAACCACTCATCGAGTCTTGATCCTCGGGTGCGAGTATTACAATTCAAATTTAGACAGAGCGAAAGCGAAAAGTCCGGTCGATGGTGGTCCGGGTATATACCATCTGGATTTACTGAGACTTCTCGTGCTGAGTTGACACGCGCTGAAGAGAGACAACTGTAACAGAAGTTAGCGAAATGTTGAGCGCGACAGATTAGAAGATGTAACTTACCGAAGTCCTCGAGGGATCGCTGCTTCTGGTTCTGCTTGGGGGACTTGCCGTGCATCAGGTTGTCGAAACCGGTGCTGCCCTGCATGAAGTAGTAGAGACCACCCATGATGCAGAAGACACCGAAGGAGAAAATCCAGATACGGACAACAGCGACAATGCTGGTCTGGCCTCCAACGAACCAACCGAAGATACAGAAGAGAGTGGCAAGGATATCGACGATCAGAATGGCGCCAGACAACTGCCAAGAGGGGATAGAAGACCAGAAAGGACCGTTGGCACGGGTGATGAAGATCAGCCAGTTCTCAGTAAGAGAGATCTCGAGGAAGAGAACCTCATCGATCTTACCAAAGTTCTGGACGATACCGCCATCCTCAGAGTTGGCGTACATGGTGGTCAGGGCAATCCAGGTACCGACAGCAAGAACAATACCGAGGAGAACGGACATTCCCCAGAGCTTAGGAAGGTTCCACTTGACAGGAGTCTGAGAAAAGGGAGCGTTGTCGTAAGCAATGGCAAGGGTAGCAATATCAGCGAAAATGGCAATGAAGACGACAAGCTCAATGTTGAGAGATCGGTTCAGGATAGCAATCCAGAGACCGAGGAAGATCTCCATGTGCAGGGAAAGAGCGATACGGTAAACAACGTACGCGTACATGCCTAGAAGAATGTTAGCAAGCGACAGGCATTGTTAGACAGACGCGACCCACGATGGAAGATTTGACGCGAAGTCTTAAGAGCATCGATGATGGCACCGAGACCAGGAGCGAGGAAAACAATATCGGAGGCGGAACGAGCGGCGTCAGAGGCACCCTCAACAGCAATACCAGTATCAGCCTTCTTCAGAGAGGGAGCGTCGTTGACACCGTCACCAGTCATGGCAACGAGGTAACCACGCTGCTGGAGAATCTCGACGACATTGTACTTGTGCTGGGGGAAAACCTCAGCAAAACCATCGGCAGCCTCAACGAAATCGTAAACCTCAGAACCAGGCATGTCACCACCGCCACCAAGACCAAGACGCTCAGCGTTGTAGACGTTGGTACCGAGACCGAGCTGACGGGAAGTCTCACGGGCAATACCGACGGCATCACCGGTAAGCATCTTGATGGAGAGACCGAGGCGCTTGGCTTCATTGATAGTACGGGCGGTGTCATGACGAGGAGGGTCAGAGCAAGGCATGATTCCGAGAATCTCCCAAGCACCCTCACCTCGCTTGCGAGCAACACCAAGAGATCGGAAGCCACGGGTTGCGAATTCTGCTACGCAATTTTTGTAGGCAGCTAGCATTTTAATTAGTATCTCGTGTTGAGAGGCGTTGAATAGTAGTGTTGTGACTTACAATCGATCTCTTCAGGGATGGGGTGATCTTCCTCGACAGTCTTGAGGACGAAAAGTGGGGCACCCTTGACACAGATAATACGCTCGCCTTGAGGGGACTCGACAACAGCCTGGACCTTCTTGGAGACGGGATCGAAGGGGTGGAAATCAAGGACCTTGTACTTGGACAGAACACCCTTGGCGCGAGGGTAGAACTTGAGGGCCTTGAGGAAAGCCTTGTCGATGGCATCGATACCCTTCTTCTTGCGGGAAGCAGCCAAACAAGCAGTAAGCATCAGATCATCAGGCTCAACTCCGGGAACACAGAAAGGCTCAGCAAGAGAGAGCTTGTTCTTGGTCAGAGTACCAGTCTTGTCAGAGCAAAGGATCTCGACACCAGCAAGGGACTCAATGGCGGACAGCTTCTGGACGATAGCCTGCTTCTTAGCGAGGTAGGCGGCACCGACAGCCATGGTGGTGGTAACGACAGCGGGAAGACCGACGGGGACACCAACGATGGTGATGGCGAGAGTGAATCGGAGGATGTCGACAATTGTGTTAGAGCGGTAGAAGGATGAAACCCAGACAACGAGAAGCGTAGCGACGACAAGAACCAGAAGGATCGTACCAATGCCGTTAAGAACCTCAGTGAAGTGACCAGTTCCACCAGCGGACTGAGAAACAAGAGCAGCAGCACGACCAACGAAGGTGTTGTCACCAGTAGCGGTAACGATAACGAAAGCCTCACCACGCTTGACAGCGGACGAAGCGTAACAGTTGTCACCATGGTGCTTGTCGACGGCGAGAGACTCTCCAGTGATGGCGGACTGATCGACCTGGCAGAAGCATCCCTCTGTAACGAAACGACCATCGGCGGGAATGATGGTACCCTCCTCAACCTGGAGAATATCACCGGGAACGACCTCAGGGGCCTCGATCTCCTTCAGGGTACCGTCACGGAGGACAACAGCCTTGAGAGCAAGGGTCTTCTTTAGCTCTTCCACTATACTACCAGCTTGATACTCCTGCGATTGTGTTAGTTAAGTTGGTTTTTTGAGGAATTAGAGATACTTGCTTGGATAAACCCCACACACGCGTTGAGCAGGAGCAGGGCGCAAATCACACCGAAATCAATCCAGTCCTCGAGACCAGCAGCAAGAACAGCAGCGGCTTCCTAAAAGTAGAACAGAACGTTAGCTTGAATTCGACGTTAAAATGGCAAGGTTTTGGCCAGAAATTGGTGAGATATCCCATGTTTCTTCTCGTGGTGTTTCAAGCACTCCGCTGGTTGTGAAGTGGGTCTGACGCCACGTGAGAAAAGTGGGTCGACACAGAACACAAGCCACTATCGCCAGTTGCTTCATATCTGATGATAGGACATCCCGTTCTCAAAAGAAAATTGTACAAAATTGTACAAAAATCGCGATGAGACGAGACCGGGTTCAAAAGACGCAGGAAGAGAAGGAGAGTCAGATGGGAAGGAGTAACAAAGCGGTCCTCGAGAGTTCGCGCGCCAATTAAAGGAAAAATAGATATACTAACCATCACAAACTGGATAGGTCCAACAAAGAACATCAGAAACTTCAGGATCATGTTCTCCTGCTCTTCTTTCATCGCATTGAGCCCCCACTTGCGTCGACGGGCGATAACCTCAGCCTCAGTGAGACCGACACGAGAGTCGGTTTGGAGCTGATCCTCAGGAACGACACGGCCACCGCCGGGTTGAGTCTCTTCTTCTTCATCGACCTCATGACCGTCCTGGGACTCGAGGTCCTCGATCAGGGCATCCATGTCCTCGTCGGGCTCCTCATCTTCGGCAACAGGAGCCTTGTGGGCGTGGGTGGGGGGAGCTTGTCCTCGCTTCTCATCGAAGCCGCCAGTCTCGATGTTGGTGTCGAGCGCAGGAGCGCCGACCGACTTCTCTTCAGCCATGGTGGGCGAAAGGAAAGAGAGTTTCGATTCTTAGGTTGTGTAGAACGCGACTGTAGGTGTGCAGCAGATATTGAGAAATAATAGCTGAGATTGTTGCTGCTCTCGTTGTTGTAGTGGGAGAAACAGAGGACAAGGTGAGAGTGGAGAGGGAAAAGGGAGAAAATAGTGTCTAAGCACCGCACGAAGTTAGGGACGCTTATGTATGAAGCATTCGTGGGTGAAGAGGAAAGGAAAGAAGGGAGAGTTTGGGTCGGGCGAGAGCTTCTTTTTGAATTGAAGAGCAAGATGCGTGAGCTTGGGTTCTCTAGGTTCTTTCCCGGCGAGCTTGCCGGCCCACATTGGTGCATGCCCCTGCCAACAGACTTTCGGCCCTGATCAAATGATGGAGACCCGGTCTTGAAGTGGGTACCACGCTCAATGCCTGCATATTTCTCCAAGACTGATTGTCTCTCACTTGCTGCACGTCGCCATCTTACTCGCTGCGCGGTTTTCTTTTGTGGCCCCCCTTGGCAAGACACAGAACAGAGAGGACCGGGGTCTATCAAACGGGTCCTACGGCGACGCAGGGCTCCACCGCGCAAAAGACTTGGATGGGTCCTTCCTCTTTCCAAGCCGGGACGGGTGGATTAGGATGGAGCCCATCAGTCACTTTCCCACGAGTCTCACGCAGGTTCCTGGCATGGTCCCTCGCGAATCCCAATATGCCCCAGGTTATGAGCTCCATGCCGTCTCCAGGTACGACCGGAACTCCCTCGAGGTACGAGCTAGCAACAAGCTGACCTCTCTTTCCTCGTACTGTACGAATTGTCCCAACCTCTCACGGCTCTGCCGACCCAGTTTCCATTGGCTGAAAGCCATTTGCCATTACACTCAGCAATTGCTCTGCTTTCTAGCCTCTTGCTGCCGTTGTGCACTGCAGAGACGAACCGTCCATCGCCCAGTGCCATTTGCCTTTTTTCTTCAGCGTTAGATTTTTTCCCTCCCCCTTCTGCTTCTGCTTCTGCCTCTACGTTGCCGATTAAAGCCCGCACGAGTCGGGGTTGGCGAAGCACAACTACGTAACGACATAATCACATCCAATGCACTGGAGGAAAGAAAATTCACCACACCCTCTTGTAGATTAGTTACACCCTCAGCTACCCTAGCCTTTCCATACCATTGGCTTGGGGAAAGTAAAGTGCGACGTGATTGCGCTGCAGAGCATATTAAGGTACTCAATACCAGTATCAATGATGTGTTTATTTCAATTTGACTATTGCTGTGGTATATTAAAGTAATTGCTAACAACTAAATGCATCCTTATCACTCAATGGCAAAAGCCAGTATCAATCAAGAGCGTGAGCAAAATGGCAAGTATCCAGGTACGTAGCCCGTAACAACCAGAAAACACAACAACATTGCAGATCAACAAACCCCCATCTCAGTCAATCTCATTCTAGCACGGTAAACAACGCAGTAGCATCCGCCTCCACCAGGAAACTAACAAACGAAGAGTGCGTAGCGTCACTCGACTGCACCAGCAAGCACGCCAGTGTAGGAGCTACCCTTGCCGTACCCGGTAGCGTCGGATGGATCAATTTTTTCTGCCTCTTTCTGTCACTCTTTTCAGAATCATTTTCCTCTCTGTTATGCCTGCTAACTTTTTTTTTAATGGGGCGTGTTAATTGAGCTAGGCTGATCTATGTGCTGGGGTGTAACTCTATGAAACGTCGGTCGCTGCACCTTAGGTGCACTGGCAAGACTGGGTCCAACTGTTCTTGCCCATGCCCTTGCCCAGTCAAGACAGCCTCTGCTTGTCCTCGGCACCAGCCCAGGTCCTTCCATGCAGGTGCAGAGCACAGTGTGTGGCGCCGCCGAGCGTGGGGAATGGAAACAAGACGGTAATCTCAGCAGTGGATGCGCAAAAAGGGACGAGCATTGCAAGTGCAGCGCATTGCAGGAAGAAGTTACATGTTACAGCGCATCGCATCGCGAGAACAGGACGGAAAAGGAGATTGAAAGGGACCAGCTTGCAACAAGACTAGACTCAGATCAAGACTCAAAATTTAATTTGCCCTGACAATGCAATACCAGGGGGATATCGGGGGAAACCACGGGGCGTAAACAAGAGACAATAACAAAACTCAATTAGGAGAGCACGTATCTGATAAGCTATCGCCATTGGATGTGTCTCATCTCTCCAACTTTCTCGTGGCTGACATGCTGATGGCTGACCATGATGACCTCAGTCACTCGGGCTCATCCATGTCACAATAGAAACAATTTGCCTCGATCTTGATACAATACGATGCGCGGGAAAATAGGCAACTCAAACAGCAAGCACGACAATAGCATGGGTTGTTGACTGTGTAGCCAGATAGCGGTTTACATGGGCCACGGAGTATCAAAAGCCGTTCTAGATTAGAAGACATAAATATTTAGACATTTGTAGTGCCAGCTCAGTCAGAACTCTACTGACTCTTTTTTTTTACTGCTTCAGAACTGGGGTTGGGGAAATGTCCGCGGACTGTATGGTTTTTAGCTTCCATTTTACGAAAAATAATACACCAAAATCCCCACCACAGGGCGAGTAATTTTACTTTCGTATCCACGAATCCAAAACTTGCTTATCACCGCGGCAAATACATTCATAACATGCGCGCCAAAAAGCTATCACGAAAGTAATTATCTCCACGGCCTTTTACAGATACAGCACATGTAGTTCATTATTCAAGACTGTGAGACACTGTGCATCTCCCGACATCGTTGGACAAGACCCCAGTTGTTGTACGTGGGATGCACATCAATCGTAGGCCAGTGCCTCGAATGTATTGCCTCACTGCCAGATTTTGCCTCAAGATAGCGGCAAGTGATGTACAACTTTGACAACCAGCCCGACCAGCGTTTGAACATGCCGAATACAAAGCCCTTTGGTGTCCTGTGGCGTGTCTTCTACTGGGGCCCCGGTACCTCTACTGTATGTCATTGTTGGCTGGGCTTGTACCTGGCGTTGAGCTTCCCCCGATTCCGCTGAGGGATTTTCCTCCATGGGAGGGACCCCCCTCCCCCATGCCCATGTGTTCGTTTTCTGTCTTTTCCCGCTGCCTATCGCTGCTGCGTCGAAAGGATGACGACACTGAATTGCCCATCCCCGGCGGTCAGCAAAATCGCGACTCGAGAGACTGGAGAACGGAAAGATGGGAAAGCCATGATAGGCTCCGCCAGGTGAGCGATGGAGACAGACAGCGGATTACCGTTTATGTAAAATCCATCAGCCTTGCTTTGAGCTGCCAATTGAGGACCCTTCTTGTATGGGGAAGTAGTTTATCCTCGGGATCGTGTAACTGAGCTGAGGTTCATTCATGTGTGATTGTGTGATACTGTACAATGACTCAGTAGGCGCATTGAGAACCGAGCCTAGGATCGATGTATCACGTCTGCATTATGGTCTTGCATAGATCTTCATAGTTTATTCCATCTTATTTTCATAACCAGCACAATGATATCGGCGACGTTGCGATTTGCGCGCAAAGCATGTCGTTCAATTTCCTAATTTCCACTTCGAAGCAGGTAGTAGGAAATAACGACGCGCGATGAGGTGGTGACATTAAAACTCGTCCAGTCCACGCGACAAACATCCAGTTAAGTGCATACATATTAACGATCTACTACCCTAGTTACAGTGTATTTGAGACGCGCCCCACGCGATCTACGTCGAAAGTGACCTGACTTGGAACTGGTCTGACAAGTTCAGTTGGATAGCTTCACAGATTCCGCCCGATGACGACTATGCTGGTCGATTACTCTCGATCTAGATTCGGTCTCCCTCGTGCAAATTCTTATTCGGCCTATCAGTTGCCTAAACTATTGTTAACCCGGACACGAGAAAGCATAAGGTTAATTGATCCGTGAGTACGAACTACGAAGTACGAAGCACTGTAGTGGTTAGTAGGGGTCCCAGACAGGACCGAAACGGGATCGCCGTGTTTCGATAAGTGGTCGTGATAGTGGTCGTTTTATGACCATCAATCACACGTATCACGACAAGCTTTCTACCACTGCAGTGCCCAGAGTGCCAAGGGCGCTCTGCAGTCTACTGCTCTGCTGCTTCATCAATCGGGCATGCATTGTGCTCCTAGTCATGATCTTGTCGCGCGATGGCCTGTTATGACGGAACATTTCCAGGTTCAGATGGAATAAGGACAACCCGCCAGCATCCATCGCTCGCGAGGCGCAAATTGTGACCGCTGAATGGTTGTCATGCTCAATCGCCTTATCGGCAGCTGATGAACCTATGCCAGCCTTGGCAATTTGCTTGGGCTTGGCTTGCAAAGTACGGTGCGAGATACGGTTTTATTCATGACATGGGTGAGCTTCTGCAGGGCCTCGCCTGGGCTGGATCGGCTTGGCCCTGCCAGCCTGCTCCTGGACCCCCCGTCTTTGGCCTTGTCCGCGTCCGCCTTTGAACGACACCGAGGAGATTCATCTTGCGCCTTGCACCTTGCACGCTCAATCTTCCGCGCATGAAGCGCCGCTATTAACGTCCACGATCTAGCCTGCGGGTGAACGCGGGCGATTGGAGGGAAGGGAGTTTGGCTGAACGCTGGAGTTTACCTGGACATTAGCCACATTAGCATTAGCATCTGTAAATTAGGCCATTCCATGCCTGGAACTCCAACTCCATCTCCAAACTACAAAACGGCAGCCTGCCTAGTCCGCCTCAAGCCCTGTCCCAACGACTACGGGACCGAGCCTTGCCCAGTTCTAGCGTGCAAAAACAGCGCACATCAATAATGCTTGACACAAATACCACGATGCAAGCGAGCCTCCATAGTGCGGGGTTGAGCTCGCTTGTTTCTGTCACCGCCACTCGAGTGAGGTATTATTTAGTGACCATCACAGCTGCTGCAGGCGTGCATAACCTAGGGATCCGGTGCTGCACAAGCTGGAGCCGCGGTTCTTGGAATTTTTCTAGAAGCCGGCCTCTCCATGCTGACCCTTTCGCCCTCCCACCCAATACGCTTCGCATCCAGTAGCTACTTCGTGATATGACGGACCAAAAAAAGTCTTGTCGCCTCTCGCCAAGTGGCCAAGTCGATTCCAGGCCCGTGTTCTCCTTGTCGCTCCCATGTCTCTGTTGAGCTCGCACGAATGCCCCCTGCAAGTCCGTGAACTGAACCCCGTCGGCTTCAGGGCACCCCAGGTCGTGCCCCAGAGTCGCCAATAGAACCCCCCGACACTCTACGTCATTGAAATAGCTGTCGTGATCCTGCTGTCTGGTGCTGGTGCATGCTCCAGAAACGGGAAAACGATCCCAAAAGAAAGGTGAGCACATTCGACAACCCTTAGTCGTCAGTCAGACTCATCAAAGCTGGCCACCGAACACCGGCCTCGCCCTTTCGCGGTTTTGTTTTCTCTCACCTTGTCACATCCACAATCCACAACCCATCGGGTTTGATGTGGGGGCTTCGATGTTTAAACTGGGGGGACATGGTTGCTTTCTTCCGCGGCTTTTCAACTTTTATCCAACCGTAATTGGCCTTTTGGTCGGCGCTTTTTTACCGCGACCTCCGTCGAGTGGGTGTCGGTCGCCATCGGGTTTGGCGCCGCCGCTGCCTCGGTGTGTCAATGGGTGATAGATGGAGTACCCCACGGGCAATTCGCGGTGTGCTAATGTTCTCCTCGGTCAATCCTAAATGGGTGATGATCCATGAGAGACAGTGCTCGGTAAGTCCTTTTCTGATCACGAACTTGTCAAGCTGAAGGAGTCTGAGTCGCCAATAGCGGGTCGGATCTTCTTCAGCGAGTCGTTCACCGCACCAGATGTAGCGCTCCACTGGTGTTTCTGGCTTTTGGAACTGGCTTTTAGACCTTGGGACTGGCAATGCTAGGTCCATAATTTTACAGTACACAGGTGCTGTCTCGTTCAGGGTCCAACGTTTGGCCTTGTCTAGATATCGTTATACGTTATCAAGAATATCCTATATGCAGTGGTACATGCTGACGACTGCACGTAAACATGAGCCTCAATTGTTGTACAGCATGCCTATGTTGTCTCTGGTTCAGTCTTCGTTGTCTAGTAGGTACCCTGTTGGTTCTGTCGCAGTAAAGAGTATCCTTACCTAATATCGTCATCGTCAGGGTCAACTTGATATAAACATTACCCTACATCTTAACAATATTGATATTGATTATGACTACGGAGTGAATACAAAGGTTATTTCGAGTAATAAAATAAACATAATTACAACACTACGGTAAACAACCCGTAATCTCTCGAGTCCACTAAACCACCGACGAAGTTGATCCAACTCAATCCTATTGGGAGATTTGCATCATGCAGCTCTATCATGAAGCTTACGTCTTAGACGTACACGCTGGTGTGAGTAGTTTCCTTCCAGAAGAACTTGGCACGTATGCAACCTACAAGCGCGGAAAAAATCTCGAAAATACACGTATATTCCCGTGTCATGCCATTGCCTCACATTGAACTCTATCCAATCCCCTTTCACGGTTGTTGCCAAGTAACGAGGCATTTCTTGACTGCATATTCGTGCATCTCCCCCATCTTTGCCCGGCTTTGGGCGGATCCGGGGTCGCCCGGGAGGCGCTCGAGCTAGGAGGTTGGCGGGCAGGAGGGCACCCTGAAAAACGATCGAAGGAAGCAGGTCAATTGATTATGGTGATTGGTCGGTTCATATCATGAGGGAATTGGAGACCGTGAAACAGGCCAAGCAAATAGACTCGACCTAGAACTCTAGTAATATCGCTCACTCTATTTGAAGCTCCTGCGTAAGACAGAGTAGGTGGTCTTGGTTACTGAGAAGACAGCACGAATGTATTAGCCACATAGGGGTAAAACCTCATCAAGCATCAGAGCACAGAGTACGGATACAGTGACAGCCGCTGTAAGTACACGTACTAGACCAGCTGCCTTTAGGTAATAGTGGCACACTGCCGCGGGAAGCATGCGGGATATTGATGAGCTTAATGTCAAATATGGAAGGACTCAACGCCAGTCATTGGCTGCAACTTCCATATTCTGAGATCTACCCCAACACAAACCACCTCCTAGGCTCCTTCTATCTCGGGACAATCCAAATGCTACCGGATTCTTTTCTTCCCTTCTCTCCTTTCCGCCTCACTATTCCTATATCCATATCCAGAGAGACTCAGAGAGGCCAGACCGCGCCGTCAACAACACCGCCTTCACCCCAGTTTCCTTGGCGACAGACCACAGTCGGTCGGACAGTGCACGATTGCGGAGAGAAACTTCCTTGTTCACCACGATTCAAGGGACCTCACGTATGGAGTCGGAGTGACCTTAGCAGGTACCAGGTTCTGGCTGTCTCTCAGGCTTTCCCAGCCTCTTCTCCGATTTTCTTATTCATGCTCGCTCCGTCGTAGTCTGGGGTAGGACTATTGTTCTGCTAGTGTCTAAGTGCTATCAGAGAGCATGGACTTCAAGCTCAATGGTCCTGGGCCTGTTTGCGCCTCAACTTGTCATCCCTTGTGTACCAACGAACAAGGGATCGTTAGCATGGACAAGAGACGTGGAAAATATGTCGAATCATACTGTTACCGCCTCTGCTGACGTTGCTTGTTTGAGGCTGAGGCGGTCTATCACCAAGTCATGGGTAACACGAAAACGAAAAATGATGGGTGAAACTAACGCGGCATTGTTCACACGTCATGTTAATGACACCCATTTCTATTTAGAGAATGGGCAGTCTTCAAAACTTGCCGTTGTCTACTTAAGATTATCTTTCTTGCGATTATGGCACACTAAGTACTTGCCTGCATGTGTGAGACAAGCAGCCGATGTGGCTGGCCTTGAGATGTCGAAACATTAAGCTTCAGCCTGTTCTCCAACTCCTGACCCCAATGACCCCAAAGGAACAACGCACATTGAAATGCAGGGGTTATCAACTGCCCGCATACAAGACCCGCTTGTATCGATCCAAGGCGATTTGGCTTGCACGCGACCTTCGGCACTCGTTGAACTGCTGCTGTACTATTGGCCGGCTCTGTATGAAATCCTACGCTGTACTTCACAAGTTCAAAGCTTGCTCGCCAACCACACTGTACATAATCAGGGTCCGTCTGATTACAAGACTCTCAATTTCACGGAAGCCGCGGCTATCATGGTCTTCTAAACATCGGGCATGATCTAGAGCATGATAATACATAATGTTATCGAAGCCTCACCGGACTGGACGAAATGACTAGGGCGTAGGACCGATAACTCTGGTTTGGTGGAAAACTGGCACGGTGCTCTCGCATTTTTTATCCACCATGATGGATGCTGGTTCCTGATATCCACTTCTTTCCCATTCCACTAACTTAGCTCCTCGACTTACCGCGGCTGGCCGTACCATGTCTAAGGTACCGAGTACCAGCCGAGTCGAGTGCTCAGAAAGCCCAGGCCCTGTCAATGGTCGGATATTACTTCCAGTTCTCCCAGGCCAAAGATAGTGAGAAGAAGCACGCTAAGCGCCCCAAGCTAGAGGCTCCAGACGCGGCCTTTTTGTTGTTTTCTTTACGTGTTGGTTGGTAAATTGGTAGATGATGCTGACTACCCACTCGTTATCACTTGTCGGTGCCAAATTGCCTCGCTGTTGGCTCGCACGAGCAAATGAGGCTCTTGCGTTGAGTGCGCGAGCTCCCCCATGGCGGACAATCTCCACGAGCGCTGCCCCCGTTTATATCTGGCATTCTATCTATCCGTGCCGTCATTACCGAATTGCACATTCACCCGTTGAATCGCGAATCGACGAGTCCACTGGGCGTTTTGCAAATGATGTCAATGCCTTGGTCTGGGGGCACTGAGAGAAATTGAACGTCCAACGGCTGGATGGCTTTGGCATGTTACCTTACCTCCGGCCTGAAACAAAGCCGTCGGATATCCAACGACGGTGTGTCCGCCTTTGGTATAATCGGGGTTGGCGTTTATGAATGTCCAGGTCTCGATCTTGCCGGTCCTGGTCCATATCACCAGTGTTCTTACTTCCAATACAAGCTAGCGGCTTTTCCAATTCATGACAAGTCGCAAAGGTTGTAACGAGGCTCTGCCGTGATTTGAATAGTTGCGCGCCACGTCTTTACACCAGGTTGGAACCTGGTCGTTTAGAACCCATACAAGGTAGACCAGGATCAGTGATCGTCGATGGATAGCACCTTAGCGGTCAGCTCCAAACCGATACATTTCCCTACATTGCAATTGAGAAGAGAAGGAGATAGGTTCTCTTGTTCTATCCCAAAGGGATTTCTCCAGGCCCCACGAGTCTCCAAATTTTGGCGTGGGATTTGATGGGGAAGGATCCTTTCTCGCCGGCTAAGCTGAGCTTTGGCTAGTAAGAAGCTGCCTAGTCAGGAAAGGAAAACTGGAGCGTGCAACTCATGCAGTTCAATCATGGATGGATGGACTTGAGGCTGCTAACTAGAAGACCCTGCATCTCATTCCGACAAGTAATTCACTCATACAATGTCAAGCGACTCGTGCACAAGACATGATATCGCGCAAGTAGCCACGGGCATCGGCAGCCACATCCGTGTTAAATCCGTCTCACAGTGGTCATCAAGCTTGGAATCAGGGCACTGTTATTTTGTTTTTTTAAACTGGGGTTAAGCGCGACTCGCGACTTGCAGAATATCACGGAGCCGAAGGCAGATATATGCCAAGTCAAGCAAATATCCATGGGCCTGTTTTGACTGTCTCGATGCTTGCACCCAAGGATGTGACCCCCCGGATGTTGGCCGGAAGTCCAATTCAGCGTCAGGTTGGGCGGGATTGTGAGGTATCAACTCCCCCCAACATATGTATATGTTTCCATCGTCGCAAACCATGTTCTGAGACAGCTCGAGTTGCAGGAGGGGCATTTTGTTTATTGGCTGTTTCCATGTAGTTGCATTGGAGTCCCTCAAGCCAATCCTGACTTCCATCGCTCCGGCCACGCCAAGATTCGTGAAGCGACGAACAACCGGTTGATGAAACAACTTTACCTTGATCGTTGGACGGTCAAGTGCAGTCGCTGATTGAAACGAGGGCGTTCACTTGGCACGGCAATTGCTGTGACACAATTGAGATGAGCCAAACCATCAAGCAATCGCACTGGCCGTGACTCTCTTTCTATGGCGCACAGCTGCGCTCTTGATAATAGTCACGACATGTCGATGATATGTCGTCCAAGACATGCCCAGAGTGCTGAGAAAGATCTTCGATGGTCTACTCGCTACTGCTTTATCCCACGTCGTCTTACACTTGACCTTGGTCAAACACTGTAAGACGCCCCCTCGATCACCTTTCCGCCCTGCAGTTGAGGCACTGCCGTTGCAGAACTTTGCATCTGTACTTCGTGACACGGTTGCTGGCCGGCGCGCAGATGTCGTCAGTCTTGTGTCGCCTGAAGACGCAATTCTAGTTACTGGCCACATGTACACAGGGCATATATACAAGCCTCAATGGCTTGCGACGCGCGGTGTCGATCCTTGGTTCAGTTGTTGATAGTCTGCAACGACTTACATGACGCATCCTCAACTCGGATTCCGATATATGCTGAGGACGTGCGTGTTTCTTTTCTTTTCGCCCAGCCCTATCGTACTCTCAAGCCGATAGCGCGGATCATGCCAGATACCAAGGCGGCGACTACCGATGCCAATACTTTTTGATGCTGGATCATGGACCTTGTCTCTTGGCTTGTGGTCCCTTCAAAACCAGCAAGCCAAGAGCCAAGAACTGTTTGTCGTTCTCGATGCTCGGTTCCCATTGTTGCCACCATACAATACGATAATGGCAGTGCTTCTATCTCGTGTTCTGCTATACCAAGACTGAACCCCATGGCGGATGCGTCGGGCCTTGCTTATGGATTCTCATCTAGACTTACAGAAACACTGAGGATTCATCCGCATCAGTGACATGCATGCCCACACATGCACGTTGGGTCTGGGCAGCAGCATTCCTCATCGTCTAGACCGTTGCGAAGCGGCGTTATTATTATCAAACTTTATGGCCTGGCCGTTACGAGTTTACTCTTACGCTATTGCTTTCCGGAATGTTCTCCCTTGGGATTCCTGTTTCACTGAGGCAAAGTGGACAAAATTGTTTACCCCGTTGGTGTATTCAGTAATAGGCCCACGTTCGGGTGGCTCCGTGATGCTCCGATTGCTTTGGCTGACGGATTTTGCCCTTTTTTTCCCCACCTCATGCAGGTGCTCGCTCAGTATCCGTCCAGGTTTTCTGGATCTCTCTGGATTTGGCTTGGGCTTTGGAGATGGATGACCTGCATGCACGATGAAGGGGCCGTAGACCCCAGAGTGGCTCCGTTAATTTCGGCCGTGAACAAGAACACGTTTGTTTTCCTTTTCCAAGTCGCAATTGAAAGGAGAGGCGGTGGGTATGGAGTAAGATTACAGCGTTCTTTGGGCGTGGGATGCTGTATAGACAGCATATTATTTCTGGTTTCAGCGCGGAGTCTTTACTGCAATTGATTGGCATGCAGTCGGATATTGCGCTGGATCCTAACTGTGGATGAAGGGCTCCGCATGGCGGTTAGTCTCTGCTCAATGGGTTTAGCACAGGAGAGAGCATTTGTGATACTAATTTTGGGGCGCAAAGACAATTGCGATATGTGTCTTTTGTTAAGCCAAGAGTCAACAAGCCAGACCTGTCGGCAACGATCACCAATTACCCTACCCCTGTGCTCTGTAGTGTCTTAGTTGTTTTGTTTATCTGCCGTTGCATGCACGTAATTTCGAGGCTTAAGGGGTTGACAAGATCACAGCCAGTCGTTGTCCTGAGTCATTATACATACCTTGTCTCAAATAATAACATCACTAACAAATACAGCTTCAAATAACGACTATCAAACTTTGTCTATCTTTCCAGGAGCAGTTATCAATTCTTCGTCTAACGTCAATACAACGTTTGCTAGTCAGGGGGCAAACACGCACTATACCCCAAACCACCCCCCACGGGGTCCGATACACCTAACCTTGTTTTTTCTGCTGGTTTTTTACCTCTATTAGCTTACGAACAAGGTATGATACTTTGATTGAGTATCAGAAGGCCCGTCTATAGGAAACTGCTCTCGGTGAATTACTAGTCATGTCTGTTGCAGACTTTTCTGCTGCCTAAACCCTGTCGATCTTGACACGGAAATATCCCCCGTAAACGTCGTGCTTGTTTTCGTATTCCAACTACCGACGGTGAGGTGGTCTTGGGATCGTCATTTGATTACGGTGGTTAGATGGTCCTGCGACAGATGATTGTATGATAGTCTGCTAGTTGCAAACACTTGTATAACTCGCGTCGTCTTGGCAGGTTTAGAGGGTGATAGTTGAGGATAATGAGGAATGGCTTGATATTGGCCAGACAAGGGATGTGGTGATCTGCATCGCTTTGACGTGCTGTCACGGGGGGTTGTTTCTGAAGATTGGCGGCATGAAGCTAGCTTCAAGCTTGTGTTTGGTTTACTCTGTAAGGGTTTGTTAAATTACTTCTGATGATCAACATGGTAGCTTGTGATATTAGTGTGTAGTGTCTATGATGTACAGGGTAGCTGCATATGAGTTCGACTCGTTGAGGCACAGGATATACTCTCTGTGTATTGTTGATAAGACAGAGCAATTACGCTATATGATATATAATTCACCAATACGAGCCGATCTCTCGTCAAACTACTTGGTACTGTCGAGTTGGGTTAACAGACACTTGGGGTACTGCAAGTAAGAATTTGGTTAGGAGTGTCCACGGCATTAACCTTCACAATAACCTTGCAGCAGCTTTGTGACGGATTTCACTATGAAACAACAAGAGACTAGTATACCGAGGTCTTAGGAAGGAGTGGCCTGTGATATTCTTTTACGACATGTTACACCCTCGGAGAGAGTGGTGACTAGAATGTCCGACAGCTTGTCAAGACTTTCCAAGTATAGCACGAGCTCAGCAAGAATAAACTCCAAAGGATCAGTATACATGTAACTACTCATAAGCTGTCTGGTAGAAAGATCGAATAGCACACTGGGTACGCATGCCGATCATCAAAGTTGAGTGTTCATATATCGGTATGGTATATCTTCAGTTTCAACCACCCAGGTCCTCAATATCGCAAGATGACCACGAGAATCTCACTAGAAATCAGAACATAGCATATTTATTACAATAGAGGTCTAACAGAATTACTATGAGAACAGATGTTTTGACGACTCATACCAGGAGTGTATAGCTCTGGCATAGGGTAGCCAACTTGGGATCTTGCAGTCACTACATGTCTGATGGCTTCGTTCAATTATGAGGTATATGAGAACGGGAATCATGGATATAAAAATGACTAGATATCGGATGATAAATGATATTCGACTTGAACTATGTTGATTATAACTTCTTATAGCTTGCTCTGCTATATACATAACGCTGTGGTGAACTGCATACCCTACACGCACCATCCTGAACATGGTCGCGGTTACTCTCTCCAGAGGACACCACAACAGCTTTTGGGTTTGATCATTTGTTCAGTGGATAAGAAATAGAAGACAATCATACAAGAGTAGAATCAATAATGTAAGAACAAATGAATCGCGGTAGTATATATAAAAGCGTTTGGTGCCCCCTCTTATTCTGCTTATTACGTAGACCACTCTCTACATTGGTAGTACACAAGACATCCGATGATATGTATACAATATCATTTCTGTGGAAGCACTGAGCATCGCATTTCTGTAACACCATAGGCATAGACCTAACTAACTTATACACATAAGACGTGGTTTTGTTGCTGTCGGGGTGTTAGAATTTCCCGGTAGTCGTTCGTGCTACCTGAATTGACAACCTCACAAAACTGCTTCAAAGGAACATATTCTAAATGGAACATCGAATAACTTTTCATACTGGTAGCCAACTAAGCTACATGGTCTTCCCGACCCTCATTATTAACAAAAAAAAGCATACGGCCGTCACTGCGCCTGTACCAAGCCTACTCCCCCGGTTGTTTGCATTCTCAATGCAATGCAAGATGCCGTTCCCGCAAATATTCTCCCTTGGACAACGTCTTGGAACTGTGTTGCCAACGCCGCCACCGTCTTTGTTGGTCAGGAGACCGGGGAATCAACAACAAAACGACAAATGTCCTCCCATTTCCGTACCCTGGGTATCATTAAGTAAATATGCGTATCCATCCGTCGAAACAAAGCTTCCTCAGTTGGTGGGATCGGGGAATGAGAAACCAGCAGGGAAGTTGGGCATGCCGTTGGGCAGTGTGCCAATGCCAAAGGGGAACGTGGAAGAGACGCCCTGCCCTTCCTGGGGGAGATCACGGTGATCGTCCTGGCGGTGGTATTGGCCGTTGGCGCTGCCGTTATCTCGGCTTCGGCGCCATCGGGAGAGGTCCTCTTCCCGGTTGCGAGTTGACTTAGGTCCGTTGCTACCGCCCTTGTCCGTCTGCATGCGTCGGCTGATGGCCTTGGATGATACTCCGGCTCCAATCTCGATATCGGGCTCCTCCACCGAAAGACCAGACTCAATGGGTTGTCCACCGCTGCCACCATAGGGCGCTGTCAACATCCACTTGCGATCGGCTTCCGTCAGCTTGTGGATAGGGATAATGCTAACACCCGTTTGGTAGTCACTGCAGTCTCGAGGACCAAAGCCAACGCCCCAGCGAGTCTGATAAAGTTAGCTGAAGTCACAATACTATCAAAAAGATGGAGTCACTTACACGAAGAGGTACTTCCAGGTTGCGAGAATCCTCCGTGCCCTTCTTGGCCTTGACAGCGTCTTCTCGGCTCAACATCTTGACAAATGCATGTCGCTTGTCTTTGTTGACAATGCAGGTTTGCACAGTACCAAAACGACCAAATATGGCGCGCAATTCACTCTCAGAGCAGCTAATTACTTTTGTTAACAAATGCGTCACATACAATGGGACCGGGATGCACGTACGTTACTCCGCCGACAAACAGTGTTCGGCTAAAGACCTTGATGTGTCCAGATGGAAGGTCTTGATCATATTCAACCCATTTATCGGCTGGACCTTGTTCGTGAAGCGGGGTTTCACTTCGACCACGGTGTCCGTGAGGGCTACGCTGGCGATAGTCACCTCCACGGCGGTCATCGTGACGGCCACGGTTAGGGGAATCACGACTATAGTCTGGGCGATCACGCCCATTTCGGGGCGAGCCACGGGCACCCCAGCCACGATCAGGAGATCGCGAACGGGATCTTCCATGGTATCCGGTAGGAGATCTTGTATGGCCGTAGCCTGACATACGTGAATCATCTGGTTTCCCCGAAGGACCACCCCATGCAGGCTGACCAGGAATAATAGAGTTCTGCGCATAGGGAAGAGGCTGCTGAGCTGGAGGGGCAGCGCCAGGCACGGGCATCCCAGTCAAGCTCTGGATCAGAGCGGGGATTTTATCAAATGGAATACCCTGGTCAGCAAGCGCCTTGATCATCATGAGCTGCTGCTGTGTGTTAGGATCAAGTCCGAGACCAGGGGCCGCGGCACCAGGCAATACCCCGTTGATCGGGTTAGGTGGATTACTCGGGTTGTTTACAGGAGAACCTGCATATCCATTTTGGTTTGCCATATGTGGAAGGCCAAAGGGGAGGGATGGCACATTCACAGGCGGCATGACAGGCGCTACTGGCTGAGGTGGCACATGAGGAGGCATGCTATACGATGCTGTAGGAGCCGGCAGAGGGTTAGTCGGAGGAGCGCTCGTGGTTTGACGAGCCATATTAGCGAGAGCCTCTAGAATAGATGAACCGCTGGGAGCAGGAGGAGCAGCGGGAGCTGAAGGAGCGGGAGTAGCAGAAGCGCTGCCTCGATGCGAGCTCAGCATGTTGGAAGGCGGGCTACCAGGGGGAGTTGTCGATTGATCTATAACATCACATGTTAGACTACATGTTTATTGCGGTCGTTGAAGCAGTATTGCCTAGGCATATAACCCCTGGCATGATACTGGCTGGGTATGTGAATAACGTACTCTGTGTTGGTGCGCTGAGCTTCTCTCTAAAGGATTCAAGCATTGGTGTAGGGAATGTTTGGCCCTTCTCCCAGATGTCAAGGAGTTTCTTAATCTTTTCCTACACGATGGACTATGTGTGAGTTACGATCCAAAATAGCAGTACGGAGTTCAAGCATGTCAAGACACGAGAGGAGTAACGCCGATAAAGGCGCCTTGCAAAATGCTCCACGATTCGCGGTACATGACACTCGTTGGGTGCCAGCTACAGAGGGTGATAATCAAATATGCGTACCTTTTGTTCTTCGGGGGCGGTTTGCACGATGTCATTCATCAAAACGGGCATGAGTTCTGTCACTCGGTTGACGCCAGCGGCATAAGTTCCATCCGGCGCAGAGCTGTTTATTGCCTGTGCCTGGGCCTTGGCTTGCTCGAGCCATTTCCGGGTTACAGAGTCTACGACGTAGAGTACCCCCAACTTGTGTGTTCCTGGTGCCTTTTTGAAGTGTGTATAGATCTTTTGGATAAGGACGGATTCGGACTATAAGGGCAGGCGGTTAGAATGAACCGATTGGAGATATGTCTGGTACAAAGTCTTACCTGGATGTTGGAAACGCAGAGCGAGGTCAGACTGGTGATGCGAGATCCGGATACGCCTGGCGGCTTTAGGTTGAGCATAGCCTGGAGGCCAGCCTCCAAATCCGCAACTGCGGATGCCATGATGATTTGATTGATTTGATTTGATTTGATTTGACTTGATGCGATACGGTCTGTGTAATAGACTAGGAGTAGTCCACGAACTACGCGCGATGCCTCAAGAATTGCACTCAGATACGACCCGAGAGCGAAGTGTCCAGAAGTGGGCGTCACCACTTGGAATAAAATGCCTGCAGCACGGGAGAGAAGCAAAAGAGATACAGGAGAAGAATTTCTGTCTGCACCAAGTTTTCTTTACCGCGATGTTCAGGTACGAAAGGAAAAAAATAGCTTAAGCGGGTCCTTCCTTAGGTGGGCAGGTAGAGAATTTTCTTTTACGCAGTCGCGACCGGTGAAAATAGTAGTACGAGAAGAGCCCAGATTATAGGAGGTAAGCTTTTGAGTTTCTGCAACGCAAATTCAAGAGAAGGCAGGCCTCCGGAGTACGATACGGTACGGTACGACTTGTGTGCGAGAAGCTCTTCTACTGTTTTGTTTGCGTCAGAAGCGCGACGAGTCACGAGATTGTGTGTGCAGCGGCAATAAAAAAAAAGCCCAACAGAGACCGTCGAGGACGGAGTTGTCAATACTAGCGACAAAGATCGGTAAAATAAATAATGCACGGAGATGGCAGCGCAGGGAGTTGCTTGTGCTTGTTGGCGGTCGATGAGCGATGCTGCTGCTCTTGTGGTGAGGTGACGACGATGATGAGACAGGAGGATGAAGTGGGAGGAGGAAAGGTGAGGCGACTGAGCATGACAGGTGGGGCAGGCTTTTTAAGTGTTGCGGTTGGTTCAAAGTTGCTGTCTTTGTTCCGGTGCGTTAGCAGTTAATCCGGCGGGCGCCCTGAAAACCTTGCAAGTATTTCGAGTCACGTGAGGACCAATAAGACGCTCCATCAACAGTTGAGTCTTGAATGCAGATAACGACCTACCTTAGTACTAAGGTAGTTGAGGCATAATCTGAGCAAAATACGTACTGACTAGCTGTATTGATAGTAGTGATTAAGTCTGATCCTAGCTCTTGTTAATTACTCTCTCTACTTGAGGTCTTTACTTGAGGCGCTTACGGTCAACGATGAACCATTAAATTCTCTTATTAATTAACCGCACCTCCGTCTTGTACCCGCCTCAAATTTGATGTTAGTGCATGATAGAGCCTTGGCCAACAGATAGCCAAACGAACAAGCCCAGTTTCAAAAGGAAAGTATTACCGTGACAGCGCGAATTGCCTACTAATGGTTGAGCTCTTGTGGTACCTATGTACGTAAAACTGAAAGAAACGCACACCCTTGGTTTACACGCTACGGGAATAAACAGCCTTTCTCAATACCGTACCAAATCCAACAAGGATCTAATAGGCGCCCAGGCCATGAAGCGGTATGTGAAACAGATGGTTGGAAAATAATAGCAGATTCCTTATGATACTCAAAGTGCATGACAAGAAATCCCATGCGGTTATTCATTTGAAGTGAAACTAAGAGTATGGAAGATCACAAGACAAAATAGCCGATAATGGTGTTCTTGTAACAGCCGAGGTGACCGGATGATCGGAAATACTGCATTAAGAAGGCCTGCGCAATCGTTATCAATCAGATCAAAGAATCCATAGATATATTCTCTTTAATACACGGCGGCTAGAAATAGGAGCTGTCCGGATGGAAGGGGAGGTTCGGAGTCCGCTCTGGAGCCCGGCGATGGAGAACGGTAGTTCCGGGCGACAACCTCGTGAAGTGAAGTGCTTGTCTGACGTCAAACCCACAGCTACGATAATCGCCAACATGACCGAGGTCCTCCGAGCACTGATACTGACACATCTAACAACACGAATCGAGCAAAAATGTCCATTGCTTCCCAACTCCACTTGTTCTTTCAAAGGGGCTTGTCCAGTGGAGCCAAGAGCAATTCGACTTTATGATGGATTGTCAATAACCGGATAACGAGAAAACAAGCGAGCGGGACCAGTCTAGGTCTCCCGAAAGTTGTCATGATGGAGCCTTTTCAGCGAGGCAGAAATGCACTGGATGTAAACAACAAGGGCAGGGTCTTGTTAATCGCATATTGAACACACACTGACATTGCTGCTTCAAACTTCACGTTGCTGCAGTCTATTGTCAACGTCAAGTGAGAACGAACACCTCCCAAGCGTATATCTCATGCCGAGATGCAGCCGCGAGCCCTTTCTCATCCTGTCCAAACCAAGCTAAGCAAGGCCAAGCCAACACAACCCCCAGACACAAGTCTGGACTAGCTGTTGGGGTTCCATCCTAATATCTCGGCCATTTGGGGGGAGGGCTTGGAGTGTGTCGAATTGGAGGAGAGGAACGGCGGGAGAGGAGAGGCAGGGATTGGACTGAAATTTTGGGGCTTGCAGGTTGGGAGGGTCCCGCGGTAAATGTTCCTCTAGAGTAGTAGCTCGTCCGTCACTTTCTTTTGGCCTGTGCAACCTCATCAAAAAAAATCAAGAGGACAGCATGGCATTCGTCCAACAGTGGGTTGTGAGCGTTGGGGGACATGTATTTCCGGTGATGCACTGTAGGTGAAATGCATGGTGTTCAAGGCTGGGAGGGCATAACCGCAACCGCTATGGCCACGATATTAACGAATACCACCCACCTCCTAGGAATAGATGACGAAATGGATAGCTGAGCACGTCAAAAGAGGGTGCTGTGCTGTACCGAGCTCTGATGTAATCACTCACTGTCACTCAGATTAGATTGCACTGGACTGAAGTCAATTCTCCAATACCATGACATTTAGTAGCTAGGTATGAAGGAAGCTCTCATAGCGCCCCGCAGAGGCACATCCTCACAGCAGTTACATATCATGTCGTCTTCATGATGGATGTCCCGGGCCTAAACCCCAGTGAGAAAAGCAAAGAAAGACAACAAACACATCGGTTGTCCCCAGAAACGCCCCCCTCCCCCTGGCAAATCGGCTCGAGACGAGGCAGAAGAAAAAAACTCGCAGTGTTAGGTGACCCCCTGTAAATTCAATCCGTAGAGGAAAACCGGACTGCCTGCACTGTATCTTGCCCCATAAGTCCCGCTCGATGCTTCATGGCCCCCCCGTGCCCCCGTACCCCCGGTCCCCGAGGTTCAGAGCGAGCGGGAGACCTGGAAACGGCAGAGGTAAAAGGTACTCACAGCTACGGTAGAACCAAGGTGAGAGGCGATGTCACAGATGGGGTACCTGTTTTTTTCCCATTTGTGCCTCCCTCCAGTCCCGTCTGTGGAAACTTGAGCTTGAGCCTGCGCCTTTTTTTTATTCGACCTGGCTTATTCGTACTTGAACCTCTTCCTCCCCATCCATTACTTTTCTCCCCTCCATCCCACCCCTTATATACCTGTCCCTCTCCCCTCCGGTATCTCCGCCTGTTGATCTCCTGTTCTGCTCTTGCTTTGCACTCGTATCTTCGTCTGCATACCTATAGTCCTCACAATGGCTTCCGTTACCCGTCTCAGCAACGCTGCCCTCCGGGCTTCCCTCCGCTCTTCTCCCATCAATGGCTCCGTCTTCAACACCATTCGATGCTACTCGGCTAAGACTCAGGTATGTTAACCTCGGATAAAGTCTATGGACGTCATGGTTCTTGGCCCATTGGCGATCATCAACACCCAAGACAAACAAAGCAAAGCATATGCTAACTATCATCTTCACAGACCCTGAAGGAGCGATTCGCTGAGCTTCTGCCCGAGAAGATTGAGCAGGTCAAGGCCCTCCGCAAGTTAGTCGCATTCTATTCCCTCGGTCTATTGTTCGCCGAAGCTCGGGCCCGAACCCAGCCTCATGCTTGCAAACCAGGGCAAAACTATCAGCAATTGGATAACCAGACTAACATTACTGTAGGGAACATGGTTCCAAGGTCATCGACAAGGTCACTCTTGACCAGGTCTACGGTGGTGCCCGTGGTATCAAGGCCCTCGTCTGGGAGGGTTCCGTCCTCGACTCTGAGGAGGGTATCCGATTCCGTGGCAAGACCATCCCCGAGTGCCAGGAGCTTCTCCCCAAGGCTCCCGGCGGCAAGGAGCCTCTTCCTGAGGGTAAGTCAAGCCCGGTCGCAGAAATGCGCACAAAATGAAAACCCATCATGAATGCTAATAAACCGCGCAGGTCTCTTCTGGCTTCTCCTGACCGGCGAGGTCCCTACCGAGCAGCAGGTCCGCGACCTCTCCGCCGAGTGGGCTGCCCGCTCCGACCTCCCCAAGTTCGTCGAGGAGCTCATCGACCACTGCCCGACCGACCTTCACCCCATGGCTCAGTTCTCTCTGGCCGTCACCGCTCTCGAGCACACCTCCAGCTTCGCCAAGGCCTACGCCAAGGGTATCAACAAGAAGGAGTACTGGGGTTACACCTTTGAGGACTCCATGGACCTCATTGCTAAGCTCCCCAACATCGCTTCTCGCATCTACCAGAACGTCTTCAAGGGCGGAAAGGTCGCTGCCATCCAGAAGGACAAGGATTACTCCTTCAACTTCGCCAACCAGCTTGGCTTCGCTGACAACGCCGACTTCGTCGAGCTTATGCGTCTCTACCTGACCATCCACACCGATCACGAGGGTGGTAACGTCTCTGCCCACACCACTCACCTTGTCGGCAGTGCTCTCAGCTCTCCTTTCCTCTCTCTGGCCGCTGGTCTCAACGGTCTTGCCGGTCCCCTCCACGGTCTGGCTAACCAGGAGGTCCTGAACTGGCTCACCGAGTTCAAGAACTCCGTCGGCGACGATCTCAGCGACAAGGCCATCACTGACTACCTCTGGTCCACCCTCAACGCCGGCCGTGTCGTCCCCGGTTACGGCCACGCCGTCCTCCGCAAGACTGACCCCCGTTACATGGCCCAGCGCGCCTTCGCCCAGGAGAAGATGCCCGAGGACCCCATGTTCAAGCTCGTCTCTCAGGTCTACAAGATCGCCCCCGGTGTCCTCACTGAGCATGGCAAGACCAAGAACCCCTACCCCAACGTTGACGCCCACTCCGGTGTCCTTCTCCAGTACTACGGTCTTAAGGAGGCCAGCTACTACACCGTCCTCTTCGGTGTTTCTCGCGCCATCGGTGTCCTTCCCCAGCTCATCATCGACCGCGCTCTCGGTGCCCCCATCGAGCGACCCAAGTCCTTCTCCACTGACAAGTGGGCTGAGCTTGTCAAGAAGCTGTAAAGCAATTAAAAGTGAAAGGGAAAACGGAGTGTTCGGGAGAGTAATGCCTAGAATATGGGCAGAATAGATTGCCGAGTCGATGGCATTTGTACAACACAATGGGACTGTTTTAGTTTAGTAATGAGCAAGTCGTCGCAGGAGCGCCGATTGAAATGAAATGATTTAACAGTTAATTTTGGAATCTACGTCTATTGTGTCTAGGAAAATTGCGAATTGTTGATTGCAGTTGACCTGTCCACATATAATGCTTCTTAATCAAGTCGCGATGGTGTCTAAATTCTTTTGTGTGAGGATTGTTGACCCCATGGGAGATCTATCTTACCCTTTACGATAGCTTATCTATAAAGTGCAGTGTGCCTTGGAAGGGCTGTTATGAAGGAAAAAAGAAAGCTTGAGACATGCACAGATTGACAGGCTAGTAGAGCCTCTTCTTTACCGCCAAGTTCCAACAAAAGGATGAGAAGCCCCCTGCATCATGAAAAACAACAGGTGAGATATTCTCCCTCGTGGCTTTACGTTGGTAGGTTAGGTACCTAGTCTCGGTGAGTGATTACACCGACAAATTCCCATGTGGGGTTTTCAGGGACGCGAGCTCTCAACAGTCCCTGATCGGTTGGGTGGAGGAGGGGCGTTGAGAGCCTCTAATTTGCCGCCTCAAAAGAGAAAATAGAGGTGAGAGCTGTGATGTTCGGGGGGTGGCTGAGAAAGAGGAGATAGAGAGACTTTGTGAGGCTGGAGGTGATCAATTGCTTGATTGTTGTGTTGGAACTGCATGTTTCAAGGTGAGTTCTTGTCTGTCTGTATGTGTTAGGCTCTGTTGCGATTGGTGGCGGGTGTAAGCTGTTGAGGAGTCCAAGCTGTTGCTTATGATAAGCCAGCTCAGCAGTTGTAAGCTGTCTGTCTGGCTGACTCTACAGGTGAAAATAGGAAAAGCAAATGGATGATACAGGGTCTTATGAATAGAGAAGAAGAATACTCGACGCACTTTAGATGAGCCCTTTATCACAAGCAAATATCTACTGCCGTCGGTGTTCGTTTCTGCCGGTCATTGAACCCCATGACACCCACCCCCGGATTCCGATTTCACATGAGATCCAACCCGTACGGATCTTTGTTTGTCTCGGCCGTCCGAGTTTCGGTCAAGAATTAAGGTCGCTCGGAGGAATAGAAAGAAACGCAGAGTAGCTAGGTCAATGATTGATTATTAGAGGTGAAATCGGCAATACAAATGCCTCAGTCATGATTTGTATTTGTCTCTTCTCTTTAAAAGTCTTCTAATAATAGTGTCTCTAAGCACTCACTCAGCTTGTTGAATAGCGTCGTCAGCCTTATAAACGTGCTCGAATTAGTGTCCCCCCTCGCTGTAATTGTAGCCCAAAATAACAGACGAGAAACACACCGAAACACATGCCAAACATGACTGAATGATAGTCATTCAAATCGGGTTTTCTCGCGCACCATAATGTCCATTCTGCCTCGGCCATTGACCTCCGCATTCACAAATTCCCCTTGTTGGCCTTTTCACGTTTCCCCTCCGTACGTCGGCTACTTCTCCGGGGCAGGTTCTTATGCCCCCCAAGCTTATTCTTTAGCGTTTCTTAGCCATTCAACTGTTTCTATTGGGTCTTACTCAGCAGTAATCAATAGTACGTACCGCCTGTCTCATCCCTAGCTCTCCCGGGTTCTGCTCCTTCCCCCCCACGTAGCCTCCCAGCGCACGCCTCTAGCTATCCCTTTCCCATTTCCTTCTCCGGTTCCTCTTCTTTTCTCTCTTCCTTCCACAACCTCTCTCAAACCTTCAACAACCCCCTAACCCCAGCGAAGAAGCTCCCTATTCCCTTGGTCAGGGCCCCTTATTCTACGACACTCCCAAAGTCATGGCTGCCACTATTCGTACCGACCTTCCAGGTAACCTGGGGGACAAGCCCCTGGAGAAGAAGCCCATCAAGTTCTCCAATTTGCTTCTCGGCGCTGGTCTCAACCTTTTCGAGGTTACCACCCTCGGACAGCCTTTCGAGGTCGTCAAGACCACCATGGCTGCCAACCGAGGTGACAGCATGGCTACGGCTTTGGGACGCGTCTGGAGCCGTGGTGGTGTTCTGGGCTGTAAGTGCTCTTCATGATACTAACCCATCCTCCTGTCATTTGCTAACGCATATGCTACAGTCTACCAAGGTCTTATCCCCTGGGCCTGGATTGAAGCATCCAGCAAGGGCGCCGTCCTTCTCTTCGTCGCTTCCGAGGCCGAGTACTACGCCCGCAAGGCCGGCGCCTCCGAGTTCGGCAGTGGTATCTTTGGTGGTGTCACCGGTGGTGTTGCCCAAGCCTATGCCACCATGGGTTTCTGCACCTGCATGAAGACGGTCGAGATCACCAAGCACAAGCTCGCTGCCACCGGTGTCAAGCCTCAGTCTACCTTCCAGACCTTTGGCGAGATCTACCGCAAGGAGGGTATTCGTGGTATCAACAAGGGTGTTAATGCCGTTGCTATCCGCCAGATGACCAACTGGGGTAGCCGATTCGGTCTCAGCCGTCTCGCTGAGGGTTGGATCAAGAGCGCCACCGGCAAGAAGGAGAGCGACAAGCTCTCTACAGGCGAGAAGATCCTCGCCAGTGCCTTGGGTGGTGGTCTCAGCGCCTGGAACCAGCCTATTGAGGTTATCCGCGTTGAGATGCAGAGCAAGAAGGAGGATCCCAACCGTCCCAAGAAGATGACGGTTGGCAACACCTTCAAGTACATTTACGAGAGCAACGGCGTCAAGGGTCTTTACCGTGGTATTGCTCCCCGTATCTCTCTCGGTATTTGGCAGACAGTCTGCATGGTTGCGTTTGGCGACATGTAAGTTTCAACCATTATTGTTGACTAGCTGAACCGAAACTAACCGAATCTACTATAGGGCCAAGGCTTATGTCGAGAAGGTGACCGGCGAGGCGGTTACCGCTAAGCATTAGAAGGCGTTCCGGATAACTTGATTTGAAAAAGTCGCTTAAAGTGAGCTTGATGTATGGATTGTCTAATGCTTGGATTCTGATATCTGTGATATACTGATACGAGCCCGTGAAACGGCTTGTGTTTTTGGGGCAAGCAAGCCTCGTATGGTTCATTCTTTTTACGATCTCTCAGCTGTGGGCAGTTATCGACCCTGTAGGTATGACCTAGAATAGATACAATGAATACGTAATCTACCTTGATACTTGGGATGTGATGGTCCTGTCTCACTTTCCATCGAGTAGTCGACAGTAAAGTCAAGATCGTCTACGGCTGCACGTTGAACATATAACTTTGACAAGAAACCATGCGTTTGACCCATAGTTTATATCATATCATATTTACAGTACGGTTCTGTGATGACACTTGAGGTTTCGGGTCTTGAGTTCCTCATACTCTATCTAGTCTATGATGTTGCGAGCTGGAGTTGTCCTGGGTCTAAATGTCGAGAGTGGGGCACCGATGAGTTAACGTTAACCAATATAAGACTAATTAATGAATGGTAAAAAGAGTATGTATATCAAGCATATCAAAGCTACCAGAAATATTTACAGTAGATAGAAGACACCGTAGCAGTATCTCTATACAGTGAACATTGAGCAAACCTGTGATGGCCAAGACCGTGAGTCGATTGAGTTGTAAAGTGGTAATTCCATGGGAGATTGGATAAAGGCTGAAGGCGTAGAAAGACACAGCAGTTGAATACTTGTTCTTTACAGGATGACAAGCGTAAGTGACGGCGGTGGTGGACTTATGCTAACTAAATTTATAAACTACCTATGTATACTATCGCCTTACACCATGCGGGCCTACATCACTAGTCACTTCTCACACACAAGGACCGTAAATTCATGATAAAACAGCGCTTTCTCATTTCCTCAAGTTACTAGGTGGGTATTTCTTCAACTTCACTCCTCAATCACTCCTTCCATCTCCTGTCTCCCGCCGGATCTCTCTAAGGGGCGAGAGGAGCCTCGGCTTCCTTACCGTCTGCAGGGATCTCTGTCTTCTCACCATTGGTTGTAGCATCCGTGGCCGCCTTGAAAGACTGCTCGAAGTCGGCAATGATGTCGTCGATATGCTCGATACCGACTGAGATTCGGATCAGATCCTGTGATTTGTTAGCAAAGTGTCATCGTTATAAACGATAAAGAACATACCTCGGTGACACCAGAGCTACGCTTCTCGTCATCGGAGAGCTGCTCGTGAGTCGTGCTCCAGGGGTGAATGGCCAATGTCTTAGCATCACCAACGTTGGCCAAGTTAGAAATGAGCTTGAAGCCGTCGACAACCTCACTGCCAGCACCGCCACCCTTGACACCGAAGCTCAAGACACCGCCAAAGCCCTTCTTGAGGTATTTCTTGGCCGTCTCATGGTAAGGATGGCTCTCGAGGCCAGGGTACGAGACCCAGCCGACATACGGGCTCTTCTCGAGGTACTGAGCCAGAGCCAGGGCGTTCTGGGCGTGTCGCTCGGCGCGCAGACTGAGAGTCTCGATACCGAGGAGCAGCTGCTGGGCGGCAAAGGGGTTCAGGGTCGATCCGACATCACGCAGGATCTCCACGCGGGCTCGGATGATGAATGTGATGTTGCCAAAGGTCTCGAAAAACTTGAGGCCGTGGTAGCCCTCAGAGGGCTCATGGAATTGGGGGAAGCGAGCAGCGTGCTTGCCCCAGTCGAATTTGCCTGAGTCGATAACGACACCGCCGATGGTGGTTCCGTGACCGCCGATCCACTTTGTGGCAGAGTGGACGACAATATCAGCGCCGTGGTCGATGGGGCGGATGAAGTAACCACCAGCACCAAAGGTGTTGTCAACCTGAGAGATGTCAGTTCATATTATATGAGTTGGAGTATTCTTGTGCGACTTACAATCACGGGAACACCCTTCTCGTGGGCCGCCTTGGAGATGGCCTCCAGATCGGGGATGTTATACTTGGGGTTTCCAATACTCTCAACATAAACAGCCTTTGTCTTCTCATCAATAGCCGCAGCAATATCCTCAGGCTTGTCACCATCAACGAACTTGGTGTTGATGCCCAGACGAGGGAAGAAGACCTTGAACTGGTTGTACGTGCCGCCGTAGAGGTTAGAGGTAGAGACGATGTTGTCGCCAGCGTGGGCGAGGGTGCTGATGGCGAGGAACTGGGCAGCTTGGCCTGAAGATGCGGCGAGAGCAGCGACACCACCCTCTAGAGCAGCCATTCGCTTCTCAAAGACATCGACGGTGGGCTGTGAGTGTTAGTGGTGATCGGGGTAAGTGCTGAGATCACTCACGTTCATGAGACGGCTGTAGATGTTGCCGAACTCCTTGAGGCCGAAGAGTCTGGCGCCATGAGCAGAGTCGTTGAATACATAGCTCTAAGAAGCTGTCAGTGAACGATTGGTGAAGGGGAAGCTGTAGGGGTTTCAGTGGTGGCATTGTGTGGAAACATACAGTTGTGGCGTAAATTGGGACAGCTCGAGAACGAGTGGTAGGATCAACTTCAGCTCTAGTAGAAAGTTTGGTTAGTTGAACGCTTTATGAACAATCCGTGACGTTGCATTGAACTCAATTGCAGCTGTCGGCTTGACAGCTTCACTAAAGTCAAATGCTCCGCCATCGGGGCCGAGGATGAAAGGAAAGACAAAAACATACCCCGCGTGGAGTTGCAGCGTCTCAAAGTTGTTGCTTAGTTCCTCAGACATCATGAATACCAAACCGTGTGTTAATTGGAAAGAAGAGGAAGATGTCTATAGAGTCAAGAGCAAAAGAAAAGAGACAAGTTTGGATCAAGCCATTGGTCTTTATACTTTTCCCTTCCCCCTCCATAGCTGACGTTAAGTGATGTGCCCATCCCCATCCCATCAACCGCCCATCCAACAATCCATACACGATACATAGCTGTAGCCTATACACTCTTCAGAAACCCTTATTTGGTGTCACCGTTTTGACCTCCCCAAACCTCTTTGGGCATGGCTCGTAGAGGCCCCCGCGTAGCACGCCATCGACGAGGTCAAGCTCCCCACGCCTGTTGTGAGCTGTCGTTGAGCTGCTGTCAAAGTTTTGACAAGTATTTCCAGCTTGGATCGACATTTGACAGCTGGATATCTGGGACCCGTGGCCGAGGTCCGCCGAGAGCCGTTTTGATTGTAATGTTGCGCTTCTGACGATTTTCTGCTCGGTCGGGAGAATTATTAAATAATGCCGTTGTCGGGGCTGGTCATGATGAGGTTATAAGCCAGAAGGCCTGATTTTGTTAATTATACGAATATACAGTACATATTCTGAGTTGCCCGCTTACACGAAAACTCCTTGTCATCTTACATTAGCAGTCGAAGTAATTGTCACATGATAACCCAATCAGCTCATCCCGATATATCCCAGATGAGATGATCTCGTTGCAGTCTTGCTCAGCTTGTGTCCCCCTCCCTCCCCCACCATGCATGACCCAAAGCTCAGGTCCAATGGTGCAATTATCCGTACACTTCAACCCGTAACCTCATCTCACACAAAGCAACAAAACAACACCGAGAAACAGAACGAGCAACCTTATTCGAAGCCACTGACCGGCCCGTTCACCCGGCGCCGACTATAAACCCGAGGGCCCTTTTTCTTCCCTTCTTATATCCCATCGAGGTTTATCGATATTCTACAAATCTGACCTGACGTTTCTCGTACGACATCAACGCTGCCCTCTTTCGATTCGAGCATACGCACGACGCCGGTCCTCGGCTCAACTGACGTACACCCTCTCGTGATTTCTCACTCTATAACACAGGAATGAAACAAGGGGTGCTGAATGAATTAGAAGCCAGTCCAACTCGCAGAGAAATGCCAGCTTCTTCTTTACTTTGAGCTAATGCGCCACACTATGGATGTATATGCATGATACAGACAGACAGGCTACTGCTGCTGCTGCTGCTGCTGCTGAAAACTATAACACAGAAAACGCCGAGGTTCGCATTACCGCCATCATGCTCCCCCATCCCAGAAAATTGAGGTCGGGTATGTCCCATTCCGATATACTCCTTTGGCAGCAGTGGCTAGGCCATTCGAAAATGACGCTGCTGATCTGCCTTTCCTTGAAAAAATAAATGCCGAAACGCCTTGTCATGAAAACCCTTCCTTCTGCCCTTTCCAAGTTCCAACATCTAATTCACTCGTTGTATTGCCATGAACCCTCCTACCGAAGGGTCGCTGTAATGCGTTGCGTTGTCTTGTGGTGCTGTTCGTGCTTCATCCCCTTACTCATGCGCCATTACTTTTTTATGCCTGTCCCATCTCTCGGCCATCGGCATCCTTTTTGGGCTCCTGGAACGCCCGTTGGAAAAGCTCCTTGGCTGTAAAAGCAGTCGTTGTGATCCATGCTGTGAACTGGCCGGCAGCTACAACGGCGTCGGCACGGGCGGCGGAGCAGACAGTTCCCTCGCACATGACAAGCGACCCGATAAAGACGGCTATGGCGATAAAACCGGCGAAATACAGGGCGGTGTTGACGGACTCGACGACGACGGCGGCGTATTGGTGGTAGATGCGAGGTACGAACAGGGGTGTCAGGGTGAGGTAGACGATTGATATGATCGAGAATATGGACGAGACCATAAGGTAGGTAAACGGCGATGGAGCTGAACCTCGACTTCTCTGGTCGTAATCGTGGACAACTGGGGATTGTTAGACTGTTTGTTATCAAGCAAATGGCTTATCGTTCCGACGTACTGTATGCGCTCAAACCGATACTAGCAAAAGATAAGGCCAGCTGCAAAACTCGCAGAGATATAAAAGCGACGCGACCCATTGTGGCAAGATTAAATGGCGATTTTAAGATTCAGAGCAGAAAGGAGACAACTGGTTTTGGTGAGGGTTTTGTATAAACGTAGAGTCATGCGGCAGATATGTCAACAAGTAATAAACCTCAACAGTATATATAAAAATAAGAATAAGGAAAGAAAAAACAGAAGTCGTCGTGGGAAATAGGCCCGATGGGCAAAACGTGGGCAATCGATAGATATAAATCAAAGGCCTGCTGACAAGACATTCTCTTGAGCCCATGTGGGGGGGCGTGGACGATCCAAAGGGAGATGCCCCGAGAGAGAGACCGCGGACCCGTCAAGGGGCCACTAATAAGAATAAGGCATAGGGAGCAAGGCCCAGGGCCACAGAGAGAGAGAAAAGAGGACTTGAGAAGTCCGTCGGGTCTTATTTTTAGGATCAGAGCAAAACTCGAAACTCGTCGTAGATCACTAGAAAGGAAGGGCATTGACCACTGTCCTTTTGGGCCTGTGAGAGGCCAGCTTCAGAGCAAGGCGGCCTCTGCATCAGGTCGCGTTTTGGACGACGGGGCCTGAGACAGGAGCCAACGTTAATGTGAAACGATCAATTTACCCCCCTCAAATGGGTGCTCCTCTTTTTTCCATCTGGTTTATGCGTAAAGTCTGGTAAAACTTCGTCGGCAAAGCCTATAACCAAGCATCCCAGGGTAACATTATAGCGAGTATCGTGCTGTCTATAGCAGAGAGGCTAGCCGAGAGCAACGTAATGTTTTATGGTAGATGGTAGGTATTGGATCCAGGGGCGCCACGTTATGCCTATCTTTGGAGACATTTTCTCTTATCAAACACTTCCATGTGCCTACCTAGACAAAACAAATGCAATTTCTAGAATAGCACAGATCCCCGCAAGAGCCAAAAAGCATGTTTTGCTAGGAAGTTACCGATGTTTTGAGACGGGCTGGGCTGTAGATCTGGGAGATCACCATTTATGCATATTGTGTTTGACTTTTTGAACTGGAAATGTGATATCAGTTAAAAAGGAGGCTCAACGCAAGGTGATTTAGCCGACGGAAGAAGGTTTTGCTGCGACCAATAACATAAAGGCTTTTTGGCAACCTTGGCTTTGATTCTGAAAAGATAAGACGACCGCTCAGTCCCTCCATTCCATGTTGTAGAGCCTAGGAGTGTGCCGTGTTGCGACGGGCGCTCAATTTGACGCCCGTGTTTCCCGTAAAGTGCCGACGATTCAGCTTCGCAACGATAACGACTTTTGCAACGACTTTTGCAAAATGGTGATCAGCAGCTCAAGCGGACCGAGCGTAGGTACTCTGTAGTGAAGGTCCAAGGCAGGCACGTGTCGACACGATCTCACCTCAGGCACTGGACGACGGGAGTCGCGGGAAGTAGAGTTAGGTAAGGGTATCCATAATGACGTCGCTTTGGGGAGTTTTGTGTCAGTCGGATGCAACTCTTTGGTGGTGAAGCAGTTTTTGTTGCGATTTCGTCTGAGCATCTGTAGCCAGCAACATGTGAGACTCGGTTAAGCGATATATACTGTAGTCAGAGATGGGGATTAGTTTTGGTGAGCTGAAGTTGCTACGGTTGCAGAATGGTTAGAATGGGTGGATAGAGGAAGGTATATAGGGCGCCAGTATGTTGGAACAATAAGAGGTGGCCATTGTTTGTGTTGGTGGAGGAAAACACCAAGTATTAAAGTACGTACAGCAAAACGGGGTTTGGAAATATTGCCGACTGATTATAGCCAGTTAAAGCCCGAACGCATGTAATGGATCACAGGGAATAGATCAGCAGATGAACAACTCCAAAAATGACCCAAGATATTGTATCTGCTCAGCCACTTTTAGGTCGGTTGACGGAAATTCGAAATTCACATGTAACCGACAAAGCGACCCGAGCGTAGGTAGTCTACCAATTGCAACGACTTCACAGATCTTCAAGTCTTCGGGAGAGACAAGCTGACCCGCACCTAGCGTCCCGTCCGTCATGAATGGATCGGGACTCAACAAGGTGCTGACAGGCCAAGGAGAACTATTGGGTTGTATTACTGCATGTGCGGTACTACCTTTTCTTTTTGTTTTGTTCCTTATGATCTTGGTTTGAGTATTGATTCTACGCATGTGAGTCTTGAGCCATGAGCACAAGCGCTGACGAGCTGAAAAGTATTGAGTATTGGACCATGTCGTCACAAACTACCTACTCGTCTGCTGTACTAGACGTGCAGTGACAGGATGACAATCCAACGAACCGCGTACGGACACCTGCAGGCTGCAGGCATTGGGGCAATTTCTCTCCCTCATCCTCGGCTCACTTGGCTGAATAAGGTCTCGTCCATTGGTCTTTCGCGGGGTGGAAAGTTACAGTTACAGAAACTGACCCAAAAACCCCAGCTTCCAGACACACGCTACTCCGTATTCTGCTAGCTAATCCCCAATCCCATCTTTCTGTATCCTGTACTACTCCACGAAATCTGGGGCTGCCGAGGCACATGCGATGGGCCATGGCCCACGGGGGGAAAGGCTTGGGGCGAGCCTATGGGGATCGGGTATGTTGAGTCGCGGCGCGCCTCGGTCCCCCGTTGTTCTCGTCAAGCCCAAAAAGCCATGGCGTAGACCGTAGACGACTGCTGCTGCGAATTGTTCATAACCTCTTGATCCTGCTTCCTCCCTGTTCATCATCGCTTTTTCCACCTCTTCCCTTTTGCCTCACATTTTATCTGCAAGGGACTGACTGACTTGGATCCTTGTGCTTGTGTTCCTCCGAATACCTGCATTCCACCGACCATTATCCCCTTTACATCCAGCATATTCTATTCTCTCCGCAGTTCCCAGCTCTGCTCTCTCGCTTGGGTAACAGCTCCAAGCAACTCCACTCCCCGCCTTTCGATCCGATCGATATCCTCGACCTGACCGACCTCGGTGTCTTTGTGTCCTTGTGTCTTTGTCTCTGTCTCTGTCCCGCCTCGCCTCGCCAACCTGTAACCCTCTCTTCGCTATAACTCGCCTACGTCGAAACCATGGCGCTCCAAACACAAAAAGACTACGATGCTCTATTTAAGAGGCTCACCACCCTTCCTCCTCCTGGCCGACCCTACGGTATCCCAGTCGCTGGAACAGAACGACCCAACCGCACCGCCGCCTACCGACACTGGGCTGTTGGCGATGGCCCTCTGGTCACTGCCCTAGAGCCCGGCATCAATTCGACACACGACGTCTTGGACAGGAGCGCGCGCAAATGGCCCAATGCCAAATGTCTCGGAACCCGCCATTGGAACCAGGCGACTCAGCAGTGGGAGGACAAGTACGACTGGATTAACTACGCCGACTTTGACGTCCGAAGGAAGAATTTTGGTGCTGGTATTGTTGAGATTCACAACGCCATCAACCACCCCGCCGACAAGTACGGTGTCGGTTTGTGGTCGCAGAACAGGGCCGAGTGGCAGATCGCTGGTAAGATTACCCGTTGCCCCTCTTGGTAGCAGCGTCGGCCCATGGATCTGGGATCTTGTGCCGTGAACCTGCATACACAAATGAGTTGTGGTTGTAACTTATACGTCTAATTGCTGACATGCGCTTTCACAGATTTTGGTATTGCTTCTCAGTCTCTATACTCAGTCTCTCTCTATGAGACTCTTGGCCCCGATGCAACAGAATACATCATCAACCATGCCGAAGTCACATGTGTTGTCTGCTCCCTCCCTCACATTCCCGTTCTCCTAAAGATGTCCTCTCGCCTACCAACTTTGAAGCTCATTGTCTCCCTCGACCCCCTTGAGCAGGGTGAATTGGCTTCTCACACCAAGGCCTCTGTCCTGAACGAGATCGCCGCTCATCATGGAATCCAGATCTACTCCATGGCCCAGGTCGAGGAGATTGGCGCCAAGTCTGGACGTGCCCCTCGAGCTCCGGGACGCCAGGATATCTGCACTATCAACTACACTTCCGGCACGACTGGCAACCCCAAGGGTGTTCTCATCACCCACGGAAACGCCGTCTCTGCTATTGCAGGTGGCAGGACAAACGGCAACGTGAGCAGCAAGGATGTCCACTTGTCATATCTACCACTCGCCCACATCTACGGCCGACTCATTGATCAGATCGCTATTGCCGAGGGTGCTGCCGTTGGTTTCTTCCGAGGCGATATCCTGGGCCTGGTCGATGACATGAAGATTCTCAAGCCCACTGGTTTCATTTCCGTCCCCCGACTCTTCAACCGCTTCAACTCGGCCATCCGCACCGCCACCGTTCAGGCGGACGGTGTTCGGGGCGCTCTCTCCAGACGTGTCATCGATACCAAGAAGGCCAACATGCGATTGCCCCCCGGCAAGTCCTCCAACTCCCACTTCTTGTACGACCGAATTTGGACTCCCAAGGTCAAGGCCGCCGTGGGTTTCGGCAGGGTTCACAGCATGGTCAGCGGCAGCGCCCAGCTCGACCCCGATGTGCAGGAGTTCCTGCGCGCTGCCTTCGCAAACCACTTCGCCCAGGGCTTTGGCATGACCGAGACATACGCCGTCGGCTCCATCCAGGCGCGAGGCGACTTCACCACAGGAAACATCGGTGGACCCATGTGCTGTGTGGAACTCTGCCTCGAGTCCGTTCCCGAGTTTGATTACACTGTGGATGACAAGCCCAACCCTCGTGGCGAGCTGCTCCTCCGCGGACCCGTTATCTTCCGCGAGTATTACAAGAACGCCGAGGAGACCGGTAAGACTCTCGACGCCGACGGTTGGTTCCACAGTGGAGATATCTGCCAGGTTGACAAGATGGGCCGCTTCAAGATCATCGACCGCAAGAAGAACGTCCTCAAGCTTGCCCAGGGCGAGTACATCTCCCCTGAGCGCATCGAGAACGTCTACATGGCCAGCACGAACCTCGTCAACGCCGCTTATGTCCACGGCGACGGCACACAGTCGTCGTTGGTCGCCATCTTTGGCATCGACGTTGAGACCTTTGCGCCATTCGCCAGCAAGATCCTCCAGGAAACCATCCTGCCCAACCAAATCTCGGATCTTCGCGCCGCAGCCAACAACCCCAAGGTGAAAGCCAAGTTCCTCAAGGTTCTCGACGGCATTGGCAGCAAGCACAAATTTAACAGTTTTGAGAAAGTGCGCAATGCCCACCTTGATGTCGACCCCTTCACCATCGACAACGGGCTATTTACCCCTACGTAAGTTCTAACCCGTTTATACAACATTTTTCTCGGAGTACAGTTGCTAACAGTATTATTAGCCTTAAGCTTAAGCGCCCCCAGGCTGCTAAGGCCTACCGAGAGCACATCGACCGCATGTATGAGGAGCTCGCGGCCAATGAGCCTATTGGCAAGAACAAGCTGTAAATTATTTTGTTTTTATCAGCTAAAACATGTAATTTTGGCGTTAGAGCTACATGGGAGATTTTATGCGCATGTTAAAGAGGTTGAGCGGCTCGGACTTGTATATGATTATTATAGTATACTATCGATGTATAGCAACCTATCAATTGATGTTACTGCATTAGGAAGTCTTTTCTAGTCTAATTCGCTGGAGCACTTGTGGATTACTCTGTCATTACTTGTGGACGCTTATGTTTAGTCTAATGGGTGTAACTGGGTAGGAACTGTGTAACTGCTTGCGCAAAGAGTTGTTTGTTACTTTTAAGTAACTCTCTTGTCTTTCTCTTCAATCCGGACCCTTAGGCATATAGTAATTAAAGAGCTATGAATATATAATTAATTACAGAGCGTAAGAGAATTGAAAAGCTACTATTACTAAGGTGGTAAGTATTAGAAATCTAATACCTAGCTATAAAAGTATTACTAAGCTTTATATAGCTAATATATAATAGTTAGGCTATACTAGCTTAATACTACTTTAGGTCTAATTAGGTCTAATATATTATCTTATTTTACTTACTATCTTAACCTTTTGCTTTATGTGAATGCCCGGACTAACTTTAATCCTCCTACTGGGCCTATTAGGCCACTTCTGATAACCTTAACCCACTTTATCACCACATCAACGCGATATAGGCCATGGGGTAAGTGATACACCTTGGGACCATTGCCTATGTTCTGCTTTATGTAATAAATCTCATTTCTTTTGCTTGCTATCTGCCTCGAAGCTTTCTATCATGAGTTTTGGGCTAACAACGACAATTACCAGGTCCCTCCCAGCCCGTGATGAACCACCTCAGAAACGCCGGCGCGTTGAACTTGAGCAACTTCCGCCGCGCAAAAGAGGAGTGAAGGAATGCCTCCTCTACCAGGTGTCGCCTATTGTGCAGAAGGCGGTTGCAGCTCTCTCGTTTGATGCCTACCACGTCAAGGCCCTCGCGATCAAAGTAACAAAGGACCTTCTCATTTACGATATGCTTAATGCTAACAACAAACTAAACAGACTATTACTATACTTAGCACACGCAAGTCCTTCCGGCAACGATGGGATGAAACGGATGGCTACCTTGAGCCGCAAGACCTAGAAGATATCGCGCTGCAGGCGCGTGATGTCGTCCGTAAGCTTGCGCGTGGATCAGTGAGTACGGGATGATCGTAGTGGCAGCTTCTTGTTAACATAGCAAAGGAGTTCCGCACAATACCCTCTTCGGAAGAACCAGAAACAGACCCAGACCCAGAACCTCGCCCGCGACCACAACTAGTACCACCACCACCACGACAGACAGTCGCGCGAGCGCAACAAACTGAAAGCCTAAAGCAACAAGAAACACCCATAGCCTACGATTTGCCTCCTACAAAACCACCACAGGCATTCGAACTGCCTACCCCACAGCCACTGCAGGCCCTCGAACTACCTCAACATGTCGAACGACAACCTTACAAACCCCGGGAGCGTCGAGAACCTAAACCGCAGAACCGATTTTACCAACTTCATAAACTTTCGCATAGACCATACCTTCCAGCTAGGGATCGTGAGGCTATCGAGAATGGAACAAAGAACCCTGTGAATATCAGCACGGCTACCAGCACGGCTACCAGCACGGCTGCCAGCACGACGACTACCAGCACAAATGCCAGCACAAATGCCAGTACGAAGGCCAGCAAAGATGCGGCTCCCAAGTCGGGCGTGTATCACGTTGACTTTAGCCCCGAAGAGATAGCCGAAATCATAGAGCAGATCTCGTATATCGTGAACAAACGATTGCCAGCTACTCGTGAAGAACTGATGCGTCAGATTGTCCAAGGATCCCTCCCTGTCATAGACGGACGAACTAAAGGTGACATGAACGCCTTTGTGGCAGATCTGTACGAAGGCTTGACTGCGGACATACCGAGGGTGCTTTCATACTCAGCCGAGCCTGTGAGCGAAGAGACCAAGCGACGGGAGGGGCAATTAAGGAGAACTAGCAGGTTATCGTCATTGCTGATGGCCCGAGAGATGGAGGGCAACCGAGGGTTTCACCGTACACGACAGTATCTGAACTTCCAAAACGAATTTAAGACACTCCGCGAGGATGACTTCCAGATGGTAGCTGAGTTTATCGGCTGTGCTGGCGATATTACCACAGGCGCATGGATTTCGAATGAAAGCTTTCTCTGCGGCACTACCACTCACTCGGATACCCACAATCAACAATATAACAGGCCAGGGAACCTGCTTCTTTGCTCAACGGCCGAGGGTACACTGCGCGCCTTTCCTGACCATCGAATACCCCGCCCGCGGGTCGAGAAGGGAGAGAATTCAACAGATGCGATGCGACGGAGCCAAGAACCTTGGCTTTACTCTTCTGTTGTGTCGTCTGATTATAGTGCGGAGAACGACCTAGCTTTTACTTCGAGTTTCGACAAGACGGTCAAGGTGTGGAAAGTTAATTCAGATGGACGTCATATGGAGGCTATTGCAACATGGCAACATACTGCCAATGTCAACTTCGTCACTGCAGCAAAAGACTCATCCGGTCGGGTTGCTACGGCTGCAGACTCGCTGGCTGATGCCGTGCGTGTTTATACTGTTGAAAAGGGAAATGAGGCCAATAGCGCTTACCAGTCGTTCTCTTGCTCGCGGACTGACGCTGAGGGATCTGACAAGTGGACGTACTTCCCAGCTACAATGCAGTGGGGGCAAGCTAAGGGTTGCCAGCACTTGCTGTTGGTCGGATACTCTCCTCGTAGCTTGACTGGCGATGACCTAGATATCCCGGAGGACAAGAGGAATTCCGGAGAGATTATCCTATGGGATGCGAACCAGGGCCAACGAATCCCTGTGATGACAGCTTCAACGGCCAACGTCTTTGAAGTCGCCTGGCATCCTATACTGCACCGCTTCCTTGTTGCCACCACACCTACAGTACATGTGTCCCAAAGAATCAAAACACAGGTCCACGTCTTCCAGCGCGATAAGGAACGTCTAGGCGGCGATGGATATACACAGTTCCAGGCACTAGACTGCTATGCCTCTGACATCAACGAACTCACCTTTGTGCCCAACTCGCTAGGGCATGCCTTTGTTACTGCCGCTTGCACAGATGGAAAGGTCTATGTATGGGATACAGCGCGCGGTGATAAGCCCATCCACACCCTCAAACATGGGAAACCTGCTGAAGAATACCACGGAGATCGCGAAAAAGAGGACACAGGTGTCAAATTTACGGCATGGAGCACTACTCTTGACCGTTTCTACACTGGTTCGAGCGACGGTGTCGTCAAGGTGTGGAATGTACGTAGGCTCAAGAAACCTTTTGTACGTGATATTCTTACGGCTCATGGGCCTATCTCCTGGGGAGGGTTCTCTCTGGATAATTCCAAACTTGCTATAGGCGATGCGACCGGGCGCTGCTTCATTCTATCTGTGGATGAGCGCGACGTACCGGAGTCACATATTAGGACTCTTCTGGTTAACACCCAGCTGCTCCGCCGTCCGATGCCCCTCATCCTACATCCGGAACCGGCCCCACCCGGCACGGCGACCGACGACGATGAGATGCAAATTGACTCGGAGGTCGAGGATAATGAAGAAATGTATTCCCGTCGTACCTACCTTGATACCGGATTACTTAGACTCACCGGTAACCCGGTCATCGGCGCCGTGCAAGGCCCTCTATATCCATCAAGCAATCTGTTTCGCCGGGAGGCGCACCTCAACGAAGACCCCTCTGCGCCCCTCCTAGCCGAATTCGAGCGGCTTCAGAAGGATAGCGAAGCCGCCAGCATTGGCAGACGGCGTAGATCGCTGCGCCGTGTCAAGAACCCCTCGCTGCCCGATGAACGCCTTAAACGCATCCACAACGAGAATACCAGCCGGGATCTGGATCTGGAGAGGTTGGAGCGCACTGAAGTAGACGACCTAGTGAGGGCCGGCGCGTTGCTGAGTATCGAGGAGGATTGGGGGTTTAGCTATGAAGAGGCTGTGAGCTTTGATTGATGCCTATAAAGCGGGTGGGCAGTGTGTATTTTATAGAGCTAAATATTATATCTAATCTCTAAGGAGAGTAGAAAATTCAACCTTTTAATACCTATCTTCCTTTAAGAAATACTTCCAAATCCATATAAATTATACCGTATTAAGGTTATAAAGCTATAAGATACAAAGTAAACGTTTAGTAGGTTTACCTCATATATAAAGTCAAATAGAGGAAAGTTCCTCTTTAAGAAAAATACTACTTACAAGATTTTATAGTTTTTATAGCCATTTATAGCTCTATACCTATCTATTTGAACTAAATCTTATAAAGAAACCTAAAGCCGCTTGCCTAGTGAGATTATAATATATATTTATTATTCTATAGGGTAGGATTCTTTCCCGCGATCTGCGGTATAGGGAGTGCCATTTACACATAATCTGACAATGAAGCATACAGTAGCCCAGTTCTGGAACTAGATTTATTCGGCAACATTTAGTAGTCATAATTAGCCTTCAGTAATTCGATCTAAGCTATTGTTTCCAAGAGAGTTTCTTTCATCCTTAGCTAAATATGGATATTGACAACTGTAACTGATTGTCCCCCGCTCGGTAAACAATAGGTAGTAACAGATAGATATGTAGTAGTAACTACCATGTATCGTATATAGGAAGAGCTGCAATGTATTCGGGTTTGGTGTTCGAGCCTTCGATCTTGAAAGTAAAGATCTAGCCATGCGGACATGCCACATAGTTAATAGGACAATGACTGAATCACGAGTTGGTATCGCCAGTTGTCAACCGGTGGATAATTCAACCGCGGCCGTAGTATCTCACATACACAACCCTAACAACATCTGGATCTCGCACACGTTACCCAGCAATCCAGTCATTGGTAATATCATTGAAGTCGGCCTTGGCTAGGGTGAATATCCCACTGCAGTTAAGGCTAGCAACACTGAGTACATCACAAAATACCTAAATGCTCTCATCAGTAAGGGGAGGATGGGGCGTATCATATCCGGAACATCTTCAACGTGTTGACTGGCCAGGGGCTTGGATCTAGCACAAACCAAAGATGATGACAAGATGCAGGGGATCCTTGATCGTGTTGATGAGATGTCGAATAGTGTTACATTTTAGAACGGCGCGCAGGTGTTGGGTGCATGGTGTTACAGGGACGATATGGGAATCTACTATCGCAATTCGGGTTTACGGTGTGCGGAGGATGGGGTTTCAGCTCATTTTGGTATCTTACAGATACACTTTGTAATGATGGTTTTATCTGTCAGCCAAAACTATCCATGATGGTTGGTGCTACACGAAAGAGCGGGGGATCAACACCAGGCGGCCGACCCTGCGTGTTAGTGGCATACAGTAACATTTTCTAGCTTGAAGCCACTTGAACACTGCTGGTAAAATCAGAATAATAGATGTTGATTATGAGAATTTTGTAAGATCATATATTCGATTACGTCTGTCCAAGGGATTGATTATTCATGAGTTTATCATCCATACTTATCATGTCTTGATGTCTTCAATATCTAAGCTTAAAGTCTTAGCGTGGCATCTCACTCCCCAGCCAACCGTAATGAAATAGCTGCATGTGCATGGCTTGGTAATGGCCCAGTCAGCTCTCCCTTGCCAGAACTAGGCGCGGCTGAAGAAAGGTAAAAGAGATGTGAGGAGTCACACAAACAAAACCTCGTCCTCATCCTTTTTTTGCACTTTTGCTTCTCAATTTCCACTGCTAGAGTGCAAGATGAACTGCAACGAGCTCCAAGAACATACCAAAGCGGATTGTTTCCTCATCAAAAAACCCAGAGCGCTGCAATGGTACTACAAAGGACAGCTCCAAAAAGAGAAAGAAGAAGAGCGCCAAGCCGGACGCTTTGAGCTCTTCCTTGATCTTTTGTGTAAGTCATCCTCTCTTGTCAAGCCAATTACCCTAAACTCACACACCTCCAGACGTCGCCATTGTTGCCAACTTCAGCGATGAGCTCGCTGAGCATCCCGATGGCGCTCATCTGGCAAAGTACATACTCATCTTTGCGCCGGCATGGCACATCTGGGCTGATCTTCGTGAGATCATGAACTCGTACTATACCGATGACTTGCTGCAGCGCCTGGTTATCCTCTGGGTCATGGCCCTGCTGGTACTGTACGCTAACAATGCCAACGATGCGGACGAGGATATCTCGGCGATGCGTACTGCGGCTGGGGCGTATCTTGTTGCTCGCTTCACTCACCTCGTTGTCTTTCTCATCACCTCGTTCGCAGCGTATCAGCACCGCGCCCAAGCCCGTATCATGGCTGGTTTCATGTTTATCGGACTGCTCATTACCATTCCTCTCTTCATTGAGGGTATCAGTATTCGCGCAAAAGCTGCCGTTGTCGCTGTTGGCATCTTTTATCAAGAAGCGACGTGGGCACTTACTCTGAGTCCTTGGATCAAGAAAAAGCTACATCTGACATATAGCACGGCTGTGGATATTGCGCATGAAATTGACCGGATGGGCGCTTTCTTTATCATCATCCTGGGAGAGTTTGTGTACAGTATCATTGTTGGTAACAAGACGGGAATCGGGTTGACCTCTGGATATGCCAAAGCTGTATGCACGCTGATTATCGCCTTTGTGCTTAACTGGATATACTCCAGCGGCGACGGCAGCATCCAAGCCACACATCCCATCCGACGATCCGCATGGACAGCTTTCGGCTTCTTTCTTCTACATCTACCGCTCGCAGCATCATTCCTCATCGGCGGCCACGTAGCGGCTGCAAGCACCGCGATAGAAGAATTCGAGGATGGCCAACGGTGGCTTCTCGGCGGAGGTCTCGGAGTCGGCATGTTCTGTCTCTGGGTCTACGGGATGCTGTACCGGGTAGAGGGAGAGTGCCCTCTATTCATGGGCCAGACTCTACGGATGAGTATGAGGTTGGTTATTGCGATAGTTCTCATTATTTTACCCGAGTCGCACGATCACCTCAACGCTGAGGACTTTATGTTTGTTGTCATGTCACTGTTTGTGTTCCTCTTGATATGGGAGACGGTGGGAGGCTTGTCCAAGACGTCCAAGTTGTTTGAGCCGTGGACGGATAGGCATGCGCCGCCGGAGGAGGATGATAGGGAAGGGTTGGCGGGCTAGTGATTATGAGTTGAATGTGTTCGGAAAAGAATTTGTGTTATTGGTGTAATCTGGTTGACATTCGTGGATTCGATAGTGGACCTATCTGTATCTTACTCTCATGCAGGCAATTAATGGAAGCTTGTCTAGCGTGGTGTTGCACCGCCACAAGAACCGATCGCCACTTGAAACGTCATCTGTGGCGTGTGCTCAGCTTCCACGAAGCTCTGGTTTACATCACGAATCGCAAACTAAGGGCATGAAAGGAATTTATTGCGAGGCAGCCTATTAAACTTCCTTCTATTTGCAATCTATTCAGATAACATGTTCTCCTCAATCGGGGACTTATCCAAAACCCGAAAGAGTCAAGCTTATTCAGGATCAGCAGTGCATGCTGCAACAATTACTTACAGTCTCTTCCTCTGCAGTAACACTCTCTAGATGCTTCTCGTCACCTGGTATAATGAATAGCCTAATATTGTGGATTTGATCTGGAGGGAACCAAGCACTAACGTTAATTGAATGCGGCTGTGCTTTGGAACATGACAGCTCTTGCCTATTGCGCCAATGGCGTCACTTGTGCTTTGCATGTTGGGGGAGGGGCAACCGGGGTTTCGGGGCGATTGCCCCTCCAAATGCCCAAACTCACAAACTCATGGGCGTCGTTCGCGTGTGGCGTAGACCATCGGGAAGCTGCGAGCCGCGAAACATTGCAAGTCACAACCTAGTGGCAGGTGCCATATTTGCCAAGGGGAAGAGAGTCATTTGCTTAAACAGCTTAAATAGTTCAGCGGGGAACCCATTCATCCACGCCTGCCTACTACCTTATTAGTCTTACTTCTTGAACTTGAACTCAAACTTGAATTTCCCCCTCTTTAACCTGACACTACCAAACCTGGAACCTTACCTTTCTCTACTGTAGTACTTTTATCCGCCCACCTACATCATCGACTTCACATCTTGAAGCTTCGACCTACCACAAACATCTCGCACAACATCGCTGTCGCACTCTCAAAACCGACATCTCTATCAATCGTATACTTCTCACATCCTACTTCGATGGACGACTTTGCTCCCCCGTCCGGTCCCCCTCCTCCTAAGGCTCCCGAGGTCCCTGCCGGGTGGGCCGTGCGATGGAACGACCAGTACAAGGAATGGTAAGATCTTATCTTTATCGCTTTCATTTCACTTTTGCTATGCGCGCGCCTTCTTGTCGCTAACACGCGCACGTCAGGTTCTACGTCAACGTCTACACAAAACAGTCGCAATGGGAAAAGCCCACTGCTCCCGTTTTCCCCGCCGATGATGGTGCTCCTGGCGGCCCTCCACCCGGATACACAGGCGGTGATTCACATGTCCCTACAGACACCAAGAAGAATCCCTACGAGGATCCTCACGCCCACTCGGCCGGTGGTTCCTATCAGGATGAAGATGCCAAGCTAGCTGCTAAGCTTCAAGCCGAGGAAGATGCTCGCGCCCGTGGTGGCCCCGGTGGTCCAGATGTTCCCGCAGGATACGGCGCCTCAAGTAGCCCGTATCCTCAAGACAACAACCCTTACTCTCAGCAACAGCAAGGCGGCGGTACCTATCCTTCAGAACTGCCTCCTAGAGATAGGGGTGCTAAGAGTGGTGGTTTCCTAGGCAAGCTGCTCGGCAAGGGCAAGCAAATGGCTGCTGGTCACCAACAGCAACAACAAGGCGGTTACGGTGGCTCTCAAGGTGGCTATGGTGGTGGTTATCCTCAGCAACAGCAGTACGGCCAGCAGTACGGCCAACAGTCCCATGGCTTTCCTGGCCATGGTCCACCAATGGGCTACGGAGCTCAACCTCATTATGGCGGCGGTTATGGCGCACCAGGTGGTTATGGTGGTTACGGCGGCGCCCCTGGTTATGGTGGTGGTGGCGGCGGCATGATGGGTGGTGGTCGTAAGCCCGGAGGTGGTGGTATGGGTATGATGGGAGGTGCCGCCATGGGTGCCGGTGCCGGTCTGCTTGGTGGTGCCATGATTGCGAATGCCATGGACGACGATGACGAGCGAGAGGCCTACCAGGATGGTTATCGTAAGTTCACTTGTCAAACTTGTTGCGCACTTACAGTCTACTAACTATTTACACAGAGGACGGTGGTGATGACGGTGGTGGTGATGATGGTGGTGACTAAATTACACTAGGGTGAATTGTTCACGCAAGTCTGCCGAAGCAGGATGTGCTGCGCGATAATACAGACTGGACTGGGCTTGGCTTTACTTTACGATTTTGAAATGACAGTGAACTGGGTATTGGATGAGCATATCGCGGTGCCGTGCTATGTAAAATTGCATCTTGGCTAGAATTATACCAAGGCTAGCACCTCTGAATGACTCAATATCAGAGAAGTCATTTAAATAATGATATATCCACAGTTAAAGGCACACAACGCTTGCCATATTTATAACCTAGCTTTTCCACTGCCCGTCAATGTTCCATATAGTCCTGTCTACAGTTTTTACTACCATCTCTTCAATTGTGCGTAGTTTACCGTGTTACGCCCTGGTTCTTAGCACCGCTGCCGTTACCGCCATTGTTAGATGCGCTGCTGGTATCCTTGGGCTTGGAGCCAGCAAGGTACGCAGCCATGTCGAAGTTTGTAAGAGGGTTATCGGCAGAAGATTGACCGCTCATGGCTGCAGTCAAAGGGCTGCCCTTTCGCTGGGCCTCGAACTCGGCGCGCATTTCGGGGTCCACTGTGGTTCTTGTCAGTATAATCTCGGTGTTTGCAAGTGTGGTAGGAAAACGTACTGCTGTCCATAAGCTTGGGCATGCCAACCATGAGAACCAAACTGACGACGGCCATGAGAATCATGGGGTTCTTGAGAATAGCAAGTACGGAGACTATAATTCTGTTAGTATCACTGTAACGCAGATTGTCCCCCCGAAATATCAACTCACACTGTGGCCTGTCCATGAAGTAGTTCTTGCCCCCAATAGCTCGAACCTCAAAACCCCGCCCCTTACTCCCCTCCTTCACAGAGACAACCTCTCCCTTGTTGTTCCAGTCGTTACCCCGGAACGTCTCCCACGCACGCACAACGCCCTCCTCCCCATCCTCCGACAGCTGCACATCGATCCTCAGCGGGTGGAACGCGTCCGTCGGGCAATGCACATCGGCTAGGTACGATCCGGGCGTGACATTGTGGAAGACAAAAGTGTTCGCAGCGGACAGCGGAGCAGATACGTGCACACCTGCGGAAGACAGCGTGGCGTGCGTGGAGGCAGGCAAGGCGAAGGGGTTGGGCTTCGCGGGGAGGTAGAGCGTTAGCGAGTCGGAGGCGAGAGCGAAGGGGAGGGCGAGGAGCGCAGCGAAGAGGGCGCTGGTGTCGAAGGGAGTGAGGCGCATCTTGAGTGGGCTTTTTCTTTCTTTTCTGCCGGGTTATGAGGATGGAGGTTGTGGTGGTGAGGGATGATGGGAGGTTGATATTGAGACAGGTCGTGACGTTTGTGGTGTTGAGGTGTAGAGACCAAGTGGGCCAATCAGAAGCTGTAGAGGTGCGGGTGTGGCTTGAGGTGATGCAGCCACAGTTTCTATAACTTGGGTTTGATATTGGAGATAAAGCGACAGTGGAAAATTGGTCGATTGGATGTTGTGGTTTGTGCTAACAGAGTTATTTCTTTTCCGGCAGTAGTATCGTTTTGCTCTGTTTCCTCGATATTGTGGTCACTTGGAAGCTAATCGTTCACTGTCTCAACCACAACGGTGGCGTTCCATCATCTAAGTCCAAACTGGCGATAAGACAGAAAGGACAACAGATGCGTAATAGGCAGCCAGTCTCAAGTAACAAAAAGTAGCAAAACAAATAGTTCACAATAACAAGTAATGAGGTATTGTAATGGCATGAAAAAGAGTGGCATAGACGCTCATCTAAATTACGCTCTTCTAAAAACTATTTATTGGGTATCGAGTTCATCAAAGACGCATGAGTCCACTCCTTCGTTTCCCGTGATATGAATCAGACATTTCAGTTCATCCGGCGTCACAGATCGTATAACAAACACTTTTTTGGTTTCATCAGCAGCATTATCCCAATCCAAATCCTTCACTTTAAGCCTCGGCGGTGCCGTTGGTTGCGGCGCTCTTCTCCTTGAGCTCCTTGACCTCGGTCTCGAGGGCCTTGACCTTCTCGAGAGCCTCGTCCTTCTCCTTGGTGGCGGCGGCAACGGCCTCCTTCTTCTCACTCTGGATGGTCTTGACCTTGTCCAAAGCGTTGCCGAAGGCGGACTGTGCTGTCGTGGCCTTGGCCAAAGCGTCGGCCTTCTCCTTCTCCAGGGTAACAGCCTTCTCCTCAGCGGCCGTCTTCTCGGCCTCGAGGGCCTTGGTCTTCTCGTCAGCCTCCTTCTGGAGAGACTCGGCCTTGGCCACGGCATCGGCCTTCTCCTTCTCAAGAGATTCGACCTTCTTGGCAGCCTCCTCAGATTGGGCGAACTTCTCCTTGAGCTCCTTAAGCTCCTCTTCGAGGGATTTGGTCTTGCTGGCAGAAGCATCCTTCTCAGTGTTGAGAGCGGCCTGGGCGTCCTCAAGCTGCTTCTTGAGCTCAGACTCAGCATCTTGGGCCTTCTTTGCGTCAGCCTCAAGAGCAGCAGCCTTAGACTCGGCCTCTTCGACCTTGGACTTCAAGGAAGACTCGGACTCCTTAGCCTGGGCGGCCTCGGTCTCAAGCTTCTTGGCCTTAGCCTCAGCTTCCTCAACCTTGGTATCCAACTCGGCCTCAGTGTCCTGAGCCTCCTTGGCATCAGCCTCGAGGGTAGCAACCTTCTCCTCGGCCTCCTTGAGCTTGGCGCTAAGACCAGACTCGGACTCCTGGGAGTTCTTGGCACTTGACTCAAGATCGGCGACCTTGGCTTCAAGTTCCTTCTTCTCCTATATCAATGTTAGTACGATCATGCAAACAGTTGTATAGGGATGCTTACAGCTTCTGTAGCCTTCAGGTCGTCCTCAGCCTCAGCGGCATCGGCCTTAGCCTCCTCAATTTGCTTCTCAAGATCGGCAAGCTTTGTTGTCTTCTCGTTGAGTTGCTCTTCGATAGAAGCACGCTCCTCAGTGGCAGCCTTGAGCTTAGCCTCGGTCTCCTGCTGCTGCTTCTGGGCAGTCTCGTGGTCGCCGGTGACGGTCTTAAGCTTCTCAGCTTGCTCGTCACGCTCCTTCTTGAGGGACTCGTGCTCGTCAGTAGTAGACTTGAGCTTGGCCTCAAGGTCGGCGGCTTCCTGCTTGACCTTCTCCAGCTCGGCAGATGAGTCACCTTGAGCCTTGGACAGAGCAGTGGTGTGCTCCTCGCTCAGCTTCTTCTGGGACTCCTCGGCAGCAGCAAGGTCCTTCTTAGCAGCCTCGAGATCCTTGGACAGATCATCGTGGGTGCTCTGAAGAGAGGTGTGCTTCTCCTTCCACTCGGCAGCATCCTTCTGGGCGGACACGAGTTCCTCGGAAGAGTTGCTCTTGAGGGACTCGTTGGTCTTCTCGAGGTCGGCAAACTTCTCCTTAAGCTCGGACAGCTCCTTCTCCAGAGACTTGTTGGTCTCCTCAAGAGTGGCGTACTTGGTCTGTAGGTCAGACAGTTCGGCCAGCTGCTTCTTGAGCTCAGACAACTCGCTCTCGGAGTCGGCCTTGTGCTTGTTGTGTGTTTCTTGGATGGTGTTGGTCTTCTCCTCAGCGGCAGCGAGGTCCTGCTTGGCAGTGGCGATCTGGGATTCGGACTGCTCCTTGAGCTTCTCGAGGGTCTCCTGGAGAGCGGCGTACTTCTCCTCGGATCCGGACAGGGCCTGCTTCTGCTCGTCGAGGGCAGTGACAGCAGCGGCCAAGTCGGTCTCGAGCTTCTCGTGGCTGGATTTTAGGGTGGTGAACTTGTCTTCGGTTCCGGTCAGAGCTGACTTGCCCTGCTCGGCGGCGCTGGAGGCAGCAGCGAGCTCTTCCTCAAGTGTGCTGTGGGCCTTGGTAAGAGACTGGTGCTTCTCCTCAGCCTCGGAGATCTGGGTCTTGAGGGTGGCAATCTCCTTGGTGAGAGCGGCCTCGAGGGCCTCGCGGGCCTCCTTGGCCTCAGCAAGCTCAGCCTTGAGGCTGGCAAGCTCCTCAGCAATAGATTGTCGCTCCTGCTCCAGACCCTTGAGCTTCTCCTCGGTGGCAGTCAAGCTGGTCTTGGCGTCCTCGAGCTCCTGGGCGTTCTTCTCGGCGGACTCCTTGGTGTTGCGGAGCTGCTCGGAGGAAGAGTCGCCGCCCTTCTTCAGCTCATCTTGGAGGATGGCAATGCGGGCATGGGTCTCGTCGAGGGCGAGGGAAGATTGAGCTTCGAGCTCCTTGATCTTTTCCCTCAGGCTCTCAACATCTTGGGAAACTGTTGTGCACTCTTTCTCCTTCTTGGAAAGGTCTTCTTCGAGAACGGCGATGGTTTCTTCCCTGTCGGCAAGTTGCTTCTCGAGAGCTTGTCGCGCTGCGACGGAGTCTTCACCGCTACTACTAGAGAATGCAGAGACAACGCCGCCCATATCGAATCAGTAATGGGGAATGTGGGGTGTTTTTGGGGGAGAGGGGAGAGGAGATGAGGGTATTGAAGATGGTGGATATGGAGAAGAGAGGACGAGAGAGAGAAGGGGGGAAAAGGAAAAATAGGCTGGTTTGGTTTGTTTTTGAGTAATCTCAAAAGACTTTTAGGGGAGAAAAGACGCAAAAGGTTGGCTCGGTAGGAGTTGGAGATGCTGTTGTTCAAGTATGAGATGTTGCAGTAGTGGCAGCGGCTAACTTTGTTAGATATCCACTTGGAGACAGAAAAAAAATCGTATCAGGCCCCCCCAGTTCCAGTTCAAGTTCCACGCAATCTCAGAGATTGGACGCACGTGAGATAGGTACCACTACGGATACTAACTCTACAGAGTATCCGTACAGCTAATTACTTGTACTTCCACTACAAACACTGCTGCTCCGTAGACTCTGATTAATTGCTCAGGCCGTCACCTCGGTGATAAAATGAATGGCTGGGCCGTGCCGTGATGTGCAAGCTACGAGCTATGCGTGCTATGCGTGCTATGCTATGCCTCGTTACCCCTCCGGTGAGGGTGAGAAAAAAAGAGGCGCCAAGGTACAATCGACGGCCTTACCGCACTTTAGCATGGGATCTTTCGGGTTGTGAGCTGCTATCAGCGTCCAATATTCGTGCAGGTTTTTGTCTACTTGTGGGGTTGTTTATGAACGACATGTCATCCTTGCTAGTACAGTAAAGTACCTAGAGTAGGTAGTACGTAGAGAGAGGGAAAGACAGAGAAGGAAAAAAAGAGGAGAGCAGCTCAAGTTTTCGACGACATGTGGTGGGTGCTCATGATGTGGCATGCTTTACCGCCTATCATTTTCTTCCCCCATGAGAAATGTCGCATTGTAACGTTGGCAATTGAACGAAGAAGAAGGAGGCTAAAAAAGTGCCAGAATGACAAGAATGACATCCAGACACTGCATCCCTCAACTTGAAGCCCAATCTTGGTCAAGACTCCCAATTCCTCCCGCCGTGGGCTGTCAATGTCGAGACCCAACCCCTCCATGACCCATGACAAGCAAGAGCCATGACATGAGCGTGAGCATGGGTTATAGAGCAAACAAAGCATTGTCCCGCCAAAAAGTTTCACTGCACTAACTAACTGTCACCCACTCGACTCATGACATGAACCCATGAACCCTGGCCTCGCTCTTAATTTATGCATTGGATTCTATGATTGTTTGCGTTTGCTTCCTGCTCGACATCTCGACATCTCGTCATTATCACTTGCATTGATGGACCCTGTTGTTTCTTGTCTTGCTTTCACATGCCTAGCCCTGCCCATGTCTAGACCGCTATCGTGTCTTTTGTAGCTGAAACAATTTTTTTGAGACAACCCTCCAACGGTCTCGGTAAATCATTAATTGCAGAATGTTGCTGCTGATCCATATGCCTATATATACAAAATGTCTCATGCTCTCTCTTTTTGCATTCTGACTCGCTTTTTGCCTTTGCGCCTATACATCTTGATACCAGGTCATTGATCCCTCGGCTTGACCGTCAAGTAACCCCAGTTTATGCAAATCAAACCGGGGGCCCCGTTTGCTTTTAACTCCGCCCAAGACTCCATGCGCTGTCGTTCATGGACTCGTCATTACATGTTCCATTCCAAATCAAATCATAGTATAAGTAACCAAAGCATTGCAAGCAGAAGAGGGGGGTGTTCATGTGATGTCGGTGTGTCATGATAAGGGTATTTGACAACCCACTAGTGAGTCATGTTCGATGTTAACGCCAATGTTCAACACCAACCGAAGCTGAGAATATCTTCCATTTTCAGGGAGATTCAGCAGATATCCTCTCTTTCGAGAGGGCTGGTAGCCTCCATTCCTGGGGTTACACAGGTGGCACACTGAAAGTATGTACCCTTCAAGATGCGTCGAGTATAGTACTCAAAAAGTCAAGGCTGCTCATCTGAACGTAGCTCGAAACGGGCCCTCGACTTTGATATCTCTGATACCTTCAGGCATTAATCGCAACCACTCGTTCCAACTTTCAATGTCGACATTGTCATCATCAAGTCGAATTGACAAATGTAGCTGCGGGCTGTTCTCGTATGACGAAAAACTGCTCCTCATAGGACTGTTCTGGTACACAGGTGAGAGGAAGATGGACGGAAGCCTCGAGTTGCCCGACATCATCATATGTAATGGCGAGGGGAAACTCGTCAGCGCCTCCTTCTCCGGGTACTTGTCCTGAACCATCTTGGCGTAATGAGAGAACAGATTTGCATGCAACTCGGCTGCAGATAGAGGACTTAATCGTGCTGCCCTTACTCGCAGTTGCTCAGCCAAGGCCCGAGTGAACGCGCAACGATCTAGGTCATAGAAATGGGCTTCCGAGACTGAGGCTGCCAGAAGCTCCAAAACGCCCTGCTGGCGAACCATCCTGAATGACGGATAGTATGCCGCGTCCATTAGAATTAACGTATCGGCACAAGCTTCCTCCAGGGTTTGTTGGATACCACCCCATCGAATAGTCGAAGCTTGTTCGGGATCTCGAGAGCTATAAAAGGGTTAGCAAAGCGTTGATGCAGGACAGATATAAGGAATATTACCTTGCCAGAACCATCTCCCGATTGGCATCGAGGTACGTGTGTCCAGCATAATACACTATCTTCAACACGTCACGCTCGTCGCGATCTTCGACGAACTCGTTCAGTTGCCTCGAAAGCCATCGCCAGGAGCTCTTGCAGCCATCGGACGATGAGGGAATGGCCTGTACTTGGAATCCGTAACGATAATATTTATCGAAAACTTCCGCAAGCTCCCTCACAGCGGACTGAATCGTGGGGACCTCCTCGTCATCTTGCCAGAATAGGAACAGGACCTGTACAGAGCTATATCGATCTCGGCTGGGCGTGGAAAGCATACGTCCCACATTAGTTTGGAGATCGTTCTTAAAACTTTCGATCCCAGGTAACGACAAGGACTTCTCGAGACGGGGACCCGATGGCAAAGGGGTACGAATTCGAGCATCGCTCAATGGAGGTCGACCGGGGTGGTTGGAGCCAGGAGTACTGGAGTCGATATCCATCTCCTGCGAGTCGTGTGCGAACAAGGCTTGGACATTTGTGATTGCGGGGGCGGGGCTCAGCGGTCGGCCGGCGGCGGCGAGAGAGGGTGCTATATCTTGAATAGTCGGGCTATGCGACCTATGAAACTTGGATACTACATCCTCCCAGGTCATGTTGTGATGACTGGGATGACACTAATGGGAAAGCAGAATGTTAGCACACAAGCTCATATAACAATTCAGTTGGCATACAAAGCCGGAAGATAGAATATGACTTACAGCAACTCGTCGCCTCCTACAATCTATGCATGCCCCGAGCTTTCTAATTAGGGCAGCACGCTCTCTGGACTGCTGTGAAAGGGGCCCGGTCCGTCTCCTGCTCGTGCGGCGGTTGTTAGAGACATCGGAGCCATCCTTTATAGAGAAAATAGACTGGTGCAAGTTAGGAGAGGTGTCGGCACTGTACGATGTGTTATTGGTCTCCGTAGAAGCCAAGGTAGCGGAAGTAGCCTGCGTTGAGATGGAGGAGCATGTGTCCTTCCTCAAGGGCGGCGTAACGGGGTGGAGATGGTGGTGAGAGTGATGGTGATGCTGTTGCTGCTGTTGTTGATGCTGCTCGAATGTATAATGTGCTGGCGAGGTGGGCGATGGCTGGCGGAGCGGAGGTAGGTCATCTGGATTATGTGAAAGGGAGTGGGCGGCGACAGATGCAACAGCTGTTGCAGCTGCAAGAACTGCGGGTAGCGAAGCAGACTGAGCAGACGGCGATGAAATCGAAGGAAGAGAGGGCGTCGGAGCGGTTTCGGATACGGAGGTCGGTTGTGAGGGAGAGGGGGATGGTGGAGGTTGTGGTTGTTGATGTTGTTGATGTTGGTTGATGGACGCAGCGGCAGCAGCTGGGGAAGCTTCGGCCATGCTGTGGCCTACGGAGTTCATGCTGTAAGGTAGAGACGTCGAACAGGCACTGCAATTGATCAAACGCCCATTCTCTCAAGTAGAGAAGCGTGAAAAATGAACGATCGAGTCAGGCAGAATGGCTTCCAAGTGTTACAATAGCTTGCCAATTGCTCAAAATGAAAGCGACAATAAGCTATGGTTGTTATAATCCGTTGCGCGCAAGTCTGTCAAGTGTGTGGATGCTGGCGCAAGTATACGGCGCAGACAGGCCGCAACAACGATAAATGCGTTATGCGTGGGCGCGCAGGCAACAGAGATTGTAGTGACACTGATCTCCACCACAATAAGATTTCAGTCCAAACAAATAGACGTTTGAGCAGGGCGATATGATTACTGCAGCTTTGCAGGTGCTGGAATAAAGGACCAAACTTAAGTTGATGTATGGGGAGGGTTTGAAGTTGCAGCTGTGTGCCGAGAGTATGATGAGCGGCGGGCTTCAGCGGGTAAGTTTTTGAGTTTGTAAGGCAGAATCAAACACCCTGGGGCGAACCGAGAGAAATGGAAAGGTAATGGGTGAACGATCCCAGGAACAGTGGGCAATTCGATTGACTACAGCGGAGTGCTGAAGCCTGGCGCAAATAGAGTATGGAGATATGGAGTGGTAATAGTAACGATCCAATAATGGTTAAGCCGACAGACAAGCAGCTTGACAACTGGAGCTCGAACAAGACGAACGACGAACAGTCGAGCGGACGTTCGGGTGGATGCGCGACGCAAGATAGCCGGGTGCCGTACGTATGTAGTAGTAGGTGGAGGATAATTCAGTTCTCTGTGGTTCAAAAGATGCAAGCGTCTGTCTCGTCGGGTCAAGGCGTCTTCAGAGCGAGATAGCAGTCGTATATACGAGGAGCCGGGACCTATGGTGTAGCATAAGATGGCTTGTTGATATTGGCAGAGTATCGTCAAGGTGAAAAGCGCAACGGTGAGACGAAAAGAGCAGACCAAGGTCAATCTAGTAGGAGGGTGGGCTGCTAAAGAAAAATAGCAGAATAAGAAAAGAAGAGTCCAAGTTCATGCCATGGAAAGAGACCGAGAGTGTTCCGTCGTTGCGAAGACCGACCTGAGCAGAATGGCGTGGCGTGCGACGACGAAGAAATCGACGAGAAAGGGCGTGTACGGGGAGGAGTATGTCAAGCTTGAAGCCAATAAAAACGCCAATTGAAGGAAGCGAGAGTGGGATGGGAGGGGCGTGGGCGGGAGCAATTTTAGACGCTACGGCGGAGAGGAGCGCTGGCCGTGACATTGCCCGCCAGAGGGGAAGTGGATTTCCGGGGAGCTAAAAGCAGGAGATATTAAGGAACGGAAGTATCTTTTGGCGGTAATTGTATGGATGATATACTTAAGGTCGAAAATAAGGAACCGGCCCGGGGACTATATCGACCTTCAATTGGGGGACCTGAGATGGGGTAAAATCGAACGAGTCACTACGTGGAGGAAACTTGAAAGCATGACTCCAGTAGTCACTGGATCCCGAGGTTGGTTCGAGGTCAAGAGTCGGGCTGGTTGGTGATGCCGAACATTGACAAACAAAGCCGAGTCGACAGGATTTGCTTGACGAAAGCACGAGACTTATGAAACTGTTGAGGTTCTCGTGAATTAGACTCATACAAGATGAATGTGTTTGACTCAAAAAACAAAAAATACCTTACCAGCAGCTTCTCATGAGACCAATAACAGACAAGCCACCGTGGGATGAGGTTCATTGTGCAAGACAAGGTGAGACGATTTAGGCTAGACCCGGCTGTTAATCCCGGCCGAGTTGAACGGCACATCTCGGTTCGAATCAGTGTCAAAATCGTAGCACCTTCTGTTGATATTGTTATGATTTGCAAACCAACCTCGAGTCTCGACCCGCGAGCAGAGTAAGCAAGTAAGGATCTTGACAATCCAATATTCCAATTAATCAAACCTGCATCCCGCTAGCCTGTAGCCTGGTTATTCACAAAGGATGCGCGGCTCTGGCGGCAAATCTTTAACCCTTGCACCTTCCTGGCGACTCCCCGTAACGTGACAACGTGAGTCTGGTGTTCCTGCCGCTCCAAGCATCGAAGGACATTGCTCGGGATTGCTTTCTTTTTCTCGAGGCAGGAGCGTAGCATACGGAGGACACTGCCGTTCATGTTTTCGTCTCTCCACTTCAGATTCTGCCTTGACACAAACAACCAGACTCCCCATTCCGAGATCCATACTTTCTTCACCGTCTCCCTATAAGTCGATTTTAATCGTGAATCGGCCGTTGAAACTCGGTACCACAAGGTCAAGCAGCAGATCAACTACCTACTTAGACAAGGTCATTTCGGCGTAGCTGGACTCGATTTTACGATCGAGTAGGGTTCGACTCATTTACCCGAGTATTTTACCTCATAACAAACAAAAACTATATCGGCCATTGAGCATAAATTTCGTACAAATCTGTCATATCAAGGTTTACTTGACGAAGCCGTACGTACTCACGACACACTTTGCTCTATACGCTAAGATACCCCGGACCATATCCTTTGAGCGATGCCACTCTTTGCTTCTCGGGGCTACACAAATAGCCCCAGACACATGTAGGCCAAGCAAGGCTCAATCATTATGCTGCGACTACATTGGGGGATATCCATTTGTCCACCTGGTCTCCTCAATGTGCATGTCTTGCATTCCAAGTACCTGCTGCTCTCAGTTCGAACTTATTAAGGTTGAACAGTTTGTGTGCAACCAGTGCCACGGGCTGATGGAAGGCTGAACCCTGCCCGTCGCATGGCACTGCCCAAAGCAACCCGGATACTCTATTTTTTGACCGGAAGTGCAACCCCGAGCACAGACGGTGCATGCAGCTCTGAGCTTCCAACGGCACGAGCTGCCAGTGACATGGTTCTGTTTATCACGTTATTACGGAGTACTGTCCACTGTATGTATGTCAAGCGGAGAGTCCTCTCTTCTCTCTTTTCGCTTCATTAACTTTCCGGGTCGTGTCGTGAAGCCCTCAAGCTATTATGTCTCACATCTGCATCCTGTGTCTCCCTTTTCATGGAACATGACCCGGCCAGTCATCTTCCGGTGGTCGGGAGATATGTCCCTCCCAAAGCATGAGTCCTCTATCACAACAATGAATCAATCTTGGCCAGGTTTGCCTTGAGAAACATAGCGAGGTCAAAACCAGACACGCACCATATCGCTTCCTATTCACTCTCTCGACGCAAATCTCGGCCTCATTGGGACTTATATCATGATATCTGACTCCTTCTTCAACAAAAAATGCCTCTTCTATGATGACAAGATTCAATATCTACAACCTGACACAATCTTTACCCGCGGTTAAGCACTTACACCAAAACCAGTTCGACGCACCTACCACCGCCCAGCTGTACGCTAGAGCTTAGCTCTTTCAGAATATCTCCATACACGCCCTATGTCCCGTGCCTGCTTGTTCCATAGGCGCGCCTGCAAGGTGGAGGACTGGAGACGTTAAGCAGTCCAAGAAAAACCACTCAGGACTGGGCCCCCGGGGGGTTGCCATTCGTCGCCCGCCGAACACCGTCCCGGCTCGGTGAGAAGGACATGGCCTAGCTGAAAACATATTCGGCTTTGACCTCGGGAAGAAAGAGAAAGTACAAAGTCAGCTTTGTCAACCAGGCACATTATTTGATACTGGGTGTTATTGAATGGTCACTTTTCTTTGTAGAGACTCAGGCACATGGCTCGCTATCTTTCATCCGTCATCCCGTTCCTTCATGTACAGCATAACGTGTCAAGGACATGCACGACAGAGCTGCCGCGCCTGGAAAGATAACTAGAGACAAAAGCGACGTCCAAATTGATATTAGGGCGTGGTTTTTACCAATTGGAACCAATATTGGGTCAAACTGGCGGTGGCCAAAACCCGCTCAAGTTCGACAATGTCAAGAATCTGTCTTCGCAAGGTACTCAATCAGCTCACCTTACTCACCCCAGAATCCATTAAAAGAAGAAGCCGGCAGCTAGGGGACCTACATGCCAAGAGGTTCACCACTATCATCAGGGGTTGTCACTGGCTAAGTCGAGGGATAATTCTCCGTCCCCATGCCTCAAGAGAATGGGTCAGAGACAAAGATCCAGTCTTGTCTTCTTTTCTTCTACTGACCCCAGCGTCTGGGGCAGGTTCGACCAGATACACCGAGGTTAAGTCGAGTATAACTCTCATATGTACGAATTTCTAAAGTCACCTGGCTCGCCTTATTTCTCACTGATTTATGGGGGAAGCTGTTGAGGTAAGAAGATGCTGGACCTCTACATGACCATACACATCACAGGTTGGCTGCACGATCTTCAGCCGATGATGGTCCCATCTTATACCTTTGCAAGCATTGCAAATCCATATGATGCCACTATAATGCGCTCAAATCCTCTTCCGCTGCTTCTGCCGTCAATGCAATGTATGTCCACTATTTAAGAGGAAGAGGGTGTCAAGGAGGACACCGAACTCTCTTTCACCACAGTCCGACCTGGTTCCGGGTCTTCACCGAGATCTCTTCATGGGACATGGTCAGATCTGATCCACTTTTTGGTCCTCGTCATTGGGTCTAGCTTAATGGCTTGATTTTATCGACAACACCACCGCCGAACATGTAGCTTTTTGACGGAGATACTCGGCCAATCGGTGTCGCAATCTCCACTGAGGATATGGGACCTTCACCGGTGACCGACACAAGGCGTCTTCAACCGAGTGTACATGATCTGCTTGCTTGTTGACTTCAATTGTTCATCAGACACATAACAATCGAAGGCAACGGAATGTGAACATACAAAATACAGAAAAGGATTACGTTTACTCAATGACTCATTTTGAGCCATCACCGTGTGGAAACTTTGCTTAACATGTGTTCAACGAGGAAGGGCTTTCTAAGAGTAGAACCTAAGAGTTGCCAGTATTCTTGACCTTGCACCTTTTCCCGCTGTTGACTCCCGAATATCGAAAGATAGTTGCCGGGCTGGGGCCGGTGCCGATGGTACTGAACGAAACTTCCGTCTTACCGGGTTATCACAGTCCGAAAAGACCGCTCCGATGCTGGTCCGTAACCCTTGATCAAGATAATGTACTGCCTAAGTATACGGTAGTACTACTTAATTCAAAGCCCCAACATTGGTCTCCAGTCAAAGGCCACCTTTGCCATGCACAGGAATCCTTGAAAGCTCTACGGTACGCCCTTAAATGGTGCCAATTACTCGTACATCTAGATCACAGTTGTGCAGTTACTCCTCTCAAGCTACTGTGGCTATATGGAGACTGCAAGTTGATCGGCCTTCTTTGGGTATGCCGCTCATGTGATATTCGGTATCCTTTATCCCTCCTCTTGGTTTCCGTGTGTTCGTTAAGCTCAGCAAACATATGATTTAATTTTCCTGAACGGTTAGCCAACAATTGTACAGCATGACATCCCATGTTTGGGTTTGAAACCAGTAACTCCATTGCCCGTGCCTAATCATGGTCCCTGTTGGATATATAACGGAATATAAAAGACATCGATCTGTCTCGAACAAAGCTGAAATTTAAACCACCAATATATGTAGGCATCGTGACTACCATTTCTGGCCTTTTGTCCAAGAAGAACTTTGAAGCTCGCCCTCGTCGTTCTTAGTCGTTCCAATCTCGTCACGCTTGTCATCAACCAGCCTTCCCCACTCAAGCAGCAATCTGAAGAGATATACTTCCCTATCCTTCTCGCCCAGCGCTTGCTCTGCCCATTTGGCACCCTGCTCGGCGATCCACAACGCATCCTTTGTGTGCCCTTTCATATCAGTGTCGCGCCCGTTGAGGTGCGCTTTCTTCTGCGTGCCAGCGAAATATGTCAAAGTGGTATGCAGACCCTGATAACGCGTGTCGATGGGTACGAAGTGCAGCCAGGGGATCAGGCGATCACTATACCACGTCCGGAAGATGGTGGAGATAAAAGGCACACTCTTTGAGCGGATTACACGGAGAAGGTCGGGTGAGGGCCCATCGTCCTTGTCCAGGATAAGGATGAAGCGGAACTCGAGGGGTTCCTGGTCCTGTGCTTCATCCACGATGGGGTATGTCTGGCGAAGAAGCTCACAGTTGCGGCCCATGCAGCCTTGAAAGTCGTTCATACCGACACTCATGGGCATCACGAGATTTGCTTCTACAATTGACACTTTCTCATGATGATACTTGGGCGGGTCGTCGGAAGTTGGGAGGATCATCGAGACCTCGTCCTTGGGATTCTGGTTGCCAAGCATGTGGAGGAGGCGGAACTTATGGTTACCGCGTAAAGCCTGGTCTGAGATAACTTCGTACCCAGTCTGGCCTCGCCAGAACATGCTGTCGTAGCGGCGATCAAACCCCCAGCTCAAGTCCGCTTTATCGTCCTCTGGCTGCGGAAGGGGTATCAAGATGTCACGGAACGGTTCTGACTTGGACGGTCCGAATAGGGGTAGCAGGTCCCTGATCGGCTCAGTATGGGGGCTTGAGAGGGACATTCCATGAAGATACTTGAGGTCAGGTTGGAAGCAGTACTCAAGAGAGCGCTCCCAGTTGACCATGAGCTGCGCCTTTGAGTGCCTTCGCACACAATCTGCGCAAAACTCGCCGATATTCCAGTGGGGGTTGGTTCGAGTTTTGGAACCAGGAGGGCATGCCTCAACCTGCATCTGGCGATAGTTGGCTGGAGATGTCGTGAATTTCCATTCCTTTTGAGAATACTCAGGGAGTGCAGGTAGGGGATGAGTCGCAGGGGTTTCAGCGGGCTTCACTTCGTTGTCAAAAGCATCGCCTCCTTCAATTGACCTCTTCGATATCAAATTGACGATTGGGGTCAGGTCGGCTCTGTTTCTTCCATTGGCAGTCTCCCATGATGGGAGAATTCGTGGTGTTGTCTCGAGATTGATCGGGAAAAGCATGTCCGGCAGGAACTTGGCAAATCTGTTGATCGTGGTCACGAGGCCGTCGAGCATCTCCGCCTCATATCCAGTGATTTCTGGGAGCCTCGATGCATTGCCGTTCTTAATGCCTATGGTATGAACGCCAGGCATGCTAGACAACATGGAAGCCCGCTGTCGTAGCTTCTTTGGGGGAATAGCTCTGAACGGAGCCAGGTCTTGATCAATCTGATCGAATCGATCAATAATAGCAGTGTCCTTGGCAAGCTCATACCAGTCTTTGAAGGCGGGGGGAGGATCTCGTCCATCATGGCGGTCCTTGTATATCTTGTGGGCAATAGGGAGACTTTCACTAGTGCTCGCCTCCGTCTTCCAACGGTTTTGCCTGATATTAGCCCTGTAGATGAAGTCATTCACAGGATGACGCTGGAATGACTGTGGTTCCGTTTTTCGTATGAACACGGTGGTTCCTAAAACAAGACCAACAAGGAGGGATAGCAAAGCGAACCGTCGGATAAATATGATGGATTGTACACCGTGGGTGTATGTAAAGACAATCATGCCAAAGGCAATGAAGTAAAGAGGCATGATCTCGGGAACACGCGCAGGATGAAGATAGTCTCCGTACTGGAAAATATTCTGACAGGCCTTCACCGTTCCTGCGAGGAACGTGATGATACTAGTTGGTGTAAGTGGTGACGTCTCGCAAACCCAGAAGCTTGCCGAGATCATGAGGGCTGCAAAGGCAGCACTATCGACGATAATATCGAAACCGTAGAGGAACCCGAACCCAGCATGAAGTACGGAAGAGCCCCCAAAGATTCTACCTCCAACCCACACAAGGCCCATTGACAGCGATGAGAGCGTAAGAACTGTGCCCAGAGTCCTAAGGCGAAGCTTAGCTGTTCGCGACCAGGCCAACAAACGCCAGAGGAGGATCACGATGATAGCATCGAGAACAAGTCCCATGCACTGGAAAGCAAGCGTCATCCGCCTGCTCTCGATGCGCTCGAAACAGTAATAGGTAGAGCGAGTAATCCGGCCGGCGGCATAGTATGTGCCTGTAGAGAACACCACGATACTGGATATCGCCATAGTAAGGACAACTCTAGGCCCACTAAACCAGTCCACCAGGTCGTCAAAACACGAACGCCAGGGGTCGTCAGGGTCTTCTGGGGGTGGAAGACCCCATTTTCGTCGAGTGGTGAAGATTTCATATGCGAAGAAAAGAAGACAGAGGAACGACTGGGCAGTTATTAGTTCTCAAAGTGGTTAGGTGCTGGCGCATAAGATGGACTTACCTCGAGGCCAGGAGTCGCACATTGCTGCTGATAGTTCACACGGTGAAAGATCTCGAGCCTTAGAACAATGCATAGCACAAGAACTGGAAGTGACAGCCTTCTAGGCCGTCCAGGTAGATGATGATTCTGGCTATGAGACGAAGCGTCGGATGCGCTGTTGCGCAAAGATTCTCGGCGACGAGGCGTCTTGAATCGTCCGTCTGCGCCTGGTAGCCACTTGGTAAGGCAGCCTATACCGTAGCAGATTAGGCCGGAGAGGAGAAAAACAAGAAATGATGATAGTCTTGGGCTCTCTGGGTGTAATCTCATGTTAGTTTCTTGGAGTGTTCTCAACGAGATTAGTGAGTTGGAACTAACCAGTCAGAGAATGACGCTCGAGGTTTTGAGATATGTAAAAGAATGAAGACGCGGCGCTTTTAACAGTATTAGCTGAATGTTCTACAGGTAGGGTTTGGTAGTTAGAGAGTAAGGGATATACCATAATGCAAATAACTGAACCACCGTATCGCCAGCCATGATGATTTGATGCGGCTCTTAAAGCCAAGATAGACTAAATCAACAGATATAGAAGCTCGAACATGCCCTCTATGCTACTCATGTCTTCGCAATCATGTGACTGACACTCAAAATTAAGCATAAAAATAAGCTTCAAGTTTGTACAATCGTTAATCGAGGCTCATGTTATAGTCGTTAATTCAAGTCATGATAGAGAAAAAGCACAAGCTTGGTTATAAAAGCTGAAGTGAATCAAGCCCTCGGTCATTTTAGCAGCCCGATGATTTAGGGGCATCGAGCTTACGAACTCCCCCTGACACTTACCTAAGCTGACGTTGATTCGTTGGCCGTTTCATCTACAGCGGCTAGAAACTAAAACGGCCCACTACTTCTTAGGGGTCCCTCCCCTATGGCTACCTATCTTCGATAACGGCCAGTTATCAAAAGTTAAGCCTCCTACCTAGTGATGTAACAGCTTCGAATCCTCAAACTATCCATGGCCGGCCTCAACGACGTGCCCTTCATCAAGGGTCTTGCCGTGCCCTCGGTATGCACCCTCATCATCTTTCTTGGCTACTTCTCCCAATTCGTCTTCCACTACTCGACATCTCTCGAACCGGGTCCTCCCTCACGTCGCGAAACCATTATATTCAACAGTCTCCTGTTCATCCTCTGGGTAACCTACTACCGCGCCGTTACCGTCGATCCGGGCCGTTATGTCTTCAAGGACCGCGTTATCGAGGCCGATGGTCAGCGCTGGTGCAATAAATGCGCGGCTCCCAAACCCCCCAGGGCGCATCATTGTCGTCATTGTGCGAGATGTGTGCCAAAGATGGACCATCACTGTCCCTGGACGAGGAACTGCGTGTCCATGACCACGTTTCCGCATTTTATTCGCTTCTTGATATACACAAATATGTCACTATGGATGCTCGGATATTTCTTATGGCAGCGCTTCTCAAAAATCTGGGAACACCGTCATCTTCCCGCATACCTAGGACCTAGTCTCCCCGGACTAATCGGTATATCTCTTATTACGATTGTCAACTTCTTCACTACTGTGGCTCTGGGCATTATGCTCATCAACACGATCAAGGCGTGGATATTCAACCAGACTATGATAGAGGGATGGGAGCAGGACCGGCATGAGGCTCTGATGGACAAGGGACCCAAGGAATGGTGGGACATTATGGGACCTGATGGTGAAAAGGTCCGGTTTGAGAGACTCGAGTTCCCATATGATATCGGGTTCTTCGGCAACATGGCACAGGCAATGGGTTCCCGTAACATCCTCATGTGGTTCTTCCCTCTCGCCGGAAACTCCACCGTCGCTAAAGACGGCACCGGCTCAGGCTGGACATGGGAAGAGAACGGCTTCAACCGCGTAGAAGGTCTCTGGCCCCCTCCCGACCCCGACAAGCTCCGCCGAGCCGCCCGGGGCTGGCCAGCTGCAAACCGCGACTACGCCGAAGAGTTGCGCCAGGCCAACATGAGCTCCAACGATTTCAAGGCTGGCTTTCTCAAACGGCAGGCCGATGACGAGAAGCGCAAGAAGCATCTCATGGCGGAGCTGGAAGAAGTTGACGACTTTGATATGTATGATGATGAAGAGTACGAACGAGACCTTGACGATGGGCTTGGGTGGGTGAACTCAGATGGCGATCGACTACGAGATTACGGTGTTGATGAGGAAGAGTCGGAAGCTGAAGTGGCAGACGATGATGTGCCCCTTGCAGAGTTGATGCGACGGAGAAAGGTAACACAACGAGACAACCAAGACGATTGAGACGATATTGAGAAAATAGAATAAAAGCTTCAACTCAAAAAAAAGACATTTAACCTTTCTAATAAAAAAGAATCTGTAATCTTCCTGCTATGAATATGAATAACCCCGTCCTGCAATCGTACAGAACATCCGTTCCTTTCTGCACACGCTTGCCCAAAGCATCAAGAAAATGAAACCAAACCTCGGCCGTGATTTCTTGCGGCTTCTACAACTCGGTTGCCCAGCTCAGTCTTGTTTGTATACAACGAAAAAAGCGCCCTTTCATCTCTCTTCCCCATTGTCCCCTTTCTCTTGCGCGCTATGTTGTGATGTATGTATATTTGTGCAGGTGCCAAAGCTCAACCTCCTTCGAGGCTTTCCTGTCATCATGGTTTTTCGACTCCTCAGTGATTTCGTGAAGCATAAACTCATTGCGCCGACTACCAGTCATCGTCATCATCCTTCTCCTTCTGCATAGCGTTCTTTCTTGCCAGCAGAGCGTCCGCCAAACTGCCAGATAGGCTGGGTGTAGGCGTGCTGCTACGGCTGCTTCCTCCATTGGGAGTGTTAAGGCTCATGCCAGAGTCACGCTGCTGGAGCTCGGCAGGCTTGCGGCCGGCAGCAGGACGTTTGGCGGGAGGTGCAGGGGGCGTTGGCTTGGATCGTGGAGGGGCCGGAGGGGCTCGAGGAGCTGGGGGAGCTTGCTCCTCGACATACGCCGCTGGAACCCAAGCCTGCTGTTCGGTGTTTGGGTTCTTTGCTAACCACCAACCTAGATAGATGTATTAGTCACCGAATGCATGACAACAAAGTTGTGGACTTACCATTGGTCTCCTTCTGCACAATCTCGACCAGTTGGCCGGCAGTAATTGTAAGCTCATTTTCCCGCTGACCAGCGAAGTCATATAGGACCTTGGCCAGCACCTTGGGAGGGCTTGGGGGACGTGCTGGGGCGGCAGGAGGTGGTGGAGGTGGAGGCGCACGCCCAGCACCACTGGCATTTCGAGTGTGGCTTGGGAGAGGGTTGTGTGCGGCAGGAGTTGGAGCTGCAGAAGCTGCAACAGGGCGAGGAGCGATACGGGGAGTGGCTTGAGTAGCAGCAGCCGGAATAGAAGCGGCGGCTGCGAGAGCGGCTGGCGGCTGAGGAACAGCTCGCGTGCCTGCTCCCGGACGAGGTTTAGTAGCCTGGATGCGAGATGGCCGACCATTGGGACCTCCAGGCCTGATCAGCTTGCCTCGGGTGATGGGGCGAGGGGGCACAGGCTTGCCCTTGGGCGTAGGCTTCGAGCCTGAGTTTGGTGGCTCGCCAGGCTGAGTATGTACCGCACCACTCTTGTAGTAGTCAACGGGAAGCTGTGAATCCTTCATGACCTTGACCTGTTGCATCTTGCCGGGCTTCTTGGCGTACTCGATGGTCTCAGCAATCTTGAGGTTGAAACCACCGGGCATAACTCGTTGCATCTGAGTAAACATCTCCGTCTTAAACATACAGTTCATCAAGGGGTCTGCTTCTTGAGGCGAACCAATACCTAGAGAGAACCAGTCATCGCGAGCCGACGAGGCGCCAACAAACTTGATAGCCCCCAAAGGAACTGACTTCTCGACTGAGATTTGAGGCTGGCCATTGACAAGCATCTGAGCAATGATGTAGAACTTGCTGTTGGTAATAACGAGAATACGGGGGCTGGCTTTACTGGAACGTCCAAACTTAGCCTCCAAAATCTCACCACGACAAGAAAAGATAGCCTTTTCATTTGTGCCAATAGCAGCAGCGTTACGGATCTGAGCTCCAGGTCCAGTGCTTGCATTAATTCCCAGGTAGTCACCAAGGAATCTTCGAGAGCCCAGCAAACTCATGCGACGTCTCTCTTTACGACCTCCAAGAACTTGGTGGCCTTGGTCCCGGAGTTGGAGATACTCGGCTCCAGTTCGCTTCTTTCGCCAGAATCGCTGGATTCGCGTAGCGGACTCGGCTCGGTAGGCAAGGTAAGCTCTCCACATACGCTGGATTCGGGTAGCCATGTTATGCCAGTATCTGTCTCTCATATGCTCCAGAGCAAAGAGTGTCTCAGGAGCTTTAATAAAGGCCTTTGTGACACCCATTTGCCATTCCTCCTTTGGAATGCTGGTATCTTCAAGAATCTGCTTGACAGCAGCCTTGGTGGTTCCCTCCCAGGTGAACTCACCAGCATAAGAGGTAGCGGGAGACAGAAGGAAGAATCGATCAACAAACTTGTCAAAATCTTGACGGTATGCAAAACCGGCTCGACGAATTCGGACGTTCTCTTGAAGACCGAGATACTTGACCTGATGAAGAACATTGGGACTATTGTATTCTGTTGGCGACTTGTTCTCGTTTGGCTTGATTGTACGGATATACGAAGGCTGGCACTTCATCAATGTGTCGACCAGGACATTAGCAGACGCTCGGATACGGTCACCCGCAGAAGGGGGTTGCTTTCGGTTATCTGTATCAACAGGTCGAGGGAACAGGGTATGGACGAATTGGTTTCCACTGTGCTGGAAGAGACTCAATAGACCCTTGAGAAGCTGGTCCTTGTTCTTATCCGTAATACCTTCAACAGTATATGTCACATCACCAGCATAATGCTTGATGATGAAATTTCCTTGTCGAGGGGTAAGATGAGCGTGCGACATGCCACTGATGCTCTGCATGAATGTACGATCGCAAGCAGCGGGATCGGCGTGCGCAGTCTTGGTAGCGTCCTTCAAGGCAGAGAAGATACCAACTGGTCGAACCTGCTCAATAAGATCGCACACAACCTTGTTATCAAAATACTTGATAGGCGTCCACTGAATCTGTTCGCGGGCGTATTCCTCCTGCTCAGCCTTCAAAGTCAGCTGAATGAAGATTTGCTGCAGCTTCTCGTTGACGTAGTTGATGCAAAGTTGTTCGAAACTATTCTTCTCGAAAATCTCGAATCCGTAAATATCCAGGATACCAATCGTGTTGGTGGTCGGTTGTCTCGCCTTGAGAGACTTGTTGATGCGCTCAACGATCCAATCGAAAAGGTTACTATAAATGGCCATGGCTAGGGCATCTCGTGTAGCCTGTGCCTGAGCAGGATTGGCAGGCGATTCGATAACCTCGCCATTTCGAGGTGTCAGGATTCGAATTGTGATACCAGTGATGAGTTGCTCAGGGGTAACTTCCAACAAATAAGCGGCAAAATCAACCACAGATCTATCTTTGACCTCGGCGTATCCATTCTGGTCCTCCTGAAACTGGATGTTTCCTATCCATAGGATAGCTGATAGCATTCGGAAAATATCGTCTTGCTCAGCCTGGGAGAGGCCGATAACCTTCATGGCATTGAGCGTATCCTCGAACTCGGCGAGATCGTCGATACCGTCAACATCTAAGCATTTTGACCGGCTGGTGTAGACATAGGTCTCGGGTTTTTGAACACCAAATGTCTGGCGGTATTGTTCTGAGGCCCCCTTTGCGAATTGGTAAAAGATATGGAAGTTTCGCTCGTTCGTGATCTGGCCCACCACTCGCGTCTTTTCCAGTAGGTAGTTTGTAATGTCGGCACCCACGGGTTCGCCCTGGGTGTTGAAGTAGATTTGCAAATACTTGCCGAATCGTGAAGAGTTATTGTTTCGTAGTGTCTTTGCGTTTCCGAACGATTCTAGCAAAGGGTTGGTTGCCAGCACCATGTCCTTGATCTGCTTAATGTCTCCCGACTCTCCACCGGACACGCTGGCGATGTACTGCATAATGCGCTTGGCTGCCTCGGTCTTTCCGGCACCGGATTCTCCTGAAATAATGACACACTGGTTTTCGCTGTACGCCTTCATGTTGTAGTATGAGGCCTCGGCAATGGCGAAAACGTGGGGGGGCATCTCGAGTCGGTTCTTGCCCATGTAGCTCTCGAGGACCTGGTCGGTATAGATACCCAGATCCCGGAAGGGATTGACAGAGACCAACACATGGCCAATATAGGTATAAATCTCGGCGCCTTCGAATCGCTTCTTCAAGTTCTCGTTGATGGCCTCGTTAGAGACCTTACTCAGCAGAGTCAGATCGGAGACACCAATCTCCTTCTTCTTAGTTGTCTCAAAGGTGGCCTTCTTGGGCTTCGCGACTCCGTTTGCGCCGTCCGCGGCTGGGCCGGCGCCCTTGTTCTTGGGGCGTCTCGATATTCCCTGAGAAGAGAGGAGAACATGTCAGCGAAGTAGGCGCCGATATGGGAGGGTTAACACAGTACCATGATGTGCGACTATTGGGGGAGAGAGGGTGTTTAGGGAGATAAGGAAAGGTAGCTGGTTATTTAGTTTGCGTTTGAACAGGCATCAGACGATCAAACCCGTGAGAAAAAAGAACTGAAAATTTCCGGTGTAAATTGTCGGAGAAGAAAATGCGATGTTTAGTCCAAAGGAGACGACGCTGGGCTAGAGGCTTTGGCGTGGTGTGGCTGGAGTCGAGGTTGTGTTCAGTGATGGATGATCTGGTGCCTGACGGGAATGACGAAACGCCGACAATTTTCCGCTCAGCACAGCCCCCTAGATTACTGCCCAGCCTTACGCAATAAGTGGCGGGAGCAACTGCGAATGTCTGGCTATTGTATGATAACGCGCGGCATTAAAAATTTGATCCAGGCAGCATTAAACTCTTCGAATTGAAGAGAAGGTAGCTAATTCACTTGGTTCGCACCATTCCCCAGGTTGATTCTAAATTTAAGAATATCCTGATTCGCTATCCCTGCGGTAAAGAATGGCGCCTTGCTTTTTTACTCGCCCAAGCCAATGTGTCGTCATTGTGCGTGCGATAGTTGGCTTATTCAGGGAATAAGAGTCGTCTCAACTTGCTGTCAATGTCTTGAATGTGTCTAATCATAAGTGATCCGCTAAGGTTCTAACCATTATTGTTGAAAAGAGTGGTTATCAACGTTCTTCGGAGTATATTGAGCAGGGATGCTGAAGAACATTGCTGGGGTCAGTGTTCGGTACAAGTATTTCAGCCAATGATGACCAAGGACAGGCCCGTCAGCAGCTTACATGTTGGTAAGCCGTTACTTTTATCAAGAATCAAACTACTCACAATTGGATTCTACTACAGGTTGGTTAGAACTCGAGGTGGGTTGTGGACTTGGGATATAGTCTGTACTCTGGCCAATATGGTACAATAAAAAGTGTGGACAATGCTAGGGAAGAGATCTGATGTCTTAGGATGGTAGGGTTAATTCAGGGTAGTTGGTAATAGTGCTAGGAAGGATACCGTGATAAATATCTTAAGAGGAATATATATTTGTATATCTTTCAGTACCTACATAAATAGTAGCTACACATGTGTGGTATGTTTAGACCTTCCCGGGTTGATAGTTAGCCGTTGACTTGGTCTAGGTTTACATCGTTATATCCCACCCGTCAGGACGATGCGGCATGAGCTTTGACGATAGGTAACGTGCAAAGCATAAAGGGATCAAAGTTTGGAAACCGCTAAACTCATGCAAATACCACTGGAGTCTATGCGGTTAATTATCTAGAAACAAATCAAGCGGCCCACATTCATGAACCACTCCGTACTGCAACAGCTTCAAGCGCCTTGGCTTGCATCTCGTTCCCCGCCAAACAAGCTCCAGACCCGATCTCGCGTCCATCATTATGGAATAACTTAGCCAATCCATCCTCCATGGAAGAACGATGCACCCGCCCAGGCACAATAACGCTCCTCTTTCTCCTAACGACGACTGATCGTCCAATCCCCTGTCTTCCGACGCAGCTCATAGCTCCCTCGGTTGCGGGGTAGCACCACCAAAAACCTGAAGGTGGCATGGCATGGCATGCTCTGGGCTGGTGACGGATCAAGCCAACCAAGCCGAAACATCCAATGCGCGCGCATAAACATGGTCTTGCGCTGCCGCATCAACGGCCCATTTCTGAGACCTTAGCTTGAGTAGTTGGAGTAGATAAACTATAAACACCGCCGCATCCATTCTTGCTGAGACCTGGATATCTCCTTCTTCTCTTAACATTGTCGCACTTGCACCAAAATTCGACTTACACTTAACTCACACTTGACTTCTACCAACACACTCATCAATCTTACACTTGAACATCACCACAATGACCGACACTACTGAGCAGCAGCAGACCAAGCTCGTCGATGATTCTTCCATCTCTCCTGTTGAACGAAGAAACTCACTGGAAGCCCACCTCAAGCACCGCCCCGAGCGCGCCGAGCTCGTCGAGAGTACGCCAACCACACCCCCATCGTTTCGAGTGTGAAGTGCACATTGCTTACAGACCTGTCCCCAAAACAGAAAACATCCTACCAGCTTCTACCGCAGCGCCAGGCCTCCTAGCGCACCAGAAGGAGGTGAGTTAGCCCAGCCCGAACCCGCGAAGCCAACCTTTGCTGACATCTTTTTCCCTTGCGCACAGCTCGAGAAGCACATGCTCGAGGACAAGCTCAACGACAAGATCTCGCACCGCCCAGACCCTGAAGCTCTCATCAAGGAGGGTGTTCTTCGCGACGACCCGCGCAGCGTGGCTCAGGACGAAGCTGCCAAGAAATACGACGAGGCTATCGAGGACGAGTATGCCAAGCGTGAGGGTGGCGCCTGAGCATGATGTCATGCGACAAGGTCATGAGCCTCGGCACTCATGATACAGAAGTGGGAATGTCTTTTATTTTTGGGCTTGGAATGAATTAAATGGACCGTCTATTGCTGCCTATGTTAATCACAGAAAACAAATGACTGGGCGCTAGCTATTAGGCCTCACATTGGGCCGTTGTACTTATCTTGACAAAGAAAATATTGAATTGCTACACATTCTCTTGCGTGGACTAACACGGAGCTCGGGGCGTGAGGTTACAATTCACACCACACACGCCAGCTCGGTTGGGCAGTAACAACGGCCATTGATCCACGCAAGGTGGGCTTCCCATCTCAGCTTTTTTCTGCAGTCTAAGCCTCTTTGATGCGAAATGCCAGCGTGGAGAAACTCTTCAAGTACGGCACAATGACAAAGTGGAGGACAACTGCAGACGAGAAAGCTCTAAAAAGAAGACCCCTATGATGAAGGACGGGGTTGGGCTGCAGGTACCGAGCGGGAGGGAACCCAAGGCCCCATCCAGTCGCAGCGCCCAACCCGTCACACCATCAATTATTGTTGCGTCTTTGTCTCGGACCCTTTTTCTCGAGAGGGGATCCCTAGAAATCAAGGAATGAAGCAAAAGTAAAATTAAGGGAAGTAGCTGAAACATGTGGGAGCAAGAGAGAGAGAGTGTGTGTGCAAATAGTGCAATGGAAAATTCTTCCATGGTTTGAAATTGGTTGGCTATCGCCGGACCAGTCCGGCGGGCCGTCTCGAATGTCTTCCAGCCATCTCGACTTGTAAGAGGTCGAGATGGGAGATTTAGCACCCCAATAGATGCCAGCGCGGACCACGTTGTGTCCGACGCTCGTATAGTAAAAGTACAGTAAAGGGTGATACAGACTGAAAGAAAAAGAAAAAGAAAAAGAAAAAATAAACCCGTCTCCGTCCCAGTCCAGCCCCATCTCAATATATCGCCAATCTGGCTGGCCGTTGGAAAAATTTATGCTCAAGTGTTCCATAATACATCCCGCCACGCTGGGCAAAATCCTTCTTCAAGATGTCAAAACGCCAGTCTATCTATGTATGCTGTTGCCCGTGCCCGTTGTATATCGCTGTTTGAAATCGACGGCAAAAAGACATAGGAAATATAAAAGGAGGCAGTCGCCGGCGATCGCTTATGTTCTCGTGTATGCGCCTGAGTATTTTGGTGCGGGAGAGTCCTTTTCGAACCCGACTTTGTTGTGGTTGATGACCAAGTTCCGGCCAGAGCTGGCGACTTGTGTGGTGTGCTTGTCTATATCGATGGTTAGAGTGGGTCCCAAGTATATTAAAGAGCCCGGAGACTCGGTAGCAGGTAACTTACCAGCACCGTACTCGCGGTACTCGCCGGGAGAGAGAGATCGAGGTGTTGTGCTGCCGGAAGAGCTGTACGAACCAGAAGAGTAGCTGTACGAGCTGGAGATTGAAGGCTCCTTGTTGCTCTGGTGGATCTGGACGGTATAAGGAGAGCTCATGGTTGCGGTTGTGTGAGAGAGTAGTTGTTGTTTGTAGGAGTTGTCTTGTTGAGATTTGTTGACGAAAGTTGTTGTTTGAGTAGATGGGCGTTGTCTGAATGGTTGAGTCTTCGTATTTGGAATGCTTGATGAGAATGGAAAGGGGAATGGGACTGATGGCGAGGAAGGGGGTCTATATGTATTTGAAGCTTGGTGTTGCGAAACGATAGTACGTACTCTATCATTTGTAAGTGGATTTAACCCAAGACTCACTGCCTAGAGGACCAGGATTGCCCAGCAAAGCACAAGGCATGCTGTACGCTAGGTAGCCTCCAACATGGGGGGCTATAGGAATTCCATCAAAGTTCAGGGGAGTGAGTCAAGGAGAGACTGGACACTGGACACTGGACGCGAGACAAGACCAGACCAGATGAAGAACAGAGCACGCGCATTGGGTCCCCCGGGCCCGGCACGGCAGGCGGGCCATCTAAGGCACGACGGGAGCACTAGCGATGGTGTGTAATAATTACTGGGGGCAGTAATAAATGGGAATGGATAATGGGCAATACGGGGTACAGCATGACGGGGCGTAGTCAAATCATTGGGCATCGAGTGGCCGTTAAGGGCAAGGCTCAAGGGGAACTAGAGTCTAGAGGAAATCTACCCTGGCTTAGGCCTGGCTTTCGCAATAGCGAAGTGACGAAGTCTTCTCCTTCTCCATAATGGAACTTGGTCTGAGCACGGGGTCATGCCCATGACAGCACTTCCATCTCTGGGCTGCGGTGGCGAAATTCTGGCCGTCAAGTGAAGCTTGGTGACGCTGGATAGGGCGGAGCCTTTAGCGAACAAGAACGAATGAGCAGCCTTTGATGCAAGGCAGGGCAAAACCAAGCCCCACGGCGTGTGCGAGGGAACAGGAACAGGACCAGGTTTGATGGGACACAATACGTATCCGCACGTAGGTACGGAATGGTCGAAAATAGACGAAACAAGACAAAGACGATGATAGTGTGCGCTGTTGTTGCCTGTAATTGGGGGCCACGATTTACCTATTCCAGTCTGCGGTTGTTGAGAGCCAGGCACACCAACACGACCTTGAATCTTTAGAGGAGAGCTTATTAGGGGAGACAGGGGCTCAATTCACGATGCGACGACTTTGAGTGAATGCATGAAACACTCGCAGCAGCCGTCATACTAAAGCCCAGACTAGGAAGTAGGAACCAGGCACCGCAGGCATCGCAGGCACCAGCGCAAGTAACACGTACCACTGCCTTGGGATCGTGGAGCTAAATTAGTGATCAGATAAAAATATCCAGGCTGGGGAAGCAAATAGTGAGGCCGCGATCCGTGATTCTTTCATTCCAGTCTTTGTCTTAGACATCATTCTCCTTTGTCGACCCCTTTCTTTATCCTTACCTGTTATCTTTCATACAAGACAAGCCTCGACGTTCATGACTGGCTATGCCCTCGCACAGCAGTCAAATCTGTCGATGCCCAAACACTAAATATCTAAGTGTCTGAGCATGCACCCTGACAACTGAGCCTATTGAAGCTCTAGATGGGACACCCTACCGTGACGAAAAGGGGTCAAAGGGAGATCATCATTGTCTCTCGTCGCTAGAGACAGCACCATGGGCAAGAGGCGAAAAGCATCGTGAAGCGCATTAGCGTCTGAAGCGCTTGGCTCAGGGCCTCTCGGCGTGGTGGATCTGACACCTGCAGGCTGGGATGTGTCCCCATCTGGGTTGCATCTCCTGCTGCAGGAACTGATGCGCCCATCGGCTGTAAACATGTCGATTGCTGAAGCTCTACACCACCTCGCCCAAGGGGAGCTCTAAGAGTTGTCACGCGGATCATATCGGCGCTCCAGCCGCCGCATCAAGCGACCTGTAATATCGAATATGGATGGATGGACGGATGGGGCCGGGAGTGATTGTTTTGTCACATCCATCAGCTTGGGAAACATGACCATCCAGTGACGTCGCGATGCTCTGTTCCGATTACAGCCTTGCTATGATGGATCAGGGACCGACAAGGGATGTTTCTGTCTTGTGCCTTGCTTGATAATGAAACGCTTCACTAAGCCGAATTGCTGTATGTCCGTCATGAGTCACATGGATAGATCTCGCCCTACCAGACAGTAAACGACATGTGTGAAATGCGTCAGATAACCAGTAGATATCCACATGTACATACAGATAGTTGAAGGGCCAACGTGACTGCAGGACCAGGGCTTGTTTGGCATGTCTTGTCCCGACTAACATCTCGGTTCTCGTGGATGGACCCTGTTGCTCACCCACATCTGGTATTGCGGCCTCCACAGTTTCCAAATGGAGATACAAGACGTGACAACCCAGCGTCAGATCAGGACGGGGACATCAGACGGGCCGTGTCCCATTGACCAATCAAAAACAGTTTAGCTGAACCCCCCGAGCTATGACGCTGTTCTGTCGAAGGACACAGCCAGACTGTACCAGGTACCTTGCCCGCTAAACGGACACGTCGCCGCCCGCAGCTACAGTTGGAAAACAGCGGTAGCCCATCCACCACCATCCAGAGAATACGTCCATCCACACAACGACAACCTCGACAAACCAACCACACCCGTCGACGTCACAACTCCAGTACTTCAGGCTTCTCAACGACTTTCACGCCGTTGTGACCTCCATATTACTCTTCAATTCCCTGTCACTCGCATCCTCCCCGACCGCCACCATGAAGGCCGCCCTCTTCCTCTCCGCTCTCGCCTCTGCCGCCGTTGGCGTCGTTGCCGAGGAGCTCAAGATTGACGTGACTCTCCCCGTGGTCTGCGAGCGCAAGACCCAGAAGGGCGACAAGGTCCAGATGCACTACCGTGGCACCCTCAAGGCTTCGGGCGAGCAGTTCGATGCCAGTAAGTCCGCCCGCCTTGCATCTACGGAGTACATCCACAAGGTACCGCAAGTCATATGCTAATTCAATCACAAGGCTACGATCGTGGCACTCCTCTTTCCTTCCAGGTTGGTTCCGGCCAGGTTATCAAGGGGTATGCCTCACCATTTCCGCGATGTATTCGAGTCTAAGGCTGACAATTTGATTAGATGGGATGAGGGTCTTCTTGACATGTGCATTGGCGAGAAGCGGTACGTAAAGAATACAGCTTTTGGCTAGAATACCCTTGCTGACCCTTGACTTAGACTCCTGACCATTCCCCCCGAGTACGGCTACGGCAACCGAGCCATTGGCCCTATCCCCGCTGGCTCGACCCTGGGTGCGTTATTCCCAGCTCTCCATCCCACCTTACAATCACCGTCTAATATTCTGAACCTACAGTTTTCGAGACCGAGCTCGTTGGCATCGCTGGTGTCCCCAAGCCTGAGAAGATCGAGACCAAGGTTGTCGAAGGCGCCGAGAGCGCCGCCGAGGCCATTAGCAAGGCTACTGAGTCTGTTGCCGAGGCCACTCAGAAGGTTGCCGGTAAGGTCGCCCAGGCTGTTGCCGATGCTGCTGCCGCCGCCGCGACCATCATCGCCGATACTGATGACGCTCCCGAGCACGAGGAGCTGTAAAGACTTGACGTATACAACGATCTACTATGCATAACGTACCGTACCATACCATACTCTATCTAGCACATAGCATTGGGGAGTTCAAAAGAGAACATTCATTACCAACCAACATCGGGTTACTTTCTGCTCCAGGCAGGCCCCACGTTAGCCTTCAGTGACTTGTTGGCTGCATATGCACAACCGCATCTGCAAAGGGTCTGCTGTCCCTCTCAAGGGCGATAGTCGTGATAGTGGGATTGATCCTGTAGATCTCGACGTCATGCTACAACAGACTCTTCTTATTCTGGCGATAGCCTCGCTTCTGGCAGTCACCATGAGGTGTATCATTTTAATATGATCCCATTCCACCCAATGATGTCCATCTCTGCAGCGTTTTTGTGGTCATCGGATGGAGATATGCAGGTATTTGCTGCTTGAGTCATGTCAATGCACGTCGTGATGTGTCTTGAACCAGTGGGATCCCCCGCTCCTGAGTAATGTATCTCAATGGGCGATACGGATTTCACAGATGAGCTTACTTCTGCAGCGAAGTTTCTAAATCTTGCTCTACATTATTGCTGCCAGGCCAGTCGCAGGGCTCGAGGTTATTCCAGATGGATCCCCCATCCATAAGCTGGTGGGGTGATTCGACGTCCATCTCATCTTTAGCGGTGAAGAAGACCGTTTTTTTTTAATAAAAAAACTGCGTCATTGGATATATGTCATAGTGATAATCGAAGGTTATGAGTGAGTTGGTGTTTGTGACAGTCTGGTCACATCTCGTACACTCTGCATAGTTCCTGTGACATGTTCTCAAATAGGTGATACTGGTTTGTGGGTTGAATACCTACTTTTGAGAGTACTTTTGAGCCCCAAGTTAAGCACAACTATGTTTAAGCAGCCGTGGTAGATAGGCAATATATAACCCAGCATGGTCAACATAGTTCTCATCTTGCTCACGATGTATTTCATGGTATAGGGTATGTACATTATCACTATCTTCAGTCAAGCAGTCTCAATTCTATGCAAGGTCTAGACACGAAATGTCATGGAAAAGAAAGTAATAAAGCACAAGTATTATATAATAAGGTGAGCGAGTATACTTAACGAAAGTCCTGTGGATAGGATATTAAGGCCCTGGAATCACTGCCTTGAGTTTTAGGGTTCAGAATCAATTGACATCTCAAGACCTCACGCGACATTTTACAGTACGCTGATGGGTTGTTTGACTGAGTGTATTTGCTGCTTGGATGTGCTGTGTAAGGCAATGACAATACATCTATAATCTTAGGCGAACAACGCTCAAGTATGTGCAAGCATAGAGGAGTGTTGATTCGATAAAGTTGGAATACCTCTGCAACGACATAAAAAATGACTGTACAAAAACTTACATGATCATTGTCAGCACTATCTTCTGTAAATATGTATTAGTATAGCACAGCTTTACAATGAAATTTGATGTGAGGAATACCATGGTACGAGACTCCTTCTCATAAGAGGCTACATTGTGATGGGCTCAGCCACATCTCGTGCAAGGATGGATCCATGAAAGGGGAAGCATTCACATGCAAAAGGATGAACGAGTGAAGGTTAAATTAAAAGTGTATGAAAACGTCGTCAACATGTCTCCATCAGAAGAACCATAAAGGAAGTATTCTACTGTTTGTGTCCGTACGGTGACTTCTACCGGGCTTGCTACTTGATTTTGGTTGAACAAGATGGCAAAGCGGCGACTTTTATATGAGGTTGCAATAGATAGACTGAAGCATTCATGATGAATGAAGCAGCAATTATGTTCCATACGATGGAACCAATCAATGATATCCGCTGGCGGAACGTAGCCGTTGGCCCATTTAATGCCCCGGGAGCTAAGGACTCCGCCGAGAGGGACGGGATGGAGATCCACGGCGGGCGGGAATGGCTTCAAATGTCAGGTACAAACAAATCCAAACTCTATTTGAAAATTGAATGGCATACGTAGTATTTATATATAGAGAGAATATACATGCTAGGACTAATTGGAGTTGGATGCTCAAAATCTTGTCAGTTATTAGTAGCATTCGCTAAAGACGAGTACCTTTCCAATGGCTCCCTCTTCATGCCCATTCATCTCCTGCTTGGGCCATTCTATGACCCTCAACCTTGCAATCGCTGTCTCTTCTGCCGGGATTAATTCGAACTCACCTTATGCCCACTGTTTCAATTGGGACGCGGTAAGCTTTTAGCGCCCACTCAACCTTAGTAAAGCCCGCTGATAGCTCCCGATAGTGAGCCGTACCTTGCACGGTTGCGCTGTAACTCGGGCATTCAAAGGGGCGGCCTCGAAACCTGGAGCTTGAGCTTCCTTCCCCCTTCAATTGATGCACTGCCAGTTGGCACCTTCATCACCAATCCTATCTCCCAATTGAGACGTCAAGCTTTGTTTCTTTTTCCTTTTTTTTTTGACTGCCGCTCTCTTATCTTACACCTGCGTCGTACAACTTTGCCTCTCTCGTTTTACATCATTTTACCAGATATTCTGCTTCACTCTAACGTTAGCTTGTCATTAAACTTGCTTCCTTCATCACTTTCTTTCGCCTTGCATTGACTACCGCATCATCCGACTACTGCCCGGGCTTCGGCAAATAATCATTACGCAGCCATCTCCTTTAACAATCGAAATGTCATCTCACTTCCAATAGCACCGTCTGGTTAAACTCATAAGCTTTTCTGAGGCTCTGCGCCTGTCAATTGGGAGCTGAACCGTTCAGCTGGGTCGCATATCTTGGCACCACAGCCAAGCACCGCGTCAAACACCACGATGTTCGAATCTATCAAATCTCGCTGGGAAGATCTTCTCGAAGAGCACCCGCATCTTAATACGGTCGCCACATTCGTCTGGAAACTGATCCCACCCATCAACTTCATCACCATTCATTACGCTTATTTTATATTCGGTTCACTCTTCTTCTCCGTCATCTTTTGGGGATCAAGCGAGCCAAGCCGCAGCATCCCCTACATCGACTGTCTATTCCTCGTCGTTTCCTCCTTTTGTGATGTAGGGCTAAACACAGTCAATCTTTCTGAAATCACAACATGGCAGCAGGTTCTGCTATACATTCTATTTATCATCGGTAGCGCACTCTGGGTGTCGTTCTGGACTGTTATGGCACGAAAACATGCATTTGAGAAGCGCTTCGAAGATGTAGTCGCTGCAGAGCGGGAGGCCAAGAAGAGGCGCGCTGCGCTGAGACGTGCCAAACCACTTGGGAGGTTCCTCACATTGGACAAATCCAAATCATCACCCGCAGACACCGGAAACTCTACCACTCTTCCTGGTCTGGGTACCCGCCAGAGAACTGTGCTAGAGAAACACGACTCTAACGATGTGTTTACGGCCCCTCCAGTGCGCCGTGTAGTGTCCGCTCCAGAAGATGGTATCTCCGATTCCGACGACAATGATAGCAACAGGACACAAGTAGCGGCTCCTGTCCGTATCCCTCCTCTCACCCCAACTTCTGGCGACCACATCCAATTTGCCGACAATCTATCACCTGCTCACGGCGCTAGAGACAACGCCTCCATCTATCAGCGTAATGATAACTTGGAACTCAATCAACGACCTACGACAGCTTCATCAGCCGGCAGCGACGAATCAGAAGACTTCCTATTACACTGGAAGAAGATTCTTGGAAGCCATAATACGAGCAAGAGAGGCCAATTTTACGACCTATCATCGGATGAACGTGAAGCTTTGGGTGGTTGCGAGTATCGTGCGCTTAAGGTTCTAGCTGTTACTGTTCCTCTTTATGGTTTCCTGTGGCAAGCCCTATGTGGAATCGCCCTGGGAGCATGGATAAGCATTAATCGGCCATCTGCAGCAACCGAGAATGCTGTAAATCCTTGGTGGTGTGGCATCTTCCTGTCTTCTTCGGCTTTCAACAACGCGGGCATGTCACTTAACGACGCTGGCATGGGAGCCTTCCAGGATGCCTACTTCGTTCTGATCGTTGTCGGCATCCTCGTTCTGGCCGGCAACACCGGTTATCCCTTGCTTCTGAGATTCTCTCTCTGGTGCTGTCTTCGAATATTGCAATTGACAACCCAACCTAAAACATTTGGTCCATGGAAAGAGACAATCGAGTTCATTCTCAAGTACCCCCGACGAGTGTATACGACCCTGTTCCCCTCGGTCGCTACATGGTGGCTATTCAGTGTAATTATTGCCATTAACACTATTGACTGGGTTGCCTTTGAAGTATTAAATATTGGCAATCCTGTCGTGGAGGACATGCCCGTATCCGACCGTATCATTGCCGGATGGTTCCAAGCAATCGGTAAGTGAAAAGTTCTTGGTTATCTGATAGCCATACTAACATTCTCCAAGCTGTTCGTGCTGCCGGATTTGCTGTTGTTTCCATATCAGGCCTTTACCCTGCTGTTCAGCTTCTGTACATGATCATGATGTACGTTTCCGTGTATCCTGTTTCCATCACCATGCGTCACTCCAACGTCTACGAAGAGCGATCTCTTGGCATCTATGAAGATGATCCGCAAATATTGGAGGCCGAGAACGGAAACAATCTTCTGCCTACAATCTCTGAAGAACCAGAAAAACCAAAACTACGGAGAAGAGCCACAGCCGCCGTGCAGAAGACCGTTAAGAAATCCATGACTTTTCATGGTGTGGGTGTGCGCCCTCCACCCAAAGGCCCGGACGATAACTCCCGAATATCTTTTATTGGACAGCAAATTCGTGGACAGCTTGCTCACGATATGTGGTGGCTTGTCCTTCCCGTCATTATCATCATGATCATAGAGACCGACCACTTTCTCGAACAACCGCTGGCCTACAGTGTCTTTAACGTGTTGTTTGAAGTGGTTTCGGCTTACGGATGTGTTGGACTATCTATGGGTTTGCCTGGGAAAAGCTACAGTATGGCAGGAGGTATGCACCGGGGCAGCAAGTTTGTGCTGTGTTTGGTGATTCTTAGGGGTCGTCATCGAGGTCTCCCTGTAGCGCTGGATAAGGCTGTCAGGTTGCCAGGAGAGAAGCTGGCCCGTGAAGAGGAAGAAGATTCGAAAATTAGAAAGACAAAGACGATGGACAGGATAGCCAGTCGAGAGTCCCGGGTCATGTAAGGTTGCAAATAGAGATGTACAAGCAAGGCGTTGAAGGATTTGCAATTGCGATAGATCTGTTTCAGGCAAGAGAAAAGCAAGCCAAAATTGCATTGGTATATAGATAATGGTACGGCATAGACCTGTATGCATCATTCAATCATCAAGTTCATTTCCTTATCCAAAAAATAGCTGTCTCTGCTTCGGGTCAGGCGCCTTCGGCCTCCCTCTCTTCTTCTCTATAGTCCGTGGCTTCTTATTTTCAGGTGTTGGGTCTCGCCTCGTTGATGGGGTATCTGCCTGAACAGTCTCACGAATCGTCTGCCGTGACAAGCAGAGATCGATGTGCTCGTTGAATTGCCGCTCGTTGGCCGCTTGTGGTCTGCTGCAAATGGGACAGTCCCACCATTGCTCCTCTACAGCGTCCTCTTTGGTAGGATTGGGTGCGATTTCCTTGCCATGTTTTCGGCCTGGCGATTGATTCGGGGTGTCTTGGTTACTAGAGGAGCCTCCAAGAAGGCCGTCCGCGTCGTCTAGCTGGAAATCGGCTTCCGGCCATTGTTCCCATTCTCCATCGTCGTCGCTTGCTTTTCTCTTAAGGAGCCCTTCCTGTGGTCGGTCTTCTGAATCCGTTCGTCGAGGTCGGAAGCCAAAGAAGGCCATTGTGTCGGGCTTCTTTGTGCTGACAAGGTGTGTACACCGTAGACCCATCAAGCGCAGTTTCATGTCTGGCATTTCCTGCTCCAGCTTGGTGAGTATAGGAAGAGCATAGTTGTATAAGTCATCTGCTAGCCATATAGCCCGCGGGAGGACGGATTGACGGGTGAAGACCTCATAAGTGTGAAGTTTGATTTTAAGACAGAGCGTACGGCCCTTGCATTCAGCACGTTTCATGTCTTGCTCTAAGTCTTCGGCTGTTGAACGCAGCTTTTCCCTGAGTTGCGTGGGATCAGACATATCGCGAAACGTACTCTCAGTACCAACGCTTTTACGCTCGTAATCTTCTGCCGGTTGAATCTTGGTCCGACCAAGACCTAAGTAGCACATGAATAAGAACTCCGAAGTTTTGTCGCCAAAGAGCGGGTTGAGGTACTGTCGATGAGCGTAGAGATCACCACATGTCTTGATACCAATCTCCAGGAGTTCTCTTTCGAGCACACGACCTATACCATTGACCTTTCTGGTTGGCAAGTCCCGCATAAACGCCATAATTGTTGGCCTGTCACTGGGTAGAACGTATTGTCCGTTGGGCTTGTTCATGTTCGAACAGATTTTTGCAAGTTTTGCGTTAGCAGCGATACCGGCAGAGATGGTGATATTTGTCTTTTGGTGAACTTCGGCCCTCATCTGTTCGACAACATCTGCTGGTTCCATTTGGTGCTCCAGACAGTACTCTGTGATGTTCAGGTATGCCTCGTCGATACTGGCGCTCTCAAATCGTGGGTCGTAATTGACGAGGACTTCCCTAACTTCATGCGCTTTGGCATTGTACTTCTGGAAATTGGGCTTGAGAAGTATGAGGCTTGGGCATAGTTTCTTGGCCACGAAGCCAGCCATACCTGATCGACAGCCAAATTTCCGCGCAACATAATTGCAAGTAGTCAAGACGCCGGCACCAACAGCAAATGGAAGATCCTTTATTTCAGGACGATCAAGAAGCTCAACTGCCGCGTAGAAAGCATCGCAATCGACATGGACGATGTGTTGGGTCAAGTCGCGAGTGACCTCTAGCTCAGCGATGAGACGGTCGGCATTGCGTAGATCACGGGTAAGATCCTTCTTCTCAAGCTGGTTCTTACGAGAGATGATTTGTTCGATCTTTTGAGTAAGGACCTTATCTCTTTCTTCTTCGCGGTTGAAGAATTTGGAGCCTTTCGAAGCGTTGTATATAATTTCAGAAACCTACAAGGTCTTAGTGATAGCTTTGATACACAATTGGGAAGCATGTGTACCTTGGTCTGGTCAACTTTATCTTGACCTGCTTTCAGAAGGGACGGCCCCAAGAGTGAATATTTGAGAGTTTTAAGAACATCGTCCTCGATATTCTCAGGAGTATCATTGCTGACGTCTTTGGTTTCTTTATCGGCTACCAAAGTCTCCTCTGTAAGTTGTAATGGAGGCTTCTCCTCCGGCAAATCGGTTGTGCTCATTATCAAGGGGTCAGTAGCGGTGTATTCATAGCAATGTTCGAGACTATCGAAGCCATCGTGAAGCCGATCCGATGTCGTCGCGTCTCGGAGATGAATGCACTGGAGTGTCGTGACGAGTGCCCCTCAAAAAAGTAAGGACGCGTTTGGATAGTACACGAGGTCATGTGACCGACTAGTCTGACTTTATTTAGCTGGTGTCTGATACCTAGTGGGGGGCGCTATTTTGGAGGTGGGACAGCTTTAACGACACCAAGGGTCCTCTGATGTCGATTGGCCAACAAATGTGCTTCCCCTCCCCAAGAGCAGGCGTTTAAGCGCCGACATTGACAACTTACATGCACAATGTCATCTCTTGGAAACACAGAAGCTGATCAGTCGTCTTATAGCTGGCGAGTCAAATTGCGCGCAGCATGAGGGTTGGGACGTAGAAGCGGAGGGTACAAAAGCCCAAGGAGCCCGCAAATTGTGGTAGCTTGAGCTTTTGCCGTTTCTTCTTTTTCTTGCAAGACGAGTATCTTGGCTTTGTACTTGCTTATAATACTTTTGACTCGCAATTCTTGGCTGAACTGACCCCCTCGGAAGAGAGGAGCTTTCGAAAATGGCAACGCGACCGGGCGAGGAGAATGTTGCGACACTGTAAGTTGCGACACTTAAACTTGCCAGGGAGCTTTGAATGTGCTGACAGCATGCTCCTCAAAGATTCGCAGACATTCATTATTTCTATGGCCCCGAAACTATGAAGCCCAGGCATCATAGGTTCGACAAGGGTTCATATGTCTACCTTTTCGAAAATGCCAACGAGCGCCGATGTCGCATTGAAATCGCCAACCAGCCTGGTACTGAAGACCAAGATGCTTTCGAAGGATGTAAGAGCTTGGCGCATTCCGCAAGTATGTAACTGGAAGCGCATTTACTGACGAAACAATGCATAGATCTCGACGAGACACACGTCCGATATTCCTACAAGCAACACTGCGCCGTCACTCTGACCGGGCCTGAAGCTGCCGCGGACCAGAACGATTGGCACCTCCCAACGTATGATCCTCAGAACCAGAACAAGTACCACTACAAACTTCACTCGCTTGACATTTACTTCTGGACCCAACAAGATGCGCTCCAGTTTGTCAATGGTGTCAGGAGAGTTGCTCCGCCTTCGCACGTCGAGGTTTTGGACGAACCTGGCCCGCCGCCTCAACCTGCTCCAATGAGCTCTGTGGTTCAGCAGCTGGAAAATGTTGCCATCTCAGATCCTCAATACGGATCAGCTCATGCTCCGACCTTTGCACCTCCCCCGACCGCTCCAGCTCCGGCCCCGGCTCAGTCTTCCGAGGCAACGGCAGCACCTGCTAGCTTCGTGCCAATGGCTTACAACCCGGCAGCTCCAGCCGCCCCGGAGACAATTCAGCACCGAGAAAAGACACCACCTCCGGATGAAGATCCCCTCAACCCGCTCGCCGTTGCTGTCGCATATGACTATCATAAGCAGCCTTTCACGCCGGGAATGCCACCGCCCTCACAGTTCCCTCCCGGAGGCGTGACAAGCCCCGGACTACCTCCACCTCAGTTCGGTCAGCATCCCGGATTACACAGAGCTGCTACAATGCCCGCTCAAGCACTTGGGAGTCCATATGGCGCGACTTTCCCAGCTTCACCCGGATTTGTATCTCCACCACCTCCCCCGCAGACTCAACCACCGGCGCAAACTCAACCTCACTCGGTCCCAACACCACCTGCTTCCACCCCAGGTCTTCCTCCTCCACCACCAGGAGGCTTTGCACAATATAACTACACCCAGCAAGAGCAGCAGGCACCGGGTGCAGCAGGATCGCAATATGGCGTCCATCAGCAATTATACCGCCCTACACAAACAGAACTGGCCAATTCGGAAATTTACTCGTTCGGTCCTAAGACAACGGAGCCGCGAGGAAAGCTTGAGGAAAATGCGGGACGGTTGGAACGTGGCGTAACAGGCATGCTGAGGAAGTTTGAGAAGAAGTTTGGATAAATAGCATGTGATTTGTGTGAGCTTGATTGGAGCGGGAGTTTAGGTGGATGGACTTGTTTTATTCCCCTTGTTAATTGATCATATTACCACTTCACTTTGATTCTGCTATATCTTGTGAAGTTAACTAGATTGATTAAGAATGTATCACGAGGCAGGTCGCAGATGGATGTGAGACGACAAAAGAAGAAATGAGTAGCTTTGAAAGGGCTGGTTATCACGGACATACCGACGATGTGCATCGATGTTAGATACCTAACCCTGGAGACGTATTAGCCCCGTTAAAGCCTCAGAAGCAAACACTTTGCGGATATGATAGTCTACAATAGACACGTTCGGGTTATAGCTTCAGAAGAAACGACAATCAAACTAGATACCAATGCTATCACCAACAGTTTGTCGATCGAACAAAGGAATTCGGTAATCGCACTCTCACGGACGTGATACCCGTGCTATGGTGCAATGCTAAGAGATGCGGGGAGGCTGAGCTTGAACGGGGGTTCCAGCCAAGCCACCAGCCACGCCACAACCTTGGAAGTCAGCTTAAAGGGACAGGGGCAATTAGTGTTGACTGTTGATCTTTAGCGGGTTGGAGAAGCCGTTAATTTGTGGTGGGACCTTTGGGGAGTGAGTTTACGCGGCGTCATGGAACGTAACGGAAGTTTGCGCATCGTGATGCTTGGACGAGGATTGAGAGGTATTTACTGTCTTCGCAATATCTTCAGTAAGTACCGTTGAATGGCAACTCCCAGTGCTTGATAGTGGATGGATGCCCTATATCTGAGTGATCGCGTAACGAAGGATCTGAGCCGGGGGCCCTGTTGATGCTTATTCTGCTGGTGATGATGCTGTGCTACGCTACCTATGTTCGATTGAGCGAGATGTAGCGGCTAGATAAAGAGCTGGTACCTTGTCTGCACCAGCCACAATCCAAACCATCATTCCATGGTTGATCAGTATCTTCGGAGTAGAAGTTGTCTGATTCGCAAGTTCACACTCCTACTCCTACTCCGTATGATATGCAGACAAATCCGAGCCATCGAAATATTACGTAGAACCGTTGGAGGGGAAGTAAGCAGAGGCCATATATGGGCCAGGCCTCTAGACCTTCAAGAAGCTTGGCCCAAAGTCAAGTTACGTAGGTAGCCGCTTAGTATTGGATGGCCTAACAAGTCATGATCGACAGGCAGTGAGTGGGTGATGATGGAAGTTCGCTAATTCTTGAATCTGACTGCAGAAAGTGAAGACGAAGCTCCCGTCATCCGCTGACCTTGATCAATTTCGAGCTCAACTCAAGTTCAAGTTCAGCTCAATTTTGATCATCGTACTCTCTTCATGTTACACTTGCTACAATTCATCTCGTTCTACCATTTTTGTACCTCTCTTTGTGAAACACTCAGCACGTATTAAAGGTGCACTCCAAGGGAAAAGACCCCCGATAACATCCCTGCTCAACCCTCACGCCAACCCAGGTTCCAGCCTCCAGGTCCATCTTAGACTCAGCCCAGGGCCAAGCCGACGGGACCAGCCAAGCAAGCCAACCTCGCGCCTCCTCGCGGCTGTGCAGCGCTGTGCTGTGTGTTGTGCTGTGCTTGGGTTTGAAGGCAATAGCCCTCTTTTATTCTTCTTACGTTTGTTATTTTGTTTCTCTCAATCAATCTTCAGTAAATCGATATCCTCGTTTCCACTCTCCCCTCACACGACGCATCTTGTGCCATTGTTGAATCTTATTATACGAAACCTTGCCTGTATTCCCGTCTCGTATCGGCTACGAAACTACGAATCATCCAATCGGGCACGCCTCTCTGTGGTCCTCTTCTATCCGTCCTCTCCGACGATTTATCGTCCACAGTTTGTCTCTGTTGTTGGCGCAATAAACCTTTGCTTTCTTTGCATGGTGAAAGCTCAATTCGAAATGCACATGAATGGTCCAATACAGCGTGGCTGGCAGGGCGTCGAAAGCTCCCTGCAAGCTCGGCAAACGAGCTCTAGTGATAGCAACAACGGTGGTGGATCAAGTAACACTGTCGTTTTTATTGTGAGTTTTTAACTGCACTGAACTAAACAGATTGCCGAGACTCGCCATGGCGCTAACCGTTGTGTCTCAACGTTCAGGTTATAGGCACTCTTGCTGGTGTGCTCGTCGCAGCCACTATAGCTGTCTGCTTACTCAAGAAGCGAAAGCAGAGCAAACCGACTGAAAGTAAAAAGAAGGGAGGGTTCCTTGGACGCATAACGGGCAGATCGGGACAAGGGAATTACGAACAGACGCCTGGAGAAGACGGCGGGGAGAGCGGACGACAATCTCATCAGCTCGATCCCACTTCGATAAACAATCGACAAAATCGCAACAGTGCTTCAGCTCGCAATGCCAATGCCACCGCAACCGTCGATCGCAACACTTCCGTCCGCTCCGTCCTTACACTACCTGCATATCGACAAAGCGCAAACCACAACGAGCAGGTCCTGGGGCGAGAAGGCGAACGAGATGGAGTGGATACGATTATCGACCTGCCAACCGCAGAAGCCGAAGAGGAAGCACGAAATGAGGAGATGGAGACGCTTTATCAGATCAGAGTGGCTCGACGACAAGCGATTGCCGAGCGTGAGGAGCGGAGAGAGCGACGCCGCGAGGCACGACTTCGAAGTGACTATCGAGAGCTTGAGCAGATCAGAGCCGAGACCCGCGCTGCAAACGAGAGTAACACAATTTCCGAATTAAGAACGACCGTGGACCAGCTCAAGGACAACAGACAAAGGTCTGTATCGAGTGTATCATACGCAGACGTAGGCGTTGCACGTCACGATGGAACGAGGATCAGAGCAAACAGCAGCGAGAGCGAGCGTGTAGGCTTGCTCTCAGACGCTGCGAGTATGCAATCTGGACATCAGCGAGGGCGCAGCTTCAGCTCTGCTGCCAGCCATGACGACGATTTCGCAAGTCTGGCGCCTACGCGCTCGCGGGGAGCTTCTATACGGTCGGGCAGCGTAGATGGTAGAGCTGGCTCAAGTCCTGAGCTGGTGGAAGCAGATCTTGGGGAAGAAGCGATGCCTCCTCCCGAGTATGAGGATATACCGCTTGCTGATGATCGATCTTCGACTCATGGGCCTCCGCCCGACTATCCTGGCCCTGAGCGGGCTTCGTCGCAGAGAACACAGCGAACTACGGAGCATGATCTGGGCTCGGATTGGCAAAGTGCTGATATTTCACCGGTCACGGATGGTCACAGCAGCAACACGTCTCCCAACGGTCAAGGGAACGGCGGCGCTCCCCAGTTGCCCAGCTTAAGGATACCGCAACTCCCCGAGATTGTTATTCAACCTTCAAGCGCACATCCACGAGATGACGAACTACGATCACCACACCAATGACATATATGAAGTTTTTCTTTTAGGCCACTTTTTTTCTTCCTTTTTTTTCATTGGGTTCGCTTGGAAATGGTTTGTTTGAGAAGAGTTTTAAGCTCGAGATGTACAAGTCATCTAACGAAAGCATGGAGTTTGGTCCGGGTTGAATGCGTTTAACGAATGGGTGCATTGGCTTTTTGGCCATGGTTGAGTTTCAAGCCTCAGAGGTTATACATATCGATGGCTTTTGCGTTTATTACAAGGTGTTGATATTGGCAGATATTGATCGTATGGCATGGTAGCTGCTGTGAAAGAAATGTCAAACTTTGCATATATGAAAACGTACAGCATAATACGAAGTCTTGAATGAGACTGTCATGTGATAATGTTGGTTGATAGTATGTTGCTTCCGAGCATTTGAAATTTGGTCGTAAGCCTCAGACCAGCCTCCAGAGTTATCTTGACTGCAGACAGGGTCTAGGCATGAGATTAATATGCGAAATCGTCCCATATAACGAGAGGGTGGATGCTTGCAGAGCGGTAACAGCGCATGTGCTGCAGCGGAGCTCACAGCTGCAAGCGGCCAGAAAGAAGCACGATAGTTGTTGAGGAGATCCACAGAAGCTGCTGAAGAATAGATTACTACGTAGAGTGCTTATGCAGGAGCAAGTAGTTAGATGTGTCGGTGAGAGAAGAAACTTTGCTGAAGAATAAGACGATGGATAGGGACGTGGTGGATAAACGGATATACATGGACACGGCAGTATGTAAAGGATGGCGGGAGGAACTAGTTGCCGAATGGTTGAGGTCCATAATTATATCGAAGGCTGGGTAAAATGGAACAAGGCTGCTTAGCAAAGCCTTGATAAGGACAACATGAGGGTGCCTGGGTTCGCAAAGTGAGACAGATCGAGACCGATTTCCAATAGCCGCGCGCGCCCGGAGTAACACCCCGCAGTAATGATGTTTTGTCAGGCTCTTGTAATGCAGGTCTAAGCGTTGACTGCTAAGCTCACATCAGCCTTGACTCAGCAAAAAGCTGTCCAGATTGGGACGATCGAGGTGGGGCCTAGGTAGCGTCGATGTTTTGGGTCCCCAGGGTATGTTTTTGTTTTGGAACAGTTTGAAGGTTGGTATGAGGAGTGAATTCACAGAGAGTAGCTTGAGGTACTGGTATCTAGTTAGGTATTCTATGAATTTCAGATGGTAAAGCTTAATATAGTCTACCAGTAACAGTAATTTGAGCTCTGTAAAAGACGGCAGTTACTATACATCATCATCTGCATCATGTCATGATTCAGGGACACTACCACTCCGCCATAACCCATCCCGAAAGCCTACCTATCCCACCACGCGTTCGTAGATTCCGGAACAGGCAGCGTTGCACCAATGATATCATGAGCGTCCAATGCATTTCTGTTTAGGACACGGGCTAAAGCGAGTACGTACCTGGGAAGTGGATCGGATCTCATGTAGAAGCTTCCATAACCAAAAAAACCACCCTGAAAGCTGTCTAGCTATAAGACGAGCTCCCCTCTTCTTGTCTTCCCTTGGCTTTCCTCTCTCTATCTCTCTCATCAACTCCTATCTCTTTCTTCTTTACTTGATACCCACAGAATATAATTCAAATCAGTCAAAATGGCTCCCAAGATCGCTATCGTCTACGTATGTTTTACCCCTCCACGTTCACGTCCCCCTTGACTTCCCCAGCCCCGCTATCAGTGCCTCTTCATGATAACAACCATTGTTACTCATAAAAGACATTGAAGTTTGCCATACATGACGATTGGCCTTTTACAAAGCCTACACTGTCCAATGGCTCGCTTTCTCCCTTCAAAACTTCCGACACAACACATCATGACTGCCACAGCACGCTAACACCTCTTCCAGTACTCCATGTACGGCCACATCAAGGCCATGGCCGAGGCTGAGAAGGCCGGTATCGAGAAGGCCGGTGGCACTGCCGACCTCTTCCAGGTCCCCGAGACCCTCCCCGAGGAGGTCCTTGCCAAGATGCACGCTCCCCCCAAGCCCACCGACATTCCTACCCTCAACGACCCCAGCATCCTTGAGAACTACGATGCCTTCCTCCTCGGCATCCCCACCCGTTACGGAAACTTCCCCGCCCAGTGGAAGGCTTTCTGGGACCAGACTGGCAAGCAGTGGGCTTCCGGCGGTTTCTGGGGCAAGATGGCCGGTATCTTCGTCTCTACCGCTTCCCAGGGCGGTGGCCAGGAGACTACTGCTCAGAACGCCATCTCCACCCTCACCCATCACGGCATCATCTACGTTCCTTTCGGTTACGCCAAGGCTTTCGGCCAGCTGACTGATCTCTCTGAGGTTCGCGGTGGCAGCGCCTGGGGTGCCGGTACCTTCGCCGGTGCTGATGGCTCCCGCCAGCCCTCCGCCAAGGAGCTTGAGGTCGCTCAGATCCAGGGAGAGCACTTCTACCAGACTGTTGCCAAGTTCACTGGTTGACTGCATGGCAGCAGCCAAGCCGAGGCTGCCCCAGTGGTGACACAAAACACCAAGCCTGCCGAGGCTAAAAAGGAGACTGCACCTCAGTCAGACAACAAGGGACCTCAAGAGCTCAAGGAGGTCAAGGAAGGTCCTTGTGGACTGCCCGCAAAGTGTGTCGTCCAATAAATGAGTCGAACGATAACGGAATGCGTTGCTTAGAATCAATACAAACATGTTAATAATCATTGTAAATAACGCTTGCTCTGTGATACGCTACCAAATAATAATGCAACCCGAAGTCGACTCATTGAACCCACCAACAAGGTCATACCAACAAACGACTGAGAAGGCCCACCTCATCTTAACCCTTACTTCTTCTTTATGACACAAACGTCTTTCATGCATTCGACGGTCTCATCACTGATGTGTAACTCAGTGCTGCTTCCTTTCACCAAATCATCGAGCATCGCGTAGACAAACTCCCTTGGAGTGTATCCGCTTATTATGTTGTATGGTAGCCTTGGGTCAATAATGACTAGATCGCTCGTGTACTCATCGTCCTCATCAGCGGCTATTAGAGCAATTTGTGAAAGGTTCTCCAGTATGTATAGCCCGCCTGGCGAAACCGAATTCCAATATCTCAAGAACCCCGTGACCCGTTTGTGCATTGAAAAAAAGCCCCTATCAACAACTACGTCGTATTGAAGGCGGCGTCTGTTGGGATGAAATTCGATAAATTGGGCTTCTAGTTTGTCGGGATAGATCTGAGCTGCTGGTTCCTGCCTCTCGAAATTTTCAACACATGTAGAGTTGACTTCGATCACATCTAGCTGGACGCCAGGTAGTAGTGTCCGCCATGTGTAATATGATGCTCCAAGCTGCCTGTCCTGAGGTTGGGATGTCAGCTAAGATGCAAACTGGGATAGAAATGATAACCCTACCACACCGCACCCAACTCCAATCTCGAGCACCTCCACAGGGTTTCCCTGCAGGGGCTGGATGTACTTTTCGACCATGGAATCAATGTCTTTGATGCTTTTTGAGTGTAGTTTGGGTTTTGGTGGGATGGGGAGTGGTGGCAACACCGGTGGCAGGGAATCTGTGAGGCATTTGGGGAGTATGATAGTAGCCATGAAGATGACGGCAAATCTCGGTAAAAGCCATCTCATTCCATGTGATCTTTCGGTGCGTGAGGAGGCCATTATAGATATGTTGTTAATGTACCCTTGGGGGTCTAAGATGATGGTAATTGAGGTAGAAAGATGTTTTGGTTGATGAATGCTCTTGGCCAAGAAGATGTATTGTATTGAAGTTGTTGAAAGAACATGAAAGCGTGTATTCCATAAAAGCACCTAGGTACCTATAAAAGAGATTCATCTGAACAAGGAGGCAAGCACAATGGTAAAGTGTAGCTTAGGTAGTAGCTACCTAGGTGCTTAGATATGTAGGAAACTGCGGCCAGCGCAGAATGCTCCTGACACGCGCCGAGAATGGCGTATTTTGTTTAGTATTCGTTACTAAAGAAAAGAATAAGGGGTATTTCCGTTCAGTGCATTCTAATTCTCCAATTATTACCCAGGCTTGACGTTCCATACACAAGCCAGACCGCGAGTCCAACTTCAGGGCGTCTTCTACTTTCGAAAGAGATTTGTCCTTGATCCCTGTGGGTTATCCTGCAGTTCGCCGTCATAAACCTTGGCTCGCTCATCCTGAACAGGTCCTGCGACTTGAATCTCGCCTCGGTATATCTCAATAACGTTTACCAAAGGGAGGATGAGGAGTAACATCGAGAGCAGCTGCCCGAAACTCCAAACAGTCTCGCCTTGGTCTTTGAGATCGATCGATGGGTTGCCGAATGCCTGGGACAACAGGATGATACGAATCGCGGCGCCGACAGCAATAGCTGTCATCAAAGCCAAACCGACAATCTGGATGATCTTGTAGAATCTTTGCTGCTTACTGTGAAGATACCAAGTAGCTATACCGAAGACAATGCAGTTGCCGGCAATAACGACGATTGTGCCGACATAGGATAGTCCGGCGTTTGTTGCAGCCCCTTTACCGTCGACCTCCCAGACACAGGAGACTGGCAACGTTTTGTCGTCCAATCCCTTAGAAACCCCTTCTAGAATGAAGACTCCTGAAACGCACGACAGCGCCAGGTTGATGAACATGAGAAACTGACGCAGCCATCGAATAACCCAGTCGCGGCGATAGTCTTGCTTGAGGGCCAGCAGTGTTGCGTTGTGGGTCGCCATGGAAAGAAGAGACAGCATCCAGATGAGGAAGAAATGATAAGGCACGAGGCTATTCATTTTGGCCAGCCCAACACTCTGAATACCAATTCCCTGCATGATTTGAGAATCGCTGTAGCCGTTAAGGAGTTTGCGCCGGATGACAGAGTCTCTGCCTCGCATTTCGGCAAAAATGACGCTACTTGATAAGACGATGGCGAGCAACGCTGTGATCATGAAGGACAGCAATATCTGTAGCGTTTCGTTAGCAAGAGACGTCTCAAATGGGGTACCGAATGGAAGCTTACACCAGCGCCTGCGACGCCCGCGTCGCTGGATGTTGGAGCGGTCGCATTTCGACTGCAGTCGGCCACTTCGAACAAGGCCATGATGGAAGAAAATGCGGAACGAGTTAATGAACGTCTGGTGCACACAAAGAAAAGATGGAAGTCATCACTAAGAGACAGGCAAAAAACAGAAACAGAGATCAAGGGTTCAAAGAGCAACTGGGGCACGAATGATTGTTATGACGTTTAAGCGCGGACCCCTGTTCGCCCTGTCATATGAAACAGGTCCCTTTGTCGGGATCTAAGGGCGAGATTGCGGAGTCACTGGATGACATTGCAAGTTGGCATTGAGGCAGTGTTCCAAGATATTTTTGGCCTGGATCTGGCCAGCGCATAATGATAGGCATTCCTCAGAATTGGGTGGTATCAACGATGCCTTTTTGGTAGATTGCCACAGAGTTGTCAGCGACCATCAGCCATCAGCCACCCTTCAGCTGCATGAGCATCTCACCATCTTGCTCTGAACACAACTGATTCTTTTTGGTACTGTACCATCGACGTCTCGAATACAGTGGCAACCATTACAGATACTTGTTTCGAGTTGGAATGTTCGCATTCATTTCTTTCGCCCCGCATATCGCACACTTAGTCTCTTCATCGGCACTAATGCTAATGAAACGATTGACGATCACTCAATTCTCCATCGCACCAACCAGTCACAGTCTCGCCAGTAATTAGAACCTTCTCCCGTCCGTCTGGCACACAATTACAGCATCCGTGCAACGAACAGTATCGCATCGACTTTTTGTTCGAGGTTATATATTGTCGCTGGAGGGGAAGAGCTAGTTGCGAAATATTCGAGGACTAAGGTGACCTAGGAAAGCGACAAGCGAGCACTACCTCAGGTTCATCAACAGTTTCTATTGCTATGGCTCGAGCAGCGGACATTAGTGAAAATCAACGTAACGTGTTCCCACCATTTCGATCGATTCCCGAAATTCTGGGGACATAACCGACCCGATCATGTCTCTTGCTTTTTTTTCTCAGGTTAAAGAGGTACATACATCCCTGATGGAAAGCAAAGTCTCGGGTATTCGTGATGGCCCTCTAAGAAAGGCTCAATTTTGTACATGGCCTTTGCTCCCAAGAAAGAATGCACTCAATGACCGAAATGACTCATTTCCACGCCCAGAGAGCTCTCAAACCCTTGCGGCTGCGGAAAACATCTCTCGCTTGCGGCTCGTTGAGGAAACATCCTCCGACTGTAACTGAGGCACAGAATGAAGCGAGAAGAGATGACTATTTCATCAACCCGACCCCATGCGGAGCAACACCATGTATGCTACTTAGGCATATTTCACTTCTGCTGGACTGGTAGAGCAGTTTGCTGTACGCCAAGGCCATCCTTTTTCAGCTCTCTCTAACGCAAGTCGAAAGACAGACCAAAAGCTGACAGCAGCTCACATAAAGTGATCTATCAAGCAAGCAACGCCGATGCTTGATCCTGGCATGCAATACAGATCCAGCCGTCACGTTAGGGAAACACTACTCCGCTCTGACGGATCAAATGGGTGTGGGGGCCACAGCGAAAGGAGGCAGTGAGTTGCGGATCCTTTGTTGGGCCATCATGTTCCAAGAAGGCAATGAGCGAGCGAAAGGATGCCGGTGAGTTGCCCAAAACTGCGACATGCATGAAGAAGGTGAATTCCCTGATGTGTTGGACTCACCTGCAGATGTACAAGGTCCAAATTCCAACTAGCTGGACCCGACAGTCTGGTATCACAACGTGATAGACTGATAGCGCCGCCTAGCCACATGAGCCTTCCATTCACATGACAGAGAGCGTCAGTCGGGGACTCGTTCCGCTGCACCTTTGTGGGTAACGTCTGGAGGTAGCTAATCTACGCGGCCGCCCGCGCAATCGCCGTTCATTTTTTTCTTGTCAGGATAGCCTTTGGCCCTGTCTCTGTCTCTGGCTCGGTCCGGCCGTTCTATCGCTTCGCTTCGCTTATGGCCTGGTCTCGCCGATGCAACGTTGACCAGGATCAGTCCGATCTCTGCAATAAGGATATAGCGTCCCCTCGACTTGCAGCTACCTAATAGTAGGAAATGTCTCTTGGGATAGGCACGGGTTCGCCTAGAGTATAATGTTGAGCAGTTGGGTTGCGTGCATTGCGCCCTCTGCTGCCACCCGTCGAAGCAGAAATGATACCTGTTTTCTGCAGAAGGTGGCTTGATTCAGGTGTTGCGTACTGAGACCAACAGACAAACACCCCAATCCCGGACAGATTAATATTGCAGCTTGACAGAATCCTCTCTCCTTACAATGCTGGTCGATGACCCCACCGTGAGCGTCAATCACTGTTGTTGGTGTTGGACGACTATCAACGGGAGCGAATTAGAAATCCTCCAACTAAGGAACTGCCTGTCTCAGCCTCTGAAGCACAAGTTACAACCAACAGATACGATAAAGCTTGTTGGGTTGAGGGTGCATCACATCATGCTGGTCCGTCGGCCCATTTTCGATGTGAAAGTACGAAAGTTGCTGCAGTTTGTTTGCTCCTTACTCGAAGCATGCATGATGTAGGTTGGCATTGAAATAGACGCATGTCATACAACCAGCCCCTTGTCCCTTCTTCTTTCTTGTCCTATAATTACTTATAGAAGCTGCATCGCTTCCGCAGAACTTTATCGAGATCAACCCACACTTCTATCAATCCTATATTCACTCGCCATGTTATCACTTATCAGACATCATCCTAGCTCGTTTGGACCGTCTTTTGGCCTTGAACTTGATCGTCCATTACGTCCTCCCCAGAATTGCTCGACGAGTCGTCCAACTTGGCACCCGGCACATCAGTTCCCCAAACCATCTTTCGTTGAGCGGCTTCCAAGGGATATACAAAGACTTATATTCTCTCATCTGGATTATCAGTCACTCATCTTCCTATCCATGGCGAATCGGCATTTTCACCACTCGGTAGACCCGCAACGAATAGCAACCCATCAAGACAAGTTCGAGTTTGTCATGAGAGCAGCAAACACATTCAAGAAGCACTGGCCCAGGGAGAATAAAAAGGACCGCCGACTTGGCAACTCGGAATGTTACTGGTGCTACCGTGTGCGGGCTCCAGAGCATTTTGACGTGCTTCAAGCAAAAACTGCTTACTTGGACCCCCGAGGACGAGTGATATTGGATCAGGATGCGAGACCGGGGGACAAGCCTGTAGCCCTGCGCCGGTTCTGCATTGATTGCGGGGTCAAAAACAAACTCCATTTACCGTTCGACACCCTTGAGACAAAGACAGGTCAAGATCTCTGGATCTGCAAGTGTCATGAGGTCTGGCAGAAGCCGGATTACCTACGGTGTCCAAACTGTTTTTCAAGTTGCCCATTCACACAGAGGAGACGATTGGGTTGAATGGCCATTGTCTATTTGGCTCGTTGAATTTGTATGACCCCAATAATTATTTGTGACCGCGGTCTGCATATTGCATCAGGATCTAGGTGGCAAGCACTGTCAGCAAAAGATGCATGCATACGAATATAAGCCTGCGGAAACGGCGCTACAAGGGTGCAATACGGCTATGCACGCTGAGGTCAGCCAGATCGAGATATGCACGAGACGAACCGAGGGATAATTGGTGAGGAACTGGGGAGGGAACAGCAAAGCGGTGTCTTTTTGAGCGGTATTCATTTGCTGGAATGGGTTCTTTATCTTGACTAATATTTTCGTTTTGGGAAATTTTCAGATTATCTTGTTGACAATGGTATCGAGAGATAGACAAGAATAAGCGTTGAATTTAATCATCTTCAAGAAGCAAGCGTTAGTATATCATTGAGGGTCACTACAACCATAACAATACATCTAGACCAAGCCTTATCAATCAGTAGCAAAACCCTTTGTTAGACTCATTGTAGAATATAAGCTTACAAATTCGTCATCCTAGGAATAAAAGTCGTCCATTATCATCCGACCTCACGCGTTTCAGGGTCCGAATCGTACAATATCAGCCTTACTTCACCTTCTTTGTGCCTAGTGCTTGGAATAAATTATTCTTTTTAGTCACATGAGTGAAGTGAAATTAGGAATGTTTCACCGGCGTGAATGACTGGAGTTAGGGGTTTGATGCGCTTTGTTGAATGTTTTACTATTATTTGCTAGATGGTGGTACCATATTGAAAGCAAGATATTAAGGACCTTGGGTGGCATTTCAACTTGTAGATTTCTTTGATGAGTCTAACTTTATCAATATTGTTTGTCATAGTAACGGTCTGTTATGAGAGTATTTGTTTCACGTAAGTACCCTATCGCCGTCGGATCTAGCCATCGAGATATCCAATACTTCAACACCACATATTTATTAACTGCGGCCGTGACTAGGTACTTTACTCGAAGTCAGTGATTCACACGGGTCTTTGAGCTGGTTCATAAAAGCAATCCAGGACTCCTTTTCGTTCCTTGATTTCTTTTTCTTCCCACAATCATCTACACAACCATCGTAACACCTATATCACTCTTGCCTATCTCCTCACCTCTCTCTCTTATCATCGCAACTCGCCTGAAATAAAGAGAATGGATGATAACAATGAACGACCACCCGATGAGCCAATCATTATCCCCATTCTAGCTTCTTTAAACATCGACGAGATTCCAGCTCTTGATCTTCAGATGGCAAAGAGCGAGGACCGAATCAGTCCACACGACGTTGACGAGGTAGAGGTATAGACTTATGTATGGCAACTCATGTACATAGTTAACAGGCTCTTATAGAACACCGAAGCTCCACAAGAGAATGATGTGTCTTCTGCAGCAAGTCCCAACGAGAAGCTCCTCTCATACGAAGATCAAGTGTTGGGAGAGCAGCCTGTAGTATCTCTAGGCGCTGTTTTGACTGCACATGGCAGTACTTCAGGTTCTGAGCCTGACTTTTCTTCGGATTGGGAGTATTCGACTGACGAAGACGAAGAGACGACGGACGAGTATGACACACCAATATCATTACGAGAACGAGAGATATTGACCGAGGTTGTCTAGTTTGGTTCGCAGAGTTACAGCTCATCGCGGAGAGCCATTTGAGTACGGTTACAATCGAAGTCGCCCTTCTTATTCCTCCGAATTCCCATCGGCCGTGGCTCTCGACCCAGCTCCTCTACCCTTGACACCCTTGCCTACGATCGACATCATCTTCGAAAACGAACATTTTGCTGTAAAGCGCTCTAAGATTGCAGGTTGGGGAGCTTTTGCCGTCCGAGAACTCAAGCGCGGAGACAGAATTCTCGTGGAGAAGCCTCTCTTTACCGCCAATAATACAACTCTTTTTAAAGACTTCGACAAGCTGAGCCAGCCGCTGCGCGAGATCGCCTTGGGATTACATGCGAGTAGCTCTTGCAAACCGGGAACTCCGAAGATCAAGGCTATCTGGACGACTAATTGGTAAGTTGAGAGTTGAAAGTTGAGAAAGGGAGTAGATCTATGCTGACATCACTTGAAGCTTTTCGACAGGTGGTGGCGATGAGGCAGGATTATTTCCCATTGCCTCGCGATTCAACCACTCGTGCCATCCAAAACAGAACGTGAACTACCACTACAATGAAACTAGCAATGTTCTCGCGATGGAAATCAGAGCTGATCGTGTCGAAGCGGGTGAAGAGCTGACGATCTGTTATGGGATTCTGCGAACCCCCGTGGATCTGTATTTCCGCTACGGTTTTGAATGTCGTTGCGGAGGATGTGCTGGGTTTTCTGAGGATGATTTGAAAGATATGTGGTAGTTGGGAAGGGAAAAGGAGTTGTCGTTAAGGAGTATTTGACTACCTAGTAAAGACGTAGGATAATGAGTTTGCCTTTTCCCCTATTAATGAGGCGTTGCTTCGAACAATAGAAGAGCTATCAATACTCATAGCTTGCATCTACTTGGATATGACTTTGTCAATGATGGCTCCTAGTTATCAAATCAGTGGCCTTTGGCATTTGTCTTGAGGCTAGAAGGAGACCAGGAAGTTTGTAGCCACTGCTATCAGAAGACTCGTATTACGAACCGATGACTTTAGGTTGGTTTAGTACAATGCTAGGCCTTCGTTCAGACCTAGACATGTTTCTATCTATTCTGTTGCCCACCGCATCATCATGTATCAGTGGCCGGGAGAATTACTTCTTTATCACTGAAAATAAACTGTCTTGGGTACATGATGTTAGTACTATCAAGATATCTCTTTGCGTTAGAAGGAGTGTCACTTGGTGAACAGGCAAATACTGATATACATGTATGACTTTCTCACGCAACAGAGGTTAATTTTGGCGATGCAACTGTCTCAATTTCGAGACGACGGTAATGAGTCTAAGTTAAAGAGAATAAATGGCACTATATTGCCGATTATCAGTGTTGTTCGCATGAGTGGTTGCCTCAGCAGTGCTAAGCCACCTTCAAGCAACACCGTATGAGTCAATTGCCGGCCAAACCCAAATCATCGCAGCGTACAAAGGATACATACAAAGCATATACATATATATTGTCCTATAATTTCCTGCTTAGCAATTCAACTCTTCTTTATTGACACTCTCTCCGATTTGCTACACTCAGCATCTACAGACTCTATCTTAATGCATCTGTCTTCTAGACACTATATTCATCTTCTCATCAGCAATTATTTACACTTACACGCAGACTTACTCGAAACCCAAAATTACGAGATTGAGAACTATGGAGTCGTACAAGATCTTGGACGGACATCGTCCTTCCAGCTTGGCAGAATGGTCATGCTCACAGGATGAAGACTCTGGCCACGAGGTCTTCAACTTCATTTTTACCAAACTTGTTCTACGTCTTGAGCTCTCATCGGATCATCGCTCCATGATATTGTGCAGACTCACCGACACAGACGGTTCGTTCAACAGAAAGACCATTGACCCTATCCGGGAAGAAATACGCTGCATTATGAGAAGTGTACTCAGCAACAGATCCCTCCCAGTCAGGAAACACGACCTGGAGATAGGAATTCTGCAGACCTTAGAAGCGATTCACGAGTTAGAGCTTGAGTTTAAGATCGAAGATGCTCGAAGAACACGAGATCGTTATAGCAAAGGATGGGCAGCCGATCAACTCTCAGACTGGAGCGAACTCATCAACAACCCCTACGGTCTTGACGTATCAACTATCCAGGACACAGCCTACTCGATCCTTGGCAAGACCCCTGAGGAGCTCGTAGCTGAAATCCCCAAGGAATGGAGGATCATTCATGTGGAATCTGTTCTCCGCAGAGACTTTGTCAGCCGTTTCTGCAGCTATCAAGAGACGCTTCGCAGGAACTTCCAGAAGCCTGACGCGATTCTTCGCGATAGAATCCCCCCTCACTCAAAGCTTGATGGCCGCATTCGATCAACAATTAGCCGCGAAGACATCATCGAAGACATGCTTACTCCCCGTGTCACATATCACGGAACGCGCATCGAGTCGGTGGCATCTATAGTTCGTCACGGATTCAAAATGCCTGGGGACTTGGTAGATGGTCATGCTATCGCCTCACCACGATCAGGCATTGCCTACGATCGCGGTATTTACTCATCTCAGGCACCTTTTTACGCCTTGTCATTTGCAAAAGGCAGACAGATGACTCCCTTGGGCATGCTTCCCAGCATGAAGCTGTTTGTCTGCGCTACAGTCATGGGTCGTACATTATCAGGCGGTTCTGAAGTCCACGGCCCTTTAGTCGATGGCTTCGACGCGCACTTTGATAGAAGATTTGAGTACATTGTTCATAACGAGCGGGCCATATTACCCTGCTATGTCATCCACCTCGATCTTGGCTCCGAGGCAGCCAAACGAGCTCTGACAAAACTCCAGTCGAATCCCGAGGAATTCTACAGTATTTCAAAGACCAAGAAGAGACCCGAGGCCAAGAGCACGGCGCCCGGAGATATCCGGCGAGAAAAGGAGGCGAGAAAGGCTTCGGCTATGAAGTGGTTCCCTTACGGCTTTGGCCCTGCTACTGGGACTAGGTTTGTCATTGAGGAGGTTGGTGATATCTCTGATGACGAGGAGGAGTATGGGGAATGGCAGGCTGACAAGCATGGATTTTCGAACACGTACATGAAAAACGCTGGAGTATGGGAGGAAGACGAAGGGCAACAGCATGCCGAGGAGTATGACGATGATGGTAACCCCGTAAAGCGCAAGGGGTTGTTGATGGATCAGTACCAGCATATCGCACATCCAACATACAAGAAGTGAAGAGGGAGGAACCTGTCATGGGAATTATTGAGTACCATTGTAGCTTGCTGTATCTGTTTTCATCTAGTGTCCCAAACGCCATGCCATGCAACCCACGCCCACGTCCAATAGTCTTCTTACATCCCTAATCCCAGTATCGAATCTCACCATCCATACCTGCCGTAACCACCTTACTCGTCTCCTGAGGGTGCCACTTGACGCTGGTGATGGCCTGGTTACCAGCCTTGAGCTTATGGTACATCTTGCACGTCTTCCAGTCCCAGAAGCACACGTAACCGCCAGAGTCACCCGAAGCAAGGAACTGACCGTCAGGACTGCAGTCGAGGTCTATACCGAGACCAGCGTTGTTGTGACCGCGGTAGCTCTTCTTTCGGTTCTGTCGGAACTTGTCGTTTGCGCCGTAAACCAAGATTTGGTTATCGGAGCTCTGGTATGCGACGTATTTGCCGCTTGGGTGGGGAGCTGCACGCGTCATGGGGTACATATCCGGCTCGGCTATGTATTTGATGGGAACAGGAATGTTGTAGTCCCATGCTCGGAGGGACTTGTCGTCGGAAGTTGTCATGAAGCGTCGGTTATCGTCAACAAACGTGATGGTGTTGATGGCCGCCAAATGGTGGTCATACTCCTGAACAACCTCATTTGGTGTTCGAATATCAAACTGGACAATCTTCTTGTCCGACATACCAGCCAGGAACTCGTTCGCATGCTCAGGGTCGGGGTTAAACTTGATACAATGGGGAGTCTTGCCAGTTGTGAACTTGCTAATACAGACACCCTTCTCTGTATCCCAAAGCTTGATCATGCGGTCATAAGAGGAAGACAGAAACTGAGTGCCAGAAGTGTTGAAGCAAATATCTGACAGAGCCTTTGAATGTCCAGAGTATGTTCGTAGCAACTCCCGCTCGTGGTACATATCGAAGATCTTAACAGTAGTGTCGGCACTGGCTGATAGAAGCAAGTGTCCTGAGGTAGGGAAGAAGCGCAGCGCAGTAATTGCCTTGGTGTGGTTCTTCCAAGAGTGAATCTGCTTCTTGGGGATAAAATTGGTGACGCTTCCCGCTTCTTTCCGAAGGTCGATGTCCAGGTCCAGGGGAACATGCATATAAGTTCTTCCCTGGTAATCGTACTCGGCGGATCCGTGGAATGTCGTCGTCTCGTCTCCCATCTCTTCGGCCTCCTTTCGTCGTTCCAACGCCTTCGTCGGCGCCTTGACGACTGTGCCACTCTCAACAACCTCTTCCTCCTCTTCGACGATCTCGTATTCTTCATCGCTTGCCAGCTCCTCACCCTCTGCAACGACTTCGTATTCGGCCTTCTTGTATCGGGCCCAAGGTCCGACATAAGAGCCAGGACCTTCGGCAATTGTAGCGCTGCCCTTGCTCTCACGTCCAGCTCTTATCCTCGCAGCTTCTGCTTTCTGTTCTGCAGTCGTTTGGTACTGGCGCTCGGGGCCACCTCGTCGCTCGATAGCGCGGTGCTTGCTTCGGAATGTGTGTTCGCTCAGATAGGTCTCTTCAGCGTGTCCAGTCGGGACACTCTTGCGCTTCAAGATGTTGCTCTCGTCTTTAAAAGGGTTCAGTGGACCAGCCTTTGGGCGCGATAGGTCTTCGGCTGAATAAGGTACCACAGCGTGTTCAGGTTCAGCTTGTTCTCGGACAATAAGCGCATCCTGCGGCGCCATATTTGGCGGGTATTCGCCAAAGTCGGCCATGATGATAAATTGGTTGTCGATAATTGCGGGTAGGTCGAAGTCGCAACACAGATCAGAGCCAAAGTTTCCTGTAGGCGCGACGACTTGTCGCGAAAACTTGAGGGTCACGTGATGATGATCGCATAACGCATGGGCGCCTCTCAAGTTTAAAGCCCAGATCTTATACGAGGAAACTCTATCATGGGTTGTACGTCATGGGCGAAGATTAAATTTATACAGTAATCCAAAGCATCAAAACTGGCTATTTTATTCGGTCATTCATCAGTTATTACACCGGGCTGAACACTGAAGGATGACGAATGAGGCCAGCAAAAGCGATGCCTCAGTCTCCAACAGAACATGCCACCCATCGCCTTCATGAAGTAATCAACCAGAGCGCCAGCTGGCAAGATGCCAGGATATATACGCCAAGCCCGCCTCTTAAAAAATACCATCATCAGTCTATACCATCTTCCACTCGTTATGTTCTGCCGTGGCAGTTTCATATCTTCTCGTTGCGTAACTGATCGACTCGGCTCTGGGTGTCAGCCGAGCTCGACCATCTGGGTAATATAGTCACGATCTGTTCTATCTGACGTAGACAACGCCTAACATCGGTGATAATCGGATCACGGCTCAGTCGAGAGTTAAGCCATTTAGGAGGACTCGTCTCGGATAAGAGCAACAATCATGCTGTAGAGGTAGAAGAAGAACATGATAAGGTGGAAACCCAGCTTGAAGAAAGACTCCTGTTTTTGGTTAATACTGCGCTTCCACATGTGAGGAGATATACTACATACCTTCTTATGGACGTTGAGCTTGCGGAAGATTTCAGTCGCATCGAGGAGATGGGTGTTGTCAACGATCCTGGTTTCCGTTAGTTTAAGGACCCTTTCTGAAAAGTTTATGAACATACTTCTTGATGTTCCAGCCAAGGAGAGGCAAGTTGAGAATAAGAGGCACCCAGTATCCGTTGATGAGGAAGAGGAAGGTCAAGAAACCATGCACAGCAGCCTCGGGGATAATGTAGGTGTTGAGTCGGTTGCAGAGATCAATGGGGTTAATGTAGTCACTACAATCAAACGCGATTAGCTTTCGTCCCATACAACGTTTTTAACGTGCGGATCCAAGGCGCAAAGTTTTGACATCTCAGGGAGTAGCAGGTAAAAAGGGCCGCAGAAGGCATACCATTCCAAATCGCTGTACATAATCGTGAAGAAGACCTGCAAAAAGAGGTTCACAGCGTTGATAAGCACCGACAGCAGAAACAACCAAGCTTCTCCGGACATCATGATGGGCTAAAGTGTGCGGCGGCGTTTGAGAGGTGGTGATCGAGTTGGGATGACGATGTTGGTCGAGGACAGCTGGTTGACAAGCTCTGTCACAAGCTGCGAAGCGCGGTACGAGGGATGATAAGCCTCGTGGAAGTCTGAGTCGCGAGTGGGTAGCTCAGGATGTCAATGTCGATATTAACGTCAACGGTGCCTTGCAGCGAAGTATTCTTAGTTACAGAGGATGAGGGGAAACGTGGGAATAGCAGAGTTGAGAGGAGAAGAAATCTTGGTGGCGGGCAATGGGGATGGTGTGGAAGTGGTAACTACTGGTAGCGGTGGTGAGTTCTGGTGGAGATGGTGGAGGTGGGGGAGGAGGACTGGAGAGGTTAGGTTAGGTTCACAGTTTAAAAACTACCTAACCTAGCGGGGATGATGGAAGCGGCGAACAGCTCGACAGCCTGACAGGCGACAATTCCAGGGCACAATCTAGAAGCGGACGGCAAAGTCATAACCCAAAAACTCCCCTGTAAGCCCTGCAGGCCTTGCCTTGATCCCCTGCACTGAAAGACGCCCTCTCCGGCGGATGGCGTGGCCGATTGACGCCTGCATGTGGCTGAGAGGGCTGGAAAGACTCACTAAGGGCTCTGCAAAGGCAGGGTTTCTGTGATGGAAACTGACAGCGAGGGAGAGCCATTTGCGTCACTCGACAGACAAGTCTGCACCCGCATGGACTTTGACACGGACCTTGGCAATGATGTAACTATGGACATTAATCTGTCCTAGACACAAAGCTGGTTGATGTAGATATCCACATTCAGTCGAATGACACAGTTCACATGCTTCTGTAACACCAGACTGGCTCTTCGGATGTCATAATTCATGGTCTGGGTTTCGACGTCCATAACATCAATTTTGGTCTCATATCTCAGTCACTGCTAGCCGTTACAATGCACCACCATTCAAACCACCGTCAGCCCGAAACTCCCCTAACAACATGACATTGCCAAAACATTTCTTTTCTTCTTGAAACAAACACATTGTGATAGTCTAATCTATGCCTTTTCCTCTCCGTTCTCGGCGCCAGGCATCGGCACGGGACCACCAGGAGAATCTGCCTGTCTCGCTGTCAGGATCTCGACACCATCTTCTGTGACAAGAAGAGTGTGTTCTGTAATACGTATTAGCCTATGTTGTTGCCACGTTTCCAAACTCAACTTACCGAACTGGGCCGTCATCTTGCCATCAATAGTGGTGCTGGTCCAGTTGTCGGGCCAAGTGATATCTCGGTACTTGCCCAGCGCAATCATAGGCTCAATAGTAAAGGTCAAGCCAGGCTTGCACTCGCCAACAGTCTTGTTCTTGGCGTAGTGAGGAACGTTGGGAGGGCAGTGGAAAAGCTTGCCAACACCGTGGCCACAGTAGGTTCGGATAACACTGCAGTTCTTCTGCTTGGCGTGTTTCTCGATAATGTTACCAAATTCGCGGATCAAGGTACCGGGCTTCACAGCCTTGATTGACTCCTCCAAACATTCTCGTGCCGTCTCAACTACGCGAACAGTGTCAGGGTCGGCCTTGGCCTTGTCTCCGATGTAATATGTCTCGTTCAAGTCCGCATGGTATCCCTCGTGGTACAAAGAAACATCGATGTTGAGAATATCGCCATCGAGGAGAACACGCTGGTCAGGAATACCGTGGCAGATGACCTCGTTAACGGATGTACAGCACGACTTGGGAAAGTTGTTGTAGTTCAAAGGCGAGGGGTATGACTGTTTTGTAGTCAGTAATCACACGGCGACTCCAGTAATCCAATCTGTTCGTAGAATAGTCCGCAATACGTACGTTTCGCTCAATACAAGCCTTGTGCACGATCTCGTCGATATAATCGGTCGTCACGCCAGGCTTGGCGGCGGCAGCAGCAATGTCGAGAACCTCGCGCGCAAGCCTGCAGCTCTTTCGCATGGCATCCTGGCCGGCCTTGTCGAGGATTTCCATCTTGTTACGGTTGGTGATGGAGCGGCTGTACCTGGGGTTGCCATCTTGCCACCACACGGGGTGAGGAATCGACTGAGGGAGGGTTCGGTGCGGCGACAGAGGGTAAACGGGTCGCAGAGAGCCGGAGTACGGAAAGTTGGGAAACGGGTTATAGTAGCCGGTAGCTGGATCTGGTGAGATTGCTTTCGGAGCTTTCAAATGGTGGAGGAGATTACTTTGCGATTTGTGCATTGTCTTGTGGATGCCCTGCGATGTTGTTAGCCGAGTTCGCTGTCGCATATCGATCAGACCACTTACCCAGTTTCTCTTGAAGCACTCCTGAGAACAGAAGAAGCTGTCCTTGACACCGAGCTTCAGGCAAGTAGGACATTGTAGCGCTCCGGCGTCGTTCTCGCAGTCGGCGCCCATACACTGCTTCTTGGTGGGGGGATCAGCAGCCATTGCGTTGGTGTTGAAGAGTGTATTCAGGGTGTAAAAGAAAAAAGGGTGCACAGAATGTTCGAGCTCAAGAAATATGACAAAAAGATAAAAAAGCTCGCCGGTCAATAATTCGGTGATCAGAAGCACTATGCAGTGTTGTCTTGAAGTTGTCTGTCTCGTGGTGTAACTTTCACACGAGAGCAAAAGATCGACTCGACTCCATTTGCTGCGGGTTGATAAGCCTCGATAAGGGTAGTCACTAACAGTGGACACTGACGCTCGGCGTCGGACTGAGGCTCGTCTAACAGAGTTAACCCTGGTCAGGTTTTATGCATTTTATGCTAGTCGAGGTCTAACAGACGGTGCTAGCGGGTTGCCCAAAACGGTTCCGTTTTGGGCAAGTGGGGGTTTACGGCGCAACGGAGACTTGTGCAGCTAGTGGAGTGTACATGTGTGCATTGGAGTTGACTGAGAGAAATATTGCCTGGTTGTGTGGATGCTGAGAGCGTCACTCGAAACTTGAACACCACTTGAGAAGACTTGGTCAAGATGAATTCGCCTTTTTACCTCAATTGTCGAAGAGTGGAATGACTCTTTAGTTTCAGTAGCGTTTACTGAACACCTTCATTATGCTTGATTTTATAAGATCTCGTCGTGTAGCTTCTCCAAGTGAACGAAGAAAGAAAGCGCATGAATGTCGACAAGACTCTATTAACCTCTCTTATATCGTGAGTGTCAAGATTCTTAACTTGCCTTTATTGTAGAGTTATGCTACCCAAGAACCCGAATGTAGACGGATACTTGACTAAGATCCTGTAGTCTTCCTATTGGCTCATAGTCAAATTTAAGCTACAGAACTAGAACCCTTGCTCTCGAAACTCATGCGGCAATTAGTTGCATACTCAGACCATATCAAGACAACACCGAATGCCGGGGTTGAGGTGGTCTTGTGGGTGATTATTTGGCTTGTCTGGCTCTGCTCTAATGGCTAAAGTGGGTCCCCGCTTCCGGCCGGCCGCTATCGGTTTGATGCAACAATAGCAGCCGGCCCTATCGGGGCTTGGAGAGGTTCTCTATTTAGTATGACGGTCTCTAGGTCTCGCCAGCTCAGGTCTCTTTTTTTTCGTCTCCGTTCGTCCTTGAAAAATTCAGGAACAATATGGAGAAGCCTCAGAAGATCGTTGTTGTTGGTGCTGGTCCTGTGGGTTCGCTGGCGGCTTTGTATGCTGCTCAGAGGGGACATGAGGTTGAGGTTTATGAGTTGCGGCCTGGTAAGTTGTATTCTTTAATCATTTTCACGGAAAATGGCGTGTTGGCACATCGCGAAGCAACTGAATATGGTTCCGGAAGACCGGTACATCTTCTTTGAAAATGTCGCAATCTGCGAATGCCATCGTCGAGCTTTTTCATAAGAATTCTTCCTCATCCTAGTATTATTCTAGAGGGCGCTGAAACTGACTGGTCTAGACCTCCGGGATCCTAGCACTATCCCGCTCAACTTCACAAAATCTATCAACCTAGCCATCTCAGAGCGTGGAATCAATGCTATGCGCCATGCTGGCCAGCCGGGTCTACTCGATCATGTCATGTCGAATACAATTCCCATGACAGGGCGCATGATTCACGGCAGAGGCCCGACCGGATCTCTGTTTGAGCAGTCGCAAGACTACGATGTCAACGGACGGGTATGCATAATTGCCTCACCTTTCGATTTGCATGTGACATTGACAAATTCCGAATAGGCAATTCACGCCATTGATCGGGCAGGCCTGAACAAGAGGTTGCTGGATATCCTGGATAATATGCCTAACGTCAAGTTATTTTTCAATCACAAGCTTACAGGCGCAGACTATCGCACTTGTCAGGCTTGGTTTGAGGTTACTGATGGGAAATCGTCAGAGGAGTCTCGTCCGCGAGAAATTGGCATTTCCTTTGACCTAATGATCGGTGCTGATGGTGCCCATTCTGCCGTTCGCTATCATCTCATGAAGTTCACCCGCATGAACTACCAACAAGAGTACATCGACACTCTGTGGTGCGAGTTCCAGCTCAAGCCTAAGCAGAAGGACAACACAGCCGACCCAATGGCCAAGTTTCGGATATCGCCTAATCACTTGCATATTTGGCCTGGCAAGGATTTCATGTTCATTGCTATTCCCAGTGATGTGAGTTCCTATTCAGCCTGTTCTCCACAATTGATTGACATCCTTAATTAGGACGGCTCATTCACATGCACGCTCTTTATGCCAAGCAAGGATTTCTCGGACCTCGAGAACAACCCAGCCAACGTGCCATCCTTTTTCGACAGTCACTTTCCCGGCGTAACAGACCTAATACCAGGCGATGAGCTGGTTGAGTCGTTCAACACAAATCCCCACCTACCACTCATCAGTCTCAAGTGCAAGCCGTATCATCATGCCTCTTCGTGTGTTATCGTCGGTGATGCGGCCCATGCCATGGTGCCTTTTTACGGCCAAGGCATGAATGCTGGGATGGAAGACGTACGAATTCTCTTTTCAATCTTGGACAAACATGCTCACATCGACGAATCCAATGATCCTGCCAACGAGTCCTTATCTGCATCAGGGCCAGCCTTTCAACGCTCACTTGCGTTGGCAGAGTACTCAGCAGTTCGTCCAGCTGATGCACATGCGATCAATGACCTCGCTCTGCAAAACTATGTCGAGATGCGGTCGTCTGTCTTGTCAAAACGCTATAGGCTACGAAAGTACCTCGAAGAAACACTGAGCGTGTACTTCCCTCGCCTGGGCTGGCAAACAAAATACTCGCGTGTCAGTTTTAGCAACGAGGGATATTTCGATGTCATCAATAGGAGTGACGCTCAAGGCAAGATATTAGTGAGAGGCTTCTTGGCTTTGATGGTCAGCCCATTCCTCGTCTCGACGGCTATATTTACTTACAAGTACCGGCGTTCAATCTCTGGCATGATAAATGCGATTCGACAGCTACCTTGAAATAAAGGCAGGCAAGAGACATATTTGAACTCCCATATGGAGTACTCTCCTCACTTTTTTCGTTAGAAAATGATGTGCTACTGCTCATTTATCAAAAGACGTTGGCTGTTGAAGGTCAAAATGTAATATAGAAGAGGAGGTCATGGTCATTAGGGCTTTAATTGATCAATGGGTAATAGAATTACACATTATGTTATTTTCAGAGCTTTTCAAGACTATGCACAAGAAATACTCAGCCCATACCTAGTCAAACTTATTAGTCGTTCCATTCCACAATCCTATTGTCAACCCGTAGCACCATATCCAATACCTGCACTCACCGAAACTTGCTCCACAAACGACTTCAGTATCAACCTTGATATTGATTTTTTCCCCCTATAACTATTTCAACTCATAGAAAATGGCCCTTCCCTTCTTTACTATAGACTTACAGACACAGTATCTTTGGTTGAAGCCATGCACTAATCGGGTCTTATGCGCTTAGTGGAACCCGAGGCTTAGTCATATTTTCCAGACTTCTGAAATTTTGGCCGGATCTACAACGCCCTACGGAGACCTCATTGAGATCGAGATATAGGCCGGTACTCCGTCGCTCTGAACCCACGACAATCAGCGGTGGAAGTTTCGGTTGCTCTCAATTGGTTTGCGCCAATTATAAATATAGTCTCGCTCGCGGACGCTGAGGTGAGTTCGAGGGTCAACCCCAGGAACCTCCGTAATAGGAGCTGTAAGAATGAATTGTTGACGAGCATTGTTTCATAATTAGATCTAGAAGGCCAGTTTGAAGAATACCACCGCAAATCCGAATCAATACAGCCTGCCTGCTCGATCCGCCCACCATGCCCTCCATTACCAACATCGCGAACATGTGTTCGCATCTCCAGAACGCCTCCAAGGCTCGCCTGGGTATAACATCCGTCAAGAACTGCAAATACAACCTGCAACTCGCTCTCGCCCTGCACCGATCTGGTTTCTTCTCATCCGTCTACCGCTCCGGCCCTCACCCCCCCACTCTCGAACAGATGGTCTCCCAGGCCCCCGAGCCCGTCACAAACGCAAACGTTGCCACTATGCGCCTGTGGCTCGGCCTCAAGTACTGGGACGGTAAGCCTGTCCTCGGCAAGGCCAACGCTATCAGCACGCCAAAGCGTCTCATGACGGCCAACATCCAGGAGCTCGCCCGACTCACAAGAGGGTTCCCAACAAAGGTGGACGGCGGCGTGGTACCGGGTCTAAATCTCGGCGAGTGCATGTTTGTATCGACATCGAAGGGCGTGTTGGAGGTGCGGGAGGCGCTCGCAAGAAAACAAGGTGGATTATTGGTATGCCGAGTGTCATAAGCGTGAATATTTGGAGGGATCTACTTAGGGGATTGGAGAAGCCTACGTGCTTCATGATACGATAAATAGTGAAGCTTGTATTGTACAACTAGATTAAAGGTCCTGAAGAGGACGGTTCTTGTATCAAAATCAAATCAACATGAATAACTGTTTCTCGCCCGACAATTGTGTTTTGGCATCCCGCCGCATTGCTTGCGGGTGCTCTTCAAAGTATGTATGCGGTAAAATCACCATTCGCCTTCGCTTAAACAGGTATCTATACAACACAGCTCAAAAGTACATCGCCTTCTCCCTCAATAAATCGACAATCTTGTTTCTTCCACGATTTTTTCTTTAGTTTACTCAATTTTGGTGACGCTCTCCGGCTATTGCTTCTTCTCGTCGTCGCTCTTCTCTCCGGTGGTATCCTTCTCTTCGACGGCATCAGTGGCCTCTGCGACTTCTTTGGTATCATTCTTGGTTGCGGTATCAATCTCAGTGGTCTGCTTCTCCACAGTCTCAGTCTCGGCAGCCGGCTCGGTGTCCTTCTCCAGCAGGGGAAGGACTGGTTCCTTAGTCTCTGATTCCGGCTCAGCGGTGGACGTCTCGTTAGTTTCCTCTACAGCAACAGGTTGCTGAGCAGAGCTCTCCTCAATTAAAGGAACAATATCCATGCCGTCAGTCGACTTGTCTGAGTCGGCAACAGGCTTCTCGGGGATATTTGTAGACTCTTCGGGCTCACTGGCAAGAGGCTTCTCGGCAGACACCTCGCTCTTCGCAGTCGCGGCGGTCTCTGGGATTTCGACGGACTTTGGCTGTTCCTCGGCGGGGGTGACAGGTCGTGTCTCCTCTGACTTCTCCTTGGCAGACTCCTGGGAAACGCCCTGGGTTTCTTGTTTGGCGGGCTCCGAAGCTTCATCAGAAGCTTTCTCAGCAACGGCAAGCTCTGATTCGGATTTCTTCGAATTTTTCAAAGCTTCGTTGGTTTGAATCTCCTCAGTGATCACGGGCACCTCGACGTTGTCCGATTTGGTAGGCTCAGAGGCCTTTTCTTCGGAAGCAGTCTCGACTGTATGGCTATCATCTGAGGCAACTGAGCCAGATTTGGGCTTCGAGCCGATTGGCCTTCGAGACGACTTCCTGGCACTTCCTGGGGCTTTGACACTGCTGTCGCGGGGTCTGGGGTCTGTTCCCGAGAACGATGACCTCTTGGCCGTCTTCTTAGGTGGTGTAGTAGGCACTTTCTCAGCTGTCTTTGATGATGAGGCTGCTGTTGGTCGCATCATGCGGGCAAGGAAGCTTTCGTCAACTGGCGCATCTTTCTTCGTTTGAGGCTGTTCCGCGGGCTTCTTAGGAGGAGGTCCCAGGCTTGGTCGCGAGCGGCCAACACTTGAAGGTTGTCGCTTGACTTTCTTGGCAGCACTGGCACCGGCTCCCGCCGAGCTGGCCCGGCTTACAGGACGAGCAGGGACGCCGAGGGTTTGAGAGCTAGCTGTAGGTCGAGCTTGGCGGCCTGTCTTTGCTCCAGAGGCTGCAGTAGGAGCCGTGAGAGACGCAGGAAGATGCACAGGCTTCGTAGGAGACTTGGGCTTGGGTTTGACAAAACCAGTATCGCTAGTAGTAGGCTTCAGTGGCTGAGGCTTCTTGCTCGTGGTGGCCACATTGGGGCGAGTAGCTATTGGTGCTGGGGTGGTTCGGGACGCTGGTCTTGGCTCCTTCTTCGCGACTGGAGCAGTCTTTGGGGCAGGCTTTGGCTCAGGCTTATGTGCAGTACTCGCAGAAGTCTTCGTAGTAGTGGGCTTCGCAAGAGCAGGGGATTTTGCTGCAGGCTTGGTGGCAGCAGGCTTTGTCGAGATAGTGCTGGGTCGAGTCGCAGTCGTCTTCTTTGTGGCGGTGGTAGCGGTGGTCTTCACAGGAGAAGTGGTCTTTGCGGTTACGTTGGGAGCTGGCTCCTTCGCAGCAATGGCCTCAGGCTCGCCATTGGCAGCTGGAGGAGGTGTGATAGGCTTGTTTTCCTTCTCTAGTTCCTTCTCCGGTACCTTCTCTGGTTCCTTCTTTGGGGACACTACAGCGGGTTCTGCAGGCAGCAATGAAGGCGAAAGCTTCTGCTGGTCAACTTGCTTGTCCGGGTTGACACTTGGCTGATCAGTGACAGCTCCAGTTTGCTCCGTTGGTGTCTTTGGAGGATCAATTGGTAGGCGAGGCGACTCAGGGATGGCCTCTTGGAAGAATGGCTTGTTTCCCCGGGGTGCATCCTCAAGAGATGCAGAAGGCTTGTCGGGGATGGTGGAAACGGATTCTGCGTCGGTGTCCATGCTTAATCGGCGACGGGATACGCTAGATTCGTGGCTGGGGTTTCTTTGAAGGCCTATCCTTCCGTCTTTCTCGATGGCAACGAAGCTTGTTCTCACTTTAGAAAGTGGTCGAGGTGATTCACTTCCGCTGGTACCTGTTGAGAAAGAAAACAGGTTTTGATCAGCAAGGGGTTATTGAAGGGGGAAAGTGGTGGAAGGACACGGTATGAATGACGCTGGGGAGCTAGTGTGGGCAATTCCAGGGCAGGTACAGCCAGAGCAAGCTTTTGATGGCTTGCTAGGTAGGTTTAAACGCTGCATGTCGCAACGGGCAGCTTTAAATGCTTATTGCGCCTGCCAGGCCATGCACCCTCGTTCGTGATATCGCGGGAGAATCGGTCGTACCTTGAACGGGAGTAGAGGCGCCTGATGATCGGCCTCTGTCGGGAGGGCTCGTGTCGCCTTTGTTCTCGAACATAGCGCGGAGGTTCTTAACCTGACTCATAGTTGCTGAGGGCTCGCGGAGCAAGACGCGACAAGTTGAGCTGGACAAGATACGGGTTCGGTCGGGAGACCTCGAGGCCTTTGAGTGTTTGTACTGTTCAGCAGGTTTAGGGTTGGACGTGTGTAGGTTGTGATGGATAAAAGATGGACTTGGGGATTTGGGATGGGACGAGAGGCTGTTTAGCTGGTTATGAGCGGCGTCGTACAAGGAGACAGGGTACCTTGCTCCTGGAGGTAGGTACATCAGACAGACAGGCTCCGCAGGTCAGGCACAGACAGGCACAAGGCACAGGCCGTTAGTGGATTGAGGGGCGAGCCGACCATCAAACAAGGGGTACACGCTGGAGATGGCCTAGCGAAGTACTGCAGGAGGCGTTTCAGCGGTGGTGGAATACCTTCCAGTGGATGTATTCCACGGGGCCCGAGCCTAGGTTAGCTGCTTAGTTGGTTAGTTGGTTAGTTCGGTAGGTGGAGGTGGGTGTCCCGTCGGCTTCTGGTGCGCTGGGCTGTTGCAGAATAATAGGGGTCAGGATGGCACAGGCCCAGGAGCGCGACGAAGCCTATGATACGGATACTTCATGAGCAGTTAGGTATCCGTAGATGAATACCCAGTACTCTATAGTATTGAGCAGTTAGATCACCAGGTAACTCGAGTAGGCTCAGCAACCGATCAACTCATTCCATGTCAGCAAGGCTGATCATCACTCGGCAACTACATAGATACAATCTCAAATCACCCAGAGAATGTGAATGCCATTGTCCAACAACCAGTGAATAACTCACGGTTACTGAGGCAGTGAAAAAGCCAGTTGCTCGGTGACATTGACTAGGTAGGTAGGTAATTAATAGACTGGATGGATTCAGGTATGGGTGGTGTTCAGACAAGGATCCAGTCGAAATGAGGTACTGGATGGATCTCGTTCAATTCAGGCTTAGCCAGGGACCAAGTAAATTGCCATGACGAGAAAGAAAAAAAGTTTAGAATTCCCACCCGTCATGGCGATGACTGACTTGACTTGGAACAATTGTAACTGTCAAGGCAACAAACAAACAAAGTGTCCTCACCCGCTGAGGCCCGGTTCACAACTTGAAACAAAGGAGAGCTACTGCAGCTAGCATTAACTATTCCGAGACTGGCACATTTGGCTGAGAAATTACCATGCAGCATTGACATACATCTATACACCAATCATCACTCAGAGCTCAGGTGTTACAAGAGTCATAGAGTCGAGCATACGATCAATGGACGAAATCAGTCGTAACGGAAATGAAACACAGAGATCAATCAAGTTCGATTCGACATGGGATAGATCGACCGTAAACTACCTAACTTGGAAGCCCAGTCCAGTGACCAGTTCCAGCCAGATCGCGAATACGTACCACCTAATTCATCTCATCTCATCTATTTTACCCCTTTTCCATCCGATGCCTCCGCTTCTCCCCAATGAGTTACCTTCGGCGGCCCCGCGCTTGTTCACTGTCTCCAAGTGACATCGTTCCCGTACCTTGTACACGAAGACAGACTTCCAGAAGCTTTTATTCTGTCAAAGCTGCTGCTTTGCGATTGGCAAGGCTTTTGATTGACATCGCATGAGCTTGTGTGGGGTCATCTGGTTGCTTCCCCCCACAAGCACCGATCAAGCTCGTTCCACGTTAATTAGCATTAACCACAGTGGATCATCGCTACACAAGGACTTTACTGTTGTGCGCCATGCACATTAACTGACTTATGGGCTCAGGTTGTAGGAGAACTGACGTTAAATCTCTGAGCGTGATGAATGAATGAATCTTTGTGGAAGGCCGATGTTCGGCTTCATGCCATCGCATACTCTCCATAGCACCCACACTGAATACGAGCAGTCAAATACTGGCTGTCAGCATCAAACTACCTATAGCCGACCATGATCTCGACTTTTCTATATTAATAGCCAATTAATAAGAAGAATAATGTTTGGATCAAAGCCTGTTCATCCTCATCGTCACTGCAGTGTCGCAGCAACATCATAAACCTTGTCCCATCTTGGCGCCATTCGGCCGGCCACTTTTTACCCGATACCAAAAATCCAACGTCTATTTTCTTGAGCAGTCTCCGGTCTTCGGACGATAGAACTTGAACCTCTTCTCAACTCCAATTGCGCTCACCATGTCTTTCCGCACTCTCAGAATCGGTACGACGCCATAGTATCGCCTCGACATGATGTCCAGCTAACTTCTTGACTTATAGGTCTTATCCCTGGTGACGGCATCGGCAAAGAGGTCATCCCCGCCGGTCGCCGCATCCTCGAAGCCCTCCCCACCTCTCTCGGCCTCAAGTTCGACTTTGTTGACCTCAAGGCTGGCTTTGAGACCTTCGAGCAAACTGGTGCTGCCCTCCCCGACAAGACTGTCGAGGTCCTCAAAAATGAGTGCGATGGTGCGCTATTTGGAGCCGTGAGCTCTCCTACCCAGGCCGTCAAGGGTTATTCATCGCCTATTGTCGCCCTGCGAAAGAAGCTCGACCTCTACGCCAACGTTCGCCCTGTCAAGACTGTCATGACGGCTGCTAAGCCTATTGATATGGTCATCGTCCGCGAGAACACCGAGGATCTGTACGTCAAGGAGGAGAAGACCTACGACACTCCCGACGGCAAGGTCGCAGAGGCTATTAAACGCATTTCCGAGAAGGCTTCGTTCCGCATTGCTACCATGGCTGGTGAGATTGCTCTGCGCCGTCAGAAGATTCGCGATGCTGGTGCCTCCAGCATTCACAAGTCTCCTCTCGTGACCATCACCCACAAGTCCAACGTCCTGTCCCAGACTGATGGTCTTTTCCGCGCTATCTCCAAGAAGGCCCTCGCCGACCCCAAGTTCTCTTCTATTGCCATTGAGGAGCAGATTGTAGACTCCATGGTCTACAAACTCTTCCGTCAGCCCGAGGACTACGATGTCATTGTCGCTCCCAACCTGTACGGTGACATTCTTTCTGACGGTGCTGCTGCTCTTGTCGGTAGCTTGGGTCTCGTCCCCAGTGCGAACGTCGGTGAGGGCTTTGCTATCGGTGAGCCTTGTCACGGAAGTGCTCCCGATATCCAGGGCCAGAACATTGCCAACCCCATTGCCACTCTCCGATCCACTGCTCTGATGCTGGAGTTCCTCAACGAGGAGGAGGCTGCTGCCAAGATCTACGCTGCTGTTGATGGTAACCTTGAGGAGGGCAAGCTTCTGAGCCCTGATCTGGGTGGTAAGGCCACTACTGAGGAGGTCGTTGCTGACATTCTCCGACGTCTGTAAAAGATGAATCAATAAAAAGGTGTTGGTCGGTCCTAATATCCCTTACTTTTCGACATAATAGTGTAACTTGGACATAAAAGTAGCCTTGGATATTCACATGACAAATAACAACAATTGAGGATCTGGAGAGGATTGCATATTCTACACGTCTTCTTCATCCGTCTTTTCTACCGACCTCTGCCGGTGGACGTACTCCTATCTAGTCTCTACTGTTCATCTATATATCGTAGACTTTTAAGCCCCTACCAAGGAGCCACCTTCGTATGACATTATATTACAAGATCATACACCCATTCATTTGTATTATACATAGGCACAGCACTGACTGCGCCTTGGCCATCATATCTTTGATGTTGACCACGACTATCCAACTTCTGCAATAGAATTATTTAGTTCGCTTAGCCTCAATCTCAGCCTGGTGCTTGGCGACCAATTCCTTCCTGTGAGATTGTTAGTAGCTGTAGGTTTATACACGTCAAAATATACATACTGGAGATGAGGAGGGGCAGGGGCATAGTGGCTGAATTCCATGCTGAACTCGCCCTTGCCCTGGGTAGCGGCACGAAGCTGAGAGCTGAAGCCGAACATGGCGTTCAGACTGCAGTCGCAAATAAGAGTGAAATCCTCGCTGCCAATATCGGTGTCGTGGATGGTAGCGTTACGCTTGTTCATAAGCATAAGAATGTTACCCTGGAACTCGTTGGGGGCAGTGATAGTAGTCTTCATGAGAGGCTCGAGAACCTGGCCACCAGCCTCGGGGAAAGACTTCTTGAAGGCCATTTGAGTGGCCAAGTTGAAGGCGTGATCGGAAGAATCGGTAACGTGAGTAGCACCATCGTTGACAACCATCTTGGCGCCAATAACCCTGTGACCCAGAAGAGGACCCTTTTCACAAACCGATTCGAAACCCTTGGCACAAGCAGAGAGGAACTTGTCAGGAATGTTACCACCAACAACTTGACTTTCGTAGTGGTTCTCGTCAGGCTTGTCGTTAGGCTCAATCCATCCAGCAACACGGGCAAAGTCACCAGGACCACCACTTTGTCGCTTGAACAAGAAGTCGTAGTCGGCTCGTCGGGCAATGGTCTCTCGGTAGGCAACACGAGGCTGACCAGTGACACAATCGGTCTTGTACTCACGGCGGAGACGTTCAACGTAGACTTCAAGGTGCAATTCACCCATACCAGAAATAATGGTCTCCTCACTCTCGGCATCGACATGGACACGGAAAGTGGGATCCTCTCGCTGGAATCGGTTCATAGCCTTACTGAAGTTGTCGGCATCTCCAGTTCGCTTGGGCTTGATCGACAGAGACATAACAGCTTCGGGGACGAACATAGACGTCATGGTGTAGGGGAGACCACCGTCGGTGAAGGTGTCACCAGAGGCACAGTCGACACCAAAGACAGCACAGATCTCACCAGCACCGACCTCGGAGACGTCCTCCATCTCGTTGGAGTGCATGCGGACGATACGGGGAATTCGGACCTTCTTGTCGGTTCGCGAGTTGAAGAGGTAGGTACCCTTGCTTAGCTTGCCCTGGTAGACTCGGATGTAGGTAAGTTGGCCATAGTTGTTCTCTTCGAGCTTGAAAGCAAGACCGACGAAAGGTAGAGAGTTATAGGGGACGAGCTTCACAGTCTTCTCGCCCTGGGACTTGTCCAGGCCAGTGTTCTCAATCTCAGAAGGGTTAGGCAGGTAATCACAGACCGCGTCAAGCATAGGCTGAACACCCTTATCAGCAAGGGCAGAACCCATCATGACAGGAGTAAAAGCACGGGCAATGGTGGCACGGCGAATAGCAGCCTTGATCTGAGCGTTGGTGGGTTCCTGCTCATCGAGGTACAGTTCAGCCATTTCATCGTCGACATCAGCAAGCTTCTCGATCAGGACCTGGCGCTTCTCCTTGGCAAGTTCCTGGAGAGGGCCGGGGATCTGGTCAGTGATGCGAACCTTAGTACCACGAGGACCCTCGAAGTACATAGCCTGCATGTTGATAAGATCGACAACGCCCAAGAATTCGTCTTCGGCACCGATAGGAATCTGAATAGCGGCAGCGGGGATTTTAAGCTTAGTGTTGATCTGTTCGACGGCCTTCCAGGGGTTGGCACCCATTCGGTCCATTTTGTTGACGAAAGAGAGACGGGGAACATTGTAACGCTTCATTTGACGGTCGACGGTAATGGTCTGAGACTGGACGCCAGAAACAGCGCACAGAATCATGACAGCACCGTCGAGCACTCTCAGAGCTCGCTCGACTTCGATTGTGAAATCGATGTGACCGGGTGTATCAATCAGGTTGAAATGGTAGGTTTCATCTTTGCCGTTTTCCGTTTTCTTCCAGTCAGCGAATGTAGCCGCAGACTGGATGGTGATGCCTTTTTCCCTCTCGAGCTCCATAGAGTCCATCTTGGCGCCGACGGAATCCTTGCCTCGAACCTCGTGGATCGAATTGATTCGGCCGGTGTAGAACAGGACTCGTTCACTGACGGTTGTCTTTCCACTGTCGATATGCGCCTAATTGGTCATGATTAGCGGAGGGGAGGCTTGACGACGGCGTCATGACCATACAGCAATACCGATGTTGCGAACTCGAGACAGGCGCTTGGCCTCCTCGGTGGACATGTTGGCGGCGACATATTCGGGCGTCAAGCTTGCAGCGTCTTCTTGAGCTTTCTTGAGACTAATTCGCAGTATGAGCAAGATGTTTAGTGGTCTTAGGGGTTTTGATTCAAGTCTCACGCTTCTTGCGCAGCACTGCCAGCACGCTTGGTCTGGCTGAAGGCTCTTCGGCTCTCCCACACGGGAGCAGCAGCTGATACAGTAAAAGAGTGGCTACCACAGCTCGACTGCTGGGCGCCCAGTAGCAGACGACTATTAAGCCATCTGGCGGCCCTTGATGCCCTCATTTTGCAAACTTGGACTTCAGCGAAGAAGTTGAGGAAAGGGTTACCAACGATCGACAGTCAATTGAAACTTTTTTCTTGGGGTCGGGATTAACAGGATGGGTGCACCACGCCACACGCATACACATTTCTGATTGGCTCAGCGCTTAATTACCGCCAATAACGGTTCTTTAGGGCGCTATAGTGGTTCAAGACAGATGTATGGGTGTTCACCTCATTTACTATTCGCTTGATAAACTCCATGACGACAGAACTCTAGACATTTCCCAATATCATTAGGTTTATCTTCATAATTATTTGCTTGAGGCAGGTTTGTGCCATTCTTTTACTGGTATCATTTGTGGAATCTCATCGTCCTGCGCCCTTTTCTATCCTTATAACCGACGACTCCGTCCGGCCGTCAAACGCCAAAATCAACCAATGTGTTTAACACAACCCTTGAGCAACGCCAGTATCATAATCCCATAGCGTTTGGGCTAAAAGCTCTATACAATGCAGCCAGAAAATTCCCATGTCCATGTCGTTATCATCAATTCAAGGATATGCCTCCCCCAAACGACACCAAGCACATTGTAACGACACCCAACATCAAAGGTATCCCAGAAGGCGTGAGTAGTGATGCGGTGTTGTCCTCGTCATCATTATTCGAGTCCCGATCTGACTCTTGGAACCCATCAGCGGCAGTATAGTTATGACCTGAGACGGATGGATTCTCGGTTGCTTGGTGCTGGTTGGCCACTGCCGTAGCAGATGGGATGGTGGCTCCATAGCTCTCGAATGCCACTGGGTTGGTCTTTGTAGAGTTGAAGTCGGTTGCGGCAATTCCAACCTCGTTATTGACCAGATCGTAGACAACGTAAGCGGATCGAAGAAAAGTGTTGCCAAGGAGATAGAGATCACTGGTGTCGTTCTGAATACCAAAAGTACATATGCTCTCGCCCTTGTAAGGACCCGATTCGAAGGTGGGCATATTTCTCTCGTCGCTGGTCAAAGTGAGAACAAGCTCATCCATGCCTACACTGATATGAGGGCCATCTGGGCCAGCAAATCCAAAGGTGAAATTCCCTTGGTTTTTACCATACTCGCATGGCAGAACAGCAACTCCATAATACGATGACCAGACAGCACCAACCTCTTTCCAGATCTCGGTCACCAAATCGTTGGGCAGATAGCTGAGCGTAGTTCCAGAATCAAGCACTGTCTTTATCGGGAAAGAATTAGAGGTAAGATTGTCGCTGCCGCTGGAGCTAGTGGCGACCAGCGAGGTCAGGGCAACGATGAAGTGATAGTAATGGCCGTCGAGCTTTTGAATATCGATCCGGCGCATATCGCCCACGAATTTGGCTGCGTCCACCCCTCCAAACATAATGCTACCGGACTTGGCGTCAAGATCATTGAGCCACACACTATACGCGATGGTGTTGGTATATCCAGCTTGCCACATCGCGACAGGAAGGTTAGGATAGATAACATCCGCAGTGCTACCGGAAGCTTCGTTTTTCGCGTAACCGACACCAATCAGTCCGTATGAAATGTTGGTTTTGACAGCCAGACCCATGGTCAGGTTACTGATGACTGCGCCATCCAGTTCAAAGTGGTCTTCAAAATAGTCACCCTTGACATAGCTGTCGTCTACAAAAGTGATGCCGAACATGCCGGGTGCAACATGCTTGAATGACTTGGACTTGTCGGGGTCAACTATCATAGGTCGTTAGTTTGGATTGGTAACGGGTATATAGTGGCATGGTCTTACAGCTTCCAAAAGGGCATCCGGCTTTGCCATGATCATCTTCTTCACAAATATTTGCGCAGTTCCATGGGACCCAGACATCGCTGCTCCCGGTGTCCAGCTGAAGGGTGATGTTCTGAGGTGGGTTGCCAATGGTAACATCCGTAAAGTAACCCCCTTGGGACCTATCGTTACTGATGACTTCCTCATATGTTGTTTTGCTACGACGAGCCAGGTGTGGTTGAGGATGACGACCCTCGATGGTCCACTGGATGATTTGGGCTTGTGCAATGCCCCATGTCGAAACCAGTGAAGCGGCCACGAGCCACGACTTCATTGCAGCCACGGGGAATGAGAAATCAGGACCAAAGAGAGACGAGTTCAGGAATGGCGTTGAACGGAGTAACGCCACCCTCCTCCATAGGGTGAGTAGGCGCTGAGCCAACCAGCCGGTTTATATAAGAAACAATGGCAAAGGCGTCCTCTGAGAGTTTGAACAGGTTGAAGGATCTGAAAAGTGAATTGTAGGTATTAGGTTGGAGTTGGTACTGAGAAGCGCTTGACAGTTAACTGAACTAGGACACAGCAGGATGTCGCAAGAAACGGCAGCTAAGAAAACACAGGGTACCCGTAAAAGACCCAAGAATAGGGCGGATGTGGTGGAGCATGAGACAGCTGCAAAGAGGGGATTTCTGGAGAATACAGAAAGGACAAGGATAAGGAATATAACGAGAGACGAATCAGGGTCAAAAATGAGTGAGAGAGTATCGATTGACAGGAGAAATTGCTGTGTGATGTGGAAGAAACGGCACGGGGGCCACGCAAGCTTGGTAGCGAGCGATGAGCGAACGACAGTCGGGACTTTCCTACTTTGACCACTCTTACCCATTCGGGCACTTGGCTGAGTGCGTGCGTGCTGTGGCGCCAAGATGGCCCGTCGACCCTTGCACTAAAAAGGGCGACTCGTCAGCGTGTTTTTGGCCGAGGAAGATGGGTCGACATAAAACATGACACGGGCTGGCGCCAATTGGAAGCCGTTTCTGTCTCGCGTTTTCTGTCTGATCTCAGCTACTCCGTACAATAGCACTAAATAGGCGGGTACCATCCGTACATACTTGTTTGGGGCTTACGAAGCCTGGTGTTAATTAATTACATTGTCAGTCCCGTGCGATCGGAAGCTAGGTACTGCATAGTAAAAAAGATCATCCAAGTGGTCAAAAGTCTGTTCCATCTATTGAATGCATTTCGTTTACCTCAATGCCTAAAGAAGAAGAGATAGCTGTTCCCATGCCGCCAGTGGGCAAGATCCATATCTTTCTTGAACTTCAGGAAAACACGAAATTTGTACAGGCTGACACACTTAAACAAGATGCCAAAAAGTGATCTTCAAACCCCTCGAATTAAAGTACACACTTAGAGACTGTACCTGGCAGATCAATTGAGTTTCTCCAACCAAAAAAAAACACGAGCAATCCTTCAGACGAAATCAACCCTTGCCTTTTTGTCGTGTAGCAATGTGCACTTACATTCTCCCACTTCCCGCCTAACCGTCCCAGCCGCTGAGCCGTCCAAGCATTTACACAATCCGCTGGATATTACCAGCTGACGACGACGGCTTGGCCAGATAGCCAGGCCAAGCTTCAACAATGCCGATGATCCGTGCAGCTCGCGTGTCATCTTATCTCATACAATTTATATGAGGGGACTGCACTCCGTAACAGAGCGGTTGTGCCAGCGAATGTAAGATTTAAGATAAATCGCGTAACTAAGCTGCACAGGTTGCCCTACAAGATGTGGGTTTCAATATAAGCGCCCAGCCGCTTCAATCCCTCCACCAAAACGTCTGTCTCACAGACATAACCCATCCTTACGTAGCCCTTGAAATCTTTATCGCCACCAAAACATCTCGACCCAGCCACCAACAGGACATTGTTCTTCTTCAACAGGTCCAAGCAGAAGTCGACGTCATTGATGGGCTGGCCATTCTTACTGAATCGAACGAATGCAGTCGTACCAGCTGTGGGCTCGATCCAAGAGCAAACGGAGTCGTATCGTTCGATAAACTCCTTCAGTAGTCTCGAATTGGTCCTTGCCAAAGTCAGATTGCGGTCAACCAGAGAAGGGCGGGCTGCTAGTGATAAAGCGTATCGCGCGACTTGATCGTCTATCTGCGAAACGCTGATGGTGGTGTAGTCTCGCGCCGCCATGATAGCTGAAATGATGGACTTGTCCTTGCTGGCAATCCAACCGACCCGAATACCTGCCAAGGCATAGCCTTTGGACATGGACCCGGTGGTAATCGTCTTCTCATAACCCAACGTAACAGCTGGCTGTGGGACTTCGATCTGACCCGAGGCTCCGCCATGGAAAAGTGGACGATAGACCTCATCTGAGAAGAGGATTATTCCCTTTTCCTTTGCAATTTGGGCAATCTGCTTCAGAATATTGTTGTGGATGGGTGCACCGGTGGGATTGTTATGGTTGTTGATGATAATCATCTAGAAGCAATTGTGAGTGCTGACTCTCTTGGGGTTTGGTATAATCCTTACCTTGGTGTTTTCCTGGATAAGTTTTTCCAGCTCATCAACATTGGGTACAAAATTCTCTTCTTCTCTCAACTTCCACAGTGTAACCTCAGCTCCAATGCTGCGAGGTACATCATAAAGCTGCTGATATGTCGGGTAGACACAGACAACATGATCACTTGGTCCCAGGAGGCTGTATAGGGCCAAGAAATTGGCGCCAATTGCGCCTTGAGTGACAACGATATCCTCAGCGACGAGTTGTGTTTCCTCAGCGCTACACTGTGCGGCGATTCGCTCTCTCAGTATATGCGAACCGGGGATAGGGCCGTATGTGAGCTTGAGGCTTGTGTCAATGGGACCTGGTTCTCGTGGGTCTTTGCACATGCTGACCAAATCGTCAATAGATATGGATGCAGCACACGTCTCAGCAACGTTGAGGACCCCAGGTGTTGTCTCATACTCGTCCATCCATTGCTCAACAGCAAAAGGTACGACACGAACCACCCTTGAGAGTTTGTAGAGAAACGATGTGGTATATTCGTTTATAGGCTCTGCAATGCTTTCTATCATAGCCTGGTATCTGGCTTTAAGTATGGTGTTGAGTTGATGAGTGGTGGATCTTTGACCCACTCCCATACGCCCTTTATACTACGCCCTTCATGTCACTTCGCTGCTGGTAAATGTGATTGGCAATCCTATAAGATTCATGATGAGGTGAGCTGAAGATACGTTCTAAACACATGTATCAGTCTAGATGTTGCTGTGTCATTCAACAACTGAGTCCGACAAGTCGATCAAATACTGGGTATGACTGACTGGTCTTGATAAGGAATTGTTGATGACCTTGCGCTTCCCCACAAAGCTTGATCGAATTAGTTAAGCAATTAGCAAGGATAAAATCCGGGGAACACCCGCAGCTAATCAACCCTCCACAGTCAACCATCCTGCTGGATAATAAGCACTCAGGCATCACAAAGTTCGACTCACCAAGGTAACGAACTGTGTCTTTGATTCGCCTCCGAGTTCCAAAGTTTTCCCTTCACACTTGGAATTGAATGGGCATAGAGCGTGTTATTGGTCCGTGAATCAGTGGCAGAACGCGTTTGCTGTCATGTCATAAAAGACTTGGATCATGAAACACACAAATAACTAAATTTATTAAATATTTCACGAAGCATGGCTCCTGTTGATCGATGGGAGTAAGACACACATGCTACACATCCCATGCTGTATCGCCAAAATGGCCATTGCATACATAGTACATACCCTGTATCCGTAACCAATCGCAGATCATGGAGTTTGAGCCTCGGTTTCAATCTTATCAGCTTCTCAGCGACGCACTTTCTCTCAACAATTGCCTCGCACATTTTTCAATAGTAGTTCTGCTCTAACACAGGGCGATGGTTTAGAAAAGTCAAGATGAGACTCCATCATATGAGTCTAGTTAGTTTAGGGAAGTGAAATCTGGGAGCGAAGCAAACTAAATTAGTTCGCCCGCTCAACTGTTGAGGCCAAAAGATAGCGTGGGGAATCATATGGGGGCAATGGCCCATACAGACTATTTGCGTTGGTTGATTGATCAATGGTGAATCATGGACTGTTGGATGTTGTAGTCATGAGGACGACAGGTTCCTGTAGTAGAGTACCTGATTATGCGTATCGTCGCGGTCGAGGCTAAAATGACGTCACATATCAGTACGAGACTGTATCGCGTGTCGGCGTGCAATAACGTCTCATGACACAGCGAATTCCCATTGCATCTGAGCATGATGAGACCGGCTATCAAACAGTACCATCCGTGGGTAAAACAGCAATTGCAATTGGCCGATTGCCGCTAAGGAGGTGAAGCTGTTGCAACTTGTGGTTCATGCGCTGGCTGCGATAGACGCATGCTTCATGTAGACCCATAATTGATGGCTGTGCTAGCTAGTCATGGTTTCCATCTGGGCTAGCTCGGCATGTGATTCGTAGAGCCACAACTTCTGTACCTGCCTCCGTTGCCTAAATGGAACGCGGGGCGCCACTCCTCGGCCAAATAGCTTATCCCGGTCGCGCTGATAGCCGTTCGGTCAACGACCAGCCTTCAACTTGCCATCAACATTGTTCCATCATCAACTGCATCGTATCTAATAGCGCTGCAGTTATGGCTCCTTCTACATTGAGGAGCCTCCTATTGGGAGCTGTGGCTCTCTGGCCCGGTCTCGCAATGGCCTCCCAGAACTCAACCTACTCGCAGGCCGATCAGCTTCGCGCGCAGTTAGCCCTCATGGGTGATGCTCCTGATGGGTGTCCACCTTGGTGCGTCGACGGCGACTTCTTATCCTTCGTTTTCGCATTGACCATACTGACAATCTAAAAGCTTCAATTGTCTGCTCCCAGCACACACATGCGCTCAATATGCTGGCTGTAACGAGTTCAATGGAAAATGCGCCTGTCCTGAGGGATTTGGCGGTGATGACTGCCTTGAACCATGTACGGCCTCCACTCTAATCCACATCAACGAAGACTCGACTAACTGTTCTATTAGTGTGCGGCTCACTCCCCAAGGGAAAGGATCGCCCAATGCGCTCCGGTTCATCATGCAAATGCGACGAAGGCTGGACTGGCATTAACTGCAATGTCTGTACCGATAACAAAGCTTGTAACGCTCTAATGGAAACAGGCGAAGGCGGCGTTTGTTACCAGAATGGCGAGGTCGTAAACCACAACTACCAGATCTGCGACGTCACGAACGAGAAGATCACGTCTTTGCTCGGCAAGCAGCGTCCGGAGGTTACATTCACCTGCAAGCAGGAAGACAAAACCTGCGACTTTCAATGTCAGTTGAAATACTCAATCTTCTCGCACACTGCTAACTCTATCTAGTCTGGGTCGATGCTATCGAGTCTTTCTACTGCCATCTTTCCGAATGCGATTCGACCGCCGACTGGCAGGAGTCGAAGAACACTACTTCCTATAAATGCAACAAGATCAGCTGCAGCTGCGTACCTGACCGAATGTTGTGTGGAAAAGACGGTTCCATCGATCTCACAGATTTCCTCGACCAGTCTATTCAGGGCCCAGGACGATTCGAGTGTACACAGAAGCATGGTGGTACTCACGACTGTGCTTTCCGCGAACCCGAGATGGATGCGTTGATTCTTGCACTGATTGGCGATTCCAGCATCTTTCTCAGCTGCCACGCAGGTGAATGTCTTTACGAGACAGAGGTGCCAGGATACAAGCGACCCGTGAAGAAGATCAACACACCTCTTATTGCAGGCGTGATTGCAGGCTGCTCACTATTCTTGGTTGCTGTCATCATTCTGACATGGTACCTTTCCAGGCGCAAGCTGAACTATGGCGCTATCCGCTTGGAAGACTCTGACGATGAGAGCACTAAACTGATGACTGACCACAAGCCTGCTTCACTCTACTTCGACGATGTTGCTTATACTTTGAATGGCAAGCAGATTCTCACCGGAATTCGTGGTATCTGTAAGCCAGGAGAGGTCACCGCCATTATGGGTGCCTCAGGAGCTGGAAAGACAACATTCCTGGATATTCTTGCCAGAAAGAACAAACGCGGTCAGGTCCACGGTAGCTTTTATGTCAACGGAGAAAAGGTCGACGATGGCGATTACAAGAACGTGGTCGGGTTCGTGGATCAGGAAGACACCATGCTTCCCACTCTTACTGTTCACGAAACAATCCTCAACAGTGCTCTACTTCGTCTTCCTCGCGATATGGGCCGTGCTGCCAAGGAACAACGTGTGGTGGAGGTTGAGAAAGAACTTGGTATTCATCACATCCGCGATTCTTTGATTGGCTCAGAAGAAGGCAAGGGACGTGGTATCTCAGGTGGTGAGAAACGACGTGTTGGAATCGCCTGCGAACTGGTCACCAGCCCCTCGATCCTTTTCCTCGACGAACCTACTAGCGGTCTTGATGCCTACAACGCCTATAACGTCATCGAATGCCTCGTGACTCTTGCAAAGAATTACAAGAGAACTGTCATTTTCACGATTCATCAACCTCGATCCAACATTGTGGCTCTTTTTGACAGATTGGTACTGTTGGCGCAGGGACGAACTGTCTACTCTGGGCCGTTCCATCAATGTCAGAGTTACTTTGATAGCATCGGATACGAGTGCCCCCCTGGTTTCAACATTGCAGATTACCTTGTTGATCTTACTATGCATGCAAGCAGCACTCAGTCCATTGATGATGGTGCAATTGGTCTCGATAACAACAGTGTTGGTCCAAGCAGCACCCGTGCCATCAAATCGGTTGCGAGCATATCAGGCACCATTTCTGGTGATGATGATGCTAGCTCGAGCCGTCCCCACAACCGCCGCAGAGACTCAGTCAAACTTCGTCAAGACCGGGAGCTTTTTACGCGCAGGAAGGCTACCGGAACTGCAGCTTCTTCTGATGCTGGAGGTGAAGACAATGGCGCCTACCGACTTCACCAAAACCCTATTGACTCTACTACGACCCTTTTGGAAGATTCTCATGATCTGCCTCCGGTGGCAGCTACTGGAACTGACCTTGATATCATGACGCGATCGTTCATTCATTCGGATATTGCCCGTTCAACCCATGATGAAATCCAGGAAGCTATCAACACTGCTGAAAATGCCAATGGATCCAACTCAAACGGTTACACTGCCGCAGGGCCGAATGTTCATGTCAGTGCTGTTGGAAAGGGTTATGCTCGCGTTGGATATATGCGCCAATTCATCATCTTGTCTCAGAGGACATGGAAGAACCTTTACCGAAACCCGATGTTGATGCTCACCCATTTTGCTATTGCGATTGTTCTTGCGGTCTTCTCTGGATATCTCTTCTATGGCCTCACCGACGACATTCCTGGTTTCCAGAACCGACTTGGTCTCTTCTTCTTCCTGCTCGCACTTTTCGGCTTCAGTACTCTTACAAGTCTCAACGTATTCGCTGCTGAACGTCTCCTTTTCGTCCGCGAGCGTGCCAACGGCTACTATGCACCTGCCACTTACTTTGCGGCTAAGGTGCTCTTTGACATCATTCCTCTCAGAATTGTTCCACCCATTCTGATGGGCTCCATCATCTACCCAATGACTGGGTTGGTGGCCGATTCAGCACATTTCTTCAACTTCATTTTGGTACTAGTCCTGTTCAACATGGCTGCTGCGGCAGTTTGCCTCTTCATTGGAATTGTCTGCAAGGACGGAGGCGTCGCGAATCTTATTGGCAGTCTTGTTATGCTTTTCAGTCTCCTTTTCGCTGGGTTCCTTCTCAACCACGATGCCACACCAAAGGGTGCCCTCTGGCTTCAAACGTTGTCCATTTTCCACTACGGATTCGAGTCGCTTATTGTCAACGAGGTTCTTCATCTCACCCTTGTTGATAGCAAGTATGGTCTTGATATTACTGTCCCCGGAGCAGCTATTCTCAGCTCCTTCGGCTTCAACAACAATGCCATGTGGCCTGACATCAGGAACTTGGGTATCTTTGCGGCCGTTTTCATCGTCTTATCTTATGCTGCTATGCATATTCTGCTCGTCGAAAGACGATAGACCAACATAGAATGGAGATCGGGCAGGCTGCGATGTATTAGAGTAATGAGAGTGAAGCAGGTATCGTTGCTTTAGTGATACTGCACATAAGGAGGTATATCGGTCGTGAAAGTCATAATCGGCGTTTGGATACAGACACGTCTTCTTTGTTTCTTGGGCTATCGCTGTATTGGGTTTCATTCTTTTAGCTAAGATATGTAGAAACACATCCTCTTATAACCAGTCAAGCCGCTCAAAGTTGTGATATTTGGCATACAATAGTACATGAGATAGTTTTACAAGCCTCTTAAAGTAAGGGCTACTCCATCTTTCCACCAGTAAACTCCTCGGCGATTCTCTTCTGTCGTTTAACAGAGCGGTCGTACTCTGTTTCGTAAAAGTCCATAATCTTCGTTGATACTCCTGTAGTGCTCTCCAACATATTGCCAATGGATGTTGGCTTGCCCCAAACGTCCCAGGTGTTCTGGGCAGCGCCGTATCGGCCAATGTCGAATCCTTGCTTGTGGAAGAAGTCCTCAGCAAAAATGGTATCAATCTCAGTCTTGAGCTCGCTCTCCGTAACAATGAAGTTGGAAGCGTTGATGTAGAGCTCCATTAGCGCATCACGACGAGCCTCACGCTTAGCTCCCTCAATGGCCTGGATCTTGCTCCGACTTCGGTCCGCACGAACAAAGCGCTGAGGGTCCGGGTAGGTCTGCGTATCCAACACTGATTTTAGAACAGTGCTGCGGGTAATGCGGTCGTCCTCTCGCTCAGGAGCCTTAACAGCCTGATGGTGGTCCTGAAACTTGCGGCTCACACGTTCATTCTGAACGGCATCTCGGCGATTTCGTCGCACCCAGAGTTCCTTCAGACCGGTTTCGAGATTTTGGCGTCGGGAACTGGCCATCTTTTGCTTCCATTCCTGCGTATCGTTCTTGGGCTTTTGTTTGTTGGCTGGCCGGGGAACAGTCTGCCTGATATAATCGGCTCGGACCTTGCGGTCGCCCTCGAGGCGGGGAAAGATCTCGCGAGGCACAGGAAGATGACCCCTTACGCGGGGAAGCTTCTTCTCGTCGGACTGTGGTGGTGTAGGTAACCGGATGTAGGAGGGGGACTCGGGAGGGACTTGATCGAGAGTAGCAGCTGAAGTTGAGAAGGCTCTGGAGGCCGCGAAGAGCTGACGAGCAGCCACCCTCGGGCACGAGCTTGTGAGACCAAATGACATTGTGAGGTAGGTCAGGGCCGTACTGAGTACTGAGAAACTCAGATTGAGATCGCAATTGGCGTCGAAACCCTGTCAAATCCGCTTCTCCAGAATTCCACCACCAGACAGAGAAAATCGACGTCGGATCAAATTTACCGGATTATCTTGATCCGATGCGAGACCCCTGGCATAAAATGGCCCCGCCACCAACCACCGCGGGAAGTTAGTGGGGCTCTTTTTCTGCAGCTAAGAAAAAAGTTCTGGAGGAAATAAATTTCAGGACCATCCATTCTCTTCACTCTCTTTGCCTATCTTTGTCGCCAGTATCCTCGACCAAATTTTTCGCCATGGGTACTGGAAAGAAGGAGGCTAGCCGGCGCGAACGCCAGGGTAAAGGCGGCGATGGTCTCAACAATGTCAAGACCAAGGGCGAGAACTTCTATCGGTGAGTACACTGCTGTCACTGCTGTTGCCCTCCATAGAGGCTTACCATATCCCACAGCGATGCGAAGAAGGTTAAGCACCTCAACATGTACAAGGATGGCAAGGCGCAGAGGAACGCTGAGGGAACGATCACAAAGGCTGCTTCATACCAGTCGCGAGACATTCCTAATGCACGAATTGAGCCGAACCGCAAGTGGTTTACCAACACTCGAGTCGTCTCCCAGGATACTCTCAACGCCTTCCGCGAGGCTATGGATGAGAAGGCCCGTGATCCTTACCAGGTCCTGCTTAAGTCCAACAAGCTGCCCATGAGCCTTATCCGAGATGGAGGAAAGGAGACCGAGAATGGCATCAAGAAACACAAGGCTAAGATGACTGTCGAGACATCACCCTTCGCTGAGGTCTTTGGTCCCAAGGCGCAACGGAAGCGAGTCAAGCTTGGTGTTAGCAGTCTGGATGACATGGCTGGCGACACCGAGAAGAGTATGGACACTTACCGAGAGCGTCTGGAGCAGCAGAAGCTTCTCAGCGGTACTTCTGGTGATCCTGAAACTCTTGGTGACGCTGACAAGCCACTCACCATGTCAATTGAGCCTGTGTTTGACAAGGGTCAAAGCAAGAGAATCTGGAACGAACTTTACAAGGTCATCGACTCTTCTGATGTCGTTATTCACGTACTCGATGCTCGCGATCCTGTTGGCACAAGATGTCTCAGTGTTGAGAAGTACCTCAAGGAAGAGGCCCCCCACAAGCACTTGATCTTCGTCCTGAACAAGTGTGACTTGGTTCCGACCAGTGTAGCAGTAAGTTCCCCTCTACTTTTCTCCTCATCTTCCCTTCCCTATACTATACCCCAATGTTCTTTGTCAGGATTTGTTCCTTTATGTACCATGGAACCTGTCTGTTATAACGTTGGGAGATTAATCACCAGTCTCGACTGTCGGCAGCGTTTTGTTGTCCGGCTGATGTGTGCCGTTTTGGTTACCATCATGAGACAGGCCAAGTGTCAGATTGAGTTGAAGTCCGCCTATGCCATTAACCAATTATGGGGCATTGATTGCATACTTCTTAGTGATGACACAAACATTTCTTCCATCTCAATACGTGTTGAATATATATAACCCGTTCGAGTACTAACTCGACATAGGCTGGATGGGTCCGAAGTCTCTCCAAAGAGTATCCCACTCTCGCTTTCCACGCGAGCATCAACCATTCCTTCGGAAAGGGTTCTCTCATTCAGCTGCTCCGACAATTCTCCTCCCTACACTCTGACAGAAAACAAATATCTGTCGGCTTGATTGGCGGACCTAACACTGGAAAGTCTTCCATCATCAACACTCTTCTCAAGAAGAAGGTTTGCACCGTTGCTCCCATTCCCGGCGAGACTAAGGTCTGGCAATATGTCAGTCTGATGAAGCGCATCTACTTGATTGACTGTCCCGGTATCGTCCCTCCCTCAAGCACCGACTCTCCTACCGACTTGGTTCTTCGAGGTGTCGTGCGTGTCGAGAAGGTCGAGCATCCGGAGCAGTACATTCAGCCTCTCCTGAACCGTGTTAAGCAACATCACATGGAGAAGACTTACGAGGTCAGGGGGTGGACAAATTCCACAGAGCTGCTGGAAATCCTGGCCCGAAAGGGCGGTCGTCTGCTCCGTGGAGGCGAACCTGACTTGGATGGTGTGGCAAAGATGATCCTAAATGATTTCATGCGAGGCAAGATTCCTTGGTTCACACCGGCGCCAAAGCTCGAAGGTGACGCCGACGGCAAGATCAGGAACCGCGAGGGAAGATTAGGAGAGATGCCCCGAAAGCGAAAGCAAGAAGAGCCAACTGAGGATGAGGACGCATCTGCTGAGGCACAGCTTCAACAAGAAGCTGAAGCCGCCATCGAGAAGGCCGAGGGAGAAACCCCAGACGAATCTGATGCAGAGTCAGAGTTCGAAGGGTTCGGAAGCGATACAGAGGAAGCGCGATCAAGAAAGCTATCCTTCGGTGCTACTGTGGATGGTGAGAGTGAGGTCGAAAGCGCCGATGATGATGTACTTTCCATCGGCGGCTCTGAAGAAGTTAAGGATGAGGAGGAAAAGGCCCCTACACCTGCGGCCAAGAGTAAAGGGAAGAAGACAAAGGGCGGTCCCCCCAGCAAAAAACGGCGGACATAATCGGCCTGGAGTCGAGTAATCTCTATCTTCATTCGAGGCACTTGCTTACGCATCCTCAATAACTTAATGATACCCACGTTAATGTTTCTGTGTCTTTAATACCAGTCTCCTAAGTGACATGCTGTTCGTGAGTCTAGAATTGAAACCAACATGGGTCGTGTTCCATACACACTTATCGTGCTTGTGTCCGTTTCTGTTCAGCAGCATAAAGGGTCAATCTCGAGCGTATGTGTGTCCTCATAGCTTAGTGCATGCAACAAATAGTACGCAGACTTACATATACACGCAAATTCAAAGCTTGATGTGGAGTTTGAACAAGTTTTGTTTCATACCTGGTTGTTTAGGGTAGGCCAAACCCTAATACCTTAAGATCAGTGTAATGGACTTTGCTTCCTTGGATATACATAAATAATAGTATGTTGTAGTGCCCAGTTATTATCCAGTTTGTTATTTAGATCTCATTTTCTTGTCACATCGAGATGAACGCCTCTTATTGTAGAGATTCACCAGCCAATTGTTGGAGTGTGTTGAAGAGCTTCACATTCGCATTGTCGGGCAAAAGAGAGGCGCAACTCACCTAGCAACAAGTCTTACGCCAATTGACCAAGAAAACCCCTGGACTGTAAAAATATTTCATAAGAGATATGACTTAAAAATGTTAGAAATTCGTAGTTCTAGCCACACACTATGTTGTACATTCACCGTCAATTCGAGTAGGAATTGGTTGGACGATGTGGTAGTAGCAACATGACCTATGAGATTTTGGTGTATGAGGAATTGCTATGTTATGAGGCAAAACGTGCAAAAAGAAACTGCCTCCACACAGGATTGAACTATGGACCTTTGCATTACAAGTGCAACGCTCTACCACTGAGCTATAAAGGCGGCTTGACGAGGGGACACGTCTTATTGATTCTTCAGAAGCTGATGCTGAGTTCCGGGTAGGAATATGCAAAAATGGCAAAAGAAATGCCCCCACACTGGATTGAACAATGGACCTTTGCATTACAAGTGCAACGCTCTACCACTGAGCTATAAGGGCTTTTGATGGAGACTTCCCTACTTTTAAAATATATATTCCTCAGATCCAAAGCCCCGTTTCACTATGCTTCCCGCTACAATCATACCGACGCTAGAGACGAAGAAACACTGATCATCTCAAACTCTTGCTCTCATCTTTCTGCCTGCGATATGTGTTTACTTCAAGGACGTTATTATGGCCTTTTACTACGTACGCTTGCTTTCATGTTAAAACCTGCTGATGATGAATTTGATCGGTGTAAGCTCGCGAGCAGAACCCCTCCTTCTCAGGCTCATGCGGATGATGCGGAGGAGTGAGCATAGATACTACCGCAGCGGTAGAGAGCAAAGTTAAACACTTGTGCATAACAGAATAGTTTGTTGATATTGCTAAGATATGGTGGATGTGCCAGATCAAGCAGGCAACTACACCTGTCTTGAACCCACAATCCTAACACAGTCCTTTACCTGAAGTCATGCTCGTCAGACTTATCGCCCGCTCTGTCCGAGTAAATCGCAAAGAGTCCCCCAAGCTTCCTCCACCTCCATGGGTATCTCAACATGGGTGATAGAACCTATGCCCCGAGGACCATATCCGTTCTCATCATCTCTTATTCGTGGGATTTCTCCTATAAGTAGAGACATAAACCGATCCATGCTCCATAGGCCATTGTTGCGACTGTTATTCCACCCATCAACATCGTAACGCAAACAACGGGCGAGATTGTTAGTTTGTTCCGAAGGCGCAAAGTCTTTAGGCGCCACCCTGGGAATGAATGTTGGCCAACTGGCGAGTATAGGCGCATCATCCATCTTGTCCGCGTAGACTTGTTTAAACGCAGCAACGGTGCGCCGGCACATGGTGGGATCTTGGGCGACTACAATAGAAGCTGGTGATGTGCATCCATACATATCCAATACCTTTCTCGTGTTTACGGCATTGAGTGCGCAATTTGTTGAAGTATCTTCGACAAGTATGGTAAGCCCTTGGCTTGGCGCGGTGCCTTCTGCAGGTGCTTGTATGTTCTTCTCGACCTTGAGGTGGAAGAACTGTTCTGCAATGATTTCTAGTATACGGGCCTCTGGTTGTCCGTGAACTTGACCGCTAATACGACAATACTCCGGGTGCTGAGCTAGAGCATCATGCATCAGCTGTGTCGAGTGGCCAATGCCACCACAGAGAACGAGAACAACGCTTCTGTGTTCTGAACCACAGTTAGTCGTACTGTTACAGTATGATAACAACATCTTGTTAATATAGCTATTCACTTACTAGTCGTCTTAACTAGCTCTTTCACCATTGACATAACAGTCTCTGCTGTGTGAAGGACCGCAGAAGCACAGAGGACAACCACACCTACGGAGCCAAGACTTGACTCTAAGCTCTGAGTTCTTGCACTATCAGAAAGCTTGAAAAGAGTGCTGCATAAGTCCGTGGGAGAGCAGACTTGCTCTTGAGCTACGAACTCTGAGATGACATTGGCAGCATCCGCTGCTTGGATCACGTTTTCCGGAGAGATAGACACCATGGCCTGTTGGAAGATTGTTGCCGTGAGGGACTCGAGTGATGGATGTTGATGGTGATTATGTGGCTCGTCGTCAGCCAACATACCTAAGTTAGTGATGCCAGCGGAGCAACCGGAAACGGAATATCCAGACGGCGATAGCAGTACTATGTTCTCAATGGGACTGCATTCGTAGAGAGAATGAACAAATGTAATAGCATCATTTGAGTTCTTGAACTAGAAGACTTTTCCGATTCATCCGAGCATTGCCAATTGAGTGATTGGTGAGACTCGAGCAGAAATATCACTTCCTGGTAGGCAGGGTGTACCGTTCATGTTTCGCATGGTATGTGGTATGTATGCTTCACAATCAAGAGGTGTCAGGAGCGTAGGTTAAGTATGCTCTGATTGATAAGTTGAGTTTATGTAGAAGCCACTCCCGATAATTTGAGTTGATGGAGATGACTCACGCAAGTCAGTTGAGTTCATCGAGAAAGCCGCGGGGAGATCACGATAATACATAAATTGCATGCAATGCCGACACAGAATATATGGCTGCGAACAAAGGACCTAATGGAAGACAATTGAATATATGAGTGTCTAGGTCACGTTAGACTTTTCATCTGAAGTTATCTGCGTCGACTTGAAGGTGGTATATTTTTGAACATATCTCAATTTCGATCTGCATTAGAAATAATACAAAACATGCCCCTCGCTTAAGCACTGCGTATGTGAGAATGAAAAGGACTTGGCGGGGAGTCAATAGCAGACTGCTGCGAGGAGCTGCTGTTGAGTGTTGCATCTCTTGCAGTGCCAGCCGACTACTGTAACTGCTCCAGGAGCGATGACTCCGTCACATTCTGTTTTGCCTGGCAGAGACCTTGGAGAAGAGAGTGTTGGCACTATGGAGTTACTTTGCACTTCTTACCTCTACATTCTTCATTCATGTTTACGTGTCACTCTATTAAAGGTATTCTGCGTATCGCTATCTACAGCCTCAACCTTGATCTTGAATTAACTTCACTTTATCTTCCTTATTACGCCGAAGGAGTCATTTTAAATGGATTCCACTTCTGCAACCCAGTCGCAGGTTCTCTGCCATCTTGGGCCGTCGTCACAGCTCGACACGAAAGCTGGTATCGCAAGTTGGCGCAAAGGCGAATCTCCCGATCCGCTCTCCAACGATTTCTTCAAGGTACCTATCTTTGCCTCTGCTTGTGCGATGCTTAGAATAACTATGCGCCTTCGAGTTCACTTGCTGACTTGCTCCCAGGGGAACAGCACCGTTCAGAAACAGCCCTCCACCAACAAGGGTGACAGCAGAGATATCATTGCTCCTTAGAGTATGCCTGTCGCGATTGCTATAGTTCAACTGTATTCAAGACTGACAAGATGTCCCAGGAGGAACACCTCAGCAGTTACATTCAGTCAAGATCAAGAATAGCACTGTCATTACTACCAACCCTCCCATGGCTCCCCGTGAGCAACCTTCCGCTGTCTCTCAGCAGGACGACGACGATGACATATGCATTGACCTCACAAAGCTGGCGCAACAAGTATGGACTGCCGAAGAGCAACAAACAACAGCTCCTGCTGTCCAGCAGCCGGCGAAAAAACCGAATTACGACCTGTCACCCAGAACTTTGACCAATGGACAGGACGGCAGCTTTTTTCGCAACCACAACATCGCTAGGCCTTCTCTGCTTAAACAACCTAGGCAGAAGAAAGTCGATCATCACTCGCCTCACGATGCCTCACGAATCTCCAAGACCATCCGTTTGCCGAAGGAACCTACTAGACAGCGGAAGTTATCCAAGAACTGCATTGGTAGCAGATACAAATCCATCACCGAAGACGATAACACTGCTTCCCCATACATCTCAACGCCCAACAAGACAAGCGATCCCAATCCTCACTACCAAGTTGGCCAGGAGTTTTCTTTCAGTAGAAGCATCCCCCCAATGGTTCCAAGCTTGATGAAGACTTGTCCCAGGCCACCAACAGCTGCCTTGATGTTTGATTCAATAGCATACTTTCCTTATCAGCTCGACATGGCTCGCCATCTGGCCTACAATGGTGTCTCGGGGCCATATGAACTTGGTGAGTATCTCGTCGACATCCACATGGGAACCGCACAACCTGTCAAAATTGCTCGTCGTGATACTGGCGAGTACGGGCAACCAGTTTGGCGGCACCTCATAACAGGAGACCAGATAATACCACGAGATGGGTCTAAGGTTTGGGGCATACCAGTCGCGCTGAGCAACGGAGCTCTGCTCCATATGGAAGACACAAATGGAACTAGAATCGCTCCTCAATGGGGCTTCAGCCAACCTCGCGAATGGCATTCCCAGGAGTGGCCCGAAATAGAGAAACCGGAGGAGAAACAGCACTCGGCACAGCAGGAAGCCAACCCATTTCATCCTGGGGTTAAGCCAGGTTGCAATCCCATGTGGCAATGAGTGATATCGCAAACAAATACACGAACCGAACAAAATATGTTTGAAGGTTCGTGTTGACTGGATTCTTGCTAAAGAGATGATCTCGGAATTGGATTCACCAGAAGCCAGGCTGGCCTGTTCGATGAATGCGAACAAACATGCTTTGGGCTTGGAAGCAATGCACTTTACTAACTCACGGCGACCATGTTTTCGTTTTTATCTGGATTTATAGGCGAAAGATACTAATGCTCTCAAAGCCAGTAAATTGTCAGCCAGTGGTTGGGAACAACCTCACCCGCCTTTTTGGGTTTGTAGTCTTGGGCATTCCTTTATTGTTATTAATAGAATGAACAACTCCATTCGCTTGAGAATCCCATCGCAAAAATTTGACGCACATTGGGCTGGATGAGATGGTAAGTGGTAAGTGGTGGTCGAATCATCTCACGATAATTGATGATTACGGAAGAATTGCGCGCCGACATCGATATCATCATCCAAAAAGAGATGTCCAGGTCTGTCGCCACTTTTGCTCTAGCTTGAGCCTCTCATTGACGTCAATTTGTCTACACTATCATATCTTTCTCTTCCCTCTTGTTTTCTTACCTGTCTCTTCATATTCGCATTCGCAATGGGTTCTTCATCGTCCAAAGTTGCCAAAGGCGCAGCGCGGAAGTTTCCCGCTCGAGCTCCAGGAGCCTCAGTCCCCGAAGCAGTAGCACGCCAACCAAGGGCAGAGGCTCCGAAACCGCAGTCAAAAGCTCGAGAGAACAACGGCGTCAAGGACGAAGGTGAATGACCAGACTCTCCTCTAGCCTATTAATACCCACTGACACCTTCTTATAGCCGTTCGCGCAGATGCTATGGACCCCGATTTCCCGACGGGCGACTTCTCGCGCCGCCTACACCAGATGGGCATTGCCGACTCGAATCCTACATACTCTCCCTCATCTACTGCTGGATCGCCCCTCGGACCCTCAGCACCTTCAGGACCTACCTTTGCACCCAGCCGAAGCAATACAACCCTCATTGCGCTCGAAGCTCGAGATCGACTACAGAGTGAGGCGGAGGAAGATTTCGCCAATATGGGGCGTGAGGGCCGCCGGTTCCTCGACATGAGAACGTTAGTAGATGCCATGAAGCTGCGCGATCGAGGTCTACCTGAGAAGGACATTGAGGCGAGATTTAGGATACAACCGGGGCTATTGAGCAAGCTTGGCCGGGAAAAGACTTTCTCACATGTTACGAGTCCTAATTAATGGACAAGAAGTGGAATAGGAGATGTTGGAATTCGCTATAGCTGTCTATTGTGGCGCTAATGATGAACAATATCACGAGTGTATTATATGACGACTGTACAACACATTCTTCCTCGCTCTACAAGTACCAGGAATAAGAGATACCCATGGAGAGAATACCGAAACCCACATTGTTACGTGATTCTGTTGCTTTTGTCCAAACTATCACCAGGTACCGGGGCCATCAAGCCTTACCAAGCAGCATGGCCGCCATCAATACGAAGATCGGCACCGGTCATGTAACTACTCGCAATGCTCAGAAGAAAAACTGCCGCGACACGATACTCACTCGGCTTACTGAGGCGGCCGAGCATGTTCTCAGTGGGCCACTTCTCTCGGCGATCGGGGTGGTCATTGAACAGGTTTTGGAGCATCTGTGTAAGGATGTATCCTGGTGAGAGAGTATTGACACGAATTCCGTACTCGCCCCATTCCATGGCAAGGTTACAGGCGAGCTGTATCCGTACAACGGCCGCCTTGGAGGGATTGTATACGCTTTCAGATGTGTTAACAGCTAGAGGGAATCGGCGTCCAGGGCTCGAACTGGTACTTCCAGAGCTAGCATGGCCTTGTTGGCAATAGTTGCGCTCATACTGGCAATCATGATAATGAAAGAGAGGATATCGATGCATAAGAAGACACAAGCCAAGCCAACGAAAAACAATACCGAATGCGTGTATAGAAACAGTCGTGCGTCCATCCGGTAGGCTGAGGAAGCATAGGCCAAGCTTTCCATCATCAGTAATCACTAGGACGATATTAATGATGCTGGTGAAGCTCGGGTTTCCTTGTAGAGCTAACTTCGATCGATGCTAGCTACATCCCCCGCCTTGCTCTTCTTAGCTGATCCGTTGTGCCTGTTGAGCTTGAGCTTGGGCTTGGATATTGTCATGTTGATCATATTACATGGATTCGTATTTCTTGCGGGGAAACTGGGCGACACTTCCGGGATATCTTTCTCGGTCCTCAGCTCCTTGATCCGTGGGTTTACTTACCCAATCACGACGGACTTCTCAACTCTTTCTGTCCCTCCCCATACACATAGTTGAAGTCTTGATATTCGCAGATCGTAAACTTTGAGCAGCGACTGCGAGGCAATCGGCGTGGTATGTTACTGCGGTGAACGCAATGTTTAGACGGTGCTTTTACGATGGTAGATATATAGCAGCGTGAAAAGGGAAAAGGAGAGATAAGTTGCCCCAATGCACGTTGACGCTATGAATCTATCACATGGAAGTAGAATAAAAGACATTGTCTAAAAGGGGAATCCCGAAAACGCAGGCGCAGTTGCTCTCCAGTCATCTCAATCCTTCTCTCGGCAACTTCGGGGTGAAGCATGCCGAGACTTGCTTTCGTCCAGATCAACCTTCAACTGCAGATTCCCTGTCGGTTCATCATACCACATGTCCCGCATAACACAGTCAATACTTTGCCGAGACGCTCAATGCACCTTGACTGACTTGATAATGAGCGGACAATCTTTGACTTGCTATGTCATGTTGTTAAAATGCGGCACAGGTCTATACAATGCACATTGCTTAAACAATAAATATGCTATGTCTGAATAATCATGAGAACTAAGAACATTCTGCGTCAAGCCTCGAGGTAAACAAAATGCATTAAACGCCTGGTACCAATCCTTCAAACATGACAGACATTACGTTGCTTCGTCGCCTTGATGAGTACTTTTCCTGCTACCACCTCCAACAAAGCCTTACCTTTAAGAGATATGCACGAACAAAAACAGGAATGCTATCGCTCTAAATCCAAGTATGAGTTGCAACGCGGTTTGCTTTTAAAAGTTGCCTTTTCAGCCCGTCTTCCTTTTTTATTTCCCTCTCCCATGTATACCTTCCATTTTCCGTTTAAGCGCTGTCTATCCACTGGTACACGGTGACCAATGTTGTGTAGACCATGGCAATGAAGCCTACCACCATGACAACAACGTCGATGACCTTGGCTCTGGTGGTCTGGGCAGCTCCCTTATAGTGCAGCAATGCCGGGTAGATGTAGACAAGAGGAACACAGGCAAAACTGCCAATCAGTGCGACAAACTTGTCCAAGTCACTGGCGCCAACAATACTGACACCAACACAGACGCCTGCAAGTAAGGTTCTGAGGGCATTCTTCTTCCACTTAATCGCACTGCTCTTCTTGCCAGTCGCCCGTTCTCCAAAGATAGACGTCTCGACGATACGCGCAGCTGGGAACAACTGAACGGGGTCTCCTGCCAGAACGGCAATGGAATACAGGAACTGGACGGCGTTGACTAGGGGGGAATCCTGAGGGAAATTGGAAATGACCTGGATCTTGGTGTCCTCGCCAAACGTCGCGTAGCAGAGTGCTCCCACTGATGTGAAGATGATCGTGATGATGAACATGACCAGGTAGAGAAGGCCAGGGAAATGCTCGGGTTTCTTCATGCTGGACTGGATGGGCAAAATAAGTCCTATACCTTCAAAGGTAAAAATGCCTGACCCGACTGTTAGAGTAAAATCTCTGGAATTAAAGAGCTTCACAGTTGGGTCCATGCCGTGCTGCGAGAGGGCCGCGATGTCATAGTACCAGATGTACACAATTCCAATTAAGATAAAGACATCCGCGAGCAGGGCGGCAGGCCCAAGCTTGGAGATGTTTCGAATCAATGCAAGAGGAACAAGGGCAACCAATTGGAGAGCAATCAGACTTGGCACACTGAACATGAACTCGCGGTGGTTGGCGGTCACAGCATCTAAGAAGGCATATAGATTCTCTGCTGTGAAGATGAGACCGGCGCAGACAAATCCGAGCTGAGAAATAGCAATCGATGCGAGAACCAGGCTTCTAAAACGGGGACCAATGATGGCTTCACCGAGCTCTCCGTAACCGCCTCCATAAATCTGACGACAGTCTAGAAGAAGTCGGAAGCATCCACAGTTGATCAAAGAAAGTGCGATCAAGGTGATTGAAGAAAAGAGAATGCCACCATTACGGAATGCCTTGGGCAGGAACATGATTCCGGTTCCGATAAAAGCCTTGATGAGAGTGAAGAAAGTCTTTGTAGTCGTAGCGTCGCCAGTCTTACGGAATCTCTTGGAGCTTCTCCTGCGCCCAAGCAGCGGTCGGAGCTCGGGTGGTTGTTCAGCATCGCCGTCCTCTCGGTCATCGATCGCAGACTCGTCTTCGCTGTCGGCATCTTCGAGGTCTTCGCCAGCAAAGCTTCCGTACAGGTCGAGGAAATCGACGAAATTCTTAGCCACAATTGTGTAGCCACTCATACGTCTCTGACGGGCACGTCGCTGGATATGGTATCGTCGGAAGCCTCCTGGTTCACGCTGTTCGGAGTGGCTTAGCTCGTCGTCGTCGGCCAGTCCGGGAGTGTGATGGTGGGAAAAGGTAGCAGCTCGTCGAAGGGAATTGGCGCGAGCCTTGATCTTGAACATGTCGCGATGCATGTCACCACCTTGGAGTAGGAGTGAAGACTCAACAGGCTCTGCTGGAGAGTCATCGTTGACATTGGTAGCGGAAGCAGAGGCAGAGGCGGAAGCAGAAGCAGTAGTGTTGGCTGGACCGAAGGCAACATCAGGCTCTGCAGAATAGCCATCTGGTAAATGCTTGTCAAGGATGGCAGCCTTTCGCTTGCCCGTGTCGCTACCCGGGCTACTGGGCGTTCCCTCGAAATTCGCAAAATCAGCCATGGTTGCGGGTTATTGGAAGAGTTTGACAGTCGTGACGTAGTGCCTGCAGAACTCGAATGCCTATATGCGGCTGTGGTAGTGGGAATAAAGCTCAGTAAACAACAGAGTATTTGTCTTTGGGGTGATCAATCACAGGGAGTTTTCAGCTGTGTTAGCCGTCACTGCTAGTGTCAACTACCATTTGCCGGAACAAAGAGGCAATGAATTGATAGACAGAGAAAACATGAATTCCTGCGAACGGCGGTAAATCGCCAGGTTGGGTCGCTTGTTGTATGACAATTCGGGTCGGTGAATATCTCTCCCGGGAAATCTAGCCGATTGAGGGTTGAGTCGGTGGGTCAAAGACCCACGTGCGTTCGTAGAGCATAAGTACTTAGTACATCTTCAGCCTCAAGTCTGTGCCGGGATTTGCTCTGGTTTCGAGGAATAGAATGTACTCACTACATTATCCATGACCTCCATGACGGTGGTAGTCATGCAACCAGAAACACCACGCTCGACATTCATCCTTCCTCATTCGATGATATCGAAGCTTCTAGAGAAAGCAAGCAGGGAAGATCTCATCTATTTCACCCCCATATTAGATAGGTAGCACGAGAACAGCTTAGACAGCCCCTACAGGTTAGCATGCCTGTACCTCAATGTAGTACAATTTCACTCTCCGCCAAGATACTACAATAATTATATTTGTAGTACGTTTTGGTTCCGGTCCATTGCTCTGTTTACTTCAACGAACTTGATTCTTTTCGTGCTGCGCGAAGTGCCCCATATTTGCGCCTTTGGCCTCAGCAGTTCCTTTTATCAGTTTCGATGAAACGGCCCTGTTCATTGCGTTCAAAGTCGCCATTGTGGCCGAAAACAACAAATTAAAACGGTTGTGGCAGGTCAACTTTGCGCCTGCTGTACAGTTTGAGAATGAATATTCGCTTTTCGTATAGCTGTGATATTTCGAAAAAAATAAGCCAAGAAATGTATTCCATTCTAATCGCGCCATCAGTGGTTCAGGCGGATGTTGTAACCAACTCGTGACTAATGCCAACCTCTAAGACATTATTGGGTTAAACTGACAATTACAATTTCGACAGCCACCGGATGGACAAACTTCAGTATTCGTACATTCATCACTTAGATCAGAGTATGCTTTTCCGCCATCAATGATGGTAATGCTCGCTGGAGTAACGAAAATGCTAATAATTAAGATCCCCCACTGCGATTCAAGGCGCTGTGTAGTATCCCAGTTTAGCCGGGAAAGACCCGTATCAGTGTGGGAAACTTTTTCCTCAGGCACATATGGCACTAAACCGAATACGCTCGACGCGCCTGTCGTTTCGCAGCCACCAGAAAGCTCATTCATCAACCTCAAATTCAACGCTCAATCTCATCACAACCGTCAAGATGAGCTTCGCACCTCTCAACCCTCGCCCTATGCTTCAGGAGCTTGTCAGCAAGCAGGTTCTTGTTCGTCTAAAATGGGGTGAGGTCGAATACAAGGGAACCCTGGTCTCCATCGACAGCTACATGAACCTCCAGCTTTCTGGCACCGAGGAGTACATCGCCGACAAGCCTACCGGTTCGCTAGGTCAAGTACTGATCAGGTATACTATCACCTATCCATTGGTACATTCAGTAAATGCAGTGCTAACCAGGACTTTACAGGTGCAATAACGTGTTGTGGGTGCGCGGAGCAGATGCAGGAAGCGACGCAGACGCTGCTATGACTGGCTGATTCACCGTTAGGTGATGGGACTTTGTGAAAGACAGAAAGGAGGACACGATTTTCTCAAATTATACAGAGTTTTGCTCTGATGCGAACCCTACGCCTGGCCCGGACGCGACACCGCTTTTTCAACCACCAAGCCTCGCCCAGGCTGTTTTCATGCATTTACTAGATGCCTCACCTCGAGGCATTATTCATCGGCTAGTTATCAAAATTAGATGCCAATTTCAGGCGGACAGCTCAAAAAGTTCTACGAGAGGGTAGTATTCTGAGACACAAATCTTAATTCAAATTTCGGTGATGACCATATTTTCTGTGGTTTATGTGATCTGCTGCAGCGGTGAGCTTGGCTCAGCCTGACTGATTATTGGTTGAAATCCTTTGAGTGGAAGTATGTATCTTCCAAACTCTTCCTTGATGACCATGGATCTGAGTTGCGGATCTTGGTTTGAATATTGGTCCTCCTTTTCCGAAGGCGAGACGGCGATTCATTATCTCATCTCAGACGTGTCATTTTCTCTTTGTCAGGGTACTGGTCAGGCTGAATTTCCAATCTGGCAAAGACTAATGCAATTGACGTGGTCGAAGTGGGAAGATGATGCGTGGACACGACAATATCGACAAATGTCATTAAAAAACAGGTACCAATCGCTCCACGTATTGAATGCCGACTTTTGTTATGTATCTGTACAATTCATCGTTGCATGTTAGCTTGCGTGAGACTTCACATGTGGAGAATAGGCCTTTTCGTTCTTGCTCCTATATACAGAATTAGAATCCTCGGCGTTCAATAAATCTATCTAAGTGTATGCAACAGTGATACCTATCTTGCGGCCATGATCTAATTTTAGCAATGCCATCGGTCCACACAGAGATCACAGTATCAAGCCAAACTTAAGAAGCAAAAGAGGACATAGACTAAACAAACTTCAGAGTAAAAGCAGCACAATGCCCACCGATCTTCAAAGCGAAGGTTAATTAAGATGAGATGAGAATGGAACTAATGCTAAACATAGTCCAAGAGAGGAAAAAAGCCATTATGACGAGTAGACTCCTTCCTATTGGTTTTGACAACACTGATACATATTAGTTCGAAAGAAGAGGTAGTGCTCGTGAAGGCACTGCAACTGCTCGACCTACAAAGGTCCAAGAGTAATCACTGCGCATTTCTTGCGATAGGTGCCTGGGGTAGTGGCCGATTTGGGCGCGTTAACATGTTCAACCTTTGTACTTCGCAGGCAAGAAAGCCAAATGGACCAATTGCGTGGCCCCTTTGGTTTCAATACGAGCTTCTCGTACCACCATTGAGCGTATGGATGTGTGCAGTTGGCAGGCAACCTGAGAAAGCTAAAGATCTGTCAGAAACACGCACATGTCTGAGGTTCCAATAGATAGAACAGAGCATTTCGACAACTTACTTAGTGAAACCTGCGACGTCGTCTGTGCTCAGGGGAAAGCTGACCATGTCTCCTGTCCAAAATGCACCGCCACTAGGAAAGCGCAAATCTATGAATTCTTTCAACAACCATAGTGCATCGTTTCGTTCAGGCTGTTGAGTAGTTTCTGGACGTTTCGCGGGAAGAGTAGCTCCCTTTTCGCCTATGGGCGACACACATAGTTCTGGGGGATAGTCTGAATCGACATCCAATGAATCTCGTGCAAAAGATGTTGACTCAGCCCGCTTCCGGACCATTCTCCAGAGAGCAAGGAGGTCAGAACCGTTTTTGTGCTTTCTCATTACGGATATAGGCAGGGTGCATGCCGAGTTGTAAGCGGGAACTATGAGAGTATAGCCTGTTGGGGTCCGGATATCAATGCCTGATAACGTAAAATGCATGGTGCGAATATCGTCGCTTTCAAGCGGGGCAATGGAAGGGCCAAGTTTGATATCCAATGTGATCTTTGGCTCGTTCTCCAACCGATAAGTGAAGCGAAATACGCCTCGTTGAGAGACATCAAGCTTATGGCCATCGATTTGGTTGAAATCAAGGCAGGGAGACTTGCCCACCTTCCCTCGCGTCATACTGGTGAGCCATAACGCTTGGCGAACCATGAACTCTTGTGATGACTTCTGCAGTTGATTGTCCAGAGTTTGGTCACTACTCAGGCAGTCAGTTGCACTAATATCACCGCCAAAGGTCTCAATAAACCTTTGTCGTTCCGGTTCCACAGTTTGAGGGTCTTTCAGAGATTCCATTGAAGCAGCAATCCATAGGCCTTCCTCTAACCTCGCCATAAACTCCAACCAAGCAGCTTTACCCAATGACCAGCCGCATACAGTCGCAGTATTAGACGAGAATAAAGATTCCGCTTGCTTCTGCCTAGCGAGCGAATTGGGCGTGCCTCTGGTCTGCCCACAACGCTCAAGAGCTAGTTTGTAATGGTACTGGGGGTGTACATGGGTTGAAGAAGTTTCAAAAAGGGAGGAGGCCACGGGTGCTTGGTCTAGACTCTGCATGTCAGCACTATCATCTAGCATCATTTCAGCTTCAGGCGTCTGCAAGAGGCTGATTGATGCTGTCCATTGCCGCTCGAGAAGAAAGTCAGGCAAGCCGTGGATGTAGCTGTTGATGACAGCGTTTTGAAACGACTGAATACGTTTCGAAAACTCGTCTTTGAAACTTCCCACATCGTCATTCCAGTCGGAAGAAAAGGCCGTGCGTATAGGCGCCTTGCCGACAAGCAAACCTCCATGGTATCGATGAACACTGGCCGCAACACCGAAGAACCGCCTATGTTGTTGGGCCTTGTTGTGAAGCCTGTCAACAGATAGCAGAGACCCGCTGTCCTCGATAAAGCTGTGAACTTGTCTCCATCTATTGAGTGTGGTGTCTGAAGGGCCCCAGTTGTTTGATGTTAAATTAGCCCTAGGATCGTGATCATAGCAGTAGCTTTGCTCGAACACATCTCGTGTTCTCTTGCACGATCACCTGACGACAGACTTTTACCTACAGTTGTTGCCGAACTGTCCATCTTCATCTCAGCGACAAAATTTGTCTTTGCTGTGTTAAGACTTTCATAGTATCCTGCCTCTTCCAAAATTCCCTCTGCTTGTGTTACAAGTTCGATACAAAGGACGTCCCTTGAGGTGTGAAGAGTTTCATGTCGAGAAAGTAGTTTCATCGCGGTGTCCATGTATACCCATGTCGCAACCCAAGGATACCAGAAAATCTTATCTTGACTCGACGTGGTAGGTTTTCGTACATAACTTCCAGGGTGCAAATGTGGAATGACGATAGCCTTGGTGCCCCCACTTGGAATTTGAACTGCTCGAGCAACGCCGACTTCCTTGAGCAGACTAGAGAATGTATTAGAAACCGATATGAATAAGTCGAGTAGACTTACGATTTAGGTGGAGTTTGACGTCGAGTTGGCTGGCACAGCCAAGCATAAACATGCTGTCCAAAGCTGACAATGATTACTGGCCCAAGTGCGGCCAACCACGAATCGAATAATTTCTTAAGTGCAGGTCAGGAAAGATTTCAAAAGCCGGTAAAAGTACATTATACATACTCGTGATTTCACCTTCTGGTTGGAATTCAGATGCGGCCAGTTAAGTAGCTGATTAAAGCTGATCAGGTCTGCCAGTGCTGTGATAGGAGTGTTGCATATCCCCGTCTCCACCGCGGCCATGGAAGTCAGAACACTCCTAACGAAGCTACTGGTAGCACGAACACCGCTAAGGATGTCAGCTCCGTCGTTGACGCTGCTGATAGGTGGTTCATGGCCACAAAGAGCCAAAAGAAAGCTCCCATGTGCCAACGACTTTGCGACAGCCTGGCTGTATGTGCCACTAATGTATTTCTTGCGATCGATCTCCTTTGCCCTGTCCTCTTCAAGCCAAATTTCTTTTCGAGCATATTCCCACCATGATTTGAAGAGAAAACTAACGTCGGAAATAACCTTCTCGGGAGGTGGCGTAAAACAGTTGTTGGCTTTGCTCAAAAGGCTCGTGTTGCATCTCATGAGGACGCGTTCTTCTTCATAATCTGGGGTTAACATTCTATGTTTGCCTCCTCGCTGACGATTTAAAAGCGTTTGGGTTCCGAAGAAAGCGACCATACAACGCTCAGCATGATCCGTGGCTGAGTTGTAGAATCTTTGAAACAGTACATTCTGTTTCGCACTCTCCTTGTTGAAATCTGCTATGAAGCTGCCGTTGATAGCGTATACTTGGTGAGACCTGGACACGGATGGAAACAGCCGGTCTATCGTGGAGAGGAACGTGCCAAGGAGGGATTGTGGCCGCTCTGTGTTCTTTTGTACCCGTTTGAATGGATTTCGGGGTGCAGATGTTGACCCTACGTATCGGACAGTTATCGGCGTGGCTGGAAGGCAGCCTTTGAGCACCAATGTCCATGCCTCCACCCGATTCCCATATCCATGTTTTCGGAGCTCCTCAACTACTTGACAAAGCTGATCGGCTACCATTAGCCAAGATCTGAAATATGTGACAGAACCTGTGTGAAGCATGGGGGAAGCTTCTGTAGATTGTTCGATGGAAATAATATCGGCAAGCTGTGCATCATTCACCAGCATTGGATTGTTGAGCCAATCACTCATAGTAACGTGGACCCCATCTTTACCTCCATGGGTAAGAATCCTATGAGCAATTGTTCCTCCAATATCAGTTGCTGTATGGAGGCGAGATTGCAAAATCCGTGGGGAGATGCCCCCGTACCCCAGGGAAGGCACGGAATAGCTTCTTTCTCTGTAACACCGTACCATCAGAGCAACTCGCTGATCTGCGTTTATGTTTCATGCCGGGCCTACAATCAGCGGTGGACAGAAGACGTGCGAAGCAGTTGATGTGAAATGACCTGTAACAATCGAGGTCAGGATATCAATACTTAGTGACTGGAATGATGACTATGGAACTTACCACAGCAAAACGATGATTATGCGATACCATACGGCCAAGAGTTGTTTACATTTCGGGTGCTTGATTTAGTGCAGGTGGAGACAACCCAGCAGGTCTACCAGCCAAGGATGAGAAAAGATTTGAAAATTGAAGATTATAGATCAATTATTTGACAGCTTAACACATGAAGTCAATATGGCCGAGTGGTCTAAGGCGCTGCATTCAAGAGATTTCTTACCTGGCTACCTGGGTCCTGCAGTATCGAAAGATTCTTGGGTTCGAATCCCAATGTTGACAATTTCTTTTTTTCTTCTTGGGTCTCATCTTCGTCTTTTCCTGGTATGGTGATTTAGTTGTTTGACTAAGCATAATTGGTCAAGATGGCCGAGCGGTCTAAGGCGCTGCATTCAAGATCATATCTTGTCCGGAACAACTGGATTCTGCAGTATCGAAAGATTCTTGGGTTCGAATCCCAATCTTGACAATTTACTTTTTGTTCCTGCTTCGACATAGATAAGGCGTGCTGTCGGAATGGTTGCACCAAGTACTTAAGGGTGGATGTTTTATGAATTGCTGTGCTGTGCTGTGATGTGCGTGGATGTGTGACTTGGACGCTACCTGGCTTGAACGTATGTTTTTGGTGCTTAAAAGTACCCTGCGCAGACTGTACATAAGACATGCGTAGCAACCCAAACGTTGGGGGACACCAGCTAGGTTCCTTCGGGCTCTATTTATCAGCGCACTTGGGCCTCACTTTCTTTTCAATGTTCCAACATCTACGGCCGGTGATTGATTATTCAATGCGGTAGATTTAATGACCCAAGATCTAGGTCCAAAGTTTGCTACTGCAAGGCGACGAGTAGGCTCTGCGATTAGGCAGTCTTGTGATTTCGTTTGTCGCCATGCCTTGTCATAACACTTTTCAGGCCATCAGAGGTGGCACAGAGTGGCAGCAAGAGGCACCAGCGGTGACTGTCAGCACAAGTCCCTCGCAGTGGGTCTGTGGAAGCGGGGAAATGTCCCCGTCGTGCTTAAGTGCCGTGAATCTGGGGTAAGCGGGTCTTTAGCGGACTCAGTGGATACGCTTCAGGGGGCTCCAGGCTACTAGCGGCAGCAACTTGTTGACAGCACGCGACTTGTAAAGCGCATTGAAACACTGTAAGTCGTCGTGAACCGGTGACATTTCAAGTCGTGGATCTCAAGTACTTCAACAGGATGTCACTAATAAGTCTGCAGTCTTATCTTTGGCTCTTGGCGCAAAAGGAGGGCAAGTGTGCATTGCCAGGAACACGTTTCCCCTGGCTGACTCCTGCATTACCTTTGTTACTGTACGAGAACTGTGCCGCACGTCGTTGCTTTCTGAATGCAACGCAGTCGATTGAATTTGAAGAGATATGCCGATTGTTTACTCCGTATTCTACACCCGTAATGCACAAAACATGATATTTCTATTCATTCTACGTCAATCAAACGATTTGAATCCAAGTTCTTGCCTGACACTCGCATCTTCTGTAACACAAACGTATCGAATGCAGCTGGGTGGCTGCCGAGGGAAAAACACGCCACTATGCGTGTCTCTGGGCGGGGTTCTGGGGTTCCAGTTGCTGCCAGTCCCTTTTTCTCAGCACTGATTTCGTTTCATCTCACTTCATTTTATTTGGCTCCCTGCACGATTTCCGCTGTTTCCTCTGTGATGCAACACGCGACCACCTGTTGCACTGCGTTGAAATTGAAAGCATTGAGTCATTTGGGTCGTTCATCTAACGGCTCTGATGAATACGCTGCTTGGTAAGAGGTTCTCTGGCTTTGCATTTGGTCCATGGACGACCGACTTCGGAACAACGCCACGCAGCTCACCATGTAAAGGTAACCAGCAACGTGTAGACGACCACCATCTTGCTTCGAGCAGCTGAATCTCAACTGAAGCGATCTTCCCGCATCCAAATCCAAATGCACCATGACCCCTACAGCCAACGACAATGACTCTGGGGCGTCACTGGCGTGGCAACCTGCACAAATGGACGGCATACTCCCCTTGACCTTGTCGTAGCTCTCCGCTCACCCTGCGCCTCCCAAGACTGGTACTGTTTTCAGAACCATCTTGACCAACCGTTAGCAGCAATCCATAAAGTCACGAGGGCCTGGCCTCGACGTAATGGAGGGCATGGACCTAACTGACAGCGAATCAGCGCCTGTGTCGGCCTGCGGGAGAGTTTGAGGTTGGGGGAAGATTGCAAGCCATCCGCACTCGAGTGTAACCTTGTCCGTCAGCACAGTATTTGTCTTACTATGTACCGCTCTCTGCGCTGCAGCGCCATCGCTCCTCCAGGTATCAACCCATCCCATCTTGTTGTCACTTTGCGTCGATGTCGCAGCCTCCCTTTTGCTCTTGCGCATGTTGATCATCCAAGCGCTCTTACCCCGCTCGATCTTGCCGGATCACACAGAGATGGCTGCACGTATATAATAGAGGCAGCTGCTCGTTTGTGTCCATTTGTATTTCTTCACTTTCTCCTCTCGTCAAATCAACCATTCAAGTTCTTCCATACTCCCGCTTTTTGCCCACTTGAACAAAGCACAGTCAACGACTCTCGAACACCCCCAAACAGTGAGTATACCCTTGCCATTGCATCTGCGATTCTTCCTAACAGCACTAGCTACCCAGAAACCCCCCCCACACAAACCACCAATATGCCTGTCCGCGTCCCCAGACTTCCTGCTGCCAAGCCCTCAGAGATCTTCTGTATGGGTGCGGCCGGTGTTGGCGTCCTAACTCCTCTATATCTTGTCATGCCTGGTGCTGAGGAGCGTCTTTCCAATCAGACAAACAAGTGGGCCCCACGATGGGAGCGCAACCTCAGCTATTTCATCCCTCCCATGGAGAAGGGCGTGCAGCGTATCGAGCCTCCTGTGGCAAAGATGATTCAACGTGTCGAGGATCGTCTTCCCCTTGAGAAGATGGCAAAGTCTGTCGATAAGGGCATCCGAAGCGGCATCGCTCGATTCAACGGCGAGAACAAGCCCTAAGCACATACTATTGTCTTCATACATGACCTTGACCTGGGATTTTGCCAGGCATGAGTGTTCCCTTTGTATATTATCATAGCATACCCCGGGTGGATGACGCATTGTTCACTACAGCCCATACACGAATGAAACGAATATTATGTTCCATTTCTTTTCTATGTCTGTGATTTCTTGATCAGCGATACATTTCGCCGTGTTCACCAGGGGAAGTATCGACTGTCTGAGCCAAATCTCGTACATTTCCATAACATTTTCTCAGTCTTGGAATCCCCTTCCCACTTGTCTGCGATATGTCATCGAGACGAGTGTGGATGGATTTTCCATTCAGTGCCGGAGTCTGATACTTAAGGCTTCTTGTCTCTTGCGGGAGAGTTATCTGTAGCCAACTTACGCAGATTTGCCAACATCGTTATCTCGTGTTTTCATTTGCAGCAAGTCCCTTGGTGGGATCGCCAATGTTTGTTTCGTCGGTGAAACGCCGATGAGTGGCTTCACAGCCCAAGGCTTTGATACCGGAGGTCCTTCTGGTCTGCCTTACATTGTTTCATATGATGTTCATGAGGCTTAAAGTTATGTAGTGACGAGTGGAACCCCTGGTGCGATACATCCTGGCTTCATAGCTTCAATCTAATCGATGGTCCCAGCAGTCCCCCCCCAGCTTTAGGTTCTTTGTGGAGCCCTAGCACGCAGCAAGTCTTCACCAAAGGCTACGCTCTAGCAATGAGGGATTAATCCAGACATGAGCCACAACAACATGTAGATTCTGTCTAAGCGATGACAATGCATGTGTCTATCTAATTCTTAACATCCATTAGTGGTACGGGTATATAGCAAAGAATGGAAACGATTCAGTTAAGACATACGTCGGTCCTTTGGTGTAGCTAGTAGCTACACTACCTATGAGCAGAGAAAGTGAAAACAGCTCGAGTTTCCCTGTTTCCAGCCGCAAACGAGTCAAGACACCTGCCACGCCCAGTTCCGTAGCTGGTAGCGCTGCTTCAGGATCCGCTTTCGTCACTGGCGTTGTCACCGGCAAATCCCGCTATTTGTCAATCGCTATCGCCCCGTATTTCGCCTCGCACCATCGCGTACCATTGCTGACGGACTCGGAGCCATGTGTTTTAGCGTCACAGGTGTCAAACTGAGCGTTGCCTTGTTGGAATCGTACGACAGATGGCTATGGGAATTGCCCAGGCCGGGGTTGACAAACCACATTGGGCGGGAGGTGAGAAGGAAGAATACATTTAGGCTCAAGAAGCAATAGAAGAAGGGGTCTCCCCCTAAGGCCAATCTTGTGCCATTTCATCTTGCGTTTATTTTCTGTACAGGTCAAGAAAAGCCGATACCAGAACTGTGGATAAGCTAGTCGTCTGGAAACCGCTCTGAGTATTGTTGTATATAAGATACATGAATAATCATATGACTGGCCTAAAGAAGATAGCAGGAGAGTAAACACTGGTTGAGAATTTCTTATAGGAGGTTTAAAGCGTGTATGTCCAGTATATCAACTGGCCACGATTGAGGAGGCTGCCGAAGCTACTGGACTCTTGAGTTTCCCTTTGAACTGCCACACATGGGGTGCTAATACAGTTTGTGAGTTATGTTTCCCAAGTGGACATGCTCAAACATAGACTAAGCTTTGGTGTTTGTGTCTCGGTGGTTGATTTTATCGTAGAGCTCGACTTACCTATTCTCCGAAATACAACCTTTGATTTTCCTTTCGTAATCAACCCCCCCCCCCCATTACCTTGATACTGTGGTGTTTAGTTGTAAACTGGTTTGATATACGTATGCCCTATTACAATAACATGCTATTTACTTGGTACTGTTGGGCCTTGTGGCATGTCTGTATAAAAACCTAAGAAACAACTCATGAAACAACTCCAGCATAGTTTCGTACAGTATTCTTGAAATTTCTCGCTCAAAAGAAAAGAAAAAAACCAACAGTCAACCAAGACATCCGACGGAGTCTAATTTAAATCCAACAGTACACAGCATAATAACAGCACAAGCGTGAGCGACCTTGAACACCTTGCATAAAGATTGAGACCCAAGAATGACATTAGCCGAAATTGAAAAAATCAAGAGAGTAGTTTCTTTGTTGGTCGTTATCTTCATCAAAGCGTGGCGGCTTCACCATGTTTGGGCCGTATCCGTCTATACTCCCCGTAGCCACAGATCCAACACTGCCGCTGGCCCAGTTTGTGCCGATATGAGGAAGCTTTCCCGATGTTGGATCAGTCATACCTCTCTCATTATCCGCAAACTTTCCCGGCTCTTTCATCGAGCCGAAAGCAGACACTCCTGACATTATGCCAGTCGCCATAGCGGCACTCTGGTTCAATACTGAACTGGCGCTAAGACCAGCAGTTTCAGAGGTCCAGTCCACAACACCATGAAATTGGCCTGGCGCATAAGGTTGTTGCATGTTGGGTACGCCCCAGTTGTCTGGCATCGGATTGGTAAGGTTCGCGTGATTCATGCCCCCTGCCATATGCCCTGAAGGGATCTCAGTGTGATTGACGTTGACACTAGGTCCGACCATCAGGTTGAGGCCAAGCTGGCCATCTTGATTGTGCACGTTCATCGGGAACATGATTGAGTCAAGATGTGGTTGACCTTGTTGACCATAAGGCATAACATAAGCTTTGTCGGGGGGAGATGACGTGGGTTGAGATGGTATGCCAAGGAATGACGGTTTTGACGAGGCAAAGTCTGATGCCTGCCGATGTACAGATGGCCTTCGCTTCTTTGGAGGCTGGCTCAACTCTCCATCTGCCTCTCGCCTGACTGGAATGACAGAAATCGATGAGCTACTGTCATAGGAAAGACCACTTCTTGCACTGCTGGTGCCCCCATTGAATGTTTGCTGGCCGGTGCTACCACTGCGTGACCTGGAAGCATCCTGCATGCTGGACCGGATCTGTTCGAGCACAGCTTTCAGCAAATCATGCATCCTGCTGGCAGGATGATAAGTAGAACTCATATCACCCACAGCATCGGAGAGAACCTCGAGATAGCCGATATAGGCTTGAAAATTTGGCTCGCTGCGCTGATAAGCGAGTGCAGCAATCAATGCGATCGACGCAGTCCCAGCATGTTGGATTCCTGTTATGAAAATCTTGCGTCCATCGAACCGCTGGCGATGCTGCCAGAAAATCCGGGCCACCCGTATCGCCTGCTGAGTGCATATACTACGAGCTAAAGTCGTACGACTACCATGAACGGCCTGCTGACGATCTTCTGACGATGTCGTTGAGCCTTCTGCAGTATGGCTGAGGTGGTGCCCTGGACTTTCAGAACCAGCTGCTCGGTCGGCTTCAGGGCTAGGATGTGAACCTGTGCTGGTGTTATCACCTGTGATGGAGCCATATTTAGCCCATGGTCGATGGAGTAATATCATGGTCACATGGTATTGCTGGTGTAAGAGGAAGAAGCTATAAGGAGCCGTCTTAACATTGCTTGGCTTCCATGCCATTCGCTCGGGCAATCGCCTATACCAGTTCTGTAGCTGCCTGTCGAGATTGATGACCTGTAAATATCTGTTTTCATCCGCTTCATTCGTAGCAAATATGCCATTCTGTGCCACAAATTTGTTTGAACTAGTAAGGTCACGTATTTCAACAATACGACCCGCAAGTTCCATCAACTCAATCAGTTGTTCGTAAATTTCAGTTGTCAAGTCGGATTTAGGAGTGTCGAGACCGAAGGAAGCAAGCTGAGAGAATCGGTTGGAAAGGAGATCAACATCTTGGCTTTTGATGGCTAAGGGACGGCCAAGAAACAGTCCCCAATATCTGTCGAAAATGACACATGCTTGCATGGCCATGTTCCGAATCTTCATATCTTGCTGGGACATGTTACTAGTACAGTCAAGGTGTAATCCAATATCGAAAGCAAGGCGATTTGCCATCCCTACAAACAGTGAGCGTGGACATCCCAAACCAAAGCTTCTGAGAGGGGCTTACCGGAATACATCCAACCGGTATTATCTCTACCAACACCGCACTCGAGGTCACCAAGTAGCAATAAGGCTTGGACACTGGGGATGCCGCCAGGTCGTTCGAGCTCAATATCGAGCATGTGTTTGGCCTCTCTATGAAGCGAACTTTCTCGGGGATTAACCGTGATCTTACGCATATCCTCCCTGTCCACATCAGCTGCCCGATAACCAGTCGCCAATACTGTTACATGGAGGAAATGAGAGTAAAACTTGGAGGACTTCGATATCCGATCGGCTTCAAACGCATCCCGATCAATGATCCGAATCACAGAGTTGTAATATTGGAAAAAGCCGTCTATGAGATAATCGTGTGTTTCACGACTGAGCGATGAAATGATCTTTTCTGCTCTGCGAATTTGTTCCGGGGGTTCACGAGTATCAGACAGGCCTGTTGATTCAGCATGAACGTGACTGTTGGCTGTAGGCCCGAAGAAGCGTAGTCGTCCAGAAATTTGATCAAATGATAGATTGTTCTTCGTGGATAGGAGTCGATGAATGATGTCATCTTGCTTTGGGTCTAACATGTGAAACGGCGAGTCCTCATTTGTACGCGAAAGTAGCGACTGTTGTTCGTGCTGGTTATCAGCCCCAGACTCACTCTCGTGTGTTCCAAAATCATCGGCATGATATTCCGATGGTGACCCATCTTCACTGCCTGGGGATTTTGGGTCAGATCTCTTTAGTAGGTCTGAATTGGTTATGGTAACTGTTAAGCCGTCTTGGAAATCATGCCTTGTCTTCGGAGGATGAGTGGCAGGAGGTGGAACAACACCCTTTTCCAACAGTAAGCCTTCGAGCATAGATATTCGGTCTGATAATGACGACATATATGCTTTAGATATGGGTCTAGGAAAATTCCGTTAGTTCTGTCTAATAGAGGGGCCAAATATTATGAGAGCATACCGTCTGCGCTCATCATCATTCTTGATAATGCACTCTGCGCCAGACTTGGAACAAGCGTTGCATCGAGACTGATTCATGGGAACCACACATCGTATTCTTCGATCGCGACATGATGCACAGGCGACAGAAGCGCGATGCCGGACTTGCTGCTTGCTGGTTTGACGTGCGGTGTGACTTTTGGAGGTGACGTCCTTGAGAGTCGCCTCCAGATTAGGGGCATCTTTCGCAGGAGCCGAAAGAGCCATGGCGACCCGCGGATAGCAGATCCCAGCTAGTCCCAAGAAGGGCTCACTGTTGGAGAGCTGATGGATCTCAGACCCCGAGTCTGGAATTAAATCTTTCCTGTCCAAGTGGTTGATAGGGAGATGATTTTAGTTTGGAAGCGGAGATGCAAAATGGGAGCTGTACGGAGTACCTGGGTCCTGACCTGGTGCTGAAGCTTGGACCTTTCCCCACGTTGCTGGTGTGGAGCTGAGAAGGGTCCCGAGGGGACGCCTGCAGAAGAAGAACGCACTTGACCATTTCAAGCATAGGTAACTATTCATGGCTTTTGATTCAGGGTTGGACCAAGGAATATGGCATCTGCTAGCTTGGGTATTGGCAATGGCCTGAGTCAATTCGAGTGAATCGACAACTTGGGTGTGGTGGCCAGATTGACATGGGAGATTCCTATGGTGACAAGGGGGCCAAGGGCTACTGGGATGACAAGGCAGGTTTTTTGTGAGCTTAGTGACAGGAGAGTGCAGGGATGCTAACGTTAGGTGAAAGAAAGAAGCTAGCTCGTATATTGTTGAACCAGAGATGTTATGTAAAGATAGGCGGCAGGGCGGCTTAACCAATTAAACCGCAGGTTAAGTACAGCACATAAAGACCATGTCATCAGCAACCTGTCACCATAGGTGTTAAACCTGCTGTGTTAAACCGTAAATTATAGTTAAATTAATCTATATATTGATTAATATTAAACTGCTTATTATAGTTAAATTTATCTATATCTTAATTATTAATCTATCTAACCTATTATTATAGAAATAATAGTTAATTAAAAGCTAGGTATATATAATAATTATATTATATTAAAGCTTAAAGAAAGAAAGTTCTATTTATATAGAAATCTTATATAAAATTCGGTTAGGTTTTAATTAATAACTAAGGTTTAGTTAGTAATTAATTAATAAGTTAATTAAATATTATAATTATTCCCTTATTAATTAAAGCTAGCCTTAATTATTATAACCTTAATAATTATATTATATATACCCTATATTTTCTAGCCTATTATATATTAACTTGAATTAATTATAATTATTACTATAATCCTTACTTAAGAATTATAACGCTAACTATAATCTATAAACTATAATTATAAACTTAACTATAATCCCTAAGATATATTTTAAATATATATATATATTTATTAATACTTTTATAAATATTAACTTATTAACTATTAATATAACTTCTTTACCTTAATAAGCCTTATTTATATTATTAATTATTAAAAGATATAATATTTTACTATTATTTAAATTATATTTTATAATCCTATTAATATAAACCTAAAACGGTTTAGTTTATCCCTAAAAAACCTTAACTATTATATATTAATAGCTTTTATTTAATATTATACTATATAATATAAATAATATTATTATATTATTAAAATATTAAATACTATTAAACCTATACCTTTTTATATTAAATTATTACTTAGTATAGTTAAGTTAATAATTAAAGTCTATTAACTTTATAGTACTATTTATAAACTTAAGGTTAATTTAAATACTTAGGCTATATTACTATAACTATTACCTAAAGGAAAATAAAACCTAAGAGAATTATTAAAACCCCCTATACTAGCTTTATTTAAAGGATAGGTAATAAATATAATCCTATTCTTAACCTAAATAAAGGGATATTTATATCTATTTCTTAATTAGTTAGGTAGCCTAGAAAGGAAAATACTTTTTATAGTATTATTAATTTAAAGAACTATAATTAAATAATAAGAACCTATTTACTAAGATTACCTTAAATATAAAAATAACCTAAACTTATAAAACTAAGAAACTTGAAATATCTTTATAAGCTAGACTAATTTTAAAATAACTTTTAAAAATAACTTTAATATTATAAATAAAATATAATAAGTAATAGCTAAAATTATAATACTATAATAAATATACTTTTATATAATATATTTAACTAAATTTAAATAGCTAGCTATTAAAATTAAATAAGATAATAATATACTTATAGACATTTACTATTAAGGCCTTAAAGATAAAGTTAAAGATAAACTATATAAAATAGACTAACTAGATATCTTTATAGAATATATAATTATAGCTATTAAAATTAATAAATAATAGTATAAATATAAAAAGGAAAAGCTATAAAAGTTAGGGAAAATAACTTTAATCCTTATTACCTTAATAAAAAATAAAATAATAATAAAGGTAACTTTAATAATTAGAGGAATTAATATTACTAAAAGAATAACTAATTAAATAATACTTTATATAGAACTAACTCTAGACCTATAGTATTAAAAACTATATAATAGGATAATAATTAATAATTACTATAAGATATATTTAAGTATAAATATTATAATTATAATAATTTTAGATATATAGTTAGTACTTACCTTAAGTTAAAATAACTTAAAAATCCTAATTATAGTAAGAAAATATTAAGACTTACTAATTAATAGAATAAACTTTAAATAGTTATTTAAAGTAAAATACTAAGAATATATAGGTCTAGATATAATAAAATACCTAACTTATTATTAATACCTAAAAGTAATCTTAAGGTATTATAAAAGTATTTCTTATTAAAAAAAGAATTTATTAATAAGTATTATAGATATATACCTAAGGAAATATAACCTACCTTTAATAAGAAACCTTTAATAGCCAGACCCCTTAAGTAGCCTAAAACGGAAGAATAGCTATATAAAAAATAGGAATATAATATTAAAAGAAAGGTATAACCTAAAGCCTAGGATTAAAAAAAGAAAGATATAAAAAAATATAAAAAGCTTTTTTAAAAACAAAAGGAAGGAAAATAAAAAATAAACCTTAGGAATATTTAATAACAGAAAAGATAACTATCCTTAATATAAAAGGATAGTTAAATACTATATAAAAAAGCTACCTAAATAAAAATTCCTTTAAAGTAGATATATAAAGATATATTAAATAACTAGTAAATAAAAAAACTATTATATAATATTATAATATACTAAAATAACTAACTATTAATTATAAAGAACTTAATATTACTATATATAAATAAGGAATTTAGAATATTAATAATATTCTAATATATAGAATATTCCTAGAGTATAAAAAGTATCTAGCTAATTAATATAAAAAAGTAAAGAATAACTTATAAAAGGAATTATAATATATAGGAAATATAAAATACTATAAAAAAGCCACCTAAAATAAAATATAATAACTTTATTATATAAATAAATAAATAGAACTTAAGTAAAAATAACTTTACTAATTAACCTATAATAAACTAGGCCTATATTACTTTATATTATCTAAAGACTGCTATATCTAGATAGCCAGGGAAAAAGGAGAAATTAATAAGGATATAATTATTATAGTATAGGCTTATTATATTATAGATATATTAGACCTTTTATATAAAAAACTAGTATTGAACCTTAAAGATAATATATATATATACCTAATATACACCTTATATAAATAAATATCCTAGTTATTTTATAAGTATTATTAATACAAAAGATATAAGTAAATAAAATCTAATAATAATTACTTTTTAATAACTATCCCTAGAATATTAAATAATAACCCTTACCTTAATATAGAAATAGAGGGTTATAAAGTATATTAATAGTATAAAAACCTAGGAATAGCTAAACTTTAATTTAGTTTAGTATATTATTAATAAATTAACCTTATAAAGAAACTATATATAAAGATTTAAGAAATAATAAATATTATAAAAGAATTTAAAAAATAATACTAAAAACTAATTAAAAATTAATATTTTAATAATAATAAAATAAATAATTAGCTAAAATAGGAACTATAGATACTAAAAAATATAAATTAATATAATATAGACCTATATAATAAATAGTAATAATAGCTATATAATAAGTAATATATTAATAACTACTTTAATAAAAAAGGATATAATAAAAATTAATATAAGCTTACCTACCGAGATATATTAAGAAATAAAACCTACTTTCTATATTAAAGCTATAAATAAATAAAGAAATAAAACTAAAAAAACTAAAAAAATAAAAAGCTTTAGGATTTCTAAATATAAAAGATTTATAATATTTAATACTAAAAGTTAAGATTAAGGGATAATAACTAACTATATAAATTAATTATAGAGTAATAAATAATTATATTATATTAAAATTAATAAAATATCTAAAACTACTATAGAAAAAAAAGGTAAATCCTTACTAATTTATAAATATAAAAAGAAAAGTATTTAATTATAATAATAGGATAATAAACTAGGAAACTAATTACCATAAGGCTTTTATTAATAAAAAAATTAAGGAATAGATTTTAATATTATACCTTTAAAAAAGGTTAATATCTTACTAGGAATATTAAAGTTAAAACGCTATAACCCCTATATTATCTGGCCGATAGGCTAAGTTACTATTTAAAGTAATATTAATAATAATAATAAAATAAATTATAAAGATAATAAAAAATCTTAAACTTTAATTAATAATAATAATAAAATATAAAGTAAAAATATTACTTTATTACCCCTAAAAAGAATTAAATATAAATATATAAAAGGTAAGAAATATTAAAATAAATAAATTCTAGGCCTTTTAAAAAAATAACTATACCGAATAGATAAGTAACTATAATAATAAAAAAAACTAAAATAATAATATAAAAAGATTAACTTAAAAAATATTCCTAAAGAATATAACATTTATAATAAACTATTCTAAAAAGAATTAAATATAAAGGTATTATAGTATAGCTATTAGGACTATAGGATTTAACTTAAAATAAATAACCTATTACTTTAAAAAATCTATAATTTTAATATTAAGGAATTTAAGACCTTAAAGGAGTATTTAAAATTAAAACTAGATAAGGGAAATATTAAGATATTTACCTTTTTAATAGGATTTTTAATAATATTTATTCTTAAGAAAGATAGATTATTATTATTAGTTATAAATTACCGTAAATTAAATAACCTTATTATT